CAGGAATCACTCCTGGCAGTGCTTGGGGTTCCATATGGGATGCTGGAGATTGAACCTGGGTTGGCCTTGTGCGAGGCAAATGCCCTATCTGCTGTACTGTCGTTCCAGCCCCCTTGAGCACAATTTCAGCTTAGCCTAACCATCCATCTGAGGCACCCTTTGTCGACAGGCTGTGAAGCTGACCCAGGTTTGCTAACTCACCCTATAGAGTTAGAAAGATCCTGCTATCAAACCATCACACTAAACAGAAAAGTACAACACCTCTATAAATATAGATGGAACATCCTCAACAAAAATCATCGACAAAATGCTACCCTGAGGAACTGGAGAGATAGTGCACGGGGTAAGGGGCTTGCCTTGCATCCCATCAAATGCAGTGTGCAAATCCTCAGCGCCATGTAATATCCCCAGCAGTGTCAGGAAGGATTCTTGAGCATAAGTGCAAGAAGTAGACCCTGGCCACCAGAAGTGCCCCAAAGGCATACCCTTCCAAATAATAAGAGGCCTGAGAATCTGACTCATGCAGTGGAGCACAGGCCTTGCAGGTGTGGGGCTCTGGGTTGATCGCTGCACTGTGAGTACCACAACAATTTTCTTAATGCAAAAAGCACTGACCAATCTTGTCCACATATATTAAAGACTAGGGAGATGCTCAAAGGGCTGGAGCACTGAGACAGGAGTAGCCCCCAGCACTGCTGCTGGGACTGGTCCCCAAAGAACAAACAAATAGGTAAAAGCATTGTGTACTATTCTTCAGCAGGATTTAGTCCAGTGGTTTAAATAAGAAAATCAATGGACTAAACCACATTAATTGAACGAAGGATAAAAACTGAAGTGTTCTCATTAACTCAGAAGAAAAGTGACAAAATGCAATGTATTTTCATGATTCAAGAGAAAACAACAACAAACTAAGTGCAGAAGAGAACTGTCTCAACCTTGGGGCACAGATGAAAAACCCACATCTAACATCACTCAATCAGGAAGGGGTGGAAATGTTCTCCCTACATTGAGGAACAAGGCAACCTCACCCGCTTTCATCACTTCTGTTCACACTGTACTGGAAATTCTCTCCAGAGCACTGAGTCAAGAAATAGAAAAGGCAGCCAAATTGGAAAGAAGCAATAAAACTGTATCTGTTAACAGATGATGAGGTCTCATGCACACACCAACACACACATGAACACACATACTGTGAGTACTCATAAATGAACTTAGTGAAGGTTCTGGGTATCAGATCAACACGCAAAAATCAATTGTATTTCTATGCGCCAGTAATGAATAATCTAAGGAGGGAATTAAGAGCACCATAAAAACAAATTTAAACAAAGTGTTGAAAGGCCTGTACACTGAAGAATATGAAACATGCTTAAAGAAATTTTAAAAAGGGGCTGGAGAGATAGAACAAGGATTAAGGCACTTAACTTGCATGCAGCCCACTCAGGTTCAAATCCTTGGCACCACATATGGTCCCCCAACACTTCCAGGAGTGATCCCTGAGCACAGAGCCAGAAGTAAGTCCCGAGTACTGCTGGGTGTAGCCCCAAAACTCACCAAATTAAAAAAATCAAAAAATGGAAAGACATGATTTCATATTTGTGAACTGGAAGATGTCAAAACACCCCCAACCACTCTGCGTATTCAATGTGAGCCCTGTTAAGATTCCAATTTCCTGGGGCAAGAGCCATAGCACAGCAGGAGGGCCTTTGCCTTGCATGCAGCTGATTCAGGTTCAATTCCCAGCATCCCATATGGTCCCCTGAGCACCGCCAGGAGTAATTCCTGAGTGCAGAGCCAGGAGGAAGCCCTCAACATCATCGGGTATGACTTCCCTCCCCAAAAGAGAGAAAAGATTCCAATTTCCTTTCTGCAGAAATAGATAAGTCTGATGAAAGAAGAAAAAAAAAAAAAGAAATCTCCAGGACCCACCAAGAGAAAAAGCAGGAAGGATGTAGATAGCTGTCATAGAAACTTATTGAACAAGGAGTATATTTTCTAGATTTTTCTCAATAAACATCTATTCCTTTAATTTAAAAGATTTAATTAAATTTTTTGTTTGTCTCCTTTGGGGCCACACCCAACGGTGTCAGGGGTTCCTCCTGGCTCTGCACTCAGGAATCAGTCCTGGTGGTGCTCAGGAATCATATGAAATGCCAGGGATCAACCCAGGTTGGCAGCACCTAAGGAAAGTCCCTACAACTCTGTGCTGTCTCTCTGGCACCACATCTATTCCTTGTATAACCAGAGTGGGGGAAAGTAGAGGGGAAAAAGGGCTTCTATTTACCTGGTTTGGTTTGGTTGGGAGGTTGCACCAGCTCTGCGGTGGTCACTGGCGGTGCTCAGGGTACTTGGCTTGCTGGGGAGGGACCCACCAGTCCAAACCCTCCGCACTCTGTGCCCCTGTTCGGGTTGCACACACTACAGTGATGCCAAGTGCTATTGGTGATGTTTCCTTTCACCCCCAGGGGTTGTGTGGCTGGGCTGGACGGGGCAGAAACTCAGGAGGGCAGAGGGATGGGAAGACAGGAGAGGCACTGGAATGGAGAACACAGCTCTATTAGCTGGGGACCTGTCCGGAGGTTACTCTCCCAGCTGGGGGGACTTATGTGAAGTAGGGAGGAGGGGCAGCAGCCCTGCCCGAGAAAGAAGTCCACAGCTCCCTCCCCACCTACCTCCATCATCTGGCCAGTGCCTGGGGAGAACTGATGAACCCGCCACGCCAAAGACCCAGTGAGGTCCAGCCCTCACGCCTCCCTAGCCCCACCAAGTGGTCGTCAAGCCGCACCCAGGTTCCACTGGTTCTGCCCTGATTTCTTCTTCTTTTTTTTTTTTTTGCTTTTTTTGGGTCACACCTGGCGATGCACAGGGGTTACTCCTGACTCTGCACTCAGGAGTTACTCCTGGCGCTGCTCAGGGGACCATATGGGATGCTGGGAATCGAACCCCGGTTGGCCACGTGCAAGGCAAATGCCCTACCTGCTGTGCTATAGCTCCAGCCCCTGCCCTGATTTCTTAGGGAGCCCTGAGCACCTACTGGAGAGAAGGATTGCTCTTTTCAGGAAAGAAAAGTCAGTCCTAAATCATACCCAGGCTTTTCCAGGAACACGGCCTTCTTTTCCAGAAAAGAATTTCAGGAGGAATTTCAAATAATGAAGTGAAAGGTTTTTCTTCTTGGCTTTTTGGGTCACATCTGGCAGGGATTTCTCCTGGCTCTGCACTCAGGAATTACTCCTGGCGGTGCGCAGGGGACAATATGGGATGCCAGGGATTGAACCTGGGTCGGCCATGTGCAAGTCAAAGACCCTACCAGCTGTTACTATCGCTCCAGCCCTTATGAAGTGAAAGTTTTATTCCAAGATGATAACAAACTGGAGGAGAGAGAGAGAGAGAGAGAGAGAGAGAGAGAGAGAGAGAGAGAGAGAGAGAGAAACACAGCACCTAGCACCTCCAAGACATAATTAATGCCGGCTTCTCCAGAGCAAAGTGCCAAGAGTCCCCCTGAGATGCAGGCCACCCCCGAATGAAGAAGGACCCCATTTCCTTTGCAAAGTTACTTTTATACAGGTTTTCTCCCAAACTACCCTCCCATGGGACTTTGTTCCTAGATAGAGTCTGAACTACTAAGTGTGGGCAAGGGAGCTTGGAGCTTTGGCTGTCCTAGTGAAGCCTTTGTTCCTGCTGGAATGTCTCTCTGTTGGGGGTCCGACCTTCTCTGGGCCTGTCCTGGGCCAGCTAGAATCTTCTCAGGCCTCAGTGGCCATGTCTTACAAAGTGGCTGGTAATGCATCTTACTGCTTTAGGGCTAGTTACAGAGTAATTTCTTTCAGTTCCATCTTGGTTTCAGGAATTCCTGATAACTCACTGCCCCGCCCCCTCCCCACTCCCCACCCGGGTGGCCTGCCTACTTCACTTGTTCAGCAGCTGCCCCTGCTCCCCCTCCACCCCTTCTCCAGTGTGTGAAAGGCCCAGAAGAAGCCGCTAGAACCAGAATGTTATCCTGTGTTCTTTGGGGATGACAGAGATCCGTGCAGGGGTGGTTACTGGCCCAGAGCACAGCTAGGGGCCGCCCCCCAAACAACAAAGCAGCTGAGTCCTCCCACTTTTCAGAGTGTGTTGCTGGTTCTTATCCACGACGCAATTTGTCTTTTTTTTTCTTGTTCCTTTGGGGCCACTCCTGGTGATGCTAGGGGGCCGCTTCCCATTGCTGCTGAGGGGATCATGTGGAAGTGCTTAGGACTCACTCCTAGCTCTGTGCTTAGGGAATCACTCCTGGTGGGGGCTGGGGGCCCATAAGGGGCGCGGGGTATCCAACCCAGGTCTCCCACGTGCAAGGCAAACGCTCTACCCCCTGCTATAGTTCCGGCCCGTTTCTGTCTTTTAATGGGAGCCCGCATGCACTACTCAAGGATTGAACTGCCCAAGAGCCTCTCATCGTTCCTATCCTTCTTCGGATTCACTCCAGCGTTTCACTTTGTTTCCTCTCGGGTTTTTAGCCGGGGCTTTTAGAAGTCAGGTGTAGCTGTATTTTAAAACGATACAATGTACCTTGAATGTGCGTTCTCTTGCTACGGCGGAACGCCCTCCCCCTCCCTCCTCTGGAGTCTAACTCGCGCGCCAGCCCAGGCAGGGCGAAACGGCAAAGCTTCGGAAGCGTGCGGGCGGGCGCCAGGGGAGCACCCGGACCCAGGCAGCCGGGCAGCGGCGAGAGGGCGCGCCGGGCGCGTGCGGGAAAGCGGCTCTCCCGGCCCCGGCCCGCGCTCCCTCGCCGCCGTCCGCACGTGGGCCCCGACGGCGCCCGCTTGGGCCCGGGCCAGCGCGGAAAGGCGGGCGCCGCCTCTCGGGCGGGGAGCGCGGGGTCCAGCGCGTCGCTCCCGGCGCCTCTCCGGGCCCGCAACTTCTCCCGGACGCCCTGGACCCCGGCGCGCCCCGGGCCGGGGCTGTCCGGAGCCCGCGGCCGCCACCGCCAGGGGGCCTCCGGGCTCCCCGGCCGCCCGGGCGGGGAGGAGCGCCGGGAGGAAGGGGCCGAGCCGGAGCCCCCGCCCCGAGGAAGGGAGGAGGCGCATCCCGGCGCATTCCCGGCCGCCCGGTGACTCACGGGCCAGGAAGCGCCGCGCCCGCCGCCCCGGAGCCCGACTCGGCGCCCAGGTGAGCGCGCGGCGCCCCCGCCGCCCCTCGGCCCGCGGCGCGCTCGGAACCGGCGCTCGGAACCGGGCGGGCGGCCCGCGGCGGGGTCGGGCCCGGGCCGGGGGGACCGGCGGGCTCGGCCCTCGGGCGAGGCCTCCGGGCGCCGCGGCCTCCCGGGATCGGCCCCGCGCCCCGAACCCTGCGCCCGGCCGAACCCGGAGTCCCGCGCCCCCCGGCCCGCGCCCCCGAGCCCTGAGTCCCGCGCCCACCCCGGCCCGCAGCCCCGGCCCTGTACCCCGCGGTCCTGCGTCCACCGGCTCTGTGCCCCCTCGGCCCGCGTCCCCTGCCCCGCGCCCCCAGCCCGCGCCCCGGAACCCTGCGCCCGGCCCCGAACACTGAGTCCCGGGCCCCGCGCCCCTCGGCCCGCCCCCCCCCCCCGGCTCTGTGCCCACTCGGCCCGCGTCCCCCGGCCCCGCGCCCCCGGCCCCGCACCCCCGACCAGTACGAGGTGCCCGGTGCGGGGATGCCGGGCCCCGCGTCCCCTCGGCCCGCGCCCCGGGAACCCCGAATCCCGTCGCCCCGGCCCCCCGCAGGTCCCGGAGCCCGCGCCCCCGCACGTGTTGGGCCCGGCGTGGTGATGGTCATTGTTGCGGCCGCCCCTCTGGCCCGGCCGGTGCCGCAGCCATCGCGGGGCCGAGTCGCGCTTTGTTCGGGCGCCGGTGGGCTGCGCGGAGGCTCGGGGCCGAGGAGGCGGCGGGACGTCCCGGGGGTCCGGGGAGCGCGCCGGAACGGGCCACGCGTGTGTCACGTCTGAACGGCCCCGGACCTGCGCGCGCCAACTCGGAGCCCTGGTCGTGGCAGGGGCGGCGCCGTGTGGCCCCTGGACCGCGCGTCGTGTGGCCCCTGGACCGCACCTGCTGCCTCCGGGGCCTGCGCAGTTCTGGGTCTGAAAACCGCGGTCGCAACCGGTGCGGGCTGCCAGCTGCGGGGGTGCCCTTGCTTTGTGCCAGGTGCGCTGTGTGTGCGTGGTGGGATGTGCCCCTTGCAGGGGGTCGGGCGCATGCCCGCAGGTGGCAGTCCGGAAGCTATAGTGGCCACCGTCCTGCAGCTTTTGGCGTGTCTAGCGCTGCGCGGCCCTTCTGCCCCCCTTTCAGTGTCTCTAAAGGACGTGCGGGATCCCCACGCTTTATCTCAGGACACTGTCAGACCGCGGAATAACTGCAAACAGGTTTGGGTGCTGAAAGTCTGCTGAATGCCAATAGATCAACCCCAGAAATTCACCCACCAAAGTGGTCTTTGAGCCCCATCCCCCAAAGTGGTCTTCCAGGCCTGGCTTTCTCTGCATTTTGAGTTTGCATAAAGTAAAATTCCCTTGTATTTGTCTATTTCATGATATGTTCGCTGAGTTTGATAAATGCTTGGCCAGTTGCCACCACCCTCATAACATAAAAGTCCCACCTCTGGGGTCTCCACTGCCTCCCCACGCTTCTCCCGTCCAAGGACTCTGCTCCGGTCCTGTAGTTGAACTTTTTCCCATGGCACTTGGCGTTTGAGGATTTGAGATTCATCCCTGTTTTCCCTTGCAGGGTAAAGAATGAAAGTTTGAAAAGTGTGTTTTCAGGGCATGGCCTGGGGGACTCGGGCCCCAGCGCGCTTGAGCTTACTCAGCCCCTGGAACCATTTCCCTGGCCTGATGCTAATGTTTATGTTTGGTTTTGGGGCACGTGCTGGTGTCCAGGCAGATTCCTGGCTCTGTAGTGGGAGTGGGGAAGACCAGGCGTGTGGGGATTGAGTCTGGCTTGGCACTGGGCAAAGCAGAACACTGTCACCCCGTACTCTCTCCCTCAGCACTCACCCCTTCCCTCAAGCAAAAAGATTTTTGTTGTTTTTTATTTATTGATTTTTTGGGGGGTCACGCCCAGTGGTGGTGCTCTTGATCCCTTTCCTGCCTTGTTCTCAGGGATTATCCCCGAGGGCCAGAACATGCCAGGGAATTCTAACCAGAGTCCTGGCAGAGGAAACCCATGCAAAACCTTGTCCCGCACTGTCTCTCTGGCACAACAAATATTTTTGTTTGATTTTTTTGTTTTTTGAACCATACCTGGCAGTGCTCAGGGCTTACTTCTGGCTCTGCGCTCAGGAAGGTGCTTGGGGACCATATGGGGCCCTGGGGATCCTGCTGGGGTTTGCTGTGTGCAAGGCGGCCACCAGATGCCTCACCTCCTGTTTTGTCTCTCTGGGCTCTGCAGATATCCATCAGACTTGAAGAAGTTCTCTCATTAAAACTTGATCTGAGAGTTTCCTCTGTGAATAGTCTTTTCTGTTCAGACCCTGGTTTGGGAGATTTGCAGCATCTTCGCAACACCATTGTATTGCATGGATAATCGTACCTTTCCACTTGGTCCTGGAGCTCTCTGCTAGTGACTGTTGGTGTGGGAGAGATGGCTCGTAATTTATTGCATTGGCTTCCTGTTCATCGATGCCATCATTTTGTGCTTGTCCTCACCCCCGCCCCTCTCTGTGCACATGCCCCAGCTTAACGCTCTGGAGGTGAGTCTGGGCTTAAATGGCCACTGAGGTTTCCAGAGCACTGACAGTCCCCAGCCTTAGGTCAGGGTGATGTGTGTTCACAGCACTCTCCATCCACACTCCCCTTTCCCTGTTGCTGTAGTGCAGACAACCCTCCTGCAGGAACAGGCATCAGCTGTTTGTGGCTGTCAGTAGACTTGAGTGACTGTCAGTTGGATTTTGTGGCTGTCAGTAGCTGTCCGTGGTCTCGCAGTGGTTGTTGGTGGTTTCCTAGTGTGAAGGGCTGTCAGTGGGCTGTAGTGGCTGTAAGCAGCTGTCGGTGGCCGTCAGTGGACTTTAGTAGCTGTCAGTGGGCTGTTTCATTGTTAATGATTTTGTTTGGGGGCCACATGCAGCAGTGCTCAGGCTTACTCCTGGCTCTGTGCTCAGGGATCACTCCTGATGGGGCTTAGGGCCCTATAGGATGATGGTGATCAAACCCATATCTACTGTATGCGGGGCAAGCATTTTATACCCTGTCCTATTTCTCCAACCCCTGCAATCGGATTTTTTTGTTTGTTTCGTTTTGGGTCAGACATGGTGATGCTCAAGGATTACTCCTGGCTCTGCACTCAGAAATTACTCCTGGTGGTGCTTGGGGGGATCATATGGGATGCCAGAAATTGAACCCAAGTCAGCTGCATGCAAGTTAAGCACCCTACCTGCTGTTCCATCCAGCCTGCCTTAGGTCTGATTTAAAAAAAAAAAATCCTATCAACCTGTTTACCAAACTGTTGGTCTCAGTTACTGTTTTTGAACTCAATTCCTTTTTAGTATAGGGGTTACTGGTTGCCCCGACTGGATCTCAGGGAGCAGCCATATGAGTTTTGAGAGCGGGACGGCAGCTGGGGAGATGGGGAACGGGGTGGGGCTGCAGGAAGAAGCTGTTTCCTTTCCTGTGCTGAGGCTACCCAGGGCTTCTGACTGGTCACTTCAGAAGAGAAAGGAAGTTCCAAAGAGGAAGGCTGGGGCTGGAGAGATAGTATAGGGGTAAGGCACTTGCCTTGCACCCAGTTGACCTGGTTTGATCCTCACCACCGTATATCCTGCCCCAGCACTGCCAGGAGTGATCCCTGATCCCAGAGTGCAGAGCAAGAGTAAACCCTGAGTACTCAGGTCTGGCCCAAAAACCCAAAAGCAAAAAAAAAAAAAAAAAAAAAAAAAAGCAAACAAAAAAGCCACAAAGGAGCCAGAGTGACAGAGTGATAATACAGCAGGTGAGGTGTTTGCCTGGCACATGGCCGACCAGGGTTTGCTCTCCAGCATCCCATATGATCCTTCTAGCACTGCCGAGAGTTCTTCCTTCCTTCCTTCCTTCCTTCCTTCCTTCCTTCCTTCCTTCTTTTTTTGTCACATCTGGCAATGCTCAGGGGTTCCTCCTGGCTCTGCAGTCAGGAATTACTCCTGGCGATGCTCTGGGGACCATTTGTATGTTGGGGATTGAACCTGGGTTGACTTCGTGCAAGGCAAACGCCCTTCCTGGTGGATTATCACTCCAGCCCCCAGGGGTGACTTCTGAGTGCAGAGCCAGGAGTAACCCTTGAACATCACCCCGTGTGGCCCAAAAACAAAAAAACAAAACCAAAACCAAATGAGAAAACAAAAACAACAAAATAATTATAATAAAATAAAAAGATTTATTAAAAAAAAAACAGCAGGGGAGAAGAAGGTTGAAAGGTTAGTTTGGTGACCCACTGTGTTTTTGTGATGTGTTCTGGGCCACTGGGCAGTGCTCAGGGCTGACTGCTGGCTCTGCCCTCAGCAGTCACTCCTGGTGGGGCTCAGGGGACTCTATGAACCCTATTTGAACCCGGATCAGCCGTGTGCAAGGCAGGCACCCCACCTACTGTGCTGTCTCTCTGGCTCCACGATGACAGTGATGTCTCCCCCAGCAGGCGGGGGGACAAGAGAGCTGCCTGGTGCTGTGCTGGCAGCTGAGTTGCCCACTGTGTTCTCAGGTGCAGCAGCCACCCTTGTTTGGTGCCCTTGCAGGCGCTTCCCTGGGTGCCAGGCTTTCCTGGGGGAGGTGCCTTTGCAGGGTTAAAGGGAGGTGCTGGTGGCCAGTGATGCGGGAGCACGTGGGGTCTCTGTTGCAGGGGGTGAGGTGGAGATTGGTGGGACGGAGGAGGAAGGGTGCCTGGTCTACAGTGGTCAGTTTGTGCGGGTCTGAGGACACCTGCTGGGCCAGGTGTGAGAAGGTAGGAGACTGGTCCCTTGTGGCCCCTAAAAAAGTAAGTAAAAAGTAAAGGCCCTCCCGGTGATCGTCGATTTGCTCGAGCGGGCCCAGTAACGTCTCCATTGGAGACTTTGTTGTTACTGTGTCTGGCATATCGAATACATCACGGGGAGCTCGCCAGGCTCTGCCGTGCGGGCGAGATGCTCTCAGTAGCTTGCCGGGCTCTCCGAGAGGGGCAGAGGAATCGAACTCGGGTGGCCATGTTGGCTGCGTGCAAGGCAAACGCCCTACCGCTGTGCTATCGCTCCAGTTCCCATTGACGTCTTCTGACATGGGAGTTGCTCTGCACCTGACATGAATTTCCTAGATCTGGCAGCCGCTGTCTTGCTCGTGCTGTGACAGCCCCCGGGAGTAGGCGCGGTGACGCTGTAGTGTCAGCTGTCTGGGTGGTGAGCGTGCATCTACGAGGAGCTGGGGTGACTGAACCTGGGGTGACTGGACCAGCGGCCTGGGTCTGTCGCGGCAGAAAGCAGGAGCTGGTGTGCTCTTGTCTTTGGGGTCTTAGCCACTGGGCTTCCTGTGGCTGTGGGGGCCAGGGGAACGTGGCCGCCTCGGGGCTGTGAAGCAGGGTTTGTCCCTGTATGTGGTGTCAGTTGTGGGTCAGAGACAGTCCCATCTTCTCGCGGGCACCACAGGGCATTGGGGTCTGTCCTGGCTCTCATGAAGTCATTTGACAGCATTGGCGTTGCTGTGTGGTCACCGTCAGTCACATCCGAGCTGCTGCTGCTGCTCCTCATCTTTCTCCTCCTTGATTCAGGGCTCTGTGCTCAGGGATCACTTCTGGCAGGGCTGGGGACACCATATTTGGCGCCAGAGATTCAACCTCGGTCAGCTGTGCCTAAGGCGAATGCCCTCCCTGCTGTACGATCTCTGCAGTTCCCATTGACGTCTTCTGACATGGGAGTTGCTCTGCACCTGACTTCCAGGCACGTCCCAGGGGACAAACTTACACACGGTGACCTGGGTTCAGTCCCTGGCACCCCATGCAGTCCCGTAAGCACCACTAGGAGTGATCCCTGAGTGCAGAGTCAGGAACAAGGCCCGAGCACTGCTGGGTGTAGCCCCCAAGCAAACACTGCTCCTCTGCTCTGTTGCTCTGCATTCTTCAGATGAGAAGAATCACCTGGCATTTGTGATTCCTTGTAATGCAGGTCACCCAGTATTTGTGCTTATCCCTCTGACTTATTTCACTTGATGTGAAACTCTCCAGATCCATCCACGTTGCAGCAAAAGCCACGAGCTCGTCTTTTCTCCTGGCTGTGTAGTGTTCCACTGTGTAATACCCAGACACAACTTTCTGCATTCACCTGCCTGTGAACAGTCGGGTTGTTTCCATATCCTGGCTGTGGCAGGCAGTTTTGCTGTCAACGGAGATGAGTGTAGGTCTTTTTGAATCATTGTTTTTGTGTTTTGGGGGTCGACACTGAGGTGTAGAATGGTTGGTCATGAGGAAGCTCTGATTTTCCTCTGCGGAATCTCGGTACTGATTTCAACGGAGGCCGAGCAGGAGGATATTTCCATCTCTCATCAGTCCTGGTTGTGTCCACCTGCAGATAGTTACGTGTGAAGGGCCTGGCCCCCTCTCTCCAACAACAAGTATCTCAGCTCACAAGCCCTCATGCAAATAAGCTGGAAAGTTCAGCGCCTTCCTGGCCTTTTTCCAGGCAGCTTTGATTTGCTTCATGCCGAGATAGCTCTGCTTTCTAGGTGAGGGCAGAAGAGACGGACAGCATTTGAGAGAGACCTTGGAAAGCCGTGTGCAGGCTGATTTTCCCAGTTGCGTTGGACTGGAAGATTGTGTTTTTTGTTGTTGTTGTTGTTGTTAGGGACTTGCCTCAGGTCCCAGCATCCTCCTCCTCACATCCCCGCTCCCGCCTCCCAGCCTGTTCTGATCTGGAGAGAGCAGCTGGAGTCGGGCGGCTAGCCCTGGAGGCGAGCGTTCTGTGGGAGTCGGAGAGAAAGAACAGTTCAGCCAGGCCCGCCCGCCTCCCTTTCTCTGAGGACTTGTTTTTAAACATATGCACAGATGGCACAAAGATAGTGGCCATTTCTGCTTTTCTGGAAAGGGTTGTTCTCTGCTTGCTGAAGAGGAAGCTGCCGGTCTGTCTTGCCTGTGTTCGCAGAGACGCTTCCGAGCGATCGTGTATCGCCGGTGCCAAGTTGCTACATGGGTGGGCAAGCGTTGTAAAATTAGCAAGTCCCGGGATTGGAGGTGCCGGGAAGGCCCCGTTTCCAGGAGAGCCCCTGCCTGACGTGGGTCCATCCAGTGGACTCGTGGTCCTGCTGCCATTGAGGTCACCATGGGGCAGGCACGAAACCTCGGTTCTGCATTTTAGGTTGGCAGCTTTGCTGAGCTGGCCTGACACATTTTACTTGTATTTTTATCGGTGCCACATTCAGCGGTGCTGGTGGGTGGAGAGGGCTGGGCTTGTGCTGGAGTCAGTCTCTTCGGGCCAGTGACTCCATCCTTCCCTCTTGAGCCCGCTGACTTGGGGTTACGGCTGTTGGTGTGGCGCCGCTGTGCCCCTTGGGGACCTGTGTGTGGTCTGAGGGATGGGGTGTGGGGGCAGACCCTCGGCTGGGTGCTCCAAGTTGATGAGCTACTGCTTCGCCACTGCTTCTTCCTGCCTGCCTGGGGCTTTCTGAGAACCTCAGTTTCTCCTTGCCTGATGCGTGGCCAGCGCTGGGCCTTTGTCTGTATCTGTGGGTGCTGCGTGTGACCCGGCCCGTCGGGCACAGCTGCTCCGAGTAGTGTGGGGATATGGAGCGGGTGGAGCCTGGGTTGCAGCAGAGCACTGGGGGAGTAACCCCTGAGCACCCTGGGGTGTGGTTCAAAACTGTTGCATAGTGAGTGCTGGGTGGGGTCAAAGCTGCCCAATCCTGTGAGGGTCAAGGCCCCTCTCCCCTCCTCCCCACCCCCCATGCTTCTCCCTTGTCCTTCAGGGCTGCCCTCCTTGTGGGACCTTCCCTGCTTTCACTGCCCTGTCTTTCAGAACCACGGGGCTCTGGCCCTTTGCATGAGGACCTGGGGACCCTGCATGGAGGGCGGGGGGCCTTCGGGAAGGGCAGACCAGGGGGGCACTAACCTCACAGACCTCGAGGGCATGTTCCTTCTGCCAGCCTATGAGGGGCTTGTCAGACCTCTCGAGGTGTCACCCAGGGGTGTCAGGGTGTGCAGGAAGTGACAGAATGTGGTCCCAGGGAGCACTGACGGCCAGCCCCCTGACTGCGCCCGCAGGCAGGGAGACAGAGGTGCTGTTGAGGGCCCTGTCCTTCCTGAGCGCCAGGTGTGCTTGCTTCCAGCATGGCGGCCCAGGTGACGCTGGAGGACGCCCTGTCCAACGTGGACCTGCTGGAGGAGCTGCCCCTGCCGGACCAGCAGCCCTGCATCGAGCCCCCGCCCTCCTCACTGCTTTACCAGGTGGGTGCCTGCAAGGCGGGTGGGGAGCACCCTGCCAGTGGACTCCACGTGACACCTCCTTTCCACCTTCCAGCCAAACTTCAACACAAACTTTGAAGACCGAAATGCGTTTGTCACTGGCATCGCGAGATACATCGAGCAAGCCACAGTTCACTCAAGCATGGTCAGTCTCCGTGGCTTTCTGGGGTCGTTCTGATGAGTCTGGGGTTGAGGCAATTCTGGGTTAAGTACGTAGGTCTTTCCACTGCCGCGGTGGCCCCTGCGTTCTGCCAGCACCACCAGCTCCTGCTGTCAAAGGGAGACTCCAGAGTTTAGGGCTCTTGGTCTGGAGCTCAGCATTTCAGAAGCTTCTCTCCTGTGGTGGTTCTCTCGCATCCTTTGTTCATTCGCTCTGTGTCCCCTTGCAGAATGAGATGCTTGAAGAAGGCCAAGAGTACGCCGTCATGCTGTACACCTGGAGGAGCTGTTCCCGGGCCATCCCGCAGGTGCCCTGCCCTCCCTATGGCCCTCACGCGTCACCACAAGCCCCGCCCATGCGGCAAAGCCCCGCCCCCCACGCGGCAAGCCCCGCCCGCCCACCACTACCCAGACTTCCCTACCAAGTCCCACCTATGCAGCAAGCCCCGCCCCCGCCATGCAGCACACCCCGCCCATATGTCACCACCCAGACTTCCCCGCCAAGCCTTGCCCACCAACCCCAGACCTCCCTAAGCCCTGCCCATCATCACAAAGTCCCGGCTACCCACCACCATCCAGGTGTCCTCTGCTAAGCCCCGCCCACCACCACAGTCCCCTGCTTGTATGTGCCAATCCCGGGGACCTCCCCATAATCACAGTCCTGCCCATAACCTGAACTCCGCTGTTCTCTGAGGGTGATTCTTATTTCCTCTGAGAAGCCTGTGAAGGCTTGTCTAACTGCCAGCTTGTACTGTCCTCTTGTCTGTCTTGGGGGACTTCCTTCCCCTGGCCTTGTGCTCACTGTCCACTGGCCTCAAACCCAGGAGGAACCCTTTGCTTTATCTTCAGAGTAGTCAGGAGGGACGACTCTATCAGCACAGCCCTGTCCACCCTTTCCCCAGCAGCCGTGCCCTGGTCCCTGTGAGACTGGTGCAGTGGCCGCCATCTGCCTGCCAGACATGCAGCCCAGTGCAAATAGGCAGCCACACCCTGTCACTGTACCCCTGTCCCTCCCATGCAGAGTGGGGGTCTGGTTGAATCCCCTTTGTCCTGCCTTGCTTCTCCCCAGGTGAAATGTAATGAGCAGCCCAACAGAGTGGAAATCTACGAGAAGACCGTGGAGGTCCTGGAGCCTGAGGTCACCAAACTGATGAATTTCATGTACTTCCAGGTAAAAGGGCGGTGGCTGTCCGCGGCTGACTGCTTTGGGCCCCGCCCTGGCCCAGTGCCTGTGGACTGAATTAGCCTGGGCCTGTGCAGACGGGGGAAGTAAAGCCCCACAGTGCAGCCGACTGTCCCTCCAGAGCAAAGGCTCTGGTTTCGCTTCTCTGAGGGTGATTCTTATTTCTTCCATGAAGCCTGTGAGGGCTTGTTTGGTTGCCAGCTGGTTTTGGCGACTTGTCTGACTTCAGGGGCTTCCTTCTCTCGGCCTTGTGCTCATCTGACCCATTGGCTGTCCTCTGGTGAGCCTTGGGACCCAGGAGAAAGCCTCTGCTTTATCTTCGAAGTAGTCAGGAGGGAAAACCTGCCCGAGTCCCCTGCCCACCCCCCTTGTTTGTTTTGGGGCCACACCTGACGATCTTGGGGCTTACTCCTGGCTCTGCATTCTGGAATCACTCCTGGTGCTGCTCAGGGGACCACAGGGGATGCTGGGAATTGAACCCGGGTCAGCTGGTGTGCAAGGCTGATGCCCTCCCGCTGTCCTATCACTCTGGTCCCGTCCCCTCTTTGTTTAATCTCTTAAAAGTTCCAGCCTCTGTTCCTGGAACAGCTTATGGGGCATTTTGCTCAGTGGCTTCTGGAGCAACCCACAGCGACGCACTCACTTTAGGGAAGCAGCTGTTGACTTACGGAAGCAACAGAGAGGCTTGTTTGGAAGTGAAAAATAAGCAGAGGGGCAGGTAGCCTGGGGTCCTGGCCTGAGCCCCTGCACTTCCTTGCACCCCAGACTGACAGCACCCTGCAGCCTCCAGAGAAGCTCCCTGTTGCCGTCCCTACAGGGGGGACAGTCTGAGTGCTGGGCCCTGCTGCTCCCTCTGCAGTTTCCAGAGCACAAGTCCTTAAGCAGCTTCTGCGTGTCTGTTCTTTCCTTTGGGGAGCCTCCCAGAGCAGTGCTCAGGTGTCAGGGCCACCCCGGGTGGCTGGGCCCCGTGGCAGTGCAGCCCAGAAGCTTTGCTGTCCTTCCAACCTGTGGAAGGTTCCCCAGCACAGGAACTTTTGCTCTCCGGCTGTGGTCGCAGGCCGGGGCCTCCAGCCAGACTATCTGTCGTGTGTCTCTGTGTCTTCCTTCCCTCCTGGCCTAGAGAACCGCCATCGAGCGCTTCTGTGGGGAGGTGCGGCGGCTGTGCCACGCGGAGCGCAGGAAGGACTTTGTGTCCGAAGCATATCTGATCACGCTGGGCAAGTTCATCAACATGTTCGCCGTGCTGGACGAGCTCAAGAACATGAAGTGCAGTGTGAAGAACGACCACTCGGCCTACAAGAGGTGAGTGGGCGCTGGCCGCGTCGCGTCCTGGGTGCCGGGGGCCCTGGGATGGGCAGGGGGGTTCTGTGGTGCCTCAGGGGTGGTGCCAGTGCAGGGGCTGGTGTCCTGGTCCCTTCCAGATGTCCCTGAGAGGGCCGGATGCATGCTCTGCACCCAGGAGCCCTGCTTCAGTCCCCAGCAATGCCAGGGTGAGCCCCGAATGAAGATCGAATTGGTGTCTACGGAGCTCTGTGAATGCGTGTGCTTGGGGACTGGCTCCAGAGGGCAGGGGGGAGCCACAAGCTGGTATTGGCAGGAATCACCCGGAGGTTTGTCCCAGGTGGACCTTTGATAAGTGGAACCAGGGGCCCACTTGGGACCTTTGGCACTGGGCCAAGTGTGGCAGGGAATGTGAGTGGGGCCTGCTGGGGACTGCCTTGGCCTGCCTGTGGCGTTCCTCAGACTTGGGGGGGACAGCAGCCCCTCTCTGGATGGGGGGGTGGTGCCCAGGTTGTGAGCCACTGGCCAACCCCCCACCCCACCCCCACTTCTGTGGCTCTGCTCTGCCCTACCTCCAGGGCGGCGCAGTTCTTGCGGAAGATGGCAGACCCGCAGTCCATCCAGGAGTCGCAGAACCTGTCCATGTTCCTGGCCAATCACAACAAGATCACGCAGGTGAGGCTGTGTGTGGCTGGGCGTGGTGGGGTGCAGGGGTGGGTGGGTGCAGGCCAGCCCAGCCCTCGGTGCCAGCATGTTCCTGCCATTCCCAGTCCCTGCAGCAGCAGCTCGAGGTGATCGCTGGCTATGAGGAGCTGCTGGCCGACATCGTCAACCTGTGCGTGGACTACTATGAGAACAGGATGTACCTGACGCCCAGCGAGAAGCACATGCTGCTCAAGGCACGTGGGTGCCCGCCCGCCCCCCAGGGCACTCTCCTGCCCCTGCCACAGGAGAGTGCTGGGTTATGTGGTGGGGGCTTCAGTTGGAGGAAGTGGGAGCCAGTTGCCGTTGGGAGGTCACAGCACCTCCATCGCAGCATGGGAGCAGGGAGGGGCTTTTGTCACTGCACTGGAGAGGGGGCCTTGGTCCCCAGGAGAGGCTGAGCTTAGTCCCCAAACCTTTACCCCACTCCTCTGTTCCTGCGGGCGGTTATGCCCGTATGTGCTATTGTGTGCCAGGTGTGTGCCAGCTTGCGTGTGCCTAAGTGCATGTGAGCGTGTGTGTATGCATGTTCAAGTACGCACTAGTATAGATGTGAGCATGTGTGCAGGTGTGTACCAGTAAAAGTGCAGATGTGTGAGTTCAAGCATGTGTGTAAGCATGCATTTCTACGCATGCGTGTATAAGCATGTGTGTACCTGCATGTGTAAAAGCGTGTGCGAGCATGTGTGTAAGCATGTACCTGTATGTGTGGAAGCGTGTGTGCACGTGCACAAGTGCGTGCTTGCATGTGTATGAGCATGCGTGCAGCCATGTGCCCATATATGTGCTTGTATGTGTGTGTGCAGGCATGTGCCACGTGTGTGAGCATGCCTGCCTGCGTGTGCACAGCAGTCTCCGTTCCACGCTGCCTACCTGCAGCTCTCCCTACATTCCTGGAGTGTCTGGGACCCGACCCCAATGCCCAGAGGCCTGGGGAGCAGCAGCAGGAGCCACCCTACATGGCAGGCGGTGTGACCCTGCTGAGTGCACAGCCTCCCTCGCGGACGTTGGGGCTCCCTTCCACCCCACGCCGCGGGAACAGTATGGGTGAAAGAAGAGTTCACCCGAGGGGTGGTTGTTTATTTTTGGCTATTTCAGAAGTGCTGCTTAGCTCGGTGGGCCCAGGGCTGTGTTAGTGGGCTCTGCAGGGTGAGCCTCAGGAGGAAGATGCGAGCACCCGCAGTGCCTTTGCAAGGAAGGGCCAGTGAGTGTCATTTCAGCCGCTGCGGCTGGGTCTGTCCCCGACGTCTGACTCTCCGTCCTTCCATGACGTTCCAGGTCATGGGGTTCGGCCTGTACCTGATGGATGGGAGTGTCAGCAACATCTATAAGCTGGATGCCAAGAAAAGGATCAACTTGTCGAAGATCGATAAGTACTTCAAGGTGAGCTCAGCCCCTCCCTGTCCTGGGGCTGCCTGAGTGGGGCAGCTGCTGGTCCTGTGCACAGTGCACAGCTGGGCTGGGGTCACATGTCCGGTCCTGGAGGATCAAACATTTTCCGGTTGCACGCAGATGCACAGTGTGCCCAAGACGGCATTGCCGTGGCACCATGTGTGGGAGCATGCCTGCCTGCGTGTGCACAGCAGTCTCCGTTCCACGCTGCCTGCCTGCAGCTCTCCCTACATTCCTGGAGTGTCTGGGACCCGACCCCAATGTTCACGATACCCAAGCCCCCGGCAGCATACTTGATGCTCGTGGTTGCTACCAGAAACAGACTCATATATGGAAGGGCTGTAAGCCATAGAGCCATTCCAGCCCAAATTAAAATAAAGGCCATTAGTATTTCTCTAGTTGTTTATTATTAGCACATAATATATATTCATTATAGTCTCTTCAATGTAGTATATACTCATTAGTTTCAGTTCACTAGCATGTAGAATTGCAGGGTTTTTAATGTCCCGGGATCCACATTAGCAAGGTAGGTTAATTGTTATATTTGGATCCTGCTTCTCCCATCGTATTTTGTTCAAGTGGATGTAGAAATTATTTATAGCTTTTTTTCACCAAGTGTTTTACAGATACCGCGTTCGGCACTCAGTAATTATTAGCATGAGTCATTCTTGTGATCGTGTGTTTGGGAATGGAACACGCATAATGACCCTTTCTTTTTCGTATTTTTTGAATATAGCAACTCCAGGTGGTTCCGCTGTTTGGGGACATGCAAATAGAACTGGCAAGATACATCAAGACCAGCGCGCACTACGAGGAGAACAAATCTCGGTAGGAGAGAGCGCCGCCATCTCAGCCTCTGCTCTGTGGCACGGCCTTTGACATGGTGTGCACTGAGACCCTGGGCTCTGTGGCTCTGGGTACTGAACTTCAGCCTTAAGTCTTTTGGCTTTTGCCGAGCTGGGGTTGAGTGCAGGCTGCACACACTTGCAGCCCCTGTTCCCCCCAAACCACTCCCGGCCTGTAGTGGAGTCTCTTGTTGAAAGAGGTGCATTTTAAACTTTAGTAGTTAATGGGAAGGCATTAGGAAGTGCAGTAAGAGAACTTTCCCACATCCTCCCAGGATGTTGGTTAGCATCGGTCTTGAGTGAACACGTAAATCCTCTGGGCCCGATGGATAGCTGGTAAAAGCTTTCCACTTGTGGACTGAAGCACTGTCAGAGTCCACCACAGGGCCAAGGAGGTGGCTGGGTGGCCGAGCGCTGGCCCTGCCTGCGGAAGCCGTGGGTTCCATCTCCAGCATGTTAGTGCCTCCTGAGCACAAAGCAGGGAGTAGTCGCTGAGTGCCTTTGGGTATGGCCCCCAAATCAGTCACACTAAATAAAAAAATGCATGTAAGAGGACTGTACGTAACGGGCTGAAGAGACACGACAGGGGTAAGGCACTGGCTTCGTTGCAGTTGACCCTGGTTTGACCCCTAGCACCACACAGCATCCCCTGAGCCCTGCCAGGAGTGATCCCTGGTCACACCACCAAGTGTGACCAGCCAGGAAGTAAGCCCTGAGCATTGCTGAGTATAGCCCCAAAATCAAAATAAATAAAACAAAAATCGTGAAACGAACTCAGGTAAGCCATGTGCAAGACAAGAGCACTACCCACTGTACCATCTTTCTGGCTCTTGTTTTTTTTGGGGGGGGTCACACCCAGTGACACACACAGGTTACTCCTGGCTCTTCACTCAGGAATTACTCCTGGCGGTGCTTAGGGGACCATATGGGATGCTGGGACTCAAACCCGGGTCATCACATGCAAGGCAAACGCCCTACCCGCTATGCTATCACTCCAGCCCTGTTTTGTTTTAATGGTACCATGAAACAAACCCAGGGCCTTGAGCTCTGCTGCCGAGCCAAGTCCCAGCATAGTGCCTCCTTGATAAGCTTTCCCCACCCCTGCCTGCCAGCCCACTGGTAGTGCCAAGGGCTGCAGTCCAGACGCCCGCAGGAGTCCGTCATCTGTTCTGCCTCCAGGTGGACATGCACGTCATCAGGCAGTAGCCCCCAGTACAACATCTGTGAGCAGATGCTCCAGATCCGGGAGGACCACATGCGCTTCATCTCGGAGCTGGCGCGCTACAGCAACAGCGAGGTGAGCGGCCCAGGGTGTCACTTGGGGAAACGGAGTTTCCTTCCCAGCCGTGTGCGGGAAAGTGCCTCCATGCTAAAACACTTAGTCTAGTGCACCAGGCCCCGGGTTGTATCCCGGTAGCAGGCGCATCTTCTGCTATCAGAGAAGCACAGCAGAACACCTAAAACCAGAAAGGGGGTGGGTGGAGGTGGGGCCCCATCAGTTAAGGGGCGTATCCTGCGCTCAGGGAAGGGGCACTGAGGGGCGGGTGCTGGGTGGGGGGAGCTCTCCTCACAGCCTCTCTTATGGGGAGGGTGCCCCGGGGCCAGGCTGGGGGAACACTAGGGGGCCTGTCGCTCCCAGAGCAGGGCCAGGAGTAGGGTGCAGGGGAAGTGCTGGGTGCTCACTTGGGGCTTTTTATTCTGTTTCAAAGTCAGTTAGACTGGGGAACTTCGACATCACTCCCCAAGGTGCTCAGGGTCCGTATGGCACGGGCGTTGACCCTGGGCCTGCTCCGTGCTCCAGACCTCTGAGCTCTCTTGGACCCTGAGTTACTTCTGTAAGGGGACGCTTCTGGCAGCCCGGTGGTATTCCCGCCACAGTCCCTGCCGGCGGTGCTGGAGCTTTGTGCATGTCAAGTTCTTGACGCTGCCTTCCTGGCCCTAAAAATCGTTTCTGTTTTGGGATCACTCTCCGCAGTGCTCAGGGCTCACTCCTGGCTCTGTGCTCAGGGATCACTCCTGGCATTCTTGGAGGACACATATCTGATGCTCGGGATCAACCTGGTCAGCCGGATGCATGGCAAAGTCTCCACCTCCCGTCTTTTCTCTCTGCCACTACCCTTCCACCCTCCCCCCGCCACCAATTCACTTTTTTTGGTTTTGTTTTGTTTCTTGGACCACATCTGGAGGTGCTTAGGACTTGCTCCTGCTTGGTACTCAGGGGGACCAGTGTGGTTCTGGGGTGCAAGTTTGCCGTGTGCAAGACCAGGCTATATCCGCTGTACTATTGCTCCAGCCCTAAACATTTTTGACTTGAATCCCTGGGTTCTGGCCCCCAAGCCTTGAGAAATTCTCCCCGCCTCGGGCCAGCCTGTGCCTCCTTCTTACACTCAGTTGTTGGTTTTGAGGCGAGCAAACAGACAGTGGCATGTGGCCCCGAGCTCACTGGGGCGGGGCAGCCTGTGTCCCTTTAGTGCAGTGTTCCAGGTCTCACTGGCCACTTCTTGGAGGCGGTGGGTGTCGGCCAGTGCAGAGGTGCTTTGGTGGCCCCGTTCTACTCCCCTGTCCCTCTGCATCAGGTTGTCACGGGCTCAGGCCGCCAGGAGGCCCAAAAGACCGACACTGAGTACCGGAAGCTGTTCGACCTGGCGCTGCAGGGCCTGCAGCTGCTGTCACAATGGAGTGCCCACGTCATGGAAGTGGTGAGCGCTGCGCGGCCTGGGGGCCAAGAAGGTGGTTCAAGGGTAGAGCCCGGGTGCCATGCCTGCGTGTGGCCTCAGGTCTGATCCTCTGCACTGCTGGAGTCCTGTGGCCAGAACAGTGCAGTGTCTGCAGACAGAACAGACTCTGTGTGGATGCGCGTGTGTGTACATGTATAGCCATGCATGTGTGTGTGTGTGTGTGTGTTGTGCAGATGCCCGGAAGGCTGATCTTTGGGCAGTGGAGGTGATAGGCCCAAAGGGGTTGGATTGGTTCTGGGGCCGCACCCAGCAGTGTCTGGATCTACGCCGCCTCTGCACCCAGGGGCCAGCTGGGCCTCCAGTCCTCTGTCCTTCCCCTGACCCCAGACGGATTTTATTTACTTGCGCATCAATGGTCACTCCCAGAGGTGGCGGGAAGCGCGTGGCCGGGGATGGAGCCGGGCCTCCTGCATGCGGAGTCCGGCGCCCTGGGTCCCCAGACGCTCGCCCAGACGCGCTTAGCTCCTCTCCCCTCGTTGCCCCAGTACTCCTGGAAGCTCGTGCACCCGACCGACAAGTACTCCAACAAAGACTGCCCCGACAACGCTGAGGAGTACGAGAGAGCCACCCGCTACAACTACACCAGCGAGGAGAAGTTCGCCCTGGTGGAGGTGGGGCGCCTGCTCTGCCCAGCCTTGCACCTTTGGCACTGCTCACTGTGGGACCGAGTGGCTTCCTGCTGTCCCTCCACGGTTCCCGGGAGGGATGGGCTTGCTGGCAGAGTCTGGGGGGCAGGGAGTGGACACGGGGGCAGAACCTGTGGCCGAGGAATAAGTGAACAACCTGGTCCACCTCTGTGATCATTCAGACCGTGTCCCAGCTCTGTGGTGACATGGGGGCCGTGTCCGTGCTCTGTGGTCACTTGGGGGGGTGTCCCAGCTCTGTGGTCACTCGGGGCTCCTGGGTGGGTGTGGGTGTCCGGGCTCTGCTGTCCCAGAGCCTCTGACGTGCCAGCGCCCTCCGTTCGTAGCTGCCCTTTCTGCATCATCTCAGCCTCTGCCTATTCTCTCGTCGGTCCTGATTCTGGGTGCCTTTCACACATCCATGCCCGACACTCCGATGCTGCTTCTCACGCGGGCCCCCCACCCCTCCAGCTCATTGCCCCTTGGTGCACCCTGTTTGCTGCTCTGAGCTGTTGGTCACTATCCCCACTCCCTTCTGTCCTGACCACTATTAGCTCTGATCTGAACTGCTCCAAAGGAGCCAGTCCCTCCTCCTCCCCTCTCTCTCCCTCTCTTCTCCCCCTCTTTCCCTCTCCTCCCCTCTCTCCCTCTCTCCCTTTCTCCCTCTCCCTCTCTCTCCCCCCCTCTCTCCCTCCTTTCTCTTTTTTTCTTACCCCCTCTATCTCTTCCTCTTTCTCGTTCTCTCCATCTCCCTCCCCGCCCCCCTTGCCGTATGGCATTGTGTGACTTCTAGTACTCAGCTGTGCCCCGCATCGTGTGATACACTGGATGGCTCCATCCATCCCTCAAACTCCCTCCCTGGTTTCCAGAATGGAGGGTGTGTTGGTTTGCTTTGCTTCTCTTACACCTGCGTGAACGTTAGGTAGTGTTGAATCATCTTGGGACTCGTTCAGGCCCTTCCCCCAGGCCTGTGGATATGGGGTGTCTGGTCTCGGGGCTCCTGCTGGCTGGGGTGGAACCCGCTCCCTGGTGGCAGGTGCCCCTGGACCTGACGGGGGCAGCTGCGGGTGGCCCTGGGGATGTGAGCAGCAGTTTCTGCACACAGGGCTGCCCGAGCCACTCAGAGTCCCGTGTGCCCACAGGTCATCGCCATGATCAAAGGGTTGCAGGTACTGATGGGCAGGATGGAGAGCGTGTTCAACCACGCCATCCGGCACACCGTCTACGCCGCACTGCAGGATTTCGCGCAAGTGACACTGCGGGAGCCGCTGCGGCAGGCCATCAAGAAGAAGAAGAATGTCATCCAGAGGTCAGCCTGCCGGCCACCTAGCCCCTTGTGTGGCCTGGAACATGATTACGGCGTGTGTCGTGTTGTACCTGCCGTGTTTGACCCCATGTGTCTGGACTGCTGGGCATGTGGACATCTGGGCATGTGGACAGCTGGGACGTGTGCCTGGACAGCTGGGGCATGTGTCTAGACAGCTGGGCATGTGGACAGCTAGGACTTGTGGACAACTGGGGAATGTGCCTGGACAGGTGGGGCGTGTGCACAGGTGGATGTGGGCCTGGACAGCTGGGTGTGTGGACAGCTGGGCATGTGGAAAGCTGGAGTGTGTGCACAGATGGGCGTGGGCCTGGACAGCTGGGGTGTGTGGACAGCTGGCGTGTATCCCTGCCAGTTTGTACCCTGTGGGGCCCGGTAGCCTCTGCCCCTGCAGGGACCCAGGTAGCGTTGAGAGGGAAGCCCTAGGGGAGACTGGGTGTTACTGGGTGCCCCTCCCGTAGAAGGGCTCGGCTGGCTAGAACCTTCTGGGTATTGTCGCCGTGAAGCTGCTCCTGACTCGGTGTCTGGGGCTCTCTCTGGGACACTGATTGGGGGCTGTCGCTGTCCAGCTCTTGGCACCCACTGAGGCCCTCAGGCCCCTGAGGCTGCCCCCTGTCCTGAAACCTGTTCTGGGCCTTTCCCCCTATTGGGGTGCGTGTCTAGAGCTGCACAGAGGCCCCATGGTGCCGGGGACCTGCCTGGGCTCACTCTCAGCCCTGGACCTGCTTGTTCTCCTCTGAGTCCCCGAGAGCTGTGTGTGTATCTTTGTGTGTGTCTCTGTGTGTGTTTGTGTCTGTGTATCTGTATGTCTGTGTGTGTCGGTGTGTATGTTTGCGTCTATGTATCTATGTTTGTATGTGTGTCTGTATGTGTGTCTGTCTGTATGTATGTGTGTGTGTGTGTCTGAGTGCGTGTGTCTGATGTCTGTGTATCTGTGTCTGAGTGTGTGTATATGTCTGTGTTTATGTGTGGGTGTGGGTGTGTGTTTGCTTGTGTCTGTATGTTTGTGTGTTTGAGTGTGTGTCTGGGTGTGTGTGTTTGTGTCTATGTGTCTGTGTGTGTCTGAGTGTCTGTGTCTGAGTGTTTGTGTGTCTATATGAAGTCTGTGTGTGTGTCTGTGTGTGTCTGTGTGTGTGTCTGTGTGTATTTGTGTGTTTCTGTGTGTCTGTGTGTCTGTGTGTGGTGGCAGGCCAGAAGATGCCAATTCCCGTGTGTCTCAGGCCATTCGTCCTGTCCTTGCATGTCCCCGCCATGGTGTAGGGCCTCCCTTACTGCCGGATGTCCCTCAGTGTCCTGCAGGCCATCAGGAAGACAGTGTGTGACTGGGAGACGGGGCACGAGCCCTTTAACGACCCTGCCCTGCGTGGCGAGAAGGACCCCAAGAGCGGCTTCGACATCAAAGTGCCCCGACGCGCCGTGGGCCCCTCCAGCACGCAGGTTCCCGCCCCGCCCTTCCCTTCCTGCACTCTGGGCTGACCTGGGGGTGGCCGCTCCCTGGCCTGTGGCCATTTGCAGACTGTCATGTGCCCCCCCCCCCCCCTTATGTGCGGACAACCGCAGCGTCTGTCACGACTCCCTGTTGCCCGTGATCTCGGGGCCTGGTGCTCATGGCTTTGGGCGACAAGCGGGCCGGCCCCCAGGGGCCTCCAGAGACTTGCGAGTGTCCTGGCGCGTGTCCGCGTGTCGCCTTCTCCCCCGTGCATGCCAGCCCTCCCCGCTCCCGCTTTGCTCTTCTCTCTGGGCTTCCTGGGTGCTCACGCCTCTCCGGTCCACGCCTGTGCAGACCCTCCCGAGCAGCTTCCCGTGTGACTAACTGCTCTCTCCCGTCTGTCCGTGTCTAGCTGTACCTGGTGCGCACCATGGCCGAGTCTCTGAGCTCTGCCGAGCTGCTCAGGCAGCTCAGGTCTCTGGGCTTGGAAAGGCTCTTGCATGTGGTAAACGCGTTTCTGAGGCAGTCCTACACCTATCCACCTCTGTTAGCCTTCGGTGGTAAGATGTCCTTCCTTCTTCGGGTGACATTTGCGGCCCAGAGGCGGACGGCCCCGCCAGACCCGAGCCTGGCGCCCAGCCCCGCGGGCCGGCCCCGGCAGGCAGGGCGAGGTGGCGCCGGAGGCCTCTGCCGCCGTGGGAGTGCGCGTCGCTAATGGCCTGTGTGTATTCTCTCCTCCGCCGATGTTTCCCCGGATAACGCAGCTTTACATGGTGAGAACCATGCTAGAGTCCCTCATTGCAGACAAAAGTGGTTCCAAGAAAACCCTGAGAAGTAGCCTTGAGGGGCCCACCATATTGGACATAGAAAAATTCCACCGCGAGTCCTTCTTCTACACGCACTTGATCAATTTCAGCGGTAAGGGCTCTGCTGGCCGCGCCGGGCATGTTCTAACACCGCTAACACCGCCCACGACGCTTCCGCCTGCCTGACCGTCCCGCTCCGGTCCCAGCACGCCCGGACGGTGGCCGTGCCGTAACCCCGTGACATCCCCTCATCTGCCGCTTTCCCTGCGGGGCCAGCCGAGGGTGAGGCTGGGCTGGCCCTGAGACATGAATACAAAGTCTGGACTCCACGGCTTGGAAAAGCAGGACAGTTAGGGCCCGGCCCCCAGGGGCCGCAGCGGGCGGAAGGTGGAAGGGCCTCGGGGAGCCGGGCCTGAGCTTCTGTTTGCCACCAGCTGGACTTGGACTGAGTATTCATGTGACACCGTGTCTCCCCCTAGTCGCGGAAGTGGTTCTGCCGGGACTCGCTTTTGCTCCCAGGCCTGTCTGGAGATGCGGGGGGATGTGGTTTTGTGGGCAGGGGAGGGGGCGGGTCAGCACAACGTGGTGATGGTGGATCCTGTCCCCGGGGGCCGCCCTGGTGGACCTTCCCGCCCGGCCCTGCGGAGGCTGACACATGCTCCTTGGCTCCCCACAGAGACGCTCCAGCAGTGCTGCGACCTCTCGCAGCTGTGGTTCCGCGAGTTCTTCCTGGAGCTGACGATGGGCAGAAGAATCCAGTTCCCCATTGAGATGTCCATGCCCTGGATCCTCACGGACCACATCCTGGAGACCAAGGAGGCGTCCATGATGGAGTGAGCCCTTCCCCGCCAGGCAGGGGTGGCGGAGGGCAGACCCGATTCTTTTTTTTTTGAGGGGTGCTCACCCTGGACACTGCTCAGGGCTGGTTCTGCAACATCCTTGGCAGTTGGGGGGACTCAGGGGAACTGAGGCTCAAATGTGGGCCTCAAGTCAACTTGGCACTGCCTTGAATGCAGCCAACCTAGGCTCGATCCCGCTACCCCACAGGGTCCCCAGAGCACTGTCAGGAGTGTATCCTGAGCACCACTGGGTATAGCCCTATCACAAAGACAAAATAAAATCCTGAGCAATAGTTCAGGGATTATAAGGTGTTTTCCTTGCATGCAGTCAACCTAGGTTTGATCCCCTGCATTCCATAGCCCCGCCAGTAGTGATCCCTGAGCACAGAGCCAGGAGTAAGTCCTGAGCACCATCTGGTGTGGCCCAAAGTCAGAGGGGGGATGAGGGAGGGAGGAAGAGGAGGGATAGGGTGGGGGAAGTGAGAGAAAGAGATGAAGGAGGGAGAGAGGGAGGGGGGAGAGGATGGAGAGAGACGGGGAGGGAGAGAGATGGAGAAAGAGAGGGAGAGGGAGAGAGGAGGAGAGAGGAAGAAAGGAGGAGAGAGGGAGAGAGAGGGAGATGGAGACAGAAAAAGGGAGAGGGAGGAGGAGCAGGCCCTGGGCCTGGCCCCAGGTGGGAGCAGGGAGTTGGTGCCAGGCGAAGGCTTCCCTGCTGTGGTGTGACACGGGGACACTTGCTGCCCTCAGGTATGTCCTATACTCCCTGGACCTGTACAATGACAGCGCCCACTACGCGCTCACCAGGTTCAACAAACAGTTCCTGTACGACGAGATTGAGGCCGAGGTGAGGCCCCGCACGCCCCTTTGTCCCCTCGAATGCACCCAGTGCCAGAAGCCTCAGCGGTGAGAAGGACTTTGGGGGCAGTGCTGCGGGTGTTCTGACCTTCTGTACACCCCCCACCTGTGCTGACCGTGTCTCCCACGGACACCAGGGCGAGCGCGTCAGGCATGGGGTCCTCCTTGTATTCCGTCAGTCCCTGCACTTAGCATCTGCCTCCCCTCTGCAAAGACTCGGAACAAACCCAGTTTCTGTTTCTGTATCTGATGCTCGTCATTTCTGCGTATGCAGATGGTGTTTGCACGAACTGGACGCTCACTTGTATTCTGTGCACATAGTGCGTCTACACGCTTTCCTCACGGGTGGCTCTGGGTTGATATAAGACTGTTTTGTTTTTCTTTTGCTGTTGTTTTGTTTTTGGGCCACCCCAGCGGTGCTCAGGGCTTACTCCAGGCTCTGCGCTCAGGAGTGACTCCTGGCAGGGCTCAGGGCACCATATGATGGGATGCCGGGGGTCGAACCTGGGTCGGCTCTGTGCAAAGCAAGTGCCTTCCCTTGTACTCTCTGTCCGGCCTTTTTTTTTGGCGGGCACATGGTTTGACCTCCACGTACGGCCTCAGAGAGGGAGTGTTCCCTGGCACGAGGTGGGGGAGTGTGGACATCAGGAAATGGTTTCGGGCTTTATGGTCTCCATCACCTCGCAGAGACAGCACCGAGAGAGCTGGGGGTGGCCCCCGGCACATCACTCTGGGTCTGACCTTAATGCAGACCCGCAGAGCCCACCAGTAGGAGCTTCCGCTCCAGGGGCTGCAGAGCAGAGCCTCATGGGGCGGCAAGGGTTTGGGGTGAAGTCACAGGCTTTGCCCATGCTGCACTTCTCTCAGGAGCAGCCCCCGGAGATGGTGTGGAGGAGGGTCCTGTGTGTCTGTGCAGTGGCACTGTCGGGCTTTGAGGCCTTACATGTCATTCCTAATGCGGCAGTCACAGCCGGCAGTGCCGGGCCCCGGGGGGGTCTCGCTTGCAGTCAGCAGTGCCTCCCGGCCCCTGTGCCCGAGTCATGCCCTGGCCAGCGGGAGGGGCTGGTGCTTATCTTTTGGAATCTGCCTCTGTCAGCCGACGCCGTGGCACGTTCTTCTCTGATGGGAGGCCGTGGGCCCGTGGCCCCCAGTCTGACGCCGGCTCCTCTTCCCTCCAGGTGAATCTGTGCTTCGACCAGTTTGTCTACAAGCTGGCAGACCAGATCTTCGCCTATTACAAGGTCATGGCTGGAAGGTGGGTGTGTGGTTGGTGCCAGGCTGCGGGAGCGGGGTCTGCTGCTGTGCGCTTCCGGCACCTGACGCGGCCTCCGTTCCCATCCTGTTAGTTTGCTGCTCGATAAGCGGCTGCGGTCTGAGTGCAAAAACCAGGGTGCCACCATCCACCTCCCACCGTCCAACCGCTATGAGACGCTCCTCAAGCAGAGGCACGTGCAGGTGAGTGCGGGCACGGGGACCTGCAGCACCTCTGGGACCCAGGCACCATCTGCCGAGCCAGCACCAAGCCTGAAGGGGCTCCTTCCCCACTTCCCCGTGGCCCGGGAGCCAGAGGCTGCATCTTTTTTTTTTTTTTTTGGCTTTTTGCATCACACTGACGATGCACAGGGGTTACTCCTGGCTTTGCAGTCAGGAATCACGCCTGGTGGTGCTTGAGGGACCAGATGGGATGCTGGGAATCAAACCTGGGTCGGCTGTGTGCAAGGCAAACGCCCTACCGCTGTGCTGTCGCTCCAGCCCAAGACTGCATCCTAAAAAGAGTGATGGGGCCGAGAAATAGTTCAGGGATTGAGGCCATTGATTCGCATTCGCATGACAATTTGGTTTGACTCTCGGCGCCCAGAGGTTCACCAAGCACTGCCAGAAGTAGCCCTGTAGCACCCTGGAACCCAACCCTCTCCCTGCCAGAAAAGGAATGCACATGACAAATCCTTCTCTGCCTCAAGTGTTGCAATCCAGTGTTCTCTTGGCCAGGCATCGAATGAGAGGTCCACAGCTTGGGGGCTAGGGGAGACAGCACAGAGCTCAGGGGTGTGGCGTAATCTTTATGTGGGACCCCATTTGGACCCCTTGCCCCCCTCACTCTCTGAGCACTGCGGGATGCCCGTGAGCACCTGTGGGAGAAGCCCCCTTCCGTGCACCTCCTTCCATAACGCAGACAAACAGGCATTTCTCTAAAGAAAATCACAACGTATTAGGGGAATTTAGAGCATAGGGAAATTCCATATAGCGGTGCCCTCCCCTCAGTCTGCAGACAACCACCGTTGTTTTCAGGGTTTAGTTCCTGTTTTTAGGTTTTTGAAACGATAACAAGATACAGGTAAGTTGCTTGGACGCTGAAATTGAGATGGAGCAGCTTCCTCTTCCTCCTTATTCTAACCCTGAAGGGTTGGCAGCCCGGGCTCCTGCATGTGCTGGCGCATAGCCTGGAACCCCAGGAAGTGTGTGGGAGTGAGGGCCCACCTGCCCTGATGTGACTATGAATTCAGCACAGCGGACGCTACCGCAGAGCCCTCGATGGCTTTGCCTGGTGGAATACATAGACACACAGACACACACACGCACATGTACAAATACATGCATACATACGTGTACATTCACATCCCCATCCATCTCTTCTGCAGGCTTTACTTTCCTACTGTGTCCTTCTGTAGACACAGGTTGTGTCTACGTTCAGGGCCTGCGTTCTGGGAGGGAGGCGTGGCTGGCCGGGCGGGTGGGCCGCTCGCTGGTCGGCGGATGGCGTGGAGATGTGGCTCCTCGTTCACCCCAGTGCTTCTCCCGCTCCTTTCCAGCTCCTGGGCAGGTCCATAGACCTCAATCGTCTCATCACCCAGCGTGTCTCAGCCGCCATGTACAAGTCTCTGGAGCTGGCGATCGGACGATTTGAGAGTGAGGACCTCACCTCAGTGGTGGTGAGTGCCCCTCCCTCCCTCAGGCCCTGATGAATGGAAGATACTGTCACAAGAAGGACTGGAGCTCATCTGATTTTTGCCCGTAGCGGTCAAACATAGGCACCAGTGATATGGCCGGAGCGATAGCACAGTGGATAGGGCATTTGGTCTTGCACAGGGTCATGGTTTAATCCCCGGCATCCTGTATGGTCCCTCATATACCGCCAAGACTAATTCCGGAGTGTGGAGTCAGGGGTAACCCCTGAGCATCGCTGGGTGTGCTTCAAAGCATTACAAAACAAAACAGGAAGTGGAGAGGACAGGTGAGGTTGATACTAGTGAAGCTCATTGAACCCAGAGTAGCCACACGATCTGTTCGCCTTTATGGTCACTGTGAGGGCCAGGAGAGAGCATAGAGCTTGGGATGCCTCTGCCTCCTGCTTGACTTCCTGGATGGAAGCTGCATCCCTAGAGGCCCCTGAGCAGTGCCAGGGTGGTCCAGGTGGGCCCCAGCAGCGATCTTCTGGTGTTGTAGGCAGACTCTTGACTGGTGTGGCCCCGGGGCTCCCTGAGAACTCCTGGGGAGATTCCCCCCAACCTCTCCCCCGAAACAAAACGGGATCACTGACAGAGACATCTTTGTTCTGTGCTCGATAGCCTTTGAGGTCTGGCCAAGCACACAGCACACCTCACTCTCCACCTCCCATGTCTCCAGTCCTTGTGGCCACATGTGGCTGTCACAGCCCTGGGCTAGTTTTCAGAGCAGTTGCTTGTGAAGGCTTGGATGCCAGCTCTTTGCCACCCCCGGGGACGCTCAGGTGCCAGCCAGAGCAGGACGGACCCCCGATGTGGCACCCAGGACTGGCAACAGTGGCGTGGCAGGCCGGACAGATGCGAGGGCAGTGGAGAGAAATGGCCCATGGGGATACCTCGGGAGGAGGCCATCGGGCAGGGCAGGGCAGGGTGCATTTAGGTGTGGGAACCAGGTGTGTGGTACACTAGCCACCAGGCACTGCAGTCACTGCTCGGTGCAGCCCTTCCTGGTCCATGGCCTGCTCTGCCCCACGCGTTCCCCACCCAGTGTGCCTGGCCTGTGTTGTTGTCAACCCCATGTCTCTGGGGTCACACGTACAGGAGCTGGACGGCCTCTTGGAAATCAACCGCATGACTCACAAGCTGCTCAGCCGCTATCTGACGCTGGACAGTTTCGACGCCATGTTCCGCGAGGCCAACCACAACGTGTCGGCGCCCTATGGGAGGATCACGCTCCATGTCTTCTGGGAGCTCAACTACGACTTTCTGCCTAACTACTGCTACAACGGCTCCACCAACCGGTCAGTGCGGCACTTCCGGGCCGGGCCTGCAGCAGGCACTTCCTGGCCCTCCTCTAGCCCAGCGCCCTCTTTTCCTGGGCAGCCCTGGGTGGGAATCTGGGCTTCCTGTGCGGGGCTTCGTGTGTGGCTCGGCACAGTTCTGAGCTCCAGCTATTGGTCAGCACCAGCTCACGGTTCCACATCGGGCCCTGTTGGAATGTGGGGGTGACTCTGCTTTTCCTGGTTCCATCCTGGGGCTTTGGGGTGACTAGGCACCTAGGCTACTAAACAACCCAGAAGGCCTGGTGGGCTGCGTCCAGGGGGACCCTGTGGCTCCACCTCTCTCCTGGGAAGGCCCTGCCTTGGCCTCTGCATACCAGCCGCTGCCATCTGTCCTCACTGCACCAAGTTTAGTCCCCGCTTGGTCAGCCTGTGCCAGGGGATGTGTGAGCACTCATACCCATGTGAGGGTGTGCGCATGGGGGAGAAAAGAGTGGGGGTGTGTGAGTGGCGGCACACCCTACTCAGGTGTGTGCATGGGAGGGGATGTGTGTGCTGGGGGGCAGTAGGACGGTACCCAGTTTCCTTGCCTCTGAAGAGACGGTATCCGGTCACCTCTGAAGGGAGGCTGTGGCCGTGGGATTCTCAGGCGGGGAAGAAACCTCTAATTGGATTCCCTGACTGTAGCATGTAGGTGATTCTTACCCAGATCAGTTCTTGCTGCGGTGAGCACCGTGCAGTGATCAAAGTACCCAGGGGCCACCCATGGTGGTACTGGCTAACCTGACTGGAATGTTTCATGCTCCAGTGTGGAACACGGTCACCAGACTGCAGCCAGCCATGTTAGGGGGTATGACTATTTTTGCTGGGAATTGAACCCCGCACCACCACACTGTGTGCCCTTGATCCCTGCCTTAGCCCAGTCACACAGTCTAGCTTCCTTTCTCTCACACACCTGGCTTGGCACTCGGAGATTACACTCCGTTGCAGTGCCAGTCTTGATATCTGTGACTGCTTGGGGAGGTATCAGGGATGGAGCTCAGTGCTTCACATATGCCCTCGGGTGCTCTTAACCACTCAGCCCCCTCAACTCAACCCATCTCAGGTAGTTTTCTTGCTTCATTCGCTCTACATGCTGTGGTACGTCCTGCTGTACATTCTTTAGTAAGATGCAGGGATTCTAACTCAGGATAGTGTCTGTGGCACACAGCGAACCAACGGGGGAGCACCTTCTGCTGATGTGTGATTCTTCTCTGCCTGGCCCTGTCTTTCAGTACTGTCTGTGCTGTGCAACCCAAAATATTCCAGGCAGGTCTTGTGTTTCTCTTCCCTGGTCTTGTAACCTTATTCATGTAAGGATAATATCTAAAACTGTCGGGGGCTGGAGCAATACCACAGCGGGTAGGGCGTTTGCCTTGCACGCAGCCGACCCGGGTTTGATTCCCAGCATCCCATATGGTCCCCTGAGCACCACGAGGAGTAATTCCTGAGTGCAGAGCCAGGAGTAACCCCTGTGCATCGCCAGGTGTGACCCAAAAAGAAAAAAAAATCTAAAACTGTCTGGGTGTCACTTATGTTGTTACTACCAAGTGTTACTGTTCATAGATAATTTGATAGCAAGGGAGTGAAAGTGCAATGAACTATATGGAAATCCCATGTACTATGGAAATCTGGGGTACTGTTAGGAAATCTGTGAGTCATAAGGAAATCTAGTATGCTGTGAAGAAATCCTGTGAGATGTGAGAAAATCCTGTGTTCTGTGAGAAAATCCTTTTGGTTGTGGTGAAATCGTATGAGTCCTGAAAAAATGCTGTGATCTGTGAGAAATCCTCTGAGTAGTAAGGAACTCTTGTGTGCTATGAGAAATTCCTATGAGCTGTGTGAAAATCCTCTGAGTGATGAGGAAATCCAATGAGTTGTGAGGAAATCCTATGTGCTATAAGGAAATCCTGTGAGCAGTGAAGGAATCCTGAGTGGTGTGAGAAAAAACTGAGCTCTAAGGATATCCTATGGGTTGTGATTAAATTCTCTGGGCTGTGAGGAAATCCTGTGAGAAGTGCAATAATCCTGTGAGCACTGAGGAAATCCTGCGAATGTGAGGAAATTCTGTGAGCCAGTTAGGAAATCTTGAGTACTGTGAGAAAATCCTGTGTGCTATGAGGAAATCCTGTGAGTAATCCTATGTATTGTAAGGAAATCTTGTGAATGTGAGCAAATCCTGTGAGAGGGAGTTGATTTGGTGAACTGTGAGAAAATCATGTGAACTATGTTGTAACCCTGTGAGTTTAGAGGAAATCCTGTGAATCATGAAGAAATCCTTTGTACTATGAGAAAATTCTGTGAGGAAATCCTGTGAGCTCTGAGGAAATCCTGTAAAATGTGAAAAAATCCTTTAAGCCATGAGAAAATTCTGTGTGCTTGGAGAAAATCTTGTGAGCTGTGAGAATAGAGTGTGAGCCATGAGGAAATCCTATAAGTGGTGGAGTAATCCAGTGAGTAATGAGAAATCCTGTAAATGGTGAGATCATCCTATGAGTGGTGAGGTAATCCAGTGAGCCCTGAAGAAATCCTTTGAGTAGTAAGGGAATCTGATGTTTGGTGAAGAAATCCTGTGTGCTGTGAGGAAATCCTTAAGTGATAATCCATGAGCTGTGATGAAATCCTGTGATTGGTGAGGAAATCTTGTGTGTGGTGTAGAAATCTAGTGAATGGTGAGGAAATCCAGTGAGCAGTGAGAAAATTCGGTGTGCGGTGAGGAAATCATGTAAGTGTGAGGAAATCCTGTGTACAGTGAGGAAATCCTGTAATAAGTGAGATATTATTGTGATCTCTGAGGGATTCCTGTGAGTGATGAGTTAATCCTGTAATCGGTATATGGTGAGGAAATCCTGTAAGTGGTGAGGAATACTTATGCTTTGAGCGGGAGGAAATCCAGTGAGCTGTGAGGAAATCCTTGTGTGTGAGGAAATCCTGTGATCCGTAAGAAAATAGTGTGTGCTATGAGGAATTCCTGCAAGCAGTGAGATAATACTGTGAGCTATGAGGAAATCGTGTGATATTAACAGATTCTACATAATCGATTTTTTTTTTCTCATTCTGGAATCCTGTGTCCAAAGCAGGCTATTAGTAGAAGCTCTCTCCCTTAAGACTATTGGATTCTTCTTTGTCTCTTCTCAACTGGTTGAGGCCTCAGTCCTAGAAGGTTTCTGACTTGTGGCTGCTTCCATGGGTTCTTTGCCTTCTTAAATACTTGGCCTGTGTCTCCTATCTGAGGATAAGTGAGAAGTGGGGGAAACCCTACTTGTGGGGATACCAGTGATTTGGATTAACCTGCCCTATCTGGTATGACTTCATATATATATATATATATATATATATACATATATACACATTATTTAAACACCGTGGTTTACAAAGTTGTTCATAATACAGTTGTTTTAGGCATTCAGTATTCCAACACCAAACCCACCACCAGAGTGACCATTGTCCCCACCCTCCAATCATCCCAAAGCCTCCCTTCCTCCAGCAGGGATAAAGCAATTAAATTAAATGGCCAATGGAACCATCAAAAAAATACTTCAGTAAAAGAAAATTTCTGAAAATCGTTATATATCACTATGAAGTCTTTAGGTCCTTGACTGAGAATTTACTAAACTGTTGCTAGTTGAGCCTTCTGTGTTACTGTTTTTGTTTGTTGTGTTTAGTTGACTTCTATGTGACTTTTCCATCTGTTGTGTTCCTACTGTGATGAAATATGACTTCACCTTTATATAATGTCAGTTGTTCCCCTACTTCCAAATAGTGTCGGACATTGGGCTCCTGGTTATTTCCCTATTACTATAGCAGTCAGTTTGCTAAAACTAAAACTGTAAATTTACATTTATGTTTGAAGTTCTGGTCCACAACCACAATATTTACATCCATTTTCGTAGTTTCCTTCAACACTTAGAATCCCAGTTTCACAACATGTAATTGCTCAGTTCTAGAAATGCTAGAAAATACAGAAAGTAGTTTCAGAATTACTAATTTTTACCACTGTGAAACAGAATTGAGTTTCCACTTTTCATGTCTTTATAAGTGTGTGTGTGTGTGTGTGTGTGTGTGTGTGTGTGTGGTCAAAATATACTTGATTCTAAGTTATTTGAAAAGCCATGGGTTTCGCCCTCTCCTCTCTGGAAAGAAAGAGGGCGGCCACATGGGAGCCTTGTGGACAGCAGGTATGAGCCGGGAGTGTGGGGGCGACTAAAACCTCATGGGAAGGGGGCGTTTCGGTCCGCCCTTCACGCCCTACCGAGGCCACCAGTTGCCCCCACGAGCGGCTCTCCAGCACGGCCACGACTCCAGAGCACAGAAACCAATTTCTTAACTATCTGACTTTCAGTAGAAACACTTCCAGGGTCAATAGGTAAAATAGCAGAAATCCAAAACCAACATTTAATTCTTGAACCCAGCTGTAGAAAGCAAATCACTTCACAATGCTTTGTCAGCATGTCTGATTCGGGGGGGGGGGGGTAAACTCTAAATAATAGTGGTGAATCTTTTATTGAAACAATGAATCTAATCAAAGCAGATAGAGTGTTAGCTAGAATTCATCGGCCTCACAGGGACGGGGAGGGGTGGGGGGGTGGGGTTTTATTGGGGTTCTTCATGGTAAAAAATAAGTATTGTTAAAGCAAAATGTGTTTGATATTTGCATGACTGAGACCTAAACCTGAAAGCTTTGTAACCTTTCCCACGGTGATTCAATAAATAAATAAATAAATTTAAAAAAAAAAAGAAAGAAAAAGAAAAGCCATGGGCTGGATACCATTGCTTAAAAGCAAAATCAGAGAAATCAGACAAAGTTTTTGAAAGAAGTCTTTTCTGATTTTGGACCTTTCCTTGAAGGTATAGAAGGAAGTGCAGAGATCCTGAGATTCCTCTGGCTGTCTGCCTGGAAGGCAGTTTCTTAGCCACAGAACAGGGCTTAGCAATCTTACCTTGGTGGAGGGACTGACTGGAAATGGGGGAGGCGGAGGGCTGTCTGGGATTTCACAGGGTGTGGGAGAGGAATGTGACCCTCAACTTTGACCTGTGTTGCCAGACTGAGGCCAGGCCAAGAGCAGAGGTGGGAGCTGTGTTCCCACATCTCGCGGGGCAAAGCGCCATCCTAGCTCTCACTGACAGGATGGTAGAGGCCTGAGATGTGGCGAGGTGAGGAGCTCAAAGAGCAGGAGAGTGAGCCTTGCCTGTGCTGGGCCCTGGGAGGTGCAGCCTCAGCACTGCCGGAAACCGCTTACCCCCAAAATGGAATCCCCTCTTAAAGATACTGCATTTGGGAAGACTCGTGGTGGACCTGCCTTCTGCGAGGGTGTAGCATAGCAGTGACTGCTTCACCTCGAAAACTAGCCAGAAAGGATCCGGCTCCTTTGAAGTTTCATTTAGCAAACTGACTCGCAAAACTGAATCTTGAATGAAGAATAAGAACAGAATCCGGAGCTGGCCCAGGTGGTACTGGGCCGCCAGCTTCCCTTCAGATGGGCACTGTTTGTGGTGGCATTTCCTGCCTGCTCCCCTGCCTTTCCTCCCTGTCCCTGTTGTGGGGTGACTGCCAGCTGTTTGCAAGCTTAGTAGCGGTGCTTGTGCTTTTGTTTCTTGTGCTCGCCGGGGCATATACTTCAGTCGGGTCTCATGTTGTGGTTCTGGAGTGCTTGCTTGGGGTGCTTACACATACCTGGCTGTGCCCTGAGATTCTACATGATCTTGTGGCACCAGGGACTCTCCATGAACTGCTGCTGGGACCATGCTTGGCACACAAGCCTGTACCAGACCTCACGCTTGCTGAGGCAGTGTTGGCTCCTGGCCACGCTTCCTTCTTCATGTGTTTATTACAGTCTTCAGTTTAATAATTAGCTATTATAACTGAGTTTGGTATTTCCGGGGCGGGGAGATGTTTCTTTCCTTTAAAAATTTTTTTTGGTTCCTCCCAAAGGATCCAGTGGATAATAGTTCCTTTTACACCAGATCCTTCCCAGCACTGGTTTTCCTATCATGTTTGAGATATGCTATTTTCGTTGTCATTGCTGGGTTTTTTTTTTTTTTTCGTTTTTGGGTCACACCTGGCGATGCACAGGGTTTAGTCCTGGCTCTGCGCTCAGGAGTTACTCCTGGCGGTGCTCAGGGGACCATATGGGATGCTGGGAATCGTACCCAGGTCTGCCACGTGCAAGGCAAACGCCCTACCCACTGTGCTATCGCTCCAGCCCCGGGATTCCTGTTTTGACTTGCATTTCCCTCATAAGAAGTGACATTGAGCACTTTTTCATATGCTTACTAGCCATCCATATGTCCTCTTCAGGAAAATGTCTGTTCATCCTTTCTCCCCATTGTGTTTCTTATTTACATTTTGTGGGTGTGTGTGGCTGGGGGGACAGTTGTTTTGGTTCCTTTGGGTTGGGGATCGTTCCTGGCAGTGCTCAGGGCTGACTTCTGGCTCTCCACTCAGGAGAGACTTCTTGCGGTGCTGGGAGGCCATGTGGGATGCCGGGGATTGAACCTGGGTTGGCTGCATGCCAGGCAAACATCCTACCAGCCGTGCTATTGCTCTGGCTCCCTTCTCCTCGTTTGTTGATGGAGTCACTGTTTGGTCATTGTTATTGATTTTTGTGAGTGCTTCATATATCTTGTACATTAGCCCTTTATATCATGTATTTTGTGCAACTTTTTCTTTTTTGGTTTTGTTTTTTGGGCTACACCCTGTGATGCTCAGGGGTACTTCTGGCTCTACACTCAGGAATCACTCCTGGCAGGCCTGGGAGACCATATGGGATCCTGGGGATTGAGCATGGTCTGTCCGACAACATGCAGCACAGGCACCCTCCCGCTGTACTGTCTCTCTAAGAAATCCTAAAGCCCTTGACATTAGGGTTTTCCAGGTGTATTATTAAATGATCTGCAAATGGTGATGGTTTAATTCACTCTTCTCCAGTTTTAGCTAATTTTCCTGACCAATTGCAGTAGTGGGGATTTCAGAGTTAGAATGACCGATAGGGTAAAATAGTGAACATCCTTCCTAGCAGTTTCTGAAACTTTTACCCCTGGGTTGACGAGATCGTACAGGGGTTCAGACATATTTCCCTTGTACATGACTGATCTCGGTTCATCTCCGGCTCCCTCAGCATTGTCAGGTGTGGCCCCAAAGCCAACAAATAAGGAACAGAATATTTACATGTAACTGGTAGTATTTGGGGGTGGGAGTGCTCTGGGTTTACTCCTGGCTCTGCACTCGGGGATCACTCCTGTTGGTGCTTGGGGACCACATGTGGTACTAGGGATTGAACCTGGGTCAGTTGCATGCAAGGCAAGTGCCTGCTATTTTGTCTCTTTGGGGCATTATTATTATTATTATTAATATTTTGGTTTGGGGGCCACACTTGGTGATGCTCAGGGCTTATTCTGGGTTCTATGCTCAAATCACACCTGGTGGACTCAGGGGACTATTTGGGGTGCTGAGCGCCCTAACCATCATACTATCACTCCAGTCCTTGGGCTTGTATTGTTTTTCCTTTCGGTGATCACATCAGTTACTTGGGAGTAAGATTTAATTGACAATGGAAAGATTCTGGTTTTTAAAGAATGACCATCGGGGCTGGAGCAATAGCACAGCAGGTAGGTTGTTTGCCTGACATGCGGCCAACCCATTGATTCCCAGCATCCCATGTAGTCCCCTGAGAACCGCTAGGAGTAATTCTTGAGTGTATGAGCAGGAGTAACCCCTGAGCTTCACAGGGTATGACCCAAAAAGCAAAAAAAAAAAAAAAGAATGAATGACCATCACATTTATGTTTGCTTTTTATTTTGTTAAACTCTCTAGGTTTGTTCGGACAGTGTTGCCATTATCTCAAGAGTTTCAAAGAGATAAACAGCCGAACGCACAGCCTCAGTATTTGCACGGATCAAAGGTCGGTTGTTTTCACACTTGGACTCTTGGCTTCTCAGGAGGCTGGTGGGGCGAGTTCCACAGGCCAGGTGTGGCCCAGCAAGGCCATGTGCACAGACCATCCTGGGGAGACCATTTCTGAGGCCCTGGGACGAATAGCCCAGTGGGAATTCCAGTCAGAGCGAGTGCCTGCCCCGGTGCTCTTCTCCTCGACCCTGGAGACAGGATGGTGCCTGGAGGCTGGGGAGCCAGGGGGAGCCGTGCCTGCCCCATGCCCACTCTCTGGCACTGTATGGCTCCTGAGCACTGCTGGGGCGGCCCCCATACCTGGGGAAAAAAAATGAAAGGGAAGTTGCCAGATGCCTGACAAGCAGCACTTTTATTTATTTTTTATTTTTTGCATTTTGGGTCACACCTGGCGATGCACAGGGGTTACTCCTGGCTCATGCACTCAGGAATTACTCCTGGCGGTGCTCGGGGGACCATATGGGATGCTGGGAATCGAACCCGGGTCGGCCACATGCAAGGCAAACGCTATACCCGCTGTGCTATCACTCCAGCCTCCAAGCAGAACATTTCTAAATAGCCACATTCACTCAGGCACTTCCACACACGTACACACACACCCCCATGCCCTCCCATATTCGCATATACGCACATGCATACTCACACACTCATGCACACACACGTGCACTCACGAACTTATGCACACACATGTGTACCCCATGTGCACTCACATCCATGCATGCACACGTGCACTTACACGCATACACGCACATGCGCACTCGCATACTCACGCGTGCACACGCATGCTCAGGCACTCACACATGCACACACGCAGACTCTTGCACTCACACATGTGCACTCGCACTCGTGCACTCACATGCGCATGTAAACTCATGCACTCACGCAGTCATACACGTGTACTTGCACTCCAGCACTCATGATGATACATGCACACTCATGCACTCACATACTTGGATGCACACACGCACAATGCACTCACGCACTCACACGCTCATTCATATACTTCCACACACATACACGCGCTCTCACTCCTGCACTCACTCATACGTGCACATGCACACTCACATCTTGAACTCCCACTCATACATGCACTCCCACACCCAGACACGTGCACTCGCACTCACGCACTCACACTGACCCTCACGGCGTGCGTACACTGGTCCTTGCACCCAGATGCATTCACACCGGCACATTCGCATCCTAGGCCGCAGCATCTTGGAGCTGTGGTTCTTTGTGTGTGGGGGCCGTGGTGGACAGGAGAGTCCCCAGGTCCCCCTGAGCAATGTGCCACCCCCTCCGCCACAGGCTCTGAACCTGGCCTATTCCAGCATCTACAGCAGCTACCGGAACTTCGTGGGCCCCCCCCACTTCCAGGTCATCTGTAGGCTGCTTGGCTACCAGGGCATTGCTGTGGTCATGGAGGAGCTGCTGAAGGTTGTCAAGAGCCTGGTGAGTGCCTGGGACTCCCCCATCGGTACAGGGGACAGGTGGGGCCCAGGGTGGTCAGGCTTTGTCCACCCCAGTCTTGCCTTCTGCAGTCGGGGTTCTTTTGGGTTATCCTACTGACCTCAAGAGAAAGTGCCAAAGTACAGCCCATCAGGTTGCTGTTTTGGGGCACACCTGGCGAGGGCAGGTACCACACGGTACCTGAGGGCTGCTTCTGGCTCGATGCCTTGGGTCACCTTTGGCACTGTGCAGAGAACCATGTGGTGCCCGGTGGGAGCCCAGGCCTCCTGCTTGAGAGCCGCTGTGTCCGTTGAGCACCTCCCGGGCTGGAGAGGATGGTTCTTCCCGGCCGGGGGCCCTGCCAGCCTGACTTCCGCGCCTCCCCTTGTGTTCCCTGCCCCCTTTCCTGAAGGCTGCCCTCTTGGACTTGGTGAGAACCAGTGTGGTGAAAGCCGGAGCACAGGGCCTTGTGGGAAGTTGACCACAAGGACCTGGGAGTGGTTTGCATGCCACACCCTGCCCCTCCCCAGGGCAGAACTTCCTGCAGTCTCTGCAAAAGGAGCATGCCAGACTCCTTTGTAAATGAGACTACCTGTGCTGGGGGCCCTCCCCACCTGGCAGCACTAGGGACCAGGTGGGTTGGTTTGCCTGTGCTCCAGCCCCCATGAGTCCACCATGAGTCCAGAATGTTAAATTTTTTGGGGGGGTCACACCCAGCAATGCACAGGGGTTACTCCTGGCTCTGCACTCAGGAATTACTCCTGGCAGTGCTCGGGGGACCATATGGGATGCTGGGAATCGAACCCGGGTCGGCCGCGTGCAAGGCAAACGCCCTACCCGCTGTGCTATCGCTCCAGCCCCAAGAATGTTAATTTTTAATCTTTCTCATTAGTTTACTCATTTCCAGTGAGTAAGCCCTATTTTTGTCAAATTGGTTTTTCTTGTTTTTCTCAGTAGCCATGAGAAAAGTGAAGTCATGCCTTGTGACTGTAGAGTGATCCTTGGGGGCAGGGCGGGGGGGAGGGTGGGCTGAGCTGAGTGAAGCTGCCTAGTCCATCACTGTATAGGTCAGGGTCAAACGTCAGTTTGAGGGCTGGAGACCTCTTGCAGGGTAGGATGATTCCTGGTACTCCTTAGGTTCCCTGGAGCACCACCAGGGGTGAGCTCAGAGCACAGTCCTGTGTCTCCCACATCACCCCTTCCAAAAAGAATCTCAAGTTTGAGGGCAGGAGAGTCGGTTGAACAGGCTGAGCACATGCAGGCAGCCTGGGTTTGCGGTCCCCTGAGCCACTGGGTGTGGCCCAAAAAACAAAGCGTCAATCAGTTCAGATTCCAGGGTGACGAGGCGAAGCAGGGGCCGCTCTACCCTTGGGCTGAGCTCAGGCTGTGCGTGTAGGATGACCTGCTTTCAGCTTGGCTCTGGGGCCCCATCCTCGTACCTTGTCACTCTGATCACTGCTGGGTGGGCCCCAAACAAACAGAAATCAGTCTGACTGCCCAAAAAAGGGGTGATGTGTGCCCTCACTCCGTAACTGCCCTCCTGGCCCAGCTGCAGCCTCTATTCTTGGCAGACCGAGAGGAGGGTTCCTGGGGCCTTTGGGACCCTGCCCTCACCCCTCTGAAGGGGAGATGTTGTCTTTTGGGCTGATGGCCACATCTCCCACAGCTGCAAGGCACCATCCTGCAGTACGTGAAGACGCTGATGGAGGTGATGCCCAAGATCTGCCGCCTGCCTCGGCACGAGTACGGCTCCCCCGGTAAGTGCTGGGCCGGGCAGGAGCCTCGGGGCAGGCCCTGGGCTCTGGAATGCCAGATTACTGAGGGCTGCTTCCTTTTGGGGCACCTGGTGATGTCTGTAAGGGGGCGGGCTCGAACCTGACTCTTGAGGGTCCACAGACTGCTGGGGATCTCTGCAGCCCGTGATGAGGTTGGAGCCAGAGCTGTCTCCTGTGTCTTGGCTTCCATTGTTGTTAAGCTGTTCAAAGGATCGATAGAGACAGGGGCTCCAAAGAGATAGTTCAGCGGGTGAGACGCTGGCCTTGCGCATAGCCCAGCCAGGTTCCATTCCTGATACCACATATTCCCTGAGTCCCTCCAGGAGTGACCCCTGAACACCGCCGGGTGTGGCTGAAAAGGCTGAAAAGGAAAAAAATCCCCCAGCATTTTTGTGGGTGGCCTCACGAATACTGTTTGGGGTCATGCCCAGTGACACTCGGCCAAGCAGGCAGGATGGTTCAGGCTTTGTTCCGGGGTTCGGGGGCCTCAGGGCCACTCCTGCGTGGCCAGGGTCAGATGTGCGACTTGGCACCTGCCAGCTGTGCCCCTCCCCTGGGTGCCATCCTGGCTCGTGGGCCAGGTTAGAGTTGGGGCTCGGGGTGCAGCGTCCACGCGCTGTGGACAGAGTTTCTGGACTGCAGGAGCCTGGGCTGGACTCGGCCTGCTGCTGTCACCCTGAGGAGATGTCCTTTGTCCTTTGTCACGGATACACCTTCCTTCTGCAAAGTTTTGCACAGGGGCATTGACAACTTTTGGTTTGGGGGCCACGCCCGGTAGTGTGGGAACTACTCTAGGCTCAGTGTTCGAGGCTGTGGGTGGTGCTGGGGGCTGGGGTGGGGGTGGGGACTGGCACAGTGGCAAATGTTGGGGCCAGCCATGTAGCTCTCGGGAAGTGTCAGGTCACCCAGCTGTGGGTCTCGGGTGCAGTCCCTGCCGTCCCAGCGCCCATGTCTCCCCCTGCAGGCATCCTGGAATTCTTCCACCACCAGCTGAAGGACATCGTGGAGTACGCCGAGCTGAAGACTGTGTGTTTCCAGAACCTGCGGGAGGTGGGCAATGCTGTGCTCTTCTGCCTGCTGGTGGAGCAGAGCCTGGTGAGTGCCTGAGAGGCGCCTCTGGGGCTGGATTGCTTCAAGGGAGTGAGGGGCAGTGTTGAAGGTGCTTGTCACCTGCAGGATAGGACTCTGCCTGCTCCCTGTCCCAGGGGTGGGAGAGAGAGAGAGGGAGAGAGAGAGAGAGAGAGAGAGAGAGAGAGAGAGAGAGAGAGAGAGAGAGAGTGTGTGTGTGTGTGTGTGTGTGTGTAGGGAAGCTTGGGGGCAGGACCTGAATCCTCCCCAGAGCATCCCTGTCCCGGCATGTGACTCAGCTCTGTCCATCTCGATGCACTGTCCGCGTCTGTGTCCCAGATTGAGGTTCCACCTTGACACCTGTGACAAAGTGTGTCACTCGCTGTGGCTTGTCTTGTCAAACTAACAGTTTTCCATTCTGATGTTCTGAAATGGGGTGTGTGTGTATCATTGTGGGGGGCAGTGTCCCCTGCAGTGCCCATGGGCTGGGGCCACTCCAGGTGATAGGACATTCAACCCCAGTGCTCAGGCCCAGCCCTAGGTGGGCGCCAGGACCATGTCAGAGCTCGTGCATGGCCTGTGCCCTGGTCTGTTCTTTGCTTCCAGCAGGCTCCTCTCACTTGGGTTCAGCTCTGCGGCTTCTGCTGTGGGGCTCTGGGGACTGAACCCTGGTCAGCTGATGAGTCTACCTGCTAGACTATCTCCACGGCCCCTGGATTCAAATTCCTTTTTTGGGGGGGAGGGCAGGGATCACTTCCAGCTGGTCAGGGGTCCAAATGTGGTGCCGGAGATTGAACCCAGTCAGTTGCATGCAAGGCAAACATCCTACCCATCGTGCTATCACTCTGGCACCTCAAATTTTTATTTATTTATTTTTTTTTTTGCGGGGCGGGGAGGCATACTTGCTTATGTTCAGGGCTTGCTCCTGACTCTGCGCTCAAGGATTACTCCAGACAGGACTTGTGGAATGCTGTGTGGTGCTGGGGAATCATACAGGGGTTGCCGCGTACAAGGCAAGTGCCCTCCCCGCTGTCCTGTCTCTCCAGCCCCTGGATTCAAATTCTTGAAGAGGTTTTTTTTTGGGGAGGTCACACCTAATGATGATCAGGAATTACTCCTGGCATTGCTTGGGGGACCATATGGGATGCTGGAGATCAAACCCAGGTGGGCCGCATGCAAGGCAAACGCCCTACCTGCTGTACTATGCTCCGGCCCCTCCCCGGACTCAAATTCTTAACAAGCACATGTGGCCTGGAACTCCTCTCCGTGAAGACCCTTCCCCTTGTTCTGGAGAATTCTCGGAAGGTGCTGCTCGGACCGTGCATTTCCCATGAGGCCACAAGACATTTGCTGTTTTCAGCTCTAGGTCTCTGGCTGCGTGGCTGTGAGACTCAGCCCCTGACGCTTCCTTTTCTGTCTCTTGCAGTCTCTGGAGGAGGTGTGTGACCTGCTCCATGCCGCCCCTTTCCAGAACATCTTGCCTCGGGTTCACGTGAAAGGTGAGGGGGACCGGGTGGGCCAGTTCAGTGGACACGCAACTGTTGGACTATCTGAAGAGAGGCCCTGGGCTCTGGGGACACTTCTGAACAGTGTAGGCTGAGGGAGACCATCACTGAGGGCATGAATCTGGAAGTTTCCGTAGATTCCTGAAGTAAATTCCTGAAGCATGGTCTGGAAGTTTCCATAGATTTCTGAAATAAATTCCTGAAGCATGGTCTGGAAGTTTCCATAGATTCCTGAAGTAAATGTGGAGCGGCCAGGTCTGACCGAATGAGCCATGTTGACCAAAAAATTCCAGGGGACCGGAGCGATAGGATAGTGGGCAGGGCACTTGCCTTGCATGTGGCCAACCCGGGTTCGATCCCCCACATCTCAGAGGGTCCCTGGATACCAACGGGAGTGATCCCTGAGTGCAGATCGAGAAATCAGTCATGAGTACAACCAGGTGGTCAACAACAACAACAAAATCCAGGAAGACCCCTGTGGAGAATATTAAAAATTCTGTTTGACTGATGTATGTCAGCAACAGAATATGAAATGTTGCTTCCTCCACAGAGGGAGAGAGGCTGGATGCCAAGATGAAAAGACTGGAATCCAAGTATGCCCCGCTGCACCTCGTCCCCCTGATCGAGAGACTGGGGACCCCTCAGGTACCCAGCCCTTGCGGGCGGGATCAGGCTGGGGCCTAGAGGGAGAGCGGGAGTGCGTGAGGAAGAAGGTTGGAGCAGGCCCTTGTCACGGGCTGTCCTGTTGTTTTGGGGTGCTCGACACGTGCTGGGTTGGACATAGGGCCTCGGGCCTTGGAGCATCTTCCCAGACACATGGGACAGTAGTGAGGCTCAGGCACACTGAGAGCCTCACAGTCCCAGGCTGGGTTTCCAGACAGGCTGCCTGTCTGCAGAAGTTGCCATCTGGACTCTTGTACGCAGGCTGGTGGGGTCTGGGGGGCCCTATGCCATGTTCATCAGGGCTGCTCTGTGATGTGCTGACAGTATCCCCAGCTGCTCCCCACTTCACACCACTGGACCTTCAAGTTAGGACAACCTAGAGTGTCTCAGGATATTGGTTTGCACCCCAGAGGCAGAGCCTCAACTAGTTAGGAAGAGCTGAACCCCCTGAGATCCAGGTAACAGTCTTTGCTGGAAGAGGTTCAGTCCTGTGAGATCTCCCGAGATGTCCCCCCACCCCAGCACTATATCCTGGCACTGCCCCGGGTGGGTCCCGCGTGTTTGAAAACACGTCTGGGTAGTAACTGGTATATTTACTTTGTGGACCTTCTTTCTGAAAATCCTCTGCTATCAGCTCACGTGGTTTTGCATTAAGCCAGAGGCAAGAGTGTGGGGCAGGGAGGTGGCTCAGGCCTCCCACACCGCATGGTCCCCTGAGCACTGTGATGGCCACAGCCAGGAGCACCGTGCGAGGTGTGGTCCACAGGAATTGGAGGCGGCAGATATGTTGACTCCACAGTGTCCGTGACTGTCCTGCCTCCCTGCAGCAAATCGCTATTGCGCGTGAAGGGGACCTGCTGACCAAGGAACGGCTGTGCTGTGGTCTGTCCATGTTCGAGGTCATTCTCACCCGCATCCGCACCTTCCTGGATGATCCCATCTGGCGCGGGCCGCTGCCCAGCAATGGCGTCATGCACGTGGACGAGTGTGTGGAGTTCCACCGGCTCTGGAGCGCCATGCAGTTCGTCTACTGCATCCCCGTGGGCACACACGAGTTCACCGTCGAGTGAGTGGTAGCAGGGAAATGCAGAGGGATGCCGGCCGGGGAGCACCCCACGTCCTGTGGAAATGAATAGGCTCAGCTACGCCAAGGCCTGTCAGGGTTTGCCCTTGGTGCCTACCCGGCGGAGATTCGGGGCAACCTGAGACTCATCCCTGTTGGCGTGCATAGCTTCACTGTGACTACTGTGATCCTTTCTGAACGTTCCATGATCTGGTTGCAGGTGGGCAGGGGCTCGGGGGCGTCTCAAGCCCTTTTACAGTGAGGCTTGGTTAGCCCAGCCAGCAGCTGAATCCAGGGACCACCTCGGGCTGCTTGGGTGTCGCTCCGTTGCCATTCAGGCACTCTGGCTGCACCCCACAGGCAAAGCTATGCTCAACCCATTGTCTGTTCTCTCTGGGCCAGCGTTCATGGTCTTGATGGAGGGCAGGGAATGCTGCCTTCGAGGAATCCCCTAAAGACGTGTGTCCCACGTCTGGAGCCTGCAGGCGAGGGCAGCCTGGGGGACTGACCTGCTGCCCTTTGATCTCGTCCAGGCAGTGCTTTGGGGACGGCCTGCACTGGGCAGGCTGCATGGTCATCGTGCTCCTGGGGCAGCAGCGACGCTTTGCTGTGCTGGATTTCTGCTACCATCTGCTCAAAGTCCAGAAACACGATGGCAAAGATGAGATCATCAAAAATGTGGTACGTGGACATCGTGCAGAACCAGCCGGCGCTCTGTGGGGGCAGAGGGTGGAAGGGGCCGTCCCACCCAGACCACTGGGTCCTGCCTGGAGATACTTGGCCAGCCAGCCGGATAGCACCTGCTTGGACCTGACCATGCAGTGTGGTGCTGCCGGGCCTGTGGTGTCAGGGGTTCAGTCAGGGCCTGTGTGTGTTCCTTTGCCACGTTTCTGGGGTGTGTGTTACATCCCACCATGTAAGGCAGTAGCCAAAGTCTTCCCATTTCCAAAGGAATCTGAACTGCAGGCCAGCAATTTGCTGTTGCAGGGGACTCTGGGCCCAGCTTTGTGTGGGGAAGCCCCCCGCTCGATCCCCAGCACTGCTTGGTCCTGAGCCACCTGAGCAGCGCTGGGTGTGCCTGACAGAAGTTGAAAGGATGTATATGACGGTGCCTTTGCTTCCCCGCAGTGCCCAGACGCGCAGTTTTACTTTCCCATGCCCTGTTCCGGTCCTCAGGCTCTCTTGGTTGTAGCTGGTGCACTTGCGTGGGTTAGAGGTTTGGGGCCACACTTGGCAGGTCCCACTAGGCAAGCGCTCTGCCCGCTAGACTGTCCCAGTGGCCTTCAGTTGCTTTTTGTCATTGTCTACAAGTTCCCAGTTGTTGAACTCTCAAATACTCAGCTGTTACCTCTCTTCCTGTGCCATGCCTTTCTTTAGTTCTCTATGGGCTGTTCTTTCCCGTTTCAGCCAGATCTGCTTTGCACATTCTGGTGTCCCATGTCCTTCCTGGGTCAGGACAGGTCCCTCTCTCCCCTAACAGACTCCCACAGGCTGCACACCTTGATCACTGATGCTTGCAGTCTGCTAGGTCGGTGGTGACTGGGCTGCTCATCTGCCGAGCCACAAGCCCCAACCAATGTCCTGGTCTCTCCCCGCTGGAGGCACCCTGCTTACCCATTTGTTGGCTGGCCTCATCTCTTGCTCCAGCCATGCCCTCTCCTCTACTCTCCCAGCTTCCAAGGGTTGCCCTTGTAGCCTTGGGGTTGTGCCTCCCATGTGCAAGGCTGCGGCCCGCACCTCTGGCCCCCTGGTGTCCAGTCTTAGCCGTAGCCACAAGCAGTGTCCCTTTTGCTATGAAAGGAAAAGGTGACAGACAAGGGCAGGCAGGGGCCAGGCCTCTCCCCAGGCCTGTCCACCTGCCTCCTGAGCTTGTGTTTGCAGATCATGAATGATTAGTTTGGTTCTGGGTCAAACCTGGCAATGCTCAGGGCATACTCCTGACGGCAGTCAGGAATTGCTCCTGGTGGTGCTTGGGGGACCATAATGGATGCTGAGGATCTAACCCAGGTTAGCCACGTGCAAAGCAAATCCTCTACCCATTGTACTGTCGTTCTGGCCCCTGACTAATGATACTAGAAGCATAATAATAGAATTTAAAATTTCACTTGGAGGGCTGAGGACATAGAAGGATTAAGGTGCTCGCCTTACATGTGGCTGACCCCAGTTTGAACCTTGGCACCACGTATTGTCCCCACCAAGCTGTGCCAAGGGTCAGTCCCAAGCACTGCTTTGTGGTTAGAAAAGAACCAAAAAAATTCCTAAAAGACGTTCCGTCTTTTAACCTTAACAGCCTTTGAAGAAGATGGTGGAGAGAATTCGCAAGTTCCAGATTCTGAATGACGAGATCATCACCATCTTGGACAAGTACCTGAAGTCAGGCGACGGAGAGAGCACCCCGGTGGAGCACGTGCGCTGCTTCCAGCCGCCCATCCACCAATCCCTGGCCAGTAGCTGAGCGGGGCGTCCCCCAGCAGCATCTCAGAACCATAAGGGCATGTTTTTCTTTCCATACATACACCATGTAGTGAGATTCTTAGGGACTATTTTTCAAGTATCTCTGTGCCTGTTGAGGGGGGGTGCTTTTCGATCTAAAAACTTACTTTTATAAAATTGACTTATTTTTCTAGACTAAAATTGTATATGCTTTTGGTAATCAGGATCTCTTAGAACACTGGCTGCTGATGGCTGCTCACATCCTTAGGACATCTTTCCGTTCTCCGGCATGTCCCAGCACCCAGCTGTGTCTGAACATGCGTCACATCCGTTCATCCCTTGGCCAAGGGTCAGCAGTGTTTCAGGGTTGCAGACTTGAGTGGGAACTCTCATGCCAACCCAAGTAGTGGAACCCTTGATCAATCGGAATGACACTTCCTGAGTAATCCGTTAGCTCTTTGGGGACTTTTTTGCTGTCTTTTCTGAATACTGTTTTCTAAGCTCTTGCTCCCTTGCTTTTTCTGTCAGTGTTTGAGAAAATCACTTGTGAACTTGTTCCTCTGCTTCCACCGCATCTCCCTTATTATGCAATCTCAATTGTGAGGTATGACTTAAATTTTATTCCAGAATAAAACTCACAAAACCTCCGCCATGTTCACTCATTTCCTTGGAGCCTACGCTTGTCAGGGTACTTCATCCAAGTGCCAGGTCTGGGGCTAGGTCAGCTGCAGCCTGAGAATGGACAAGCTCACGCACTCAAGAGAATTTCAGGAGTCAAATGTGAGCGATGCCCTGCTGATGGCTGCCAGGAAATATTCCTTCCATTCATGTGTACTCACTGCCCTGCATCCAGCATAGTGTAACAAACAGGATTTTATAGCATTTGTGCTCACCGTTTACTGCAAGCATGAGAAACTGCTTTAACAATTATGGAGCTGGTGTGATAGTACAGCAGATAGGGCATTTACCTTGCACATGGCCGATCCAGGTTTGATCCCTAGCATCCCATATCCCATATGGTCCCCTGAGCAATGCTAGGAGTAATTCTCCTGAGTGCAGAGCCAGGAGGAATTGTCAGGTGTGACCCAAAAAGCAAAAAAAAAAAAAAAAAAAAACCCCAAAGAAACAATTAATGATCAGCTTCAGTAGTTCCTGAGTTTTATAAGACTCAGTGATAACCCAGAGAGTAAAGGAACTAATTAAACAATTTGAAATGTTGTGATACTATTAATTTATTAACTTACATATTCTCAGTGAGGGGAACAGCAGCCCCAGGGATCACTTTTCCTGATACCTAGTGACTGCCGAGTCTGTAGTGGGGGCTCCCACATGCTCCCCATGCCCCAGGCAAGGGCATGGTATGGTCCAGTGGGTTCAGCTGTGTGACCCAGGGCAGAGCATCAGAAGGGGGATGAGTCTTTCCCAACAGTCAAAAATCTGAAGGCCAATGTGCTGCTTGGATGGAGAGGTTTAGAGCTGAGTGGGCTGAGAGTATTAGTTCACATTTTTTGCATGTTTGAAACCCGAAACTTTAAAAAAAAAATTATGGGTGTTTTTAAAAAGACAAATATATAGTAGTCCATAACAGAGTACATTCTACAAATAAACCATGCCTGACAAACATTTCACTTATTTTAAGCATTCAGACTCAGAAACTGTTTCAATTTTTTTTATTATAACATAAGCTAGGAAATTGACCTAGACTTCCATTTCCCAGAGTTGTTAGAAGATCTAAATGACAATAGAACGCATTATGAAAATATATTGGAAAATACAAGAGCTGATGAAAAAGAGCAATCCAGGTGGTGGGCATGAAGGGGTCAGAGTGAGCGACTGTACTACAGTACAGTGGGCTACAGGCATTGCTTCCCAGGGGCATCGTGGGAGGATGCTGCCGCGCTGCCAAGAGCCTGGGAATGGTTCCCCGGCTGTCTGTACCTTCTAGCACTTTCCTGTACTTCCTAACTCAGGAGTCTCAGAAACTACCGATTCGGAACTGAAATAATCAAAAAGGAGTAATTTTTATCAGCAAAAGACACACAAAATAAATCTGGTACTGGAGTCACTTCATACTTGTTTAAATCAAAAAGTCTTGGAACGGTCAGAGAGGATGGAGAGGGAGGGCAGATGGATGCCTCAGATATACCACCAATGGAAAAATAAAGCATTTTCCAGATTGAGAACTGTCATTAATGCATTGTTTTGATGATGGAAAATCAAAAATACCTCTACCATAATACAATGTTAATAGAAACTGGCCATGTGCTGAGGTCATTTTCGTAAGCTACCATCACGTAAAGAAAAGTAATTTCTTGGTCCAATTAGTGAAACCTTAAAAAAGATTGTCTCTGGAGCACATTTGAGGATGATGCTTTTGGAAACTGCCACTCAGCTGCCTGGTGACTGGTCTCCTGCCCTAGAAAGCTGCCAGGGTGCCGTTCCTGCGGGAGACATTCTCGCCAGTATGGGGCTCCATCCCACAGGTCAGGCTCTCTTCCTCATCGCGGAGCGCGTCGTACACGTTCGAGAGACTGCCATTCACGGCTTTCTCCTCCTTCCGCAAAGACACAGGCAAGCTTGCGAGACTGAAGCTGACGTCTTTGAAGGCATGCAACAAGAATATTCCCACAATGATTGTAAAGAAGCCACTCAGGGTACCGATGACATCATCGGCGGGCATGTCCTGCCACTCCTTAAAGAGAATGGCTGAGCAAGTCAGGACGGAGGTGGTGAAGAAGACGTAGTAGATGGGCGTCACGATGGACGTGTTGAAGATGTCCAGGGCCCTGTTCAGGTAGTTGATCTGTGTGCTGACACAGACGATGAGACTCAGTAGCAGGACCCACGTGAGTGGGTGGCGCAGCACAGGCTTCCCGGCGAACAGTTCTTTGATGGCGATGCCCAGGCCCTTCACACAGGAGACAGAGAAGGCTCCAATCACAGAGCAGATGGTGATGTACACGAGTATGTTGCTCTGGCCATGGCGAGGCCCCACCACAAAGATTAGTATCAAAGATACAATGACCACAAGTGTTGCAAAAACTACAAAACCTGGAAGAGGAAAGAAAATTTCTTTCATCACAAGGTCTAGCTTGGGGGGCCAAAGAAAGGGTTAAGGCACTGGCCCTGAATGGAGCCAACCTGGGTTTGGTCCTGAGCACAGAGTCAGGAGTAAGCCCTGTGCACTGCCAGGTCTGGTCCCAAAAGTGAAGGAAAAAAATAACCAGGTCCATTCTGCTCTAGCTCAGTGCTAGGCCACTGGACCCCACATGGGATCAGCATGCATCCAATATATGTATGGACAAGTACTGCTTCTGCTCAGATCCACTGATCCCGGCCAGGGCACATTCATGCGCAGTGACAAGGCATTTAGATTCCATGACTCCGAGAGGCACAGAACTTCCAAAAGCAGCACAAGCCTTCAGGGTAAGGTAGACAGAAGCATTCTGAGAGCAGCTAATAAAGAACTCAGAGTGAAGGGGCCAGAGGGATGGGAAAGTGGGGAGGGCGCTTGCCTTGTCATGTGGCTGACCTGGGTTCAATCCCTGGTACCCCATATGGTGCCCTGAGCACCACCAGGATTGATTCCTGAGCACAGGACCAGGAGTAAGCCTTGAGCACTGCTGGTTGGCTAGAGCAATATTACAGCAGGCAGGGCATTTGCCTTGCATGCGGCTGACCTGGGTTCAATCCCCAACACCCCATATGGTCCCCTGAGCACTGCCAGCAGTAAATCCTGAGTGCAGAGCTAGGAGGAACCTCTGAGCATCACCGGGTGTGACCCAAAAAGCCAAAAAACAAACAAAAATAACCCCGAGCACTGCTGGTTTGCTCCCCAATCTTATTTTTCTGTAAAATCCTACTCCCCTCCCCCCAAAGTCGAATTTATGGGTAGCATCCCAAACTATTGCTTGAAAATAAAACCATTTCTAAAGTTAAAAAAAAAAAACCATCCTGGGTCAAATAGATAGTACAGGAGGTTTAAGACACTTGCTTGGCAACCAGCAGACCCTAAGTTTCAATTCCAAACACTGCATCTAGTTTCCTAGCACTGCCGGAGCCATTCATGAGCGCCAGTGGGCATGGCCCAAACCACCACCTCACCAAAAATCCTTCTAGTTACTAGCTCAAGGGATAAAAATTTCATCTGAGGGCGAAAAGGCCATCCAAAGACAAAGTCTCACATAAAAGAGAAAGAAATGAACTGTGGCCACAGCAACAGACAGAGGCCAGAGGCCAGAGCAGACAGATGGCACAGACACACTCAAAATGCTTGCCAGGCATGAGTCCTGAGTGCAGAGCCACAAGTAAGCCCTGAGCACCACTGGGTGTGGCCCCCCCCAAAAAACTAAATATAGTCAGGCTAACAAAGGTTGCTTTCTCCTTACCTGGATCCCCTAGCTTGTGAGACATTTCATCTAGGGTCTCAATCTCTTCTTCCTTTGGAGCATGAATGACCATAACAGTGGACCCTAGGATACTTAGCAGACATCCAATTTTCCCATGAAGATTAAGTCTTTCACTCAGGAAGTATGAAGAAAGAATGGCACTAAAATATGGGAGGGAGATCACAAACATTAAAATAATCAGCAACCGAAGCTGGAGAGATAGTACAGCAGTTAAGGCACTTGCTTTGCACAGATGTGGCTGACCCATATGGTCTCCTGAATGCTGCCAGGAATGATTCCTGAGTGAAGGGTCAGGAGTAATCCTGATGTGGACCCAAAATAAAATGATCAGCTATCTCATTTTAATATACAACATCATAAGTTTAAACAACTGAAATCAAGTGCTGAGCTTATGAAGATTGTGGTTTTCAGCAAAGTTTATTTCAGGGGGAAAAAAAAGCATCTTTTGGACAAACTGGCAGGCTACCGGATGTAACCTGCCCACACGGCAGAGTCTGGCAAACTCCCCGTGGCGTACCCAATATGCCAAATACCAGTAACAATGATGGGTCTCATTCTCCTAAAGAGCCTTGAATATAATCTCAGGGCTAGGATGAAGGAGACGTTACTGGGGCCTGCTCGAGGCAATCGACGAATCGACCATCTTTTTACTATGGAAAATCAGTTTTGGTTCAGACAAATTTATATTCTAATTGAGATTTTATGCCCAAACCAGTGCTTGAAATCTGCAACCAGCAGACCCTAAGAGAAACTTTAATTTCTCCTACTGGTCTATTCCCCTTATGTATTCATTTAACTTTACAAAATTTTTAAATTACCAAGGCTTAACGCCTCATGTAACTATAACTCTATCTGTATCTTACTATGTACCTATTATGCCTTGGAAAAGGAAGGAAATGCCCTATCAGTCAGTTAATTTCTGGAAGAGAAACCCTAAAACCAGACCTCAGCGCGGATAGCTGAGCCCAGTCTTTGTGGGTCTGTACAGGACTCGCTTTGCTCCATGCAACCTTTTCCTGTAGCTAGCATGGAAGGCCACTTACTACTAACTTCTCCACCACCACCTACCAACTGCACACAGGCCAAATGAAAAATGTGATGAAGGAAATGCGAAATTAAAAAAAAACAACCCACAATACGAGCAAGATGAAGCATTTCCCTTCCCCTTCACAAACTATGCGCAGAAGAGGAGGGAGCATGTGACAGCCCAGCAGGCGGAAAAGGTCCAGGCATGACCCTGTCAATGATCATGTTCATGCCCAGAGGCAGAGCCTTACCTTACCAGGACGCTGAGTGCTCCTAAGGGTGTCACGAGGGTGGCTGGGGCAAAGGCATACGCGGCGAAGTTGGCCACCTCGCCTGCTCCCACTTAAGAGACAGAAAAGAAACCTCTCAGAAAGGCCGAGTTCTGTTCACACACAGTTTTATATGCTAGTAACTGGGTGATTACTAATTTCTGTAACAACCCAGATTTAGTACTGCAGAGCTCAATCCTGGCTCTGTGCGCAGGGCTCACTCCTGGGGGGGCTTAGGATAGCTACACCTGGTGCCGGGGAGCAAACCTGAATTGGCCGCATACAAGGCAAGCGCCCAGTCCGCTGAACTCTCCCTCCGGCTGCGGGTTTTAAAATGTAAGAGGCCAGAGAGTTAGGACAGGAGGAAAGGCCTTCCCAGGACCACATACAATCCTCAGCACCTCCGGGGGTCTCTCCTGAGCAGAGTCCCTGAACACTGAGGGTATGGCCCCCAAAGTCCCACAAATTATAGACACAATAAAATATGCTAGCCTACTGGAGCAAATCGATGAACAGGAGGACAGTGCTGCAGTAACAGGAAATGGGGGTAGTTTAAGAGGTAGAGCACATACCCGGCAAGTGAAAGTCCCCTTAGATCCCTGGGACCAAATGACCCTGTGAGCACTGTCAGATGTGGCCCCAGTGATCCCCACCATCAGCTGTGGATCTGGTGGTTCCAGGACACCACCGGCTCTGCCAGGTGTGGCCACTAAGTCCCTGAGCACTGCCAGGTGTGGTTCCTTTAAGAGATTGGAATGTGCTTCACAGAAAACGCTCAATAATATGGGAGCACAAAGCCTTGAGCCCTACGAGTCACATATTATGACTGTGATCATATATGCAGTGCTCCGATAGGCAGTGACGCTATTTCCCCAGAAATTTTCACACTTACTTGACAGCAGTCCAGCCCACCACAGCCATTCTTTAAGATACGCATGGCCGCCTTGACCTGTGAACAAGAAAGCACTGCCTTTAGAAGCTTCTAGACCTTTGTCTAACATGATGGCAGGCGTCTGCAAGGCCTGAGGACTCACACATAATGCTGCTCCAATACACAAACTGGGCTGACTTTCCAGCTTTCCTTTACCAGGACTGCTTTTTTTTCTTTTCTTTCTTTCCTTTTTTTTTTTGCTTTTTGGGTCACACCGAGCAATGCGCAGGGGTTACTCCTGGCCCATGCACTCAGGAATTACTCCTGGCAGTAGGTGCTCAGGGGACCATATGGGATGCTGGGAATCGAACCTGGGTTGACCACGTGCAAGGCAAATGCCCCACCCGCTGTGCTATCGCTCCAGCCCCACCAGGACTGCTTTAAAGGAAGGGCTTGTTATGATTAAAAAAGGAGCTTCCTTAGGCAAGATTTTTATGATCATTCAGAGCAAGCAATGTGAAGACGGAAATGTCAAGCTTGCACTACACTGTTGTGTGAAAGACTGAATTGGTCCTTTATGTTCAGTTCATACATTATTCTTTGGTTGTGTGAACCTCAGCTTCAAGCAAAGAGACTACAGCAGCGGGAAGCAGGTCAGCTGCCAGTGAGTCAGCTGACAGCAGACGCTCCTTTGGGCTTGGGCAAGCCCCAGGTCCCTGGCAGACAGGAAGGGCTGAGTAGTGCCCACTGTCAGGCTGTCCAGTCGTGCCACCACTTGGCTCTCCTAAGCTAATAAACCAGGAAGCAAACAGTACTCAGACACTGCTCCAAAGAAAAGGCCACTCTGAGTGGACTCCAGGCATCGCAGACACAAAGGCCTGGTCTCCCAACTGAGGAGCAAGGGCCACTCATGTCCAAGATGGTAGCCAATTCCCATCCCTATTTTTTTTTTTTTTGCTTTTTTGGGTCACACCCGGCGATGCACAGGGGTTACTCCTGGCTCTGCACTCAGGAGTTACTCCTGGCAGTGCTCAGGGGACCATATGGGATGCTGGGAATCGAACCTGGGTCGGCCGCGTGCAAGGCAAACGCCCTCCCCGCTGTGCTATAGCTCCAGCACCCCCATCCCTATTTTTAAGCTTCACAATGAGGTTTGGCCATGGAGAAGGTGCAGGAAGGAGGGAGGCAATCTGTTTTACTGGGTGTGCTAGGCAGGTCTAGAACTCAGAGGGGAAAAGCACCTCCAGAAGGCAGTGAAGTGGGGACATGCTCAGGCCCTCCCTGCCAGGCTGGGGAGTCCTGCTCTCAGCAACAGGAGCTGAGCCTTCGAGATTCGGATTCTGGTCCCAGCTCCTTAGTTCCTTCTCTGTCGACAGAGAGACTTGATGCTGAGACAGGAGATCGCTCCTCGGTTAGAGCACACGCTTTGTTTGAAGAAGCCCTAGTTTGATCCCCAGCACCATGGAGGCCCTGAGCACCGCTGGGAGTGATCCCTGAGCGTAGAGCTAGGAGTCAGTCCTGAGCACTGCTGGTTGTGGTCTAAAGAACAAACAACAAGAAAGTAAAGACTGGGCATTGGCCCCTGATCCACTTGAGGTGGAGGTGACTGCCAGTGTGAGCAGGTACCCATTTTGTTGTTAGAACTTGCTCCTTTCTTTTTAAATTAACTTACCACTGGCTTACAGCAGTATACGATTTCAAGAGTGCACTTCTTCTTACCCCTAAGATGTGGCCAGACCTCCAAGTCCACCAACATGAGAACCTCATCTCACGCTAAAATGACTCTCACACATCTAGTAGCTCTTCACTTTCTCTTTCAATATGAAACTGACATTTGCTTTTCTGAAACACAAAGTCTTTCACAGCTCCAAGTTCTCATTTTCCACTGGGCTTGAGGAATAAAGCAAGAAGACCCATGGCATTTCCATAGGCGGGACCTACCTGCTCTCATGGAACCTTTCCTGGCAAGTCGCAGGAGGCCTTTTTTTTTCAAAATGAAACTCCCTCCAATGAATATGCTGGAGCTCATAGCCAATCCAAGACCAATATAAAAGTCATATTTTCCACGCCCCTGGTTCATTTCGTTACTTAAGAAGGTCCCGTGAACCACATTGATCACAGAACAGAAAACAAATGGCTGGTGCTGGGGGCAGAGGAATGCCGTCGTCAAATCTAAACAATGCAAAAGGAAAGGCAAGTTTCAACAGAATGACTGGGAATCGCAATTCAATTTTTTACTTTATTTTTCATCTGAGAGGAAGAATTTTCATTATTACCACAGATATTTTTAAATTTAGCATCGAACTAGTTATGCTTCTGCCACTTGTGTGAAAAGAATGGCACCCCCATGACATAAAAGCATATTCAAACAACAAACTCATCGAAACACAATGTTGGTTGCTAGAGAGGGGTGAGGAGGTAGTGGAAATGGGGTAATGTATTTGATCACAAGCCACCAACTTTGCTTTCAAAGATATGGATCGACAATACAGTGGGGGCAGCACTTGCCTTGCCTATGGTGGAACAAGGTTTGATCCCTCATATCCCATCTGCTTCCTGGAGCCTGCCAGTAGTGATCCCTAAGTACAGCAGTTAGAATGCTTGCCTTGCATGAGGCCCACCCAAGTTCAAAATCCAGCACCCCAAAGCATCCTGAGTCCACTAGGAGTGATCTCTGAGCACACAGCCCTAAGCATCACCAGCTGGGGCACAAAAGCAAAAATAAGAAAATAATGCACTGACAGAATGAGAGCCATTGCATCTTCCAGTCTCCGTAGTTCACTGTTCCTAGCTTTTATTGTGCTTTTCATTTGGTAGTGGAGGCGCCTGGCGGCACTCAGCGGTTCTGCACTCCGGGATCACTTCTGGTGGGCTTGGGGAGGGTCATATGGGGGTGCCAGGGATCAAACCCAGGTCTACAGTGCGCAAGAAAAGCGCTTGAGCTGTTGTACTAGCTCTCTTTTTTATTAGCTTATATATGAGTTCTCTTCATGTTCACCTTACGTAACGTTTTGTGATGCTATCTCAGATCTATTCCCCCCCCCCCCCCCCCCCATTCACTATGGACGTTTCAAAGGCACAATAGGAGTGAGGCTTACTGCACAGCTGGCCCTGGCAAGTGTCTGCTGTGCATCGCCACACCTGCTCACCTGGATCCCAGACCTGTGCTTGGTGCTTCGGCTGGACCTGCTCCAGCTGTGCCCCGAAGGCTCATCCACAGCTCCAATGCACGGCTTCCTCCTCCCTCCCCAGGCCTCCCCTGCTCTACATAGTTCCATTCTGTAGCCCAACTCTTCAGTTTCTGAAAGACGAGTGGTTTTCCACCAAGGCCTGGCTCACAGGGCAAATCTGATGGAAAAGCTTTCCTAGCATGAGGTTTGAGTCGTTCACTCAGGAACTATGGAAGCATGAGTGTTGTTGGTGGTGGTGGGAGGGAATAGAATGAAATCTGACAGTGTTAGCCACTAAACAGGAATGGAATCTTTTTCTTTGACTTACAATTCGGAGATCTGACCTCAGGTGTCTGTCCGAAGGGGCGGGTTGTCTTGCTGACTCGGACGTAGCACAGCTGGGAACCCTGCAACAGACGTTCTGGTCAGGAAGGACTAGCTGGTGCTTCAGAGCGGGACCAGGCTTAAAGGCAGCTAAGTGGCAGAGCTGGCCAGATCCATTCCCACTGGTGCCCAGGAGACACTGCACCCTCCACACTTCCCAGAACCTGGGATTTCTCAACAAACATGCTGACGATAAGCATGTGGTACATGACAGTCACAAGATGACAGATTCTGTCCTAGAACCCAAGTGCTTTAGAGTCCGAACATTCCAAAACCAGCTTGTTTAGATCTTAAACACATTAAAAAATACTTTGTAGCTACACAGAGTTCTTTCAAGATTTAAACATGCTTCACTTTCCGAATAGATCTCACTGACACAATGAAGTACAATGTTACTGTCGTTAAATGCAAGTAAAAAGAAAAATAAATCTGAACAGCATTCTAATACTTACAGGAAAAGCTCAAACAACTTTAACAATAACTAAGAATTGGCAATATAATTACCAAAGTTGAACAATTACCTCAGGGGCTGAAACTATGGAGCAGGTTAATTTTTCCTAGGTTAAGTGTCAAATGCCAAGACAGAGTCTTCCCTACATTGGGATCATCTCAGTCTAAGTTTGGAGGAAAACGTGATAAATTCTTCACTTGAAGGGGCTCGAGCAATAGTACAGCAGGTAAGGCACTTGTCTTGCAAACGGCAGACCTGGGTTCAATCCCTGCAATCCTATATGGTCCCTGAGTGGGGCCAAAAGTGATCCCCGAGAGGCGCATATGCTTCCGGAGCCCATGTGCTGCTTGTGCCAACATGACCAAGCACATGTGGTGCCCGAGCACATGTGTCGCCCTTCTGAGATGTTCATTTTCCTGTCTAACGCTGGGATGCGTGTAGGGGCTCCCTCTGCCCTTGGAGAAGCCCGAGTTCTCCCTTGGGGGCTTTCCTCTCTCTTGCTTTCCCTCCCTCCTCACCTTCAACAACCTCCAAATAAAATGTTCTACTTAAAAAAAAAAATGATCCCTGAGCACCGCCAGGTATGGCCCCAAAACAAACAAACAAAAAAGTCTTTCGCTTGAGGGCACTAATGAGAACAAACCTGGTAGCACCAGCAAATCAAGTAAGGTCACAAGACCACCTTCCATCTTCCAGAAACACGTGTGCCCTTTCTCAGACGGTCAAACACAATCTCTGCGACCCAAAACCAAAATGGGCATAAGCGCCACACGAAACAAGAACAGCTCGTTACAATCAGGAGTTAAAATGCAGACTTACAGGTGAGTCCGATGTGGGAAGGGCAGGAAGTGGCCAGAGACCAGCGATCTTCTCATTCCCTCCTGTGCAGGACCCTTCTGTCTGGCCAGGCCCTTCAGAGGAGCACCGGCCTGCAAAGAAGAAAACGCACAGTCGCAGAAGGACCAAGCAGCCCGAGGACGGAAACCCAACGGGCACCTCGGGCCCTCCACTTCCGCCCGCACCCGGGAAGGAGGAAAAGATGTCAGGGGGAGGGAAGGGACAGTGCGCCGGGGGCGCGGGGGTCCCGGAAAGGAAACCGGGCAGGGCCCGGCACCACAGGGGTCCACACCCAGCTGCGGCCGCCCAGCACGGGGCATCGGGTGGCCTGGTGGACCAAGCGAGTGCGGGGGGGGCCCAGGGTCCAGTTCGGACCAGGACGACCTGCGAGCACCGAGGGGGCGGCCGGCGGGGGCAAAGGGGCCACGATCGCGGGGCAGAAGGCGGCAGAGGCGAGGGGCCACGAGCGTGGAGCCCACGACCGAGGGGCAGCCGGCAGGCCCGAGGCGGGGGAGGGGCTCGTCGGGCCGCCGGGAGCTCGCGACTCTCCGGGGCCGGAAGCGCCGTCCTGATCGGACCCCGCGGGCCCCGCGGACGGCAGGCGCAGGCCCGGACCCCCGCCTCCCGCCCGCCCGCCCGCAGCCCCGCCGCCCTCGGCTCACGCCCCCACGCACAGAGCTCGGGCCTCCCCGCGCCGCGCCCGAGCGGCCCGCGAGTCCGCAGCCGAGCCCCGGGGCAAGCGCGCCGCCTCGTCCATCGGGGACAGCCCGGGGCAGCCGGCCCGCACGACCTCGCGCCGGAGGCTGCCGCCGCGGGGACACAGGCCGCCGCCGAGGGGCGCCGGGCGCGGCCGGATGACGCAGGGACGCGCGCGCACGCGCAGGGCGGCCGCGGAGCCCGACCCCGCCCGGGCCGTACCGCGGGGCCAGCCGGCAGCCGGGCGGGAGCTCCGAGGCGGCCGCGCCGAGTGCCGCAGCGCGTCGGGTGAGCGCGGTGACCCGGGCAGGGGGCGGGGCGCGCGCCGGGGCGGGGCATCGAGGAGGCGGGGGCGCCGGGGGCGGGGCGCCGGGGCGGGGTTACCGCGAATCGGGGCGGGGCACGGCTGCAGGGATACGGCACGGGAGGTCTGGGGCGGGGCCACGCAGGAAACGGGCTATGGGGGCGTGTTTTCAGGGAGGCGGGGTGGGGGGGGAGCCCGACTGGGGGCGGGGCCACAGGGAGGTGGGGCGGGGCTCGACGGCCGGAATGCGGAAGTTCGGAGCCTAGGTTCTGGCCCGGCTGGGGCTGGGGGGTGGTGGGGATGGGGGTGCGGGTGCGCTTTCTCCTGTGGTGCCAGCCCAGTCCTGGTGCACAGATGATGCGGTCTTCGTCGTTTTGGGGTCACACCCGGTGATGCACAGGGCTTACTCCTGGCTCTGCACTCAGGAATTACTCCTGGCGGTGCTCGGGGACCAAGTGGGATGCTGGGAATCGAACCCGGGTAGGCGCGTGCAAGGCAAACGCCCTCCCCGCTGTGCTGTCACTCCAGCTCCCATGCGGTCTTCTTAGGGTCTGCTCGAAGCTCGCTTTGTGACACCTGGCAGCAAAATTTTCTTTTTCCTGAGCTTCGTAGGACATGCACCTGCATTGAGATGGACTCGACCACCGGTTTAACGGAGATTCCTGAGAGCCGGCGCCAGTTTGGCTCTTCTCCGGAGAGATGAGCTAGAGAAGCACTACTAGGAGCTAGCTCCGTAGGGAGTGAGTCCAGCTGATTAATGCCTGGAGTACAGGTGCAAAGGGCGATTATTACATGAAATTTAAATCGTTCTGGGAGAGGATTTTTCAAACTTTTTTTGAAAGATTAGAAAGGAGGTTTTCGATTTTGATTCTCAAGCAGTGCTAAGGGAACCGGAGCGGGGTCCTCACTGCAACACTTAGTCAACGGGCAGGAATTTCAGTTCAATGCAAAGGCTGGCGGATTGGCACTGCTTGGGCCCTGCTGTGCCTACCCTCCCTTGGCCACTCTAGGCAGCCTTTCAGGGCTGTACCCAATCACTTGGGAGAACAGGTGGTGCTGGGGTTAAAATCTGGACCAGCAGCATGTGAGTAACTGACCCTCTATTGTTTCTCTGACCTCTGCTTGGGATCTAACTGTAGTGCTTACTTTAGGTTTATGCTTGAGGGCCCGTGGTAAGGTAAAGGTAAAGGTAAAGGCCCTCCCATTGATCGTCGATTTGCTCGAGCGGGCCCAGTAACGTCTCCATTGGAGACTTTGTTGTTACTGTGTCTGGCATATCGAATACTTCACAGGTAGCTTGCCGGGCTCTCCGAGAGGGGCGGAGGAATCGAACTCGGGTCGGCCATGTTGGCCGCTTGTAAGGCGAACACCCTACCGCTGTGCTATCGCTCCAGAGGGCCGGTGGTAGAGAGGGGAAAAGGACCATGGGATGGGAATGTTAAGCCGTGTGCTATCTCTCCAGTCCAGAAACTGGAAATTGCAGCCGGAGCCATAGTACAGGGGGTAGAGCCCTTGCCTTGCAGGTGGTTGACCCAAATTCAATCTCTGGCATTTGAACATTGCCTAGAGTCATCCCTGACACAGAGCTAGGAGTAAGCCCCGAGCACTGCTGGTGGGTCCCCAAAACAGAATAGCAACAACAACAAAACACTTGGAAATTTTTATTGAGGAGTTAGGGTGATATGGAAACATTTCAAGTGAAGGGTAAAAAACAAGCAAACAATGTTCAGCTAGAAAGGAGTTATTTTATTTTAAAACACAGATTAATAAATATTATTGGAAAACTTAATAAATAGCCTTTTTATTTACATAAGGCAATTACAACATGCTAGGACTACTTCTAAAAAGCAAAATCTAAGCAAGTCTCGGCCACTGACAGACGTGTGCATGGATGCTAATTGGAAGCGCCCCTGATACATTTACATAAAATCCCTTTTAAGCCACCAATCAACATTTTACATTTCTCACCAAGTCCTTGTCATTTCATGATTACATTCCATCTAACAATAATAAAATAAGTTATTTTAAAAGGCAAAAATACTCAGAAATGCTACTTTAAGACAGTACCCTTTTTTCAAAGTGCAAAAACACTGACAACGGGGTTAGGAACAAATTCTAACAACAACAACAACAACAACAACAACAAGATTCTGAACTTTTCAACACGACCCTTTGGCATGAGTGACTTGGGCACTGCAGACCTGCTACCAGGCACTGTGGTTCTCCACACAGTTGTCACACACCATTTTTGTTTTTGTTTTCTTTTTTCAGTCCAATAACTGGTTTATAACCTTTTTTAAAAAAACAACAACAACAATCCTTCCTATAATGATTGCAGCCACTTTTTGGCAAAAAAATATTTTTCATTAAATCTGCAATGCCCATGCAGGGAGCTGCATGACCAGGGTTGAGTCGCTCAGAAGCCAGAAGGTCAGTGCCACTCACTGCAAATTCAGGCAAAGGAGTCGATCTGGCTCACAAGTGCCTCCAGGTGCTGCAGAACACAAACAGGCCAAAAGAGATACATCTGCCACGCTCACCAGACCAGTGGAATGTTATTTTTCAGTATAGCCTTGAAAAACCCCTATTTGAGCTCCGCATCTTACAACAGAATGTATAAAACCCTTCCTTAAAAAAAAAAGGCAATTAAAGCTTCATGGAATCACACACTCTATAAGCCTGTGCTCCCTCGCTTGCTCAGTGCTTAAAGCCGCGCGTGTAAGGTTGGTCCTGAGAAGGCAGAATACCTGCTGCGTTGTTCAGGAGCACTCTGAGGGCGCAGTGCACACGCTGAATACAGGAGCACCGAAACCATCGCCTTGGGGGAAACTACCCCACCTCTTGAGAGGTAGAGAAACTGAGGCACAGAAAGGTAAGGTGACTCACTGATAGTTGCATGATTCAAGGAAAAACAGAAAAAGAACACCCCAATCTCCCTAGCTGCTGCTCTGCACCCAGCACCCTGCTTCTGACCTCACTGGGTATATTTTAAATAGTACTTCCCTAATGGCTAGTTTCATTTTCTTAAAAAACATGTCATTGGTTGCATCGAAAAGCACATGGAAAGTGTGGAGGAAACAAAGGGGGGGGGGGCTACCAAGCCCACGCTTTCAGCTGCCACTCCTATAATTCTTAAGCTTTTCAAGTATATGACAGAGGTATAAGATTCTGGCTAGATGTGAAAAATCGCCGAAAAGCTAAAGGACAGAGTCTTAAAATCCACCCCCAGCATGAGGTGGAAGTGAGGAATACAGAGAAGCGAGGTATTTAGTAGGATGGAACAGTTTTCTGCTGGACTAGTGGGCCAAAGGATCATTTCTCTTACCAGCTCAAGTGCACAGGTCCCTAATGATGAGCGCAAGGTGAAAGCCTGTGGGAGGTGCTGGGCCCGAAGACCCCTGACAACTGAGGAGCTCTGCCGGTTTTGGTCCCTGAGTAAGTGGAACAAGATTTCTCTGGATGGGTGAAGGACTTCCCTGGGCTCAGGCACAGTAGCCAAGATGATGCCCTCAGAACTCTGGCCAGTCAGAAAGTTGCAAACTGATCTCCACCAAGTTTTCTTCTCTTGGCAGTTTCCCACTTGGTCCCAGGAAGCCAAAATCGGGATCAAGTCCGCCTCAGAGAGGAGGCCACAGATGCATTTTCTTGCATCTGCAAGACCAGTGCAGCAGCTTAGAAAAGACACCCCCTCCCCAGTCCAGGAACTGAGATGCACAGTATTAGTCTGTGCTCCCCAACACCCCGTCTCCGTGGACCTGAGTGCCCATTCTCCCCAGGAGAAAGGGGTCCCCAAGTCTTATCCAGGTCTCACAAGGAACTGGCCAACAAACACAGCACCAACCAGGAGCTAGCTGTGCGGGAGGGCGATGCAGAGACACATGTTCAACAGAAACTGAGGTTAAACCCACAGAACTCCTGCAGGAAGTGAAACAAGAGGAAGGGAAAGCTTGTGTCTGATTACAAAATGCAAAACAGAGCCTGCTCTACTGACACAATAGCAAATGAGAAAAGGCAGTGATGATGGGTCCCAGTGCTGAGCCGTTCCTCTTCCGGGATCAGCTGCTGGTCCTTCCCTCGACCTTTCTGCACAGACATGGAGTGTTGTATGGGACAGCTAAGGCCCTGCAGTGAGCTCTGTGCTGGGTGTGGGCTGGAACCCCGAACAAGCAACGGCCAGTGAGTGAGACAGAAGCCACCTCCCTTCATGCAAAGATTCAGATGAGACCTCCAAGTAGGAGAGGAGATGGCCCAGGAAGTGTCCAGAAGAAATCTGAGTGTTTTTACTGGAAGCATGATTTTAGATGAGGTGCGAGCAACAATCAGTAGACATTTCTTGCTTTTTTTTTTCCTGTTTTCTTTCCATTTTTACTTTTTCCCTCTCCAGAGGCTCCTTTTTATGAAAGCTCAGGCCACCTCTTGGTCAGTATATGCCCCCAAACTGGGGCTTAAGCTGTGGGCCTCCTACTTGCCCTGGGCACTTTCTAAGCCACCTTCCAAGCCCTGCTGTTTCCCCCTCAGGTATCAGCTTATGCAATAGTATAATAATGAACATATTCACACAGATTTACTTCCAGAAATCAGAGGATACTAGTCCCCTTTGCAGACCTTCCCTATAGTACTGATTTGAGGCATTTGTTGTTGCTGCAATTCCAAATAAAGAATAAAAACAGAAATGTGTAAAATAGGATTAGAAATAATATGCTCTACATTAAATGTGAAAGTTAGGTCACAAAGTGCTGGTCATGTTGCTTGCTTTGAGGCTAGTCACCTACTTGAAATACAAAGAAAGGAATGAATTAAAAAAAAATGTCGGGCCACACCTCGTGATACTCAGGAGTTACTCCTGGCTCTGCACTCAGAAATTACTCCTGGCAGTGCTCAGGGGGCCACATGGGATGTTGGGGATTGAACCTGGGCTGGCCACATGAGAGATAAGCACCCCTACCTGCTGTGCTCGGCCCAAGAATGGAATGAATGTGACTTTACAGTGAAGAAGCGCTATGGCACCTATCAAAATGATCTGCTGGACAGAAGCAAATGTAGAAGAGTCTAACTATTTGGAATCTTCCAAAAGGGGGTGAGCTAGCAACACAGATATTGTTTAGAAGCTCACCCAGAAAATGCCACCACTAAGTATCCATGGCATAATCAATAAACAACAGTGCACTCTAATAAGGACGCATTTTTAAAACTAAGCTTCAGAATGTAACAGACACGATCATTTCCGTATGACTCATGAGCTTTCTCTTTTTACTTATATGGCCATGTGTGTTCTTGGAATATAATGTCTTACCTAGGAAACTATGCATACACCTAAAAGGACATTGATACTGCTACATTTTCAGAAAGTTCAATTCTATAAATTAAGGTCTGCATTCCAAAAAATACGGATTGAAAAGCAACCCTTCAGGAAGCTGATAAAAAGAGTAGGGGGCTTATTGAGCATTTGTTATCAGTTAATATGACATTAGACACATTTAAATAAAACCTTGTTGCACTCAGCATATGAGTCATGGGCAGCCCGCGGTCAGGACACAGACCTCGATTCAGAGAGGTATTAATCTCTCCTATATGTTAAACCATTCCCATCCATCCCCATTCTATTGAGCCCCTTGTATTTTAGTAAAATACTTCAGGGGGTTGAGAAATGTTCTTTGTTGCCTTAAAAACACATTCCCCTCCCCCACCCCACCCCCACCTTGGTAATTATAATTGGGCATTACTCAGTTTTGTGCTCTGACTTCGAAAATTGAAACCCCTACGCCCTTTTTCAGCATGCCCAGCTCTCTCTGTAGCTCAGACACTGCAAGAAGCACAAGGTCTCCTGAAGCACTGGCATGACCATGCATCTGTTCCCATCATGGCACATGAAGAATTACTGCACGCAGACAGCCAGTGCCTGCTTCCCTCCACATACTGGCACAATGAGTGGTGGCTTTGCGTTTTGGAAGTTCTACTATGATGGAGTCTCTACCAGTTCAAAAGAGCAGGAAGAGATTCAAGTCATTGTTTTCAGTTTGGCTATGAATTCCTCTGAAAACTCCTGATGTGTTTCCAAAACACAGAGTTGAGACGCGCCTGAGTTTGCCTGTACCTTTTGATTTGTCCCTGCGTTTTAGGGGACTCTCTCTATATATATGTATATAAAATTTAACTGGCTCATTATCAAGGTAAAGAAGCTGTGTCTTCAGAGTGGTCACAAGGCTTGTGGAAGGAGATGTGGAAATATCTGATACTGGATCCCAGTTACACAGATCGAATGTGAATAAAATACTCATACTCATGCTACTGAAATCAATTGTTTCCAGTTGGACTACACATGCTACAAGTATTGGTTTGCTCTATTGCCCCTGTGGTCTTGGTCATCCCCCAACAGATGAACATAATCTTTCTTACCGCTTTATGTGTCCAAGAGTGAAATATCAAAGCAAAGCTGAGGGAGGCTGCATTACTCTAAGAGAACACACGCACGGTAATAGTCAAAGTAAGTGAATAGTTCAAGTGATAAAGGCACTGGAGTTGCTTTGAGCTACTGAACAGTCATTCTGCAAAGCGAAGGCCACTTCCAGTCAGTCCCTTCCCTCCTCTCACTCTGCTTGGAATTAAAATACCTCGGAGCTGGGGGCAGGGGGTGTGGCAGAGCTGTCAGAGGGCGAGAAACCACTGAGTGCGTATTGCCTCTTATTTGGATGCTGTATCCGAATGTGATCACACGTGATGCAAACTAGCACGATTAGGACACGCTCACTTTTCCAAAGTCGCCATTCAAGGAAGATGGGAACCCCTGCCCAACTTAACCAGAGAGAGCCTGGCTACAGTCTCCGTTCCGATGCTAAAATGTTTTGAAAGGAAAGAGAATTAATGAGAGCTTCCACAGGAATGAAAGAACTCCCCCTCCTCAGAGACTCTCGGGGGAGAGAGAACTCCAGTGCCCGGCCCCGGCCTGGGACTGACCACGCCCACCTGCCCCGTACAGGCACTGTCAGTACCACATTTCGAATTCCTTGCACTTCCAACCAAATGAGGATCAGACCCCACATCCATCTCTTGCTCCTCAAGTCCCCCCTCGCCCGCGGCCTCGCCCCACACCCTAGTCTGTTTTCATATTTGACTTGTTCATCTCGCCGAGGTTGAAATTGAACTCCTTGAACACCTGTATGAGGACGATGCCCACCGAGACAGTGGTGAACCCGCAGGCCATTCCCAGGAAGTCCACCAGGCCTACATTGCTCCACTCCCGGAAGAGGATGGCGGAAGCCAGCAGGACCAGCGTGGTGAACACCACGTAGTAGATGGCGCCGAACACGGACGAGTCGAAGCACTCGAGCGCCTTGTTGATGTACCTGAACTGGATGATGATGCTGCAGCCCAGCACGGCCAGGAGCACCAGGCACAGGCAGAGGGCGCGCTGGCTGGACGGGTTGTCGTGCAGGATGTCTTGGGCCGCCAGCCCGATGCCCTTGGTGGAAGGCACGGTGAAACTGCCCAGCAGCGAGCAAATACTGATGTACACCATGATGTTGGTGGGCCCGTGAGCTGGTGCGATCCAGAAGATGAGCAGAAGCAGCATGAGGAGCACGATGCACAGGTAGCCCACGAACACTGGGCAGAGAGACGGGCGGTGAGGACAGTGCACACCCTGGGTATGGCCCCCGGGAGCAGGGCACCACGAGCCAGCCCACTGGGCGCTGTACCCCACTCCCAGGACCGGGAAGGCTGATGTGGGGGTCCCAGTGGGGCCCTTACCTGGGTTGGTTAGCTTCTCCTCCAGCTCGGCCTGAGTCGTCACACTCTCAGCTTTCGGGGAGTGGATGATCAACACCACGGAGCCTGCACAGCTGAGTAGACACCCCAACTTTCCCAAGATATTCAGCTTCTCCTTCAGGAGGTAAGAGGCTAAAATGGACCTGCAGGAAAAGAATCATTCACCCTTAACACTGATGATCAGGCAGGCCCCTGGCTATCCTCGCAAGTGCTACAGCTCCGAAAGTCATCTCTGCCTTATGATCACTTAAAAATTTTAATTTAGGGGGCTGGAGTGATAGCACAGCGGGTAGGGCATTTGCCTTGCACGCGGCTGACCCGGGTTCTATTCCCAGCATCCCATATGGTCCTCTGAGCACCGCCAGGAGTGACTCCTGAGTGCAGAGCCAGGAGTAATCCCTGTGCAATGCCGGACAGTCCTGGCTCTGCACTCAGGAGTCACTCCTGGAGGTGCTCAGGGGACCATATGGAATGCTGGGAATCGAGCCCGGGTCGGCTGTGCGCAAGGCAAATGCCCTACCCGCTATCTCTTCAGCCCCGAGATGGGGAATATATTTGTTTTTGCTCTTTTTTGGGGGGGGGGGTCACACCTGGCGATGCACAGGGGTTACTCCTGGCTCTTCACTCAGGAATTACTCCTGGCAGTGCTCGGGGGACCATATGGGATGCTGGGAATCGAACTCTGGTCGGCCACATGCAAGGCAAACACCCTACCCGCTGTGCTATTACTCCAGCCCCGATGGGGAATATTCTTAAAAGTTATTTCAACACATAGGAATGTCATACCAATTCCATTCATAGCTACAGTAAAATGACCCTTGTGATCAGGAATGATCCTTGAGTGTAGGGCCAGGAGTAAGCCCTGGGCACGCCGGTTTGCTCCCACCCAGAAAAAAAGCAACAGTCAAAATACTTAACACAGGGAGCTTGAGAGAGTAGCTTGCCTTGCATGGAACCAGCCCTGGTTTGACCCCAAATGCATGAGCCTGAGGAGTTAACATTGTCAAATGGCCATCAGACCCAAAGCACCAGACATAGATTTCCTGTGATTTCCATAAAAATTTCGATAACATTCTTGAAAGACCCAGAACTGACTGATAAAATCTGCATGGAGCAAGAAAGCTTCCTGAATAGCTAAAGCTATTCTGAAGGGTTAAAAAAAAAAAAGATGAGAGAAATTGAATTTTCTGACACTGAATTCTACTGCAAAGCTATGTAATCTAGATAGAGTGGTACTGGAAAAAGGTAACTCTCACACCAACAGAACATAATTGAGAGCCCAGAAATAAAACCCTCAGATTTATGGCCAGTTTATCTATGGCCAAGGAGCCGAGTGCATGTATCAGAGCAAAGAAAGCCTCTTCAACAAGCAGTGCTGGGAAAACGGGTCAGCCACATGCAGAAAGAGACCTGCTCCATGTCTCACACCCTGTGCAAACGTTCAGGTTGCAGTGAACTGCAGGACTGCAGCTTTTCCTGACGCTTCATGATACTCCATTATGTACATAGGCCACCCATCTGTCATCGAACGTTTGGGTCGTTTCCATAGCCTATTTTACTCAGCACTGCAGTGAACAGAGGTGAGCACAGAGCTATTCAAACTGATGTTTTTTGTTCTTGGGATAGATGCCAAGAAGTGGGGTCTCTTGGTGGTGTGATGCTGACAGCAGGTCGACCTATACCTGTGGGGCAAGTGCATGAGAAACTGAAGGCTTCCGAATACTCCCACAACTGCCACCGTGCCTCTGGCCAGACCCAACAACTCGGGACCAAGTTTCCCGAGAAATTAAACGGCCAAAAGTTAGGTATGTAGGAGCAAGGCCCACAAACCACCTCTGGCTCCGCTATACAAGCTTATTTATTGGCCTTGCTTCAGAAACCCATAAATAAATCTAGAAAGAGATCAAAAGCCACAGTTAATTTCACACCTGCACAAGGCTGAAAAGACCAGGGTAAATTGGAGCGGGGGTGGGTCGGCCTGGTGCCTGCCCAAGCAGAGCCTCTGACAGCCGCTTGCTTCCACAATTCAAAATCACCACCATGCTCCTGGCAAGTCTCCACTGTCTCGGACAGACCTCAATGGATATAATCTGCTGAAAATTGGGGAATGAGGGTTTTGTGATTGAAATCTGCAGGTTTTCTTGGAGTTGGGATAGGCTACTTCCCCCCACCTTCCTGTAATTTCGGAAGCCTCGGCAGTCGTGTCCACACCCCAAAGCTGCCACCCAGTTAAAAAAGCTACCCCCAGGGGCTGGAGCACAGTGGGCAGGGCGTTTGCCTTGCACGCGGCCAACCTGGGTTCGATTCCCAGCATCCCATATGGTCCCCTGAGCACCGTCAGGGTTGATTCCTGAGTGCAGAGCCAGGAGTAACCCCTGTGCATCACTGGGTGTGACCCAAAAAGCCAAAAAAAAAAAAAAGCTACCCCAGCCTTACCTTCCTGATAAAAATACTGAATGCCTGTTGGGTAACATTGCTTTGTCCTTCAAGAAGCTTAGGTTTATCTGGTTACACCCATCAATCTGGTTACACCCATCACAGTGCTCCTGAAGCACTTCCACTTCCATTGTGTTTACATGTAAACATGTAAACAGTCTTCCCTATGCTCTCCTTCCCACCCAGTTAATCAGCTTTCCCCTTAATCAGACTTTGTTAATTTGTAAGATCAGTTTCCAAGAAATCTATGATTTTATATGTATGAGTGAAATATTGCCTTTCTCCTCTCCTTATGCCTTATGAATAGTTTACCTTAAGTAATATCCTTTTTGTGTAGATACAGAAGGACCGTTAACATTATGCTTTGTAACTTAGGATTTGATTGGCCTTGAATATTATTCACTCCCGGGCATCTGCTTTCTCGACTTAAGCCTCAGTTGCCCTTAGTTCCTAACACCCCAAAAGCAGGGTCCCGACGAGGGACTGAATGGATCCAGGGCAAGCAGTGAGCTACCCTGGCAGCGAAATGGACCAGGCCAAAGTGTCAGGATTCTTAACTATAAGAGTTTGATCATAGACAAATGCTGTCATGATCCAAAGGTAACGACAAGACTAGGATCCTGCTAGGGGTGGGAAAGACTATCTGGCCTGAGCACCTTAGTCTGAGATCGAGATGGCCCTAGGAGAGCAATTCTATAAGTTTAAGATATTTCTTACTGTATCCATACAAAATGATTTATATTATATTCTTGTATGCTTGTCGGACAAGGAGAGGAGAGGCACGCCTGTGGGATTCTGCTCTAGGGTGGGTCCTCCTGCTGAGGAAGGATCTGTCCTAGGAGCGGTCTTCCCTGAGGCTAAGATTTCTACCCTTGTTGATCTCTACCCCTATTGATTGTGACCGCACCTATGTAATTGTTTCCCCAATTCCTCATGGAGAGAGGATTTAACTGTACTGTAGGAGCGGGCTGGGGGAGAAGGAAGAAGCAGAGGTTCAGAGAGGATCAGAAGGAAGAGGAGGATGAAGGGGAATGGAGAAGGAGAATGAAGTAGCTGGGGGAGGAAGAATGGGGAGCAGAGAGAGAAGGAGAGAGGGAGCAGAGACAGATGAGGAGAGAATCAGAATAAACTACGACTAATACCTACCAGCCTGGCCCTCGTTCCTTCCTCCGCCTGACCATCGCCATCGACCTCTCCGGGGTGGGAGAAGGGTGAGACTACCGAACGCGGGCGGCGGGAGAGATAGAGCCACCGCCGCTGTGTGGGTGCCGAGCCCCCTTTGTGTGAGTTTACACAAATGCCCTGAACAAACACGATGACCTCTTAGTACCTGTATTGCAAACCATAATGCACAAAAGGAGAGACAGAAAGAAGAAAAGGGCCTGCCATAGAGGCAGGTGGTGGGGGGAGGGACAGTGTTGGGGGATGGAGGGAGGGAAATGGGAGACTCTGGTGGTGGGAAATGTACACTGGAGGAGGGATGGGTGTTGGACCATTATATAACTGAAACCCAATCACGAACAGCTTTGTAGTGGTCTATCTCATGGATCACGGTGATCACAGTCCTCCCGTTGTTCATCGATTTGCTCGAGCGGGCCCAGTAACGTCTCCATCATGAGACTTGTTGTTACTGTGTTTGGCATATCGAATACGTCACGGGGAGCTTGGCAGGCTCTGCTGTGCGGGCGAGATCCTCTCGGTAGCTTGCCAGGCTCTCCGAGAGGGGCGGAGGAATCGAACTCGGGTCGGCCGGGTTGGCAGCATGCAAGGCAAACGCCCTACCGCTGTGCTATCGCCATATTCAATAAAAAGAAATAATAATAATAAAAAATGGGGTCGCTGAGTCTTCTGGGAGCTCTGCTCTTAGGTTTTTTTTTTTTTTTGGCTTTTTGGGTCACACCCAGTGATACACAAGGGTTACACCTGGCTCTGAACTCAGGAATTACTCCTGGCGGTACTCAGGGTCCATGTGGGATGCTGGGAATTGAACCCGGGTCGGCCACATGCAAGGCAAACGACCTGCCCGCTGCGCTATCACTCCAGCCCCTTCTCTTAGGTTTTCAGTTCGGGGGCCACACCGTTGGTGCTCAGGGCTTACTCCTGGCTCTGCACTCAGGGATCACTACTCCTGGTGGGTCTTGGGGAACCACACATGGCGCTAGGACAGGACGTGTGTTGACTGCTTCCCCACTGCACTTTCTCTTCAGCCCTCTATCCTGTCTTCTTTTGGCGGGCAGGGTGGGGAAAAAGAGGCGGGGGTGAGTAAGACCAAACCCAGCTGTGCTCAGGGTTGGCTGTGTGCAAAGTAGAGCCTTCCCCCCTGTACTTTCTCTCCAGACTCAACTTTTATTATTTTAACAAAAACACAGAAAATGAATTTTTCTGGGGGGAGGGCAGGGGTTGGGGGTTTTTGGAACACCCCCAGCAGTGCTCTGGGTCACTCCTGGCAGTGCCGGGAATCGCGGGGGTCAGCCTCATGTGGGCAAGTGCCTTAGCCCTCTTCTCTCTCTCCAGCCCAAAACATTTTGCTCTAAACCACACGCTCGGCCCCACATCCCAGAGCCCGCACTCACCCAAATGGCACTCCAAGGGCACCTAGGGGTGTCACCAACACAGTGGGGACGGCCGTGTACGCCAGGAAGTTTCCAATCTGGCCGACAGCCACTGTGGAGAGAATCACGGGCACATTGTCAGTGCGAGTGGGCGAGGAAGGGGCTGCACTGGGCAGGGCTGAAACCCTGCTAATCGGAAGGAGGCACTGTGGGGCCTGCTGGCCAGGTGCAAGGCCAGATCATCTGTGGCCCCCTCGGATGCTGTGGGGGTCAACGCCATGCACTGACCCCCTTGACTTGAGGAAAGAACTGCCAAAGCTCTCCGTGCTCCCAGAGTGGGAGTGTCCTCCCACCCCATCCTTTCTGCCCCTCGGTGCCCTTCCTGCAGAAACTCTGTATCCACAAAGACAGGCCAGAAGCTGCATTCACAGGGTCTGCAGAGTTGCCCAAGCCAGAACTTTCCAGCACTTCTCTGTCCTTGTCTGTTCTTCAGATGTACGGCCTCTCTGCCCCAGAACTCCAAAGTAGCTGCTTTGATCTCACACACCCGGTCCTCTCTCCCCTGGGTCACGGACAGGAAACGGCATTCGCCTTTTGTCTGGTGAATCTCTCACGTGTCCATTTACTTGTGGGTCAGTGAAAGGAACCTGGGGAGGGGAGGGGGCACCCTCCTGCCATTCCCCCAGGCCAGCATTGGGGGCCAGAAGCAGCTGGGCTTCCTCTCTCCCTAAAGAGCCTGTCTGCAGGATCCTGTGGCCAGGGCTGCCCTTTTGGCTGTGGGGCCTGGGGCTGGGCCACCCCAGGGGAGCAGGGAGGAGCTTCCGGGGAAGGGATTTCTGGAGTTCTGGAATTCCTGTCAATACGGCGGCCAGCTTGCTGCTCTCGCACATCCCCTTTCCCTCTGCCCATATTGACGTTTCAAGTCTGATTTCCTTCTGTGACTGAACACGGCAGCCCAGGACCTCAGAGCCAATCGGGGACAAGCCCGCGTACCCCAGGAAGCAGGCCCAGAGAAACGAAGGCTTTCTGCTGGCTGTGGCCCGGGGTTAGCAAACCTGCAGCGAGGTGAGAGCCAGGCAGCGGAGTAGAGGCTGTGCCTCCCAGAAGCGGGGGCACTGCCTTCTGCCCCCCATGCTTGGCCCAGATTCTGGCCAGACGCATCTTACCCGCTCTGGCGCTGCCATAGCAAGGACCCTGCTAGACATGGACAAGCCCAGGGAACTTACTTGCAATGGTGCCCGCCCACCACACAATGTCAGTCAGGTACGAGGTCCCTGGAAAAGAGAAAATTCAGATCAGAGAGCACAGCTAGGGCTCACGAACGACATAGACGATGGGGGAATTTTTTTATGCCTGTTGGGTTTTCATTTGGGGCCACACCTGGCTGTGCTCGGCTAACGCCTGGCTCTATGCTCAGGGATCACTCCCAGTAGGGATCACTCTTAGTGGGGCTCAGGGAACCCTATGGGGTGCTGGGATCGAACCTGGGTAGGCAAAGCGAGCGCCCGCCCGCTGTACTATTGCTCTGGTCCCCTAAAGACTTGTCTTAACTGCAGAGTTAAGTTCCCTCTAGCTCCATCTCCTTGGCAGAGATCAAGGCCATCCCCACCCAGAAGATGGCAGACGTCAAGGCGGCTGCATCTGGGACAGGCGATGACTATTTATAACTGCCCAGTGTTTGCTACTCCTGCAGTCCAGACCTGCCAAGCCAGGGGCTGCCCTCAGGACTTCTAGAAAGGCCCCGAGGCGAAGGCGCCCCAAATGAGGGCTGAAGCATTTCAAGCCCCTGTGGAAAGCTCCACTCACTGAGACAGGACCTGGCACTGCTGCAGGGAATGGTGGGCAGAGGACATTTTTGGAAATCAAGCTGGCGAGCTATATATGGGCAGGAAACACAGCTATATATAGGAAGAGGCGGGCTGGAAAAGCCTTACCACTTAGCAGCAAATTGGAGGCAGCTGGCCAATGAAAAGGACCCACAAAGCTTGTGCGACGGTATTCAGTAGAGAGTATTATTTTAGAGAAGAAGGAAGAAGGGAGGAGGAGGGGGAGGAAGAGGAAGAAGAACAAGAATACGAAGAACAAGAAGACAACAATGACTATGACAATCAAACCCTAAGAGAATGGTTCCATTCACCAAGCCAGAGGCACACTGAGCTGAATGCGTGCCCTGGCGAGCGCACTTGCCAAAGACCTGGAACTCGGCCGTGCCCGGGATGAGGGTGGCAAGGCTGACGCTGCAGAACAGCCTGAGTGGGGTCTGAGCCCCGGACACATCCCCCCTCCCCCCGCTCCTGCACTCCCGGCTTCTCTCTCTCTCTCTCTCTCTCTTTTTCTTTGCCACACCCAGGGGTGCTCAGAGCTTACTCCTGGCTCTGCACTCAGTAATGACTGGTGGCAGGGCTTGGGGACCCTATGGGATGCCAGTGATTAAACCCAGGTCTGCCGTGAGCCAGGCAAGCACCATCCCGCTGTCCTCTCTGGCCTCCTGCTCCCTCTGGGTTCCTGGGATGGTCACCCTCCTCTTGACCCCAGGAAACCCCCAGTGAGTCAGGAGAATGGAGTTGGGGGGGTGCAAGTCTGGAGCAGCTACCTCGGAGGGGGTCCGACCGCCTGGGGGTAAGAAATGGGGACGTGACCCAGCTTCAGAGTCCACAAGGTCTCAGAGAGGGCGAGGGGGCAGACAGGGTCAGAGTCGTCTCCAGCCGGGACAGCGGGAGGGCTGAGAGGCAGGCACCTCTGGTGGCTCTTCCTCATGCTCTACATGTGCTGACAGAACCAGGGACCGCCTGTTCAGACCACGGCTGGCACCGGCTCAGTTCTGGCCACAGGTGTACCCGGGGCGTGGGGCTCAGATCAAGTGTCGCCGTTGGGCAGGAATTTGGTTTCTCTTACTCAGAGGAGGACGCAGGTGATCAAGTTCTGAGAAACTGGGGCCCCTAGGAGCCCTCTGGCACGCCCCCTTTTCACCCTGGTCACGCAGGCCAGTTGGGGTGCGTTGTGTCCATACGTGCACACACGCTCACACAAAGCATGTGCACACAAGCACAGGTCCACACATGCGCGCACACACGCACACTCACACATGCATGTGCGCACACGCACACACACACACACACACACACTCTCACATGTTCCTTGTCTCGGCAGCACATGCAGGCATGCCTTCTCCTGGACTGTGTACACAGGGGAGGCCGTGGGTGCAGGCCAAGGCATGGAGCAGCACTGACCAGCCATCTGGGCAGTTGGCCTCCCAGCCTGTCCCCACCCAGACTCCAAAACTCAGCTGCCAACACCCACACCATGGACAACCTGTCAGCAGTGGCCCCCCACATTCCACAGGCCCAGGTCCCGATGGCCCACTTTCTGTGGGTGCCCAGCTGAGCTCTGCAGCTCAGGGTCTCCTTTCCTCATGGTGATCTGTTTCCGTGGGCCTCGCTTTGGCGGGGTATAGCCAGATGTCCAGAAGCCGAATCCCAGCTCTAAGTTTGGGAATCACTCCCACGGGCTCAGGGGTGCATGCGGTCCTGAGCACTGAGCCCAGAGGGCCCCACCCATACAGCAGTTGGAGCATTTCTCCAGCCTCCTTTCCAAACTCTTCCATTGAAGCTGAGTTGATGTCCTCCAGCTGCCATCATGAGTTCACCAAGACCCCTGAGTGCCAACCCCTGTCCTCTGTAGTCCTGTTTCCACTCCCACAAGATAAAAACAATGGCCACAAGAAGCTTGCCGAGGGCATCCTGGTGGGGAAGGAACCATTTGCGGCAGGAAGGCGGTTCACAGAATGGCCAGCACTAAGAAACTTCAGTTCTTAAAGAAAGGCTGGAGCGACAGTCAGCGGGGGAGGCGCTTGCCTTGCATGTAGCTGACGTAGGTTCGATCCCAGGCACCACATATGGTCCCCAGAGCCCAACAGGAGTGATCCCTGAGGGCAGAGCCAGGAGTTAGTCCTGGGCACCCACGGGTGTAACCCCCCAAATAAAAAATAACAACAGCAAAATGCTATCAAGCACATCGAGCGATTGGCTAGATTGAGTCAATTTATAAAAAAACTTAGACAATGAGTCTGACAATCAAACCCTAAGTGTCTATACTGGCTGAGCACCGAATAAATGAAACTATAGTAGCATCTGGGCACTTACACTCACAGGAACGGAAAGAACTATGATTTCCATGAGAAAGCTGGCCAGCAGCAGCTCAAGTTCCGCTCAGAGAATCCGGGGTTCTGTCCACAACAGCACCTCTGAAAGTTAGCTCCTGAATACCACGGGGTGTGGCCCCGAATCCAAAATCGAAAGAACAAGAAGAGGAAAATGGGACCAGGGAGAGAGTATAGGGGTGCGGGCACGTGCCCTAAACTAATTTGCTTTCTGTTATCACGTGCCCCTGGACATCACAGGCTGTAGCCTTAGGGGCCCAGCACTTTGGAAGCACATCCTCAGGCCCTGGAATTCAACTGTGCAAAGCTGTTGGTGCCGACTCACTGGGAGGCCCCCCTGGGTTCCTGACCACTGCTTGGGAAGACTCCCACAACGAATTTTAAGAGACACGGAGGGTCTAGAAGATGGCACAGGGGCCACTCAGCCCAGGCTTAATTTCTGGCACCGCAAGGTCCCCCAAGCACGCACTATCCCCCAGCGCTGCAGGGTCCAGCTGGTCACTCTCGGCCATACTCAGCCAACCGGGCTGGACAGTTCTCTGGCTGCAGGTGCTGGGGCCATAGGGTCACACGGAGGGCAGAGGGGGGCCCTGGGGCAAGTGTCTGTGCTTCAGACATCCAGTTGCCCTGCTCTCCTCAAAGGCTGATTCTTTCCTGTTCTTTCTGGGGCCACACCCAGCGGCTTTCAGAGGCTGCTCACAGCTCTGCTGGTGGCGATGGGCCCTCCGCCCGGAACACTAATTCCTCCGACACCCAGGTCCCGTGTCTCCTTCTTGAAGACACACCCGGCTCAAGGCCTGAGAGCTAGGCAGGGGTCGTTGGCCTTCGGGAACCTGAGCTGAGCGTAATCGCTGCTGGGGGAGACTCTCACCTTCCTCGGGCGCCCGCCTGCACCTGACCATCCCAGGGACGCTGGGCACTGCCTTTCCAGGCCTGGGCTGCAGAAACGCCTTCGGGGGTGGCCCATTTGGGGCTCGCCCTCTAATCGGCCGGCGCACTGGGCTCCACCCGGTGCTAACAACGGCCTCGGCCGGGACAGGCAGGCACCCTCTCCCCGGATCCCCGCACCTCTCCAGCCCAGCCGGCGGCCCCGGGCCGCGCCACACGCAGACACAGCCCGTGGCTCCTCTGGGGGCACATCGGGGGACACCCGGGGGGCGGCGGGAGAAATACGGAGCCCGAGCTTGTCCAAGCACGCTCTCAGGCGCGGCGGCGGCGACAGTGCTCGCACCTATAGGGGCGACCGGCCACTTGGGCTCCCAGCGCGCGCCCGCGCCCCGCGCCCCGCAGGCCCCCGCATCCCCGGCCGGCCTACCCCGCCGCTTGGCGCGCACGATGCCCTTCTTCTGCAGCACGAACGTGGAGCCGTTCACCAGGCTTGACACCACCGCCACGCCCAGGCCGAGCGACACGGCGGCGGGGCTCGGGCTCCGCGCCCCCTCCCCGGCCGCAGCCGCTGCCGCCGCCGCAGTCCCCATCCCGCCCGCCGGCCCGCGCCTGCGCCTGCGCCTGCGCCCGCGGCTGGGGGTGGGGTGCGCGCGGGGGTGCGCGCGGGGGGCGCTGTGCGGACTGGGGATGCGCGCTGGGGGGCGCTGTGCGGACTGGGGGTGCGGGCTGGGGGCGCTGTGCGGACTGGGGGTGCGCGGGGGGGGGCGCTGTGCGGACTGGGGATGCGCGCTGGGGGGCGCTGTGCGGACTGGGGGTGCGGGCTGGGGGCGCTGTGCGGACTGGGGGTGCGGGCGGGGGGCGCTGTGCGGACTGGGGGTGCGCGCGGGGGGCGCTGTGCGGACTGGGGATGCGCGCTGGGGGGCGCTGTGCGGACTGGGGGTGCGGGCTGGGGGCGCTGTGCGCGCTCGGGGTGCGGGCTGGGGGCGCTGTGCGGACTGGGGGTGCGGGCTGGGGGCGCTGTGCGCGCTGGGAAGGCCGGGCCGGGGCGGGGATCAATGCCCGGAATGGGGACAGTCGGTCCTGGATCCACTGATCCTAGACACGAGGGGTGGGCTGGGACGTTAGTAGGGAGGTGGCCGCCCCAAAGATCCGCGTAGATGTGGGGAACAAGGCCAGGACACCGACTGGAAGGCCAGGGGAGTCCAGACCTTCCCGGGCTCACAAGGCAGGCAGTCTCTGAGCAAGGCACTGTGGGCGGCGGCCTCAGGGGCGCAGGTGCCGGGAGGGCGCAGGTGGTGGGGGGTGGGGGACAGGGCTGGGTGATGGGACACAGGGATAGGGAGGATATCTCGGGTAAACTTTAGTTTAATGTCGCTCCAGAATTTTGTTTACCCGAGATGCTCTCCCCCCGCCCCCCCCCAGGTTCTAAGTTCTTCGTTTGTTACTGATGAAATCTGTACAATCACAGCAGGAAATAGTTACTTAAAGATTTCTCCACCTCTCACCCCAACCTGCTTTTTTTTTTTTTGTTTTGCTTTTTGGGTCACACCTGGCGATGCACAGGGGTTACTCCTGGTTCTGCACTCAGGAATCACCCCTGGCGGTGCTCAGGGGGCCATATGGGATGCTGAGAATCAAACCTGGGTTGGCGGCGTGCGAGGCAAACGTCCTACCTGCTGTGCTATTGCTCCAGCCCCTACCTTGTTTTTTCTTATTTCCCCACCCATATTGTTTCTAGTTAGAACACATACACCTTCCAACTTATTTAATAGGTCATAATCAGTTTGCTACTGCTGACCTGAATAAAGAATAAACTGAGATAAATTCGATCTGGTCAAAATAGCTTATTTGGCAGTTGTGAAGGAATTAGACTTTGGACAGGTCTGCTCTGGCATGCTACAGGAAGTGTCAGGCAGATTTGGGGATAGGTGGTTCAGAAACTCTGACACGGTGCATCACTGGAGGATAAAGTTCTAAGGTCTCATTTCATTACATAAGCTGCTTTGTAAGGAAATACCTCTGAACCTCACTGGATGCCTTGCTCTTTAGAGCTCTGGGCTTTGTACACCGAGGTAGGGTTGGTTTGCTTCATGTCATGTGTGGGCACAATCAACTTTGACCTTTCTCTGCTTCTTTGGTTCATAGGCAAAGCAGTAAATTTCCACTCTCTGTAAACTATGCAGAAAGGAACTGGTCTCAGTGACCACAATGCCTAAGTTCTTGAGTTTCATTTTTCAGGGCAGATATCTGAGGTGTTCCGTTTTATGATCCCTGGTTCCATTTCAGATTGAAATTCTTTTTTTTTCTTTTTGGGTCACACCTGGCGATGCACAGGGGTTACTCCTGGCTCATGCACTCAGGAATTACTCCTGGCGGTGCTCAGGGGACCATATGGGATGTTGGGAATTGAACTCTGGTCGGCCATGTACAAGGCAAACGCCCTACCCACTATGCTATCACTCCAGCCCCTCAGATTGAAATTCTTTTTCAGGACATAATCATGCTGATTTGGGGGCCAGAGTCTTAGTACAGCAGGTAGGGTGCTTGCCATACATGCAGCCCACCCGGGATGGGGGAGAGGTGGAGAAGAAGGAAGAAGCCGAGGAAGAGGAGAGGACATGGAAGAGGAGGAAGAAGTATGCTGGGAACTAAAGGTTGAGTTTTAGAATGCTGGTCCTGTTGATATGGAACCCCTCGTCCTCACTGCCCGTCTTACTGCCCATCTCAGCCTGACATCCTTGGTATGAGAAAACAAACCCACAGACTGAATCTCTCAGAAGGAGCTCCAGGAAAGATGTTTGCCTTGAACTGCCGAGGAACGAAGCTATGTAGTAGCTTAGCCTAGAATTGTTCTTGTAGGAATATAATCAGAAGTGTGCTGTGTTTCTCCCTGCCCACTATGAATGGTGCTCCCCCTCCTGGTTTCCTGGCGTAAGGCAGTCAATTTTGCAGGGGAATGGATGGGTCTCTCAGCCCCTATGAAAAACAGTGGGGGAGATTCCTCAAGACATGAGGGGAGGGGCTAGAGCAATAGCACAGTGTAGGGCGTTTGCCTTGCTCGCAGCCGATCTAGGTTCGATTCCCAGCAACCCATATGGTCCCTCAAGCACCGCCAGGAGTAATTCCTGAGTGCATGAACCAGGAGTAACTCCTGTGCATCCCCGGATGTGAGCAAAAAAAAAAAAAAAAGAAAAAAGAAAGTAAAAGAACATGAGGGGAATCTCCCCATATGATCCTACATGCCCACCAGGAGTGATACCACAGTGCAGAACCAGGAGTAGGGCTTACCTTTCAGGCCAGATTTATTTTTATTTTTATTATTTTGTTTTTTTGGCTGCACCCAGTGTTGCTCAGATCTTACTCCTGGCTCTTCACTCAGGAATCATTCCTGGAGGTGCTCCTGAACCGTATGAAATGCCGGGAATCAAAGTGGGACCGGCCCACTCCTGGCAGGCTCTGGGGACCATTGGGATGCCTTTGAACCGAGAGGGTCCCATGCAAGGCAAGCGCTCTACCCCCTTTACTATCAGATTTATTGTAGCTCCATCTCCTATTCTAAGATAGGAAGTGAATGTTGTACATGTCACTAATCACTTTAAATGCCTCCTGCAAACTTTTGGGTTTTTTTTTTTGCTTTTTGGGTCACACCTGGAGATGCACAGGGGTTACTCCTGGCTCTGCACTCAGGAATTACTCCTGCCGGTGCTCAGGGGACCATATGGGATGCTGGGAATCGAACCTAGGTTGTCTGGGTGCAAGGCAAACGCCCTACCCGCTGTGCTATTGCTCCAGCCCCTCCCGCAAACTTTGATGCTCTTTTTTTTTTTACTCAATTCAAAATACTCTTATTTTCTTTACAATTTCTCATTGTAAAGGACTGGTGGATTAATACTAGGGTCAGAGAACAAACTTTGTATAACCTCAGTCCTTTTAAATATAAGGCCCGAGCACCGGGGGTGGGGGGGAGGGTGGGCAGGCTGACAGGGAGCCGACGCCCAGCACGCTGTCACACCTGGGCTCCGAGCATCCCTGCGAGGATCGCGTTGCAGGAGCGCCGGGCGGAGGAGCACGGTCCCAGCGTGCGTGCGTGTGTGCGTGCAGCGGAAGTCCCGCCTCCCGGAGCTCGTAGTTGGCTGGACTGCAGGGGCCGAGTAGGAAGAAGCGGAGCGGGATTGAAGGAAGCGGCGGGGTCGGGAGGTGGGTCGAGAGGACCCGCCTCTTCCATTGGCTAGGCCCGCGGAGCCGCCGCACCGCGATTGGTCGGGCGTCAGCGCCGGCCCGCCCCTCGGCCGCGAGAGGCGCCGGGATCGCGGGCGCCGGCCGAGCCAGCGGCGGCTGGAGGCTGCGACCTGACGCCGCCCGCCGGCGGCCGCCGAGACGCCGCGCGTCAGGTGCTGCCCCGGGGGCGCCGGCCGAGGGCGGGCGGGCGTCGCTGCTGGGCCGGGCCTGTGCGGGGTGGCGCGGGGCGCCTGCGGCTGGTCCCGGCTCCTCCATCCCCGGTGGCTGTCGGGGACCTGCGGGCTGCGGGCGCGGTGATGCGGGCCCGCGCCCGCACCGCGCCGCACGGTCTCCCGGTGCCCGTCGTTGGCGCCGTGGTCTGCGAGCACTCGGCGGCCCCGCGGGCTGACGTTGTGGTGGCTGCGACCGCCGCCCTCAGGGTCTCGCTGCGGCGGGAGGAGGAGCGGCGGGGCCGCCAGCACCTGCCAGCCGACGGGCCTCCCGGTGCTCCAGGCACCTGCCTGCAGATGGGAGGGGGGGGCCCTTCCGATGCTCCTCACACCTGCCTGCAGACGGGCCCGCCCGTGCTCCCCGCATCTGCGAGCACACGGGCCCCCGATGCTCCCCGCACCTGCAGACGGGCCTCCCGGTGTTCCAGGCACCTGCTTGCAAGACGGGCCTCGTTGTGCTTCCCGCACCTATGTGCACACGGCCCCCCCGGTGCTCCCTGCACCTGTAGGCAGGGCTCCGAGTGCTTCCCGCACCTGCATGTGGACGCCTTCCGGTGCTCCTCGCACCTGCATGTGGATGGGCCTCCCGGTGTTCCAGCCATCTGCATGCAGAAGGGCCTCCTGGTGCTCGCCTCCCAGTGCTCTAGGCACCTGTGTGCAGATGGGCTTCCCGGTGCTTCCCACACCTGTGTGCAGACAGCTTCTGGTGCTCCTCGCGCCTGCATGCAGACTGACCTGCCGGTACTCCAGGCGCCTGCATGCAGACGGGCCGCCCGGTGCAGACAAGTCACCCTGGTGCTCCAGGCACCTGCGTGCAGACGGGTCCCCCGGTGCTCCCCACACCTGTGTGCAGACGGGTTTCCTGTGCTCCCGGCCCCTGCATACACATGGACCTCCCAGTGCTCCGGACAGCCCTCTCCGTGCTCCCCCTGTTCCTGTGCTCTCTGCACCTTGCGCCTGCAGATGGGCCTCCCTGTGTTCCCCATGCTCCCCTCACATATGCGTGTGTGTGGATGGGAGCCTCCCTGTGCGCGCTCCTTACAGCCTCTGCTTCCCCTGCCCCGAGTCCTCAGGAAATCGGAATTGGAAGGGGCTCTGGGTCTCCGACGAGGCACTTTCGCCCACAGGCTTGGAGCGGGAGCTCCGCCAAGGGAAGATGCCCGCCGAATCTTTCTACCTGGCCGCACAGGCGCGACTCGACTCCAAATGGCTGAAGACCGACATCCAGGTGGGTCTGCGGTGGGTCTTGGGCTGATGGGGCTGTGGACAGTGTCGGGCTGTGTGGGCTGTGCGCAGAGCGGCCGGCTGGTGTCCACTTGGAGTTTGGCCTCTTGCAGCCAGAACTGCCTTCTGTGCTGGGCCAGGAGGTGCGCACTGTGCATGCCCTGAAGTTGCCGCCCTTTGCGGGTGCAGGGGGCATCTAGCTCTGTGGGTTTCTCCACTTTGCGCACAGGGGTTCTCGTCTGAAACCGTCGTTTGGTGTCTGTTCCTGAGGGACTCCTGAATCAGCCAGACCTGTAGTCTGATTTCCTGTGGAAACTGACATAGAAGCTGACATCCTTTGTTTGTATTTTCTTGGGGGGGCCTTGGGGCTACACTGCTGAGGCTCAGGGGTTCCTCCTGGAATTACTCCTTGTGGGGTGCAGGGAGTGGGAGTGTTTTTCAGGGTCTATCTCAACTGTGTTTGTGTTTCTGTTCAGTTTTAACTTGCTTCTGCTTATGACTAGTCTTACTGAGTTCAGATTTTTCATATCAGCATATGGAAACAGTGTTGAGCTTAGGTGCCAATGTTTTCATTTACTGTGGTAATTGCAAGCTTTTCAGGAACTAGTGAGTAATAGCATTTCTCTGAACTATTCTGTTATTTTTGTTTGCAAATGAGTGAGAGATCTACTTTTCTTTGAAACATACATAGCTTTATTACTATTTAAAAATATTATAAATGCAATGGTCTAAAAAAAATCCAAGGTTTATGAGTAAAAGACCAAATACAGTAGACACTTGCTGACCCTGATTTAATCCCTTGCATCCCATATAGTCCCCAGAGCCCTCCAGGAGTAATCACTGTGTATGATCAAAAAACCAAAATTAAAAAAAAAAAAACGAAACCCCAAAGTTTATAGGATGCTCATTTTCACAAATTTGCAGCACCAGTTAATAAGCTAAAACATTGGATATTTAGAAACATTTCAAAAAGCTGTGAACACGTTTAGAAAATTGCTTTCTCTACAAAGAATTTTATTAGCGTGGGACCGAAGAGATAGTTCAGTGTGGAGGATATTTGCCTTGTATGTAGCTGACCTGAGTTCAACCCCCAGCATCCCATATGGTCCCCGGAGCGCTGCCAAGAGTAACCCTTGCGCATTGCTGGGTATTGCCGGAGAAAGCAAGACAAAAACAAAGGGAAAACATTTTATCAGCTATAAAAAAATCTGTACAGTTTTTATACTGAAGCTAATAACGAGTTGCACTTGTAGTCACATTCTTTTTTTTTTTTTTTTTTTTTTTTTACATTTTGGGCTAGGCTGGAGCGATAGCACAGCTGTAGGGCGTTTGCCTTGTGCACAGCCAGCCCGGCCAAGTCAGGTTCAATTCCTCCGCCCCTCTCGGAGAGCCCAGCAAGCTACCGAGAGTATCTTGCATGGCAAAGCCTGGCAAGCTACCTATGACGTATTCAATATGCCAAACACAGTAACAAAAAGTCTCACAATGGAGAAATGGAGACGTGACTGGGCCCGCTCGAGCAAATCGATGAACAATGGGAGGACAGTGCTACAGTGCTACATTTTGGGCTATATCCAGTGCTCAAGGATCACTTTGGGCCAAGGGGTTGGGGTGGGGCATATATTTGGTTCTTGGGATTGAACCAGGGTCTGTGCAGGGTGGTGGTTCTTTTTCCTCACCCTCCTCCTCCTCTCCCTCCTCACTTGCTCAAAGCCCACTTCCGGTTCCACTCTTGCACTTGGCACTGTGTGCTGCATTAGCCTTAAGAATAGAATGCTACTTTTGGAGCTTCTTAGAGCCAGCAAAATGGAGTGTTTGCAAGTGTTCCGTAGCATGTGTGTGTTTTGTCTTGTCTCTGGTCAAGCATCTCAAGTATTTCTCCAGGAATCTCCCTCTTGCCTGGTGCTGAGTCAAGCCAGGTAATTGTGTCTTCTCAGCAAAGCATGAGTGACTGAAGTGTTCCCTAAAGTTTTGGGGGTGGGAAGGGAGTCCGGCTAAGCATCAGGGTTGTTGTTACAGATCGTGGGGTTGTTGTTGTGATGTGACATTAGATAAGAACGCATTGAGCCTGTGGTTGGAGAGATGAACAGTGGGGCCGCCACTCACTTTGCATGCTGCTGATTGCAGTTTGATCCACACCACCACATTTGGTTCCCGGAGCATTGCCAGAAGTGATCCCTGAGCACAGAGCAGGAGTAAGCCCTGAGGCACCACCAGGCGTGATTTGGGTTTATTTTCATATTTCTTTTTTTTTTTTTTTGGCTTTTTGGGTCACACCTGAGGATGCTTAGGGATTACTCCTGGCTCTGCACTCAGGAATCAATCCTGGCGGTGCTCGGGGCACCATATGGGATGCCGGAGCACAAACCCGGGTTGGTTGTGTGCAAGGCAAACACTCTCCCTACTGTACTATTGCTCTGGCCTTCTACATTTGCTTTTATTTAATAGTTACTGTGTATTTCCCTGTGTACCACTTGTTTTTGTTCTTTGTGATGTGTGTATGAGATGGTATCTCGTCATTGTCTTATTTTGATTTTTGGTACACTCAGCTGTACAAGGGCTTACTCCTGGCTCTGCTCTCAGGGATCACTCCTGGTGGGGCTCGGAGGACCAAACCAGGTTCTGGGGATTGACCCTGGCTCCCCCAGGTGCAAGGCAAGCTCCTTACCTGCTGTACCCACTGTCCGGTTGCTCCTACTCCAATCATTGAATTTATATTAGTATACGTATTGTGAGATAGTTCAAGTAAGGCATGACCTAGTGAGTTTTTGAGTCTTAGTCATCAAATTGAGTGACTGCTGAGTTTGAGTGTAGTATCTTGCTGTGAATGTAAAATTGAGTGCTGGTGCTGAGTCACACGAAGAAAAACCCTTTATGCCTCTGTGGTGGCCATGGCCATTTTACTTTCTTTTGTTTGGTTTTGGGGCCACACCTGGTAATGCTCTGGGCTTACACCTGGCTCTGTGCTCAGGGATCATTCTTGGTGGTGCTTTAGGGACCTGTATGTGGTGTTTGGGATTGAACTCGGGCCTGCTGCTTGCACAGGAAAATCACCCACCGCGCTACTTTCACACTGACCGCATTAGGCTTTTGATTAATTCACTGAAATATACCGAGCTTGGCTCTCTTAGACATGCAGATTGCTAGGCAGAAGGAAGCCTTCCAGACTCCTTCTAGGAATAAATGAAGAGACCTAGGTTTTAGTGCCCCCAAGGAAAAGTTTTATGTTGGCACAGAAGTAAGTTCATATGAGACAAGCTTGGCCGTGGACCACGGTTGTGCAGAGTTTCTTGAGCTACTTAGATATTTCATGCTCGAACCCTTCCTGAAGGCCTTGCCCCCAGGTCAGGGCAGCTGTCACGGTGATGTGCGCCTGTAGCACAGCCTCCATCGTGCCTTGGATTGGCAGAACTGACCCTGGGTTAGTGACTTGTCGTTCGGTAGAATCACTTTCCTCTCATTAGAACAATTCTTTATTAGTCAGAGTGATGGTACAGCGGGCAGGGCACTTGCCTTGTTGCTCCACCGCTGACCTGTCCCCAGCCCTCTTCATGTTTTCATGTAACGTTTGCTGAGAAGTTTAACACTTCTCTGGGCTGCAGAGTCGATTAAGGAGTAACAGCACGTGGTCTCTTAGAAGGGTTTTATTCTTGGAACATATATGCGTATTTACTGGTCTTGGTATAAGTCTTTGGCCTGTTCTGAGCCCGAGTCCAGGAATGGGATTATCCTGCTCTGAACTGCAGAAGCTCTCCTCAGATGAGTCTCCTGTACTGTTTCTATTCTGGGTTCTTTGAAGTGGAACATGAAATTAGATATGTATGAGGCAATTATTATGATTTTTTTTTTGGTCTTTGAGCCACACCCGGCAAGGCTCAGGGCTTACTCCTGGCTCTGCACTCAGGGGACTATATGAGATGCCGGGATCAAATGTAGGTTGGCCGCGTGCAAAGCAGGCACCCTCCCCACTGTACTATCACTTTGGCCCCTGTATGAGGCAATTAAAAAAAGCCCCTCTGTATTCTGAAACAATAATAGATCACAGCAAGTTTCAGAGAAAGTGGAGAGGTCGCTGCTTCCCCTCCGCCCAGACCTCCCCGCCCCCCCTCATGATGGTGGCATGGTTTCCAGGCTAGAAGTTGACATGGGCAGGCCTCACCCAGTGTGTGCTGTGCTATTCTAGCTGATGGGCTGTTGCCACTTCTGCAGTTTGGATCTGTGCCTTTTTGGGGCTAAAGGGACAGGACAGCGGGGAAGAGGCTTGTCTGGCATGTAGCTGACCTGGGTTTGATGGCTGGCACTACAGAGGGTCCCCCGAGCCCTGCTAGGAATGATCCTTGAACACAGTGACAGGTAAGCCCAGAACACTGCTGGGCATGGCTCCCAAACTCAGACCAGACTCCAAACGTCTGTGCCTGCTCCATCCCCATCCAGCTCTCCCTGTTGCTTCCCTCTGTTGTCACAGTACCCTGCCCTCCCCCCCCCCCAATTCCCCTCACCCCTGGCCTCTGACTTTGCAGTCCTGATCACTTTAGGATTATGTCAGTCCGAGATTGTCATCTGCTCTGTGACCTTTGTGATTGGTTTTGTCCACTTAGCTAATGCCCTTGAGATCTAGCCAAGTTGTTGAGTGCACAGTAAGTTAAATTTGTACCATTTGTGTCTTCTAATCCTCAGTTTTAAATGGTTTCATGTGGGGGCTGGAGTGATAGTACAGCAGATATGGCATTTGCCTTGCATGCGGCCGGTCCTTGTTCAATCCTTAAACACTGCCAGGATTAATTCCTGAGTGCAGAGCTGGGAGTAAGCCCTGAGCATTGCGGGCTGTGACTCAAAAAGTGCCCCCCCCCAAAAAAAAAATGATTACACATTGGGATCTAGAGTGGATGGAAGAACACTTGCCTGCTTGTGATCTACCCAGGTTTGACCCCTGGCGTCCCATAGATTCTCCGAGTATTGCCAGGAGTGATCACTGAGCACAGAGTGAGGAATAACCCCTAGCACCGGTGGGTGTGGCCAAAGACAAGAACCAAAAACAGCAGAGAAAAGATTATAGTGGGGGGGGGGGGGCTGGCAAAACGCTTGCCTTCCATGCAGCTGACCCGGGTTGATCCCTGAAGCTGTTTATGATTCCTGAGCACTGCGGGTTGGATCCCCTCCCCCAACAAAGAAGGATGATTACATGTATGACCAGAGAACTAGCACAAAGGCTGGCCTGAGCTTTGTTGTACTGTACCCAGCATCACATGGTCTTAAGTCTAGGGTCACTCATGAGCACTGAGCCAGGAGTAGTTTATAAGCATCACCGAGTGTGCCCTCCCCCCACAAGTAAACAGAGTGATTAAGTATAAAAGGCTTTAAAATGAAATATTTCCATTTTTTCTTTTTGGGTCACACCTGGCGATGCACAGGGCTTACTCCTGGCTCTGCACTCAGGAATTACTCCTGGCAGTGCTCAGGGGACCATATGGGATGCTGGGAATCTCATTCGGCTCAGTCGCATTTAAGGCAAACGCCCTACCTGCTGTGCTATCTCTCTAGCCCCTGAAATATTTTTAATGTCTAGATGGCCACTTTTTATTTAGAAATGCCCATAGTGGGGCTGGGAGTGGCCCAGTGGCTAATGCTCTGGCCTTTCAACTGTGAGACCTGAAGTTTTGCCCACATGCCCCAAGTGCAGGCCCTGGCTTTGGTGCTAGCAGACCCATGGTGCCATAGTCGTGCTGCTGAACCTTGTGGTCTGGTGCCATCCCTGCACGACAGTGCCATGCCCCCCCCCTCCCCTCTTCACTCACTCCTGCATGCCAGTGCCGCTGCTCCACCTGGACTCACCCCTATATGCCAGTGCTACGGCTCCACTTGGACTCCCCCTGCATACCAATGGCGTGGTGCCATGCCCCGTCTGGACACACCCCTCCATTCCAGCCTGGTGCCAGCCCTGACCCTAGAAGAAAGGGAAGGAGTCAAGAAAAACAAATGTGAACATTTTGGCAAAGTCTCCTCTCAGCTTTTCCAATTAATAGAAGAGATTTGAAAATAAAAGAGTGTTATTTGGGGCATTGTGCCTGGCAGTGCTGGGGTCATGGCAGTACTAGGGGTGAACCGTGGCTCTTGCATAGAACACATTCACTTCAGCACTTGGAGCCATCTCCCCAGCATGAAAATGAAGACAATTTTGTGGACACAGTTAGTTGATAGTATGCCTTGATACTACTTTGGAGCCTGAGGGATCAGTAGCTCACTTTTTAGGTTCACTGTTTGTATTTGTATTTTGTCAGGTGTTTGCATGTGTTTGCCTTTTGTTAGTCGTTTTTTCCTTTCATTCTGTCCTTTTTTGGGGGGGTGGGGCTGTGCTTCCTGGCACTGCCTAGGAGCTCCAGGACCTGTTCCAGCGATAGTGTGTGCCCAGCTGTATGAGTCTGGGGGTTTGCTGCTTTGGGACTCCTGGCTGGGCCGGGACCGAGTGCGGAGCTTGAAGTCCAGTTCTGAGGTCCAGGCCCTTGTGAGTCTTACTTTAGGAACCTCCAGTTTTGTTTCTTCTAAGAGGCTAATGGTCAGTTAGATGGGAAAGAGAATGACTTGACTATGAGACGCGGCCACCTGGCTTTATGCCGCAGAGCGTCGAACAGAAGGGCATATGGAGGGGCCCAGGCAAGGAGGCTGCGAGGCAGCCTTCTTGCTTAGCTGCAGTGTCTTTCTGTGAGACGGACTTAGCGGGGAGGGGCTGGAGAGAGAGGTCACTTAGGAGGGTGCTGGCCTTGCACCCGCACAGCAGACCCCCCACCATGTGATCCTGCCAGAAGTGATTCTTGGGCTCAGAGCCAGGAAGAAGCCCTGCGTACAGCTGGATGTGACCCCAAGCCCCCAGAGTCTGAGCTCAGGAACGAGTGTTCCCGTGAACGCTTCCTGAGTGACCGAGGAGCGAGAGACTCCCTGGCGCTGAAGGAGCAGACAGGAAGTCTGTGGTGGGTACTGATGTCACCAGACAGACACGCTTTGCCCTCTCCCCGACCTTCCCCGTTGTTTGTGAAACCCATCTGAAACTTCTGGAATCGGCCTGTTGTCTGGAGGGGTCCTGGTGAGGTACTTTCCCCTGGTGCTGCGGGCTCCTGGTGAGGCTCTGGGGACCCCTGCCAGGGTCTGCCCAACTCCTGTCTCTCGGCCCCGTGTTGCTGCTGTCCCGAGCAGGCCTGTCTCTGCAGTGGTGTTTGTGGTGCTGGTGTGTGTGTGGGCCTTCACCTGCTGATGCTCTGTGGCTGCGTGGTGATGCTGGCGATCACACCCAGGCCTCCCGCACCCTCATCCTGCCTCCTTCCTCTGCTGTTCCCATTTCCGCTGCCCCCAGGGCAGCTCTGTTGTGCTCAGACCCTCCCCCAGGGAATCGGCTTGCTCTGTCGTCTTGGTGACGCCTCTCCTGTGTATCCTCTGAGTTGTGCCCAGACATCTCCCTTAACAGCTTCCTGGGCTCTGTCTCTCCTCCTCACCCCAGCTCCTGCCCCCCTTCCTTCCTGCACAAGCCCAGAAGTTGGGACTTCTGTTCCTGCATGCCCCAGGCTTCTCCCATAGTGACTGCTATGTACAGGGCTCCAGTCCCAACTCTGCTGGGGGTAGGTGGTGCTTGGACCAAACTCTAGACCTCACATGGGCAAGGTTTGTGCTTGGCCACTTGCATCCCTCCCCCAGGCTCTTTTTTTTTCTTTTTGGGTCATACCCAGCGATGCTCAGGGTTACTCCTAGCACATGCACTCAGGAATTACTCCTGGCAGTGCTCGGGGGACCAGATGGGATGCTGGGAATTGAACCCGGGTCGGCCGCATGCAAGGCAAACGCCCTACCCGCTGTGCTATCTCTCCAGCCCCACCCCTTCCCTTTTTAACTGGGGGGGTCACACACAGCTGGGCTGCTGGCCTGTTGCTCATGAGACCCACATCCTTTAGCTGTGGTGTGCCTGAACCGGGATTTTCTTGTGATGCCGGGAGCCCAGACGGTGGAGCTCAGAGTCTGTGTGTGTGTGTGTGTGGGGGGGGGGGTACTAGGAACCTAGACGGTGATGCTCAGAGTCTGTGGGGTGGTCCCGGGACCCCAGATGGTGGAGCTCAGAGTCTGTGGGGTGGTCCCGGGCACCGAGAGGGTGGAACTCAGAGGCTGTGGGGCGGTGCCACGACCTCAGCGAGTGGAGCTCAGAGTCGTGGGTTGGTCCCGGGATCAGGCTCTTTGCTACCTAGGTGTCTTGGGCCCCTTCTCGGAAATGTCCTTGTCCGGGGTGCTTGTGGTAAAGGCGTGTATGTGTCTTTGCTGACTTAGTCTCTCTCCTCCGTGGGGTGCCTGTGGATGGCTGGTCCGTGCTGGGGTTTGGGTGGGCGCACTGGGACCTGTGAGCCAAGGCAGGCCTTTGTGCTCACCTCTGGCCTGAGTGAGAGAGGTTCCTGGGCTGCTGCTTCCCTCAACAGACCCTCAGGGCCCTCCTGCCTTCCTCTGACTTATTCGTGTATCTTGGGGCCAGGCCCCGTGGTGCTGGGTTCTAGTTCTAGGGTCTGACCCTGGGCCCCCAGCAAGCAAGATGGGAGCTGCCCAGCGCTTTGTGCTGCCCCTGACCCTGGCATGCTTCTCGGACACCCTTCCCTCCGCCAGCATCGCTGTCGTATGACAGGCACGGAATGGTTGGAAGGTTTCTGTTTCATTTTCATTATCATTTTCATTCTGACCAGTGAATAAAGTTTTATCTAAGAAATTCATTTTGGGGCTGGAGTGATAGCACAGCGGATAGGGCGTATGCCTTGCATGCGGCCCACCTGGGTTCGATTCCTATGGTCCCCCGAGCACCACCAGGAGTAATTCCTGAGTGCCGAGCCAGGAATAACCCCTGTACATTGCTGGGTCGGACCCAAAAAGCATAAAAAAAAAGAAAAAATTTAATTTTTTTTGTGTTTTGGGTCTCCCAGGTCCCCTCTGGCTAGGTCAGCTAAGCAGGCTGGCAGCTCTTGTGGTGCTGCCTAGCCCTGTGGTTTAGGAGAGGCTAGGGGGCCACTCAGGCAACACTTGGGGACTGTGTGGTGCTGGGAAGTTCACTGGGCAGCTCCTTAGCCCCCTGTATGATTTCTCTGGCTTCAGTGAAGTTTGAGTGTATTCCAGTAATAATGTTTAGTTCAAAAGTCTCTAGAAGTACTTTTTTGTTTGTTTTCGGGCTACACCCAGCGGTGGTGTGGGCTTACTCCTGGATCTGGGTTTGGGATCACTCCTGGTGGTACTCAGAGGACCATATGGGATGTCAGGGATCACACACAGGTTGAGTGTGTACATGGCGAGTGCTTTTCCGCTGTTCTGTCTCTCTGGCCCCTTAACTGTATTTTTTAGGATGATTTTGTTTTTGATTGTATTTCTTGGGATGGTTTTCTCATCATTGATGATGAGCTATAATTCTTGTTTCATTATTTCGGAATTTCACTGTATGATCCCTCTGTGATCTAATCTTGTTTGACCCTTGCCAGCTTGCATTCACCAGAGATGGGCTCTGCGGCCTGTGGAACGAGATGGTCAGGGATGGAGAGATCGTGTACACGGGGACAGAGTCAGCCCAGAACGGAGAGCTTCCTGCCCGGAAAGGTGAGGCCTCCCCTACCCTGTCGGATAAACTGGCTTTCGTCGGCATCTGGGATGTCCTGCAGGCTGGGCTTTGACTGGACCCCCAGGCCAGACCCTCTAGCCGTGATGTGCCTGGGCTGGGATTTTCCTTTGGTGCCATGACGCACACTGTGAGAGGGTCTTTGAAGTTTTGTTCTCACTGTGGTTCAAGTTGGCTGCAGGGGAGTTAATGTGAGGCGCCAGGGACTGTCGTCCACTAACAGTGGACGGCATTTCTATGTGTGTTCTTCTCTGAGCGCTTATTTACAGGTTCTGGGCGCTCCAGTGAATGTGTCCTTTAATGTTTGAAATGTGTCTTGCCTTACCGAACTAGAAATCATGCCTTTTAACTAGATTGAGTAGAAGTAATTACTCCTGAACATTAAGAAAGGCTTAAAAATATTTTTTTCCAATTGTGTTTATTTTGGGGGCAACTCCTAAGACAGTGAGTGCTTGGGAGACCTGGTCCCCCTTTGGTGACACTCAGCCAACCAGGTCAGTGGTTCAGTGTGAGGCCCTAGGATGCGGTGTTGCTTGGTTCTCAGTGGACCTGCCCAGCAGTGCTCAGGGGCCTGACCCTGCCATGCTGGGTAGCACGATGTTGGTACCAGGGATTGAACCAAGGTCGGCTGTGTGCCAGGCAGCACCTTGACCTCTGCACTCTCTGGCCTCTTTAGAAGAGTCCATTCTTTGGCCTAGAGAGATGATTCAGTGGAGAAGGCCTTGTGTGTGGCCGACCCGGTTCAGTCCCCAGCACCCCTTGGGTTCCCCTGGCCCCATCAGGAGTGAAAGCCAGGGGGCAGCCCTGAGCACCGGTGGCGGTGGTGGCCCTGAGCCATGACAGAACAGGCTGGTGGTGGCTGTGTCTCCTTGTCTAGTGCCAAGCCCGTGCAGCAGAGAACGCCTGGCCTGCAGTTGGTTGGGCGGGGTGGATGGTGTCGGGATGGAACTCAGCTGAGTGAAGCAGGGAGTCCCGTTGCTGCGCTGTCCTGGTCGCCTCTGCTCATGTTGACCGCCTGCCTTTCCCTCCCAAGTGTCCGGCTGCCGCGCCAGACCCGCTCTGTGGCTCCCACTTAGCGTCTGCCTCTAGCTTGTGTGCGTGAGGAAATGGTTCATGTTGGGTCTTTTGATGTTCTTTTTTTTATTATAGCTTCCAAGTTTCAGCATTTTTCTTCTTTTTGGGGCACACCCAGCAATGTTCAGGAGTTACCCCTGGCTCTGCTCCCAGGGATGATTCTTGGTGGGCTCGGGGCCATATGGGATGCCGGGGATAGAACCCAGGTCGGCCACATGCAAGCTAAGTGCCCTCCCTGCTGTCCTGTTGCTCCAGCTCCTCCCTTGGGGTCACACGCCGTGTTCAGGCGAGCCTCCTCACCGAGTGGTGCGCTTAGGGGAATTCCGTGAGACTCCGTTGGTGGGCTCGTGGTGGGCTGTGTGGCAGAGGCACCGCTGAGGCTCACGCAAACGCGGCTGCTCTGCTCTCCCCAGTCCTGAGGATTTGGAAGAGCTGAGGTTTGACTTCATTTTGTTTGTTTTGTTTTTTGGGCCACTTCCAGTAGTGCTCAAGGGCTACCCTGGCTCTGTGCTCAGGGATCACTCCTGGCAGGGCTCCGGAACCCTATGGGATGCCGGGGACTGAACCTGGTCAGCTGTGCACAGGGCAAGCACCTTCCCCACTGTCCTATCGCTCTGGTTTCTGTGCCTTTTTTTTTTTTTTTCCTTTTTGGGTCATACCCAGCAGTGCTCAGGGGTTACTCCTGGCTTTGCACTCAAAATTACTCCTGGTGTTGCTCAGGGGACCAAAAGGGATGCTGGGAATCGAACCCAGGCTGGCTGCGTGCAAGGCAAACGCCCTACCTGCTGTGTTATCGCTCCAGCCACTATGCTGTTTTCCTTGAAGTAGTTTATTCCTTTCCACCTTAGCTCTCCCAAGAAGTAGAGTCTCGAGTTTGTAAAAATGATGGGGGGCAGAGTTTGGAATTAAAGGTGAGCCCCCTGGAAAACATTTCACTGCGGACATAGTTGATTGTCTTCAGGACTGATCGGCCACATGTACTTGCGCGAGTTATGGCTGGTCTGACCTCCTTTTGTGCAAGACGAGCTGCTTTTTGTTTGTTTTTAGGCCACGCCCAGTACTCTGTAGGGCTTTCTCCTGGCTCTGCTTGGGGATCACTCCTGGCGAGGTCTGGGACCCTTCGCTTGTGAGGGATCAAGCCCAGATGGGCTGTGTGCAAGGCCAGCACCTTTCCTGTTGTCCTCTTCGCCCTGGTTTCCATGAGTTTCATTTCAAGCCCAGAGATGCCCAAGCAGTGATGCAAGTCCAGAGCACAGGCTCGCTTGGTGCCAGCTGCCCTGTGCCCAGAGATGCTCAGGGAATAGCCTTCAAGTAGTGCCACTCTGTACGCCCCCTTCCCCCCACCCCAGGAGAAAAAACCCGAAATGCCTGGAGAGGAGTTAAAAATATGCAGTTGGACTTCTGGATGTTTCCTCCCTGGTGAGCTTGTGCTGACTGACACACCCCTGCTGGGCTCCGGCACTTCTGGGAGGGCGGAAAGTGCCCTCCGAGAGCTCAGGATGGTCTGTGCCACAGCCTGTGAGAGGGTGACAGGAAACCCCTGAGGGGTGGGTGCTTGGGGAGGGTTACTGGGGAGGCGAGTGTTTGGGGGGGGTGGGTACTGGGGTGTGCTCGGAGGGTGCTTCCTGTGGCTTGGGAAATGGGCCACCAGGTAGAAGACTGAGATGAGGGAGGAGGGAGGGGAAGAAAGAGAGAGGCGAGGGAGAAGAGAGGGAGAGAGGAAAGAAGGCCCACCAGCCTGATGAGGCATGCGCGATCTCCAGAGCCCTGGGCCAGAACAGCCGGGAGTGTCTACTGGGAAACCCCGCACACTCCAGGTCTCACACAGCGTTGCTCGTCTGGGCCCTGGCGGATGTGGTCAGGTGCCAGGTCTGGCCCTCTGAACTTCTGTTCCTCGAGTGCAGTGGAGGCTGGCCTGGGAACCTGCATTTCCCACTGTAGCCACGTCCCTTCGCTGGCGTCTGCCTTGGTTGGTTGGTTTGCTTGTCTGCGGTACCTGCATTTAAGTTGGGGTCGGCCACATGCCAGGTGATACTTTGACCCTGTTCTCTCTCTCTCTGGCCCCCTGGTGGGGCACATTTTTAAAAAAATTTTTTAAAATTTCTCCCACTTGGGATTATTTTTCCTGTTTAGTGAAGACAGACATCTCTGTGGACGTCTGGGATGGCAGCAACACATTTTGAGTAGTTTTGAGGTTCTCACAGTATCAGTATAACATCTCTGTCAAATACGCATAATGAAATGTCACAGCTTATCTCTTATCTATTATACTGGGCCTTAGGACAGCTTAAGTGGGTACTTTCCTGGTTGCCCTTGCGAAGATTTAGCTGTAGCTAAAACCTCTTTCTTATTTCTACCTTTTTGTTGTTTTGGACCATACCTAGCACTATATTCCTGGCTCTGTATTCAGGGATTAGTCCTGGCTGGCTAGGACACCAGGGGGCTGCTGGGAATCTAGGTTGGCCGTGTGCAGGGCAAGCGTCCTACCCACTGGACTATCTCTCTGGCCCCTGTAATCTATGTTTTTTAAGTACTAGTAAAAGAGCCGCATATCACCGTCAACCGAAGGTGACTAACATTCAGAGAGCACACTGCCCAGTGGTGGCAATTTCTCCTCTTCTGAAGTCACGATCTAATTTAAGTATGTAGAGGCAAAATCCAAAGAATGGATGTGTATGTTTGTAGGGCGGTTAGATTTGGGGAAGAAGGTGCTTGGAAATGTTTATAATAGGACAGTGATGGGGCCTGTCTGGAATCTGAAGAGCAGGACCTAGAGGCTGGAGAACCAGCCCAGCACCTAGTCAGGAGATCTGTCCCAGATGAGCTGGCAGGAGCCTTGTGTGAGGGGGCCGGTCTGGGAAGTAGGCACCGCATAGGGACTGATCTCGGAGCACCACGGGTATGGTTCCCTGCTCCGTTGTGGTATAAGGGACAGATTTGCCACCCTCCCCGCACCCAAGTGCCCAGCACCCTCTGCCCCTTTCCTTCTCACCACCTTTCCACTTCTCACCTTGTTCTTTTACTTGGGCGGTGGTGTCATACCTTGCGGCATTATTGTGGGTTTCATATACATTTAAAGTTGTCGTGTTTTCTGGGGCTGGAGCGATAGCACTGTGGGTAGGGCATTTGCCTTGCACGCGGCTGACCCGGGTTCGATTCCCAGCATCCAATATGGTCCCCTGAGCACCGCCAGGGGTAATTCCTGGGTGCAGAGCCAGGAGTAACCCCTGTGCATCGCCAGGTGTGACCCAAAAGAAGCAGAAAAAAAGAGTTGTCATGCTCCCTTGGTAAATGTACCCCTTTATATTTTTGTTTACATTATTGTTGATAATTTTCTCTGTGCTCTATTTTGTCTGCTATTAACATAGCTATCATAGCTATTTCAACTCTGTGTTGACTCTTTTCTTCTCTTTTTTTTGTTTTGTTTTTGGGCCATACTTGGCGCTCAGGATCATTCCTTGTGGACTTGGGGGCAGTAAGGGGTGTCAGGGATCAAACCTGGGTTGGCCTGCAGTACCCTTCCCTCGTCAACACTTATTTTTCTTAATGTATCTGCGTATTTCCATTTATTGACTTAATTTTTGGTATTTGGGCCACACACTGTGGCAGCAGGAACTTTGTGGACTGGGGCCCCTTCTGAGCTATCACCCAGCTCGGCCTGGGGGTGCCTGCGACCACTTAACAGACCATTATGGAGGCTGGGGCGGGTGTGGGGGGATGCAACAAGTGGCTGTTACATCTTGAAGAGGAACATACAGAGGAAGGATTTTATTTTCCAGATGACGGTGTGGATGGTCAGAGTGGATCCAAGAAAGAAGACCTGAATGACAAAGAGAAAAAGGAAGAAGAGGAGGCGCCCGCGCCTGCCTGCCGGGCCAAGTCCATCCTGGAGAGTTGGGTGTGGGGCCGGCAGCCAGGTACTCCAGCTGCCCGGGTCAGCCGCCCTCATGGTGGGCTCCGGATACTGCTATAGGTTCTGTAGTGAGATTGGAACGACTGGCGTCAGTGTGCTCGGCACTGCGGCCGGTTACAGAGCCTCTTCCTCTTTCTTCCTCTTCCTGTTCCACTCCCCATTCTGCACTGCCACTGGTCCTTAGGGTTTTGCTTCTCTCGGTCCCTCGGCCCATGCAGGTGTGGCCGTAGAACTTCTGTTCTTCTCGGGCGTATTTGACTTCCACTGTGACCTCTGGGCCGGCCTTGGGTCTTTGGCGAGTGCTTCCATTTCCTTCCTTGTTAAGGCTGAGTCATGTTTGTCATCTGGAGATCCACGCTGTGTCTGTCGTTCACTGAGCACTGACTGCTCCACAGCTTCCCCTCTGGCCCTTGTGGATGATGCGGTGTTGATCGCAGATACCGAGAGCTGGGGTCTCCGCCCTCATTCCCTGTTTGAGTGGAAATGTCGGGGCCAGTGGGAAGCCGGACACTTTGTTAACCTGCTTTCCCATCAGCCGGGTTCCGATTCGCTGCGTCTTTCCCATCAGTGGTTGTGGTCACTGTTGGCCTTGGGCTCATCTCTTAGGTCAGGGTGGTGCTGCTTTGCATTTCGGGCGGCCAGTACTGCTGTCCACCTTCTCTTGGGCTTGGACTCCCTGTGTCTCCTACACGGCGGCACCTTCTGTGTACCTTGTCCACATTTTCTTTTGTGTTGTTCCTTTTACTTTGATGTTTCGAGAGTTCAAACATATTCTGGACACTCGCCCTTACCTGTCTGTTACACATACACTTTCTCAGAGTTCATGGTTTGTCTTTTCATCCTACTGACGTAGTGTTTAGTACATTAGAAGAGTTTGTTGCTTTTTGGGCCCATACCCAATGGTGCTCAGGGATCCTTCCTGGGTCTGCCAGTGCCCTCCTTGCAGTGCTGTCCCCTGTTTGCTGTAGTGCCTGTTGGGATCACTCTGGTGTGAGAGCTGAGGTTGGTTCCTGGTCCCTCATGAGTCCCGATCATCAGAATGGCCGGTTCCCAGGCCCTGGCCCTGCTGGGAGTCACACATCTGTACGTACAGAAGCACAGTGCTCTCTGTGCAAGTTCTGGACATGTTCTCTGTGCGGAATCCAAGTCTTTGACCTCTTGGGGACTGACTCAGACTCCTCTGGGCACATCGAAATGGTTGGCGTTAACCCATTGTCCCTGCCCGTCTTCCTACACCACCAGAATCTGTTCCATTGAGGGAGCGGGGGGTCGGGGTGTGTAAGGGGGAGGGAGGTTTTCACCCGGCCCCAGAAGTGAGCTGCAGGGGGCCCGGGCAGGGGCGAGCTCGGGGATCCTGCAGTGACTGCCCTGCACCGGTGTTTCTTGCCTTGCTCGCAGATGTGAATGAGCTGAAGGAGTGCCTCTCGGTGCTGGTGAAGGAGCAGCAGGCGCTGGCCGTGCGGGCCGCCACCACCACCCTCTCGGCCCTGAGGCTCAAGCAGAGACTGGTCATCCTGGAGCGCTACTTCATCGCCCTCAACCGAACAGTGTTTCAGGAGAACGTCAAAGTCAGGTGGAAGACCAGCAGCATTTCTTTGCCGCCTGTGGACAAAAAGAGGTGAGACCCTGATGAGGGCCTGGCCCCGAGCACCCACCCAAGGGCCACTTCGGCTGGCAGCCTTATGAGAGGCTTTCATCAAAGTCCCTTCGGTCGTCACATGTCCTTTCTTCTCCCCTGGAGCATCTGCCCCAGGGCCGGCAGCCGTGGTATTGCCTCTGCCGGGCGGTGCAGGCACAGTCTGGACCCACACTCCTCGCTTGAAACCGGGAGCGACAGTCTTGGCGTGGCTGCCAGGACCGCGTCCTGTCCATGCGTTGCTCTCTGCTGTGCTTTTGTGTTCAGAAGGTCAGCCTGAGAGATTTCCCCAGAGGATTGTATTGTACGGAATCACAATTTCCGTCCTGGACTTGGCCACTCTCGTGCAGAGGAGCAGAAGAAAGTACTGGAAAAACCTGAGAGAGAGAGGAGAGCAGGGGCTGTGCAGGTCCCCTGGGCACCTCTTTGCTCCTGAGTGGGGGTCACGTTCCCCTCCACAGAGCCGAGTGGTACCAGGATACATTCCAGCAAGTGAAAGAGGAGCTGGGCACTCTTGGCCTTCCATGGCTTCCTCGCTGAGACTCACTCTGCCTATGCTGCTGGAACATTCTTAATTCTTCCGGGGTTCCTGTATGTGTTGGTTCATTGAATCCAGAGTCAGTGATCCAAAGTGCAGAGGTGGCTGAGAGTCCATTTACCATTTCTTGGTGGTCTTGCTTCTGTGGTGGCTTAATGATTGGGGATTAACTGAAGCCCGTCTTTCATTAAATGGAAATCCCTAAAAACTAAAATGTAAACAAAAAAGGACACACATCTTTTCATTTTGAGGTAATTGTGAATTCACGTGAGCTTGTGAGAAACAGCAGGGGTGGCCAGAGAGGTCGTACAGCGTGCTTGCCTTGCTCAGGGCTGACCCGGGCTCTATCCCTGACACCCCATACTGTCCCCTGGGTACTTCCCAGAATGATCCCTGAGTGCAGAGCCAGGAGTGACCCGCATGGGGCTGGGCCTCCATGTCACTGGGCTCTGCCCACATAGTTTGTGTTCATCATTAATCATCCCCCGCACACGCACACATGCATTCACACATGTGCACGTGTGTACACACACACACACACATCACAATCCGTGACCCTTGGGTATTCTATGTACCTTCCAAGTCACATGAATGCCTTTCTCCTTAACGAGGACCCTTTTCTGGGCTGTTGGATGAAAACCTTTCAAGAAAGAAGACTCAGGAACCTGAATGTGTGGTGGAGAGAAAGCCCGGGCTGGTGGCGTGCACAGGGTCCCTGGGGGTGCCACTTGGGCTTCTCCCTCCACCCTGGCTGACCACGTCTCCCGTCCCTTCTGTGTGTTGTCCACAGCTCTAGGCCTGCAGGCAAAGGAGTGGAGGGACTTGCCAGAGTGGGCTCCCGGGCGGCGCTCTCCTTCGCCTTTGCGTTCTTGCGCAGGGCCTGGCGCTCAGGTACGCACCGTTCCCTGCACACGTTGGGCGCCTGTTTCTCTTCTCGCTCCTGCGCTGTGGGTCTCTGGCCCTCTGTTCTGGGCCCCTGTGTGTGTATGTGGGGGGTGTGTGTGAGTGTGTGTGTGTGTGTGTGTGTGTGTGTGTGTGACGGGAGGTCATCTCCTCCAAGCTGAGGGTGTCTGTGCTTGGAAGGGGTGCGGATCGGACCCTGACCCGTCGGGCCTGGGAGCTCCTGGCAGAGGCCTCCACTGCCTCTCAGGCAGACGGACAGGAGTGGGCGCCCTGACGTGCGTGTCTGTGCCCAGGGGAGGACGCGGACCTCTGTAGCGAGCTGCTGCAGGAGTCGCTGGACGCGCTGAGAGCCCTGCCGGAGGCCTCCCTCTTCGATGAGAGCGCCGTGTCCTCAGTGTGGCTGGAGGTGGTGGAGAGAGCCACCCGTTTCTTGCGCTCCGTGGTGACCGGGTGAGTGCCTCTGGGCGGGCTGGGACTGAAAGTTGTTTCTGGAGCATGAGGGTCAGTGCCCGGGCCGGGTGGCGGAGTCTCCTCTATTGGGCATCAGAGCGTAGAGGCAGATGCCCGTCTTCTCAGAGGGATCTGGGCTGGGAATTCGGCCCATGGTGCTGTGCATTTTGTCAGTGTGAATAAGTGTCAAGCAAACGTCTCTACTCAGCAGAGAAGTTGCTGGCCCACGTGGAGAGACGAGAGTGCGCCTCTGCCCACCCTCCCCAGCCCTTGCCCAGGCAGGCGGCACTCAGATCCTCAGGCCCAGGCATCGGCTCCAGCCATGTAACCCGTACTGGAGCAGCAGTTACCTAGGGAGGGAGAGGGAAGTAGCGGTGTGTGTCGGGGAGATCCAGGCCCGTCGCTGACTGTTGCAGGGCAGACAGGTACTCCAGGTGCTTCAGTGCCATGGAAATGGTTTCAGAAGTGTCACCCGCTGTGATCTCACTGCAGCTTGAGTGTGTGTTGTTCATAGAATCAGACCCTCAGGAGTTAGTTTCGTGCTTGGAACTGGTGGGGAAGTCTGTGCAGCAAACTCCAGACACTCGAGTGTCGGGGGTGGTGGGGGGTGTGGATAGGCACACACTCTCCACACCAGCAAGTTCTGTGCTATGTTTATTCACATCATAAAACCATGAACCATGACAATGCACAGCACCATAGGGCGGATTCCCAGCTCAGATCCTTCCTCTGAGAAGTCAGGGGGAGCATCTCAGCCTTCTCTCACGCCCGCTGTCATTTCAGGGATGTCCACGGGACTCCAGGCACCAAGGGGCCGGGCAGTGCCATCCCCCTGCAGGACCAGCACCTGGCGCTGGCCATCCTGCTGGAGCTGGCGGTACAGAGAGGCACGCTGAGGTGAGTGCTGCAGGGGTGGGCGGGCGGGCCCCGCAGTCAGAACCAGCCCCACTTTCCTCTCGCCTGTTGGGTGCAGGGACACGCTCCCCCTCCTCGGCCCAGCTTCCTCTCTGGGAGCTGCTTTGCCCTCCCCTTTGTTTCCTTCCAGTGTTGTTGTCGCTGTGTTCTGTGTCTCGGTTGCCCCGATGGTGTGCAGGGCCCAGCCCCGGGACTGAGTTTGTTCTGCACCTTTTTTTTGCTTTTTGGGTCACACCCGGTGATGCACAGGGGTCACTCCTGGCTCTGCACTCAGGAGTCACTCCTGTCAGTGCTCAGGGGACCATATGGGATGCTGGGAATCGAACCCGGGTCGGCCGAGTACAAGGCAAACGCCCTACCCTCTGTGCTATCACTCCAGCCCTGTTCCGCACTGTTAAAGTCCTGAATTCTCCTGTGCAAAGTTGTGTCTCAGCTTTCTTTTTCTTTTTGGGTCACACCCAGCGATGCTCAGGGGTTCCTCCTGTCTCTGCACTCAGTAATGAGTGCAGTGCTGGGGGACCATATGGGATGCTGGGGATCGAACCTGGGTCCGCCGCGTATAAGGCAAATGCCTTGTCCGTCCAGCCCATGTGTCTCAGCTTCTTAACTGGTTTCGTGGTTCAGATGAAGGCAGAGGTCTCATGTTAACATCTTGGCGCTGCTGCCCAGTGATCTCTCTGCCCACACAGTTTTCTTATCATTTTTGTTCTTATTTTGGGGCCACAGACTGGAGTGATAGCACAGCGGGTAGGGCATTTGCCTTGCACGCGGCTGTCCTGGGTTCGATTCCTCCGTCCCTCTCGGAGAGCCCGACAAGTTACCGAGAGTATCCTGCCCGCGTGGCAGAGCCTGGCAAGCTCCTGGTGTATTCGATATGCCAAGAACAGTAGCAACAGTCTCACAGTGGAGACATTACTAGTGCCTGCTTGAGCTAATCGATGAACAATGGGAGGAAAGTGCTATAGTGCCACATTTTGGGGCCACACCTGGTGGTGCTCAGGGTTTACTTCTGCTCTTCACCCAGGAATCACTCCTGGCAGTGCTCAGGGGACCCTCTGGGATGCCCGGGTTGGAGCCTGAGTTGGCCGCGTGCATGGCAGGCGCCCTCCCCGCCTGCTGTGCTATGGCCGTGGGCCTCCTGTCACCCTTCAGTGGTTTCCGTGGTCTAGCCGCCAGCTGGGTCTCCAGCAGGCCGGTGACTAGAGCGGCCACGCTTGTCTTCCAGCCAGATGCTGTCTGCCGTCTTGCTGCTGCAGCAGCTGTGGGACAGTGGGACACGAGAAACGGACAACGAGCGCTCGGCACAGGGCACCAGCGCCCCGCTCCTCCCCCTGCTGCAGCGATTCCAGAGCATCCTGTGCAGCAAAGACGACCTCCACACCGAGGGTGACCCGCACGTAAGCATCCTGCGGACGCCGTGGGTGCAGCCCCCGCTGTCTCCAGGGGTGGACGTGACTGAGTGTGTCGGGGTCCCCCGCAGCCGTGGAGCCAGGCCAGGGCCTGCGTTCCTTGTGGCTGTGCGAGGGCGCAGGGCCCCGGTGAGTGATGTTGTCTGGGGGACGCCCTGTCCTGCTGTGTCGAGCATGCCCTCCGCTTCCCTCCGCAGCTCCTGACGGGCCCGCTCAGCCCCAATGAGAGTTTCCTGCGGTACCTGACTCTCCCGCAGGACAACGAGCTCGCCATCGACCTGCGGCAGACGGCGGTCGTGGTCATGGCCCACCTGGACCGCCTGGCCACCCCCTGCATGCCGCCGCTCTGCAGCTCTCCGACCTCGCACAAGGTGTGTGGGGCTCCCCGGCTACCCGCTCCCCACCTGAGCACTCAGGCCATTGGTCAGCAACCTCGCGCTTGGCCAGCTCTCTCCACACGTGCCGTCCAGCCTTCCTCATGGGCTGTCGGCTCTCGTCCGCATCCCCAGGGAGCAGCTGCTTGTAGGCAGGTGGGCCTGGCCAGTGTCCTGCAGTCACCACCTGGGTCTGACTCTGATTAGTCGCATGAAGGAGATTTCATCTTATAATCAGTGCAGTTGTGTGTTGTATGTTGTGTGTTGTATCAGTGTTACATGCAGGAATGCTTTCACTCCCGCCCCTGCCCCAAAGGCATCCCTGCTTGCTGCCCCGAGGACAGAGCTTAGCGTTGGCCCCTTTTGTTGCTTTATGTCTGACAGGCATCACCACAACCCTGGTGCCTGGGCTTCTTGGAGTTCTCTCCCTTGCCCCTCAGTCTCCTTCCTTCCTTCCTCCCTCCCTCCCTGCCTCCCTCCCTCCCTCCCTCCCTGCCTCCCTCCCTCCCTCCCTCCCTTCCTCATGTCTGTTGGTGCTCTGTGTTCAGGATCACTCCTGGCAGGCTCAGGGGCCTGTTTGGCGTGCCAGGAACTGGACCCTTCTCCCCAGCCCCTTTTTGCTTTGTTTCCGTCGTATAGTGTCCCAGCAGAAACGGGTTTCCTCGCACTAAGCAGACCGTTTTCCTACTCTGTGGAGAACGTGTCTGCTCTCTCTTTGGCAGGGCTCGCTGCAAGAGCTCATTGGCTGGGGCCTGATCGGATGGAAGCACTACGCCAACGTGATTGGCCCGATCCAGTGTGAGGGCCTTGCCAACCTGGGGGTCACGCAGATCGCCTGTGCAGAGAAGCGCTTCCTCATCCTGTCACGCAATGGCCGCGTATACACGCAGGCCTACAGCAGCGACACGCTGGTGGGTGCCTTGGTGGGGACTCGCCCCCACCCCCCCCGGGCCAGTCTCTAGTTGCTTTGGTCTCTGAAGACTTGTATCTTTCCCATCATGTTCTGTGGTTGTGATTGTGATCTGTCGGCTCAAGATTTGGGGCAGAATGTCTTTTCAGATCAGAAATATCTGGCTGGAGTGATAGCACAGTGGGTAGGGCGTTTGCCTTGCATGCAGCTGACCCGGGTTCGATTCCCAGCATCCCATATGCCCTTGAGCATCACCAGGAGTATTTCGTGAGCGCAGAGCCAGGAGAAACCCCTGTGCATTGCCGGGTGTGACCCAAAAACCAAAAAAAAAAAAAAAAAAAAACCAGAAACATCAGGGGCCAGAGTGGCAGTTACAGCAAGGCTGTGGGGCTCTTGCCTTGTATGCCGCTGTCCCGCATCCCATGTGGTCCCCCAAGCAGTCCAGTAGTGATTCCTGAGTGCATAAGTGCAAAATCAGGAGTGACCCCCGAGCATTGCTGGGTGTGGTTCCCCTCCCCCGCAAAAGAAATCTGAAGCGTCAGACAGAGACCCTCAGGGCTCGTCCTGGTTCCATTGCTGATTTGACTCAATGACAGATCAGGGGCTTGTCTGTTGTGGGGATGGTGGCAGGTGGGGAGATAGGGTCCCTGACTTTCAGCCCTGAGACTTCGTCGCGCATGATGTAGGGGGCAGCCACCAGCGCCCCCTTCTTTTCTCAGAAGGGCCTCGTCTCCTCGGCCGCCCTGCTGATCTCCTTCCTGCCGTCTCCCCTCCAGGCGCCGCAGCTGGTGCAAGGGCTCGCCTCCCGGAACATCGTCAAGATTGCCGCCCATGCGGACGGGCAGCACTACCTGGCCTTGGCAGCCACCGGAGAGGTGTTCTCGTGGGGCTGCGGGGACGGCGGGCGGCTTGGCCACGGGGACACTGTGTACGTATGGCCCTGCTCTCTCCTTTTCCGTGCTGGATCAGCTGGGAGGAGGGGGCTCCAGACCGTGTCCACCCAGGCTGGGGTCCAGCTCTCTGTCCGCAGGGTGCTGGCTGCCAGTCCCTCCCCGGTTGCACCCCGCCTTGAATTTTCTCCCCCGCACACCTCGCAGTGCCGTTCAGTGGCCGCACAGGCCTCAGCGTGTCCATGTCAGGGTGGCCCCACCCGTTTCCCTGGAGCCTTCTTGCCATTCCCACAGGCGTGAAAGTCCACGTTCTGCTTGTGAGCCGCCAGCGGGGTTCTTCCATTGGTGCCTTCGCTGGGAAGGCCATTGCCTCCAGAGTGGCTGGCGGGGGCCCTCTGCTTGTGGCTGGCCTGGGTGGGCCGGGAGCTGGAGCGCTGCCCTCTGGCGGCAAGGGGGTGCCAGCAGCAGCGCGGGGTTCCCGGGGACGGGCTCCTGTCTCTGGGTTGTGGGGCAGTGTGCGGGAGGGATCCGGATGACATTCTCCAGACCTGACAGTGCCGGGGCGGGGAGGCCGGCAGGTGTGGGAGTGTAGCAGGGGTGAGCAGAGAAGCCCTAAGCAGAGTTCAGAACTGTTTCCACCCCTGGTCCCCCACGAGGGCAGGTGCGTCTTTGCTCATTGGACCGTAGCGTGTGCAAACCCGCTGTTTGTATTGGACGGTCCTTGTTGGTCCCTGGCGTCCAGACAGGATAGCTGAGCGCAGGTGCAGTCGCCCCCTCGTTGGGCTGCAGAGGCTCCGTGGGGCATGCCCCTTTGGTCCTGAGCTCCACAACTGCACTCCGGGAACTTTGAGAGTGGGTCTGTGGGCCTTCCTGTGGGTGGGGTCGGCCAGCAGTGTGGTGACTGTCCCCACCATGTCTGCTTCTGTCGGTTGTCACAGCCCTGCTCTGAGCTCAGGGTTCAGCTCGATGAGCAGGAAATGTCTTCGAGGGGGCCCTGCGCCCGCCCCTCGCTCCTGGCAGCCACTGCCCTGTCCTGTCCCTCTAGGGTGTCTGAGCCATGTCCTTGGTTTCCCTCGTTGCGTGGCTGCTGTGAACCTGCTGGCGACTTTAGTGTCTTCACAGCTACCTGCTGGCCGCTGGGCTGGGCCCTGGGCACCGGTTTCACGCAGACCAGAGGGGTGTCGGGCTGGGCTGGGCTGGGCGCAGCCCTCAGGGTGGAGGGGGCCTGCCCATCACTCCCTCTGTCTGCAGGCCTCTGGAGGAGCCCAAGGTCATCTCCGCCTTCTCCGGCAAGCAGGCAGGGAAGCATGTCGTTCACATCGCCTGCGGCAGCACCTACAGTGCGGCCATCACCGCCGAGGGCGAGCTGTACACCTGGGGCCGGGGCAACTATGGGCGGCTGGGCCACGGTGCGTGCCTGCGCAGGACGGGGTGGGGGCGATGGTGGTCCCTGCGCTGGATGGGGTGGGGGCCATGGTGGTCCCTGCGCTAAATGGTGTGCTGGACAGGGTGGGGGCCACGATGTGTCCCTACCATGGCCCCGGGGCCATGCGGCCGCTGCAGCCGGACTGTGGCACCTGCTGTTGGTGGACGTGCAGTGCCAGTAGCTCGTCTGTTCCAGGCTCCAGTGAAGATGAGGCTATTCCTATGCTGGTCGCTGGCCTTAAAGGACTGAAGGTGATTGATGTGGCCTGTGGGAGTGGTGACGCACAGACCCTGGCTGTGACAGAGAACGGTGCGTGGCAGCCTGGCAGGAACAGTGATGTGGGTGGAACGGGGCTGGGAGAGGCGGGCGCAGTCGCCCCCGAGCTGCCCTGGGCACGTGGGTGCAGTGGCCCTTGGGCTGCCCTGGGGACGTGGGTACAGTGGCCCCCAAGCTGCCCTGAGGACTCAGTCGCAGTGGCCCTCAGGCTGCCCTGGGGACTCAGGTTCAGTGGCACTTAACACTGTGCAGTGCTCTGACTTTCTGCGCTCACCAGAGGCCCGGAACTTCCTGGAGAGGGTACGTGCCTCTGAAAGTTTGCCTGGCCCTCTGAGACAGCACGCTTCGTGTCGATCAGCATTTCTGTTTGGGAATTTGATTTTTGACTCAAACGTTTGAGAGTGAAAATGAAATATCTGACATTTTCAAGTCTGGTCAGGCCGGGTGTGGCCCCCGAGCCATGGAAACCCTTTCTAATGGCCTCGTTTGCTGCGTTGGGCCATCCCGCCCGATGAGCGAGGTGGGCCACCCCGTCCCCGAGAGCCCCTGAGGAGTGAGCCGTGCTCTTTTTGCTGGAGTGAGTCTGTGATCTCTAGGTCAGGTGTGGTCCTGGGGAGACGGCGACTACGGCAAGCTGGGCCGAGGCGGCAGTGATGGCTGCAAGACCCCGAAGCTGATCGAGAAGCTTCAGGACTTGGATGTTGTCAAAGTCCGCTGTGGAAGTCAGTTTTCTGTCGCGCTGACAAAAGACGGGCAGGTGTACTCCTGGGGCAAAGGCGACAACCAGCGGCTCGGGCACGGGACAGAGGAGCACGTGCGCTACCCCAAGCTCCTGGAAGGCCTGCAAGGTAGGCGGAGGGGCACGACCGTGGGCACGGTTTTGTCGACACCTCCTACATGGCTGCAGGGTCCCTCCCTTACCTGGTGTTCTGCCAGCAGGAACTGTTTTTCGTTTCTGGGTCGTACCCGTGGATGCTTGGGTCACTCCTGGCTCCGCACTCAGGAATTACTCCTGGTGGTGGATGAAGGGGGATACTGGGGATCGAACCCGGGTCAACCGTGTGCAAAGCAAGCGCCCTCCCCACTATGCTCTCTCTGCAGGAACTTTCAGCCACGTCTTATGAGGTACAGATAACACTTGGAAATTAGGGGCTGGAGCGATAGCACAGCGGGCAGGGCGTTTGCCTTGCACGCAGCCGACCCGGGTTCAATTCCCAGCATCCCATGTGGTCCCCCGAGCACCGCCAGGAGTAATTCCTGAGTGCATGAGCCCGGAATAACCCCTGTGCATCGCCGGGTGTGACCCAAAAAGCAAAAAAAAAAAAACTTGGAAATTAGGGGTCAGAGCAGTAGTCCAGTGAATAAGATGCGTGCCTTGCACGGCTGACCTTGGTTCGATCCTGGCATCCCATAGGGGCCCCTGAGCCTGCTCTGAGTGACCCCTTTATGCAGAGCCAGGAGGAAGCCCTGTGCACTGCTGTGGGGGGCCCAAACAGAAAAGCAGTTCGTGTGTACTGCAAAGGGGCCGATGGCAGGGCTCGGGAAGCGCTGGAGCTTTGCAGGGCGAGGCCCTGACCTCCATCCCCAATACCAGCCGCTCCCAGCCCCGGAGCCATCAGGCCCCTGCTGCTGGGTGAGCGCTGCCAGAAGCGGCTCATAGAATTCCTCTCCCTAAGGTGCAGTCTCTCGAGCACCCCCTGCAGTGACTCCTCAGCACTGAGCAGGGGTGCCCCCAGAGCACCGCGATATGTGTCCCCCAAAACAACCAGAACAGAAATCTCCCTCTTTTTCAACGAGGAGAGCAAAACAACTTCCTTCTTGTGTCACCCATCTCTGTCTTTTTGGTGGTTGGCTTGTCTCAGTAGCAGCTGGTGAAACGGGTTTATCTAGCGATGGTCGAGCAGCCGAGCCATGTGTTCTGTTGGAGCACGGCAGGGGGAGCGTGGCCTGCATCTTTCTCTCCCCCTTCTAGGGAAGAAGGTGATCGACGTGGCCGCGGGCTCCACGCACTGCCTGGCCCTCACCGAGGACAGTGAGGTGCACAGCTGGGGCAGCAACGACCAGTGCCAGCACTTTGACACCTTGCGTGTGACCAAGCCGGAACCCACGGCGCTGCCGGGCCTGGATACCAAACACATCGTCGGCATCGCCTGTGGGCCAGCACAGGTGCTGGGCCGGGGGCTGCATGCGTGGTGTGACTGGAATTTGGTGGCCTGTCATTGATGGCCAAGACGTAGAAACAGCATGGGCGTCATGATATTGTTGTGCTGACCTCACAACTTCCGGGAGTTCTGTCATCAGCCTCTTGGAGGGGAGCAGTCATGTTGTCCCTTCACAGAGACCATTTTCTTTCTTATTTCATCACTTGTCTTGCTGTCCTGCCGTCCTGCCAGGGCGGGCTGTCTGTTACTCCTGAGTAAGAGCAGTGAGGAACAGTGAGAACAGACCGCTAAGTCTGTGGATACTTTGTCAGAAAGATTCAGGATGTTTTCTTAAATTAATTCCCCTTTTGGGGCTGGACCAATAGCACAGCGGGTAGGGCGTTTGCCTTGCACGCGGCCGACCCGGGTTCGATTCCCAGCATCCCATATGTTCCCCTGAGCACTGCTAGGGGTAATTTCTGAGCGCAGAGCCGGGAGTAACCCCTGTGCATTGCCGGGTGTGACCCAAAAAGCAAAAAAAAAAAAAAAATCCCCCTTTGAGAAGTTTCCTGTCTTGGATGGATGATGAATTTCATTGCATACTTTTTTTTGGGGGGAGGGGCCACACCTGGTGATGCCCAGGGGTTACTCCTGGCTCTGCACTCAGAAATCACCCCAGGTCGGTTCAGGGAACCCAGTGGGGTTCTGGGGATGGAGCCCAGGCCGTGTGCAAGGCAGGCATCCTACCCGCTGCGCTAACCTCCAGTCCATCACATGTCCTTCTCAAATGATCAAATCACTTGATTTCTTGAGATTGTCTCTGAGTATAGGGGAAATTAAAGAGAAGTGCTCCTCAAATTGGGCCCATAGTTGGAGGTGTTGGGATAAACACCAGTTGGTCATGGAACATTGTTCTTTCATTATGCTGCTGGATTTGATGTGCTGATGACATGCGTGAGGATTTTTCTGTTGGTGCTCATCAGATGCTGACAAGTGGTTATCTTGCATGGTCTTGTTTGGTTTTCTTTTTTTAAAAAATCAAGATAAAATAATTAAAAATAAAAAAACAAGATAAAAGAAGCCTTTGAAAAAATACTCATCATTTTCTGTTTTCTAGAAAGGATTGGAATTCCCATTTCTTGGTTTTGGGCTGGTTCTGACTGTGCTTAGGGCTTGCTCCTGACTCTGCACTCAGGGATCACTCTAGGTGGGCTTGGAGGGCCATATTTGGTACTGGGGATTGGATCCGGGTCAGCCACATGCAGGACAGGTGCCTTAACCCCTGTGCTATCTCTCTGGCCCACTACTATTTCTTTTTCTGGTGTTTTTTGTTGGGGGAGTTCATTTGAGCCTAGGCATGTGTATCTTTTTGTGTTTTTTTTTTTTGGGTCATGCCTGGCGATGTTCAGCAGTTACTCCTGGCTCTGCACTCAGGAATTACATTGCCTGTCCATCTCTCTCTCCCGATCTCACCTGCACACATGTGACCATGGTGCTTACATGTTCAGTTGTAGTGTGGGTCTCTCATATATATACAAACACACATACACGTGTGTGGCAGTGGTACTTCAACTTTTCTGTCAATTTCCATCTTTGTATGTGAGTCAGGTTTTTTGTAGATACTATAAAATCGTGTGATTTTTAGATAATGAGAAACCGTGTTTATGCTTTGTTTTGGGGACCACTCATGGCTCACGCCGAGATGGAGCCTGGGCCCCTGCACTCCAGCCCTTTGGTCTATCCCCCTGGCCCTGGGCTTGGATTGTCTCCCCCCAATATCCTGACCATCTTATTTCTGTTGGTATGTTTTGAACATGCAGTGTCAGTGGTGAGTTGAATTTGTGTCTGTCATTGATGTGAGTTTCCTGACTCCTGGAACACTTGAGTGTTTTCTGCATTCTATTTGAAATGACAGAGTCCTCACCCATGTGCCTCAGCGGGGGATTTCTTCGAGGTTAGTGGTTGCTCTGGAGACCGAGAGAGTTCCTCCTCCGTTCGGGAGGCTTGTGTGGTCTCTGCTACCTTTCGAGAATAAAGCTGTTTCTAAAATTAGCTTTTTCCCCTTCTTCCCTTCTTACCTGTGGCAGAGCACACTAGGGCAGTGAGCAGAGTGGGAGGGGAGGAAGCAGGGCTCGTGCATGTCATTATCGTAAGGGTTCGTGTTCTGGTGGGATGGACAGTGGGCAGGGTAGGACTCCTCCTCCAAGGGCCCACACCATGCCTGAGGGACCCTGTTTCTTCTGCTTATTCCACAGAGTTTTGCATGGTCATCTTGTTCTGAGTGGTCCATCGGCCTCCGAGTCCCATTTGTGGTGGACATCTGCTCACTGACCTTTGAGCAGCTGGACCTCCTGCTTCGGCAAGTGAGTGAGGGCATGGATGGCACCGCCGACTGGCCCCCGCCGCAGGAGAAGGAGTGCATGGCTGTGGCCACGCTGAATCTGCTCCGGCTGCAGGTATCTGGTGGCCCCCGGGCCCTTGGCCCTGCTGGGGGCAGCCCTGGTCTTCATAGTGCTGCAGAATGGAAGGTGGGGGCTGACCTTGTAAGTGGGCCCCGTCTGTGAACCAGGCCAGGTGTTGGGCAGTGGTCTGGTCAGACTGTGTCCACTCTGGGTGCCAGGCAGTGGTCTGTCAGACTGTCCAGCCTGGGTGCCAGGCTCTGTGCGGCCACAAGTGTGGTCATGGGGAGGCGGCTCAGTGGGAGCGTCAGGCCCTGATCTGATCTCTGGCATCCACACCCACCTGCTGTGAGACAGGCACCAACTAGCGAAGCAGGAGCCGTTGGATTGGGCTGTTCCCACCATGGGGAGCTGGTCTGTGCGCGCCTCAGGGAGTCCACCTGCAATCTGCCAGGTGCAGGGGTGTCCCGGGACAGACAGGACAGGAGGGCCTGGGGCCAGGGCAGGGGTGGGACAGGAGGGCCTGGGGACAGGAGGGTCTGTCCTGTCCTGTCCTTGCTGTTGCCCTGTGTCTGGTCCTCTCTGTGCTGAGGGGAACCCGACACCAGTGCAAATGTTTCCTGTAGCTGATCTGCTTCTCTGATCTGCCTTCCAGGTTTTTCTTGTGACCCTACTAGTTTTCTTTTTTTAAAAATATAAGTCCATTTTTGATTAATTACTTTATTTAAAAACTTTCTTTATTCGTGAATACTGTGAGGTACATTTACAAACTTAGCGAACTTTTGTATTTCGGTCATGCAATAATCATTTACCAGTGCCATCATTCACCATCATTTACCATCCACCAGTGCCCATTCTCTTCCACCAATGTTCCCAGTATCCTTCCCACCACCCCCGCTCATCGCCCCCACCTCACCCTGCCTCTCTCTCCCTTTGGGTGTTGTGGTATTGAGTGGTTGCAATAGAGGTAATGAGTGGCCATCGTGTTCGGTCTGTCGTCTACTTTCGGCACGCGTCTTTCAACCCTGATGGGTCCTCCCAGCATCCTTTACTTGGTGTTCCCTTCTCTGTCTGAGCTGCCTTCCCCCCAGCATGTGAGGCCGGTTTCAGAGCTATGGAGCAGACTTCCTGGTCGAGATCAGGACCATTTTTAATTTATTTAATGCTTAGGGTTGTCTCTCTTTTTGTTCCAGAGGCAAAACCAGTTGGTGGTAGCTCCTGCCTCAAGGCCTGGCAGCTCTGTGCTTTCCAGAGTATAGCAAGTAATGATTTCAGTGTTCTGAGGCAGGATGCAGCCTCTCACATACACTAAAAAAAATACAAGAAAATACTTTTAGATAGACTTACCAGAGACTAAATAATGCTTTATAGGAGCACAGATATTGCAAGAATTTTTTAATTTTAGTGTTTTTAATTGAGTCACTGCGAGATACATAGTTGCAAAGCTTTTCATTCATTCATTCATCCAATTGAGTCACCGCGAGATACATAGTTGCAAAGCTTTTCATTCATTCATTCATCCAATGCCCATCCTTCTACCCGTGTACATTTCCCACCATCAGTGACCCTTGTTTTCCTCCTGCCACCACCACGCCCGGCCTGGCTCTCTGGCAGGCTTCTCTCTCTCTCTCTCTCTCTCTCTCTCTCTCTCTCTCTCTCTCTCTCTCTCTCGCTCTCTCTCTCGCTCTCGCTCTTGCTCTGCCCTCTGTCCCTCTGTGTCTCTTTCCCTCCCCCTCCCTCCCCTCCCCTCCACCCCGGCCCTATCTTTTGGGCACTATGGTCTGCAACACTGAGAGGATATCCTGTTTGTTCCTTTACCTACTTAGAGCAGCAGTTCCTATCCAGAGTGATCATTTCCAACTATTTTGTCAGAATGGTTCCTTCTTTATCCCAGTTGCCGTTTTCCCCAGCACTCGAGGCAGGCTTCCAACCGTAGACCAATCCTCCTTGCCCTTGTTTCTACAGTCCTTGGGTTTTAGTCTTATACTATGGGTTTTTTTTTTTTATATTTCACAAATAAGTGCAATCGTTCTATGTCTGTTCCTCTCCTCCTGACACATTTCACTCAGCATGATACTCTGCATGTCCATCCATTTATAAGGGAATTTCATAATTTCACTTTTTCCTAACTGCTGCATAGTATTCCATTGTATAGATGTACCATAGTTTCTTTGACCAGTTGTCTGTTCTCGGGCACTTGGGTTGTTTCTAGATGGTGGCTACTGTGAATAGTACTGCGATAAACATAGGTGTGCAGATGGTGTTTCTGCTGTGTGTTTTTGGGCCCCAGGGTATATTCCCAGAAGTGGGATTGCAAGGTCATATGGAAGTGCAGTTTCTAGATTTTTGAGGAATGTCCATATTGTTCTCCAGAAAGACTGGGACCAGTCGGCATTCCAACCAACAATGAATGAGAGTTCCTTTCTCCCTGCATCTGCACCAGCACTGGTTGTTCTTGTTTTTTGGATGTGTGCCAGTCTCTGTGGTGTGAAATGATATTTCACTGTTGTTTTGATTTGCATCTCCCTGATGATTAGTGATGTGGAGCATTTTTCATGCGTCTTTTGACCATTTATATTTCTTCTTGAGGAAGCTTCTGTTCTTCTCCCCCCCCCCCTTTTTTTTGCTTTTTTTGGTCAAACCTGGCAAAGCTCAGGGGTTACTTTTGGCTCTGCACTCAAAGAATCACTCCTGGTGGTGCTCAGGGAACCATATGGGATGCCGGGGATCGAACCTGGGTTGGCTACATGCAAAGCCAACTCCTCCCTGCTGTCTTAATGCTCTGGCTCCCCCTCCTCATTTTTTGATGGGCTTGGATGTCTCTTTTGTTGTAAAGTTCTACAAGTGCCTTATATATCTTGGATATTAACCTCTTATCAGATGGGTATTGAGTAAATCATTCTTCCTATTCTGTGGGCTGTCTTTGTATTTGGTCACTGTTTCTTTTGAGGTCCAGAAGTTTCTGAGTTTAATGTTTATCAAAGTTTATCAAAGGTTAGATGACCATATATTTGAGGGTTGGTGTCAGGATATTCGACTCTGCTCCATTGATCTGCGTGTGACCCTAATAGTTACATCTGGGTGTCACACTTCATTTTTGTGTGTAGATTTGAGGTCAGGAGTCTTGTGGTATTTGAGATCGAACTATTCTTCTGGAAGGTGGAGAAGCTTTATGCTCTGCCATTGGTGTTGCTCCCTCTGTTTAAAATCTATTTTCCCCTTGGCGAAATTCTACTAAATGATGTTCGGGCAATTTTCTCATTTTATTTTTCAAATAGCACGCTTCTTTGTCTTTGCTCGGGTATTTTGGTTTGGGTTTGTTTCTGGACCACACCTGGCCGTGCTCAGGGCTTACTCCTGGCTGTGCGCTCAGCGGTCATTCCTGGTGGGCATGCCGAGGATTGAACCTCGGTCAGCTGTGCTCAAGGCAAGAGCCCTACCTGCTCCGGGCCCTGTAGCACAACTTCTTTAAAACTTTCAAATCTCTCTTCCCATTTTCCTTGCTCACTTCTCTCTACCTTCTGCCTTCTGGGTATTCCACTCAGATGCTTGCATTCAGATTCTTCCCTAAGCTGTATGTTCCTGAATTAACCTTTTACTTAAAACTTTTGTGGCCCCTGTTTTACACAGGTATTTTTATTTATTTATTTATTTATTTTGTTGTTGTTGTTCTTTGGGCCACAGCCTGTGGTGCTCAGAGATTACTCCTGGCTCCATGCTCAGGGATCGGCCCTGGTGGGGCACATGTGGTGCCCGGGGTGGCCCTGTGCATGGTGGGGATTGAACCAGTGTCAGCCGTGTGCACGGTTCTGTCTCCGCTCCTTGGAGTTCCTTGTCTCGCACCTGTTAGTGGTGACAGACGGGAGGGAAGGAAAGGGAGACGCTGAGACCGTGCGTGGAGTGGGAGCCCCGAGTGCCTCTCTCTGCCTCTGCGGTGGCCCGCTGCCCTTCCCCGTGCCTGCGGCTGCCACTGGGAGGTTGTGGCCCGCACAGGTGTTGGCTCTCAGTGACGTGCCCACACACAGTCATAGCCGAGAGGAGAAGCTGGCACACATCACTGGTGCTGGCAGTGGGTCGTGGCTCCCTCTGGTTAGGCAGGTGCTCAGTTGGGGTCCACCTGCAGCCACATGCCCAGCTTCTTTGCTGATGCAGCAGTGGGCCCTGGGGCATCGCACACCTTCATGTCCTCTGTGGGTGCAGGTGATGGGGGCTACGGTTGAAGGCTGCTCTTTGCTCTCTGTGAAGTTACAGTTGGGTTGAAAGTTTTCCTCTCGTGAAATGGCCTTGTCATGGCTTCCCAAAAAGCTTGGGCAACATTTTTCACCTAGTTTAAAAAAAACAAATGCGAGGGCCAGAGTGATAGTACAGTGGATGGGATGCAGCTGAATACGCTGTTGACCCGCGTTCCATTCCTGGCATCTTGTATGGTTACCCTGCGCACTGCCAGGAGTGATTCCTGAGAGCAGAGCCAGGAGAATGAAAAGAGAATGAAAAGCGAGTAGTGGTTGTCGTTCCTTTTTTTTTTTTCCTTTCTTTTTCGGTCACACCCGGCAATGCACAGGGGTTACTCCTGGCTCTGCACTCAGGAATTACTCCTGGAGGTTCTCAGGGGACCATATGGGATGCTGGGAATCGAACCCAGGTCGGCTGCGTGCAAGGCAAATGCCCTACCCGCTATGCTCTCACTCCAGCCCGTCTTTCCTTTCTTAAAAAGATCTCACACAGTCCTTCAAAAACTAGAAATTGAGCTTCCATATGACCCCATAATACCACTTCTGGGAATGTATCCCGAGGATGCAAAAAAGCACAGTAGAAATGACATCTGTACCTACATGTTCATTGCAGCACTGTTCACAATAGCCCAGATCTGGAAACAACCCAAGTGCCGTAGATCAGGTGACTCGTTAAAGAAACTTTGGTACATCTACACAATGGAATATTATGCAGCTGTTAGGAGAGATGAAGTCATGAAATTTGCTTATAAATGGATAGACATGGAGACTATCATGCTAAGTGAAATGAGTCAGAAAGAGAGGGACAGACATAGAAGGACTGCACTCATTTGTGGAGTATGAAACAACATAACATGAAGCTGACACCTAAGGACAGTAGATACATGGGCGAGGAAGATTGCTCCATAGCTGGAAGCCTGCCTCATGAGCAGAGGGGAGAAGGCAGCTGGAATACAGAAGGGATCACTAAGAAAAAGATGGCTGGAGGAATTGGTCGGGATGGGAGATGTGTGCTGAAAGTAGATAATGGACCAAACATGATAACCTCTCAGTATCTGTATTGAAAATCATAGTGCCCAAAAGTAGAGAGAGAGAGTATGGTGAATACTGTCTGCCATGGATGGAGGCAGGGGGAGGGTGGGAAGGGGGGTATGCTGGGGATATTGGTGTTGGGGAATGTGCACTGGTGGAGGGATGGGTATTCGATTGTAACCCAAATATGAAAGCTTGTAACTATCTCACGGTGATTCAATAAAATTTAAATAAAAATAAAAATAAAAAAGGTTCTTGCAGACCTGACTTGTTCTCTGAGTTAGGTTCCAAGCACCATCCAGTGGGAACTCTCTTTCTCCTTGCAGCTGCACGCAGCCATCAGCCACCAGGTGGATCCGGAGCTCCTGGGCCTGGGGCTGGGCAGTGCCCTCCTGGGGAGCCTGAAGCAGACGGTGGTGGCCCTGGCCAGCAGTGCGGGTGTGCTGGGCACGGTGCAGGGCGCCGCCCAGGCCGTGCTGCAGAGCGGGTGGTCTGTGCTGCTGCCCACGGCCGAGGAGCGGGCCCGGGCACTCTCGGCCCTGCTGCCCTGTGCAGGTGGGCTGGGCCAGGGGCGGGTCGTTTGGGGTGGGAGGGTGGCGCTGAGCGCCTCTCGCCAGGGACACGGGCCTATTTCTAGTTTCAGGCAACGAAGTCAACATAAGCCCAGGGCGGCGCTTCATGATCGATCTGCTGGTGGGCAGCCTGATGGCCGACGGTGGCTTGGAGTCGGCCCTGAATGCGGCCATCACCGCGGAGATCCAGGTACAGCAGGGGGAGAGTCTTGCCAGATCCCTGCAGACCGATGCCCAGTGTCTGTTATCCACGGGGGAGTCCCGGGGCCCTGGAACTTTCCCCCATGTGCTCGAGGCACCATCCCATCCCTGGGCGGGCTCTTCTGCCTGACTGTTCCTATTCTTGAGCCTGCGCTGGCCTGGGCCCTGGGGGCTGGATGCGATCTCCCTGAGGTTCCCCCCCCCCATGCCAGGAGTCGAACCTGGGCCAGGTGTGCCGTGTCCCTGAGGGCCCCCACCCTAGAGCTTCCGCTGGCCTCTGAGCTGCTCACTTGTCTGGGTGCTTTTGTGGCTCTTCTTGCTGTGACGGTGTTGGCTTTGGGAGAGACCACATGGGGCTGGGGCCATTCTGCCACTCGCGAGGCCCGGTGTCGCACACACGCTGACACCGTGGGCTCTTGGAGAAAACTGCAGCCGCTGCTCTGGGCGCCACTTCCTCCGCTAGCCTGGTCAGCCACATTCTGTGGGCACTGTGGTGAGATCTCATAAACATGGCCGCACCCCCACAGATAGTGAATGGTCCTGACTCTCGGTGCTGACTCTAAGGCCGTCCCTAGTGCCCACATCCCAGGTGGCCCAGAGGGTGCAGTGGCCTCTCCTGGAGGGTGTCCTCAGCTCACCGAGCTGCTGTTTCAGCGAGTCTGCTTCCTGCTGTGGAGAGGGAGCAGGTGGGGTGGGTCGGAGAGTGGGCGGAGACGGCCACTGTGCCTCTGCAGTCAGAATCCGGGTCAAATGCAGGCTGGGGCGGTGCCGTTCTGAGGTAGGCGTGAGCCCGGTGCTCGGATTTCACAGCTGCACACCTGAGCTCACTGATGCGGTGGCAGTGCCAGGATTGTGCATGTGCCAGCTGTGTTGGTCCCTCATGGGGTTGCCTGACTTTCTGGGCGAGTTTTCTGTTGCTGAGTCCGTACTTTGGGAAAGTTTAGATTATTTTGGCGGGGAGGGGTACGTTGGACCACACCCAGCAGCGCTCAGGGCTCACTCCTGGTGAGGCTCGCGGTATGGGGTGCCGGGAATCGAACCTGGGCTGTCTGGGTGCAAGGCAAGTGCCTCTCTGCTGCCAGAGCTCCTGCCCCCATGAAAGTTGAGACTGTTTCCCTTTGTTTTGGGGCACACCTGTCTGTGCTGGGGGCTTCTCTTGGTTCTGAGCTCTGGGGTTGCTCCTGGTTGGTGCTCAGGGGACGAGGCCATGCTGGGAGTCAGCCCTGGCTTCCTCATGCAACACATCCATCCAGAGGGCTGCGCCACTGCCAGCTGTGCCCTGCATGGCTCTGCCCTCAGGGATCACTCCTGGCGGGCTCACATGGCTCTGGTGGGGCTTAGGGATTGATCCGGGCTTGGCCATATGCAAGACGTGCCTTAACCCCTGTACAATCTCCCTGGCCCTGTTTTGTTCAGTGGCCATGCAGTTCTGCTTTCCCAGTGTTGATGTAGGCAAGTGTCTCTCTGCCTCTTATTGCCAGGACTTGTTGCCGTCCAGTCTCCTGGTTTTTACCAATGAGCGCATGTGCTTCTCCTGTATGCTGTGGCTTATCTGCCATTTATGTGCTTTCTTTGGAGAACTTGACTCCTGTCCTCTCTGTTATTAAACTGGAGTTTTTATCTTTTAGTTGGGCCATAAGAATTCGTTTTTTCGTCCTGATCCATGCATCTTGTCAGCTGTGTGATTTGGGACTAGTCTGTCATTCTTGAGTTGGTGGTCAGTGTCACAAGCCGGGTGGACACGCATATCTAGGCAGGTCACAAGGCTGTTGTTGCAAGCTGGGAGCAGGGGTAAGGGCGGAGGGACTTGGAGGCAGCTGGAGACCGTCAGCCTGGATGTTGGCCTTCCAGGAATCCAACTGAAGGAGGGGGATTCCCACTAGGTGAACATGGGCATGTGGCCAGGTCAGTCAGCAGGGCCAGGCCTCAGCCTGCAGGTGCCGTCATACCTGCCACCCTGGGGAGCCCCCAGCACAGATAGGTGTGTCCCCAAACAAAGGTAAACAGTCTCAACTTTCACGGCTGGGGCCCACTTCCTGCTGTATGAATCGCAGGACATTGAAACCAAAAAGGAAGCACAGAAGGAGAAGGAGATTGATGAGCAGGAAGCCAGTGCCTCCACGTTCCACCGAAGTCGCACTCCGCTGGATAAAGACCTTATCAACACGGGCATCTGCGAGGCCTCGGGGAAGCAGTGCCTGCCCCTGGTCCAGCTCATCCAGCAGCTTCTGCGGTGAGGGGGGGCATTGGTGCTGTGCTCAGGGTGCGGACACTAGCAGTGCCTGCCGCTGGTCCATTTAGCTCATCCAGCAGCTTCTGGGGTGTATGTGTGTGGGGGGGTGGGGCTGCTTGTGCTCAGGCTGTGGACATTAATAGGAGGGATCTGGAGTGTGTCTGGGCTATTGAGGGAATATTTTGAAAACAACATGGGTTCCCAGGTAAAGAGCAGACAGTGGTAAAGGAGAGGAGTGTTGGAGTGTATTTGGGAGGGTTGGAGATCCTCAAGGATCTTTCACTGGTGGAAAATGGGGAGCATGAGAGAAATGTGGGAAAAAGTGCTTATCCTGTTGAAATGCCATTTGAGGCAAATGAAACTCATCACAGGCAGCAGCACAGGGGTTAAGGCATTTGCCTTGCTTGTGACGGACCCTGGCTCAGTCTCCAAGTGCCATATAAGGTCCCCTGAGCACTGAGCCAGGAAGAGTTCCGTGCACTGCCTGGTGTGGCCCCTTAGACGAAAATAAAAGCAAACTGGCTGCTGTGTCGTTGTCTGACTTTCCACATTATAGATTCAAATTTTTTTTTTTTTGCGGACGGGCACACCCAGCATTGCTCAGGTCTTACTGCTCCTTGCTCAGGGATCCCTTCTGGCAGGGCTTGGGGGTCCATATGGGAGGCCTGGGTTGAACCTGGCTGGCTGCATGCCAGCTCCCTACCCACTGTACTTCCTCTTTGGTCCTAGATATGTTTATTTTTCTGTTTGTCTTCTGGGCCACACTGGTTGTGCTCAGGGCTGACTCTTGACTCAGTGCCCAGGGATCACTTTTGGTGGGGCTTGGTAGACCCTACGGGGTGCCGGGGATAGACTCAGGGTCAGCTGGGTGCCAGGCCAGTGTCTTAATGCTGTACTGTCTCTGGCTCAATGTGATACTCTTCTGTTGTTGTTTTTGGGACACACCCAGCAGTGCCCAGGGTTACTCCTGACTGCACTCAGGGATCACTCCTGGCTGCGTGGGGACCATAGTGGGTACCAGGGATAGAACCCAGCTTGGCTGCGTGCAAGGCAAACGCCCTCCCCGTTAACCTGTCGCATGGTCCCATCAGTGCAGATCCCCCGCCCGTGTTGGTGGGGCCCCATCTGGGCTCTGTGCTTCTGGTTTGCTGGGGGTTTGTTTCCGGCTGACACAGCGTACGCCTTCACTGGGCCATCCTCTTTACCCTGTGCAGGAACATCGCCTCCCAAACTGTCGCCCGGCTGAAAGACGTCGCGCGGCGGATCTCATCGTGCCTGGACTTCGAGCAGCACACGCGCGAGAGGTCTGCGTCTTTGCACCTGCTGCTGCGCTTCCAGCGGCTGCTCATCAGCAAGCTGTACCCAGGAGAAGGCTTTGGGCCGGCCGCCGACGCGCCCAGTGAGTCGCTCCACGAGCATCTACCTTTTTTTTTTTTTTTTGCTTTTTTTGGGGGGGGAGGCACACCCGGCAATGCACAAGGGTTATTCCTGGCTCTGCACTCAGGAATTACTCCTGGAGGTACTCAGGGGACCCTCTCTGCCTCTTCCTTGCAGGCCCTGAGCTGATGGGGGTTGGCTCCTTGCTCAAGAAGTATACTGCCCTGCTGTGCACGCACATCGGGGACATCCTGCCCGTGGCCTCCAGCATCGCCTCTGCCAGCTGGCGGCACTTCGCAGAGGTGGCCTGGGTCGTGGAAGGGGACTTCACCGGTACTTCCTTGTTTCCTACCCATCCTGTGTGTTTTGACCAGAGGATTGGCTTGAGGTGGCCACCTGCCTTGTCCAGGCGCTCGCTAGGTCTGGGCCCTCTGTCCTTTGGAGTCTTCGGTGGCTACCAGTTCTGCTGAGCTGCCTGCGATGGCACAACAGCTGGTGATTAGGTCCCTGCGCCATCCCCAAGGCTTCTGTGACGTGGTCTGCGTTATCTCATTTCACTCCAGCAGGAAAATCTTCCGCGTCCCCCGCTGCCCTTTCTTAGGTGCTGAATAAGTTCTAATTTTGTTCAGGATTTTTAAATGGTATTTTTACAAGTAGTTTAGAATTCGGTGGTGGTGCTGCTTTGTTCCTGAGCCCGGTTTCCTAACCGGAAACCTCAAGGTGCACACCTAGTGGTAGGCGTGAGTGTAGGGAATAGTTCTCTGTCCAAAGGATGTTTTTGAAAACAGTCTTGAAATTCACAGGAATCCACTGACAAGTGCGACTGTGTCTTTCAAGAATGAGCCCTAAAGTCACCTTAGAAAGAGGCGACAGTGTAACTTTCCTCCATGGGGATCGCATGGCAAGCATGTTTACAGAGGGGCTTTATGGGGCCATTACGCTTATTTAAATTTTAATGATCTTCTTCTTTCTTTTTAAATGTAGGTGTGCTCCTTCCAGAATTAGTTGTTTCTATAGTGCTCTTGCTCAGTAAAAATGCTGGTCTCATGCAGGAGGCGGGCGCCGTGCCTCTGCTGGGCGGCCTGCTCGAACACCTGGACCGCTTCAACCACCTGGCACCTGGCAAGGACAGAGATGACCACGAGGAGCTGGCCTGGCCCGGCATCATGGGTACGGATGGTCCTTTGATGCAGACCCCCTGAGGAGTCTTTCCTGTTCTAGTCTCAGCCGACCCGCCCTTTCCTGTCCCAAGGAAGCTTTGCTGGGCAGTGGCCAGCGTGTGTTCTAAGGGGGGAAGTGCACCAGGACAGATTCGGGCTCTGCAAAGCAGGAGTTTCCTTCTGGCCTGTCTCTGACCCCAGACACGGCCCTCTCAGGCCTGAAAACCCTTTCTGGGGCTCAGCCGTCAGACAGCCGACCCTGCCCAGGTTGCCTCGTCTTCGGTGCAGCCTGGCTTTCTGAGGGGTGGAACTTGTCTCCACAGTGCTGACCACTTGTCTTCCCAGTGTTGGCCACTGAAGTTGCAGACTGTGGGTCTGGCTTATTGTCAGGGAAGTTTTGATTCGGCATCTGTCCTCCCGGGATGCTCAGGCCATTGTTGCTGTGCTGACAGGGGGCCCAGAACAGGACGTGGCCTTTGGCCCGAGGAGAGCTCGTGCTTGTGTTTACTTGTAAGATTCGGCGAAGCGCTGGCTTTATGTCAGATTTTTGTGCACTTAAGTGTTTTTTTTTTTCCTTTCCTAAATCTTTACTAATGTCCTTGAAAGCATTTAAAGGCACCCACTGATCAGGCTGGTTCATTTCAGTCCTTTTTTTCTCCTTTTGAATCATTGTTTTTCCTTTTAAGTCTTGTTAAGACAAATCTCAGAGATGCTGGCCGCCCCTCTGGGCGCACTGGTGGGGACACTGTGCACCCGTACTGGTCATGTTGTGACTGCCCTCTTCCAGAACGGGCCCCTCTGTGGCGTGTGCCGAGGTGACCCCGCAGCCCTGCATGGTCACGGCGGCATGTCCGTGTGTGTGTCCGTTTCTGTTCTCAGGCCGCCGCTCACCATGCTTGTGTGGCTTTTGCTCTCTCTGGCAGTGGGAGAGTGATCTGTTCTGTCCCCTCTTCTCTCCCAGAAGCCTCCTGGCGTCCTCGTGGGCATCTTGGTGCCAGCAGGGAAGAGAGCAGGCAGGCTGTCTGGTCATTGGCCTCAGTGTTCCATTGGTCTTAGAGTACCCAGTGACTTTTCATCTCTTGATACATTGTTTCTTTTTTCTACTCCCTGAAAAGTCTTGTTAGTGAAAGGAATCAGGCTTCAGTGTGTGTAATGAAACTGCTTTGGTCATTTTGTGTCGGTTATAGTCAACCTGAATGTGTGAGTGGCTCTTTTTTTCCCTTTGCTTTGTCTTGGGTCACACTCCGTGGTGCTCAGGGCTTCCTCCTGGCTCTGCGCTCAGGGGTCATTCCTGGCAGGCCTGGGGACCGTTATCAGATTCTGGGGACCAAACTTGGGTCAACCACATGCAAGGCAAGTGCTCTGCCTGTTGTACTATCTTGGGCCCCTTGACCTGCTTTTTTATTTTGGGGAACAGTTTTGCACCTGTGTTTCTGAGGTTTTCCCAAAAAACAAATTCTGTATTTGTTTTCCTTCCTGTTTTGGGAACGTGTCCTGTGAAGCTTGTGGCTGCTTGGGATTCTGTGACTGTGGGACACCAAAGGCTGTGCTGGGGGTGGACCAAGGCCCCTGCATGCTGGGTTGTTTTTCTGGCCCTGTGACGGTTTTGTTGTAACTGCAGGTCCCCAGCGAATAGCACGACCACCCTAGCATGAGGCTGTAACTCAGGAGAGTGCTGGTCTCCCTGCAGCTGTCTGCACAGGGGCTGCGAGCTTCAGTGCGGCATGTGCATGTCACAGGGGACATGGAGAATGTTCCTTCCTCTTCTGTTTCGGAAGGCTGCCTATGATCTGGTAGAATTTGCTAGTTGTGACCTGTGTGTGATTGCTTTGTTGGGAGGGCAGAGAAGCAGCTTGAGAACTCAGCTTAATGTTTTCCTTGGTGCTCAGGAGGGCCCAGGGGTACAGTGCTGCTCGGAGCTTGCAGTTTTGCCCTGGTTGGGGTCACATGCCTTAGAGCCTGGGGGGCCTGCAGCTGGTGCTGGCATCAAGTCAGGTGTGCCCTAGCCACTGTACTGCCTGCTGACCCCCATTTTAAATGTGCAGGTCTCTGGCATTAAGGATGCTTCCAGGCAAGACAGCACGGTGGGGAAAGTTGTTGCGGCTGGCCTGGGTTTGACCCTGACACCCCATGTGGTCCCCCAATTCCTGCCAGGAGTCGCCTCTGAGCACCGCAGGTGTGTCTTCTGCCAATACACACCTCCCCACCCAACCAGTAAAAGCTCATGGCCGTCCGTCTCTGGGGCGCTCCATCTCGGCAGCCCCTTGACACACTTTCCTACTTCTTCCCTCCCCCAGCTGCTTATCCACCTCCAGTCTCTGTGCCTGACACCCGGAGTGGGCCTGAGTGGGACCTTCTGGGTCTGTCCTTTGTGGATTGGGGAGTTTCTTGTCTGAGCTGTGGCATGCCAGGGTCTCTCTCCCATGTTCCATGGTACGGGTGCTCTTTCCGGCTCTCACATTTGTAGATTCATCAGTGTAGAGCCTCCCAGTGAGAAGTGGGCTCAGCATAGTGAGTGTGTCTAGGCTGTGTGTTCGCTGGGCCATTGGCCCCGCACTGGGGTGTAGAGATGGCCCCATATTCTGTTCTGTTCTTTGGCCTGGGCAGCCACTTGTAGTGCCGCCTTGTCACAGTCCCCATTCAGGGGCAGGGAGCTTGCCTTGCATGTGGCTGACCCAGGTTTGGTCCCTAGCATCCTATATGGTCCCCCAGACCTACCTACCATCAATGATCCCTGAATGCAGAGCCAGGAGTGAGTCCTGAGCACTGCCGAGTATGGCTCCAAAACAAAACAGACAGAAACCAAAAACAAAACAGTAACCAACTCCAAACCTTTCAGCCTTGCTGGCTTTGGTGGTAGGTTTGAAGGAGGTAGAGTTGGTGAGGGAAGGGCATGACTAGTTTGATTCTTGGCCCTAGCTAGCCCTTGGACCGTTTTCCATATTCCTGAGTTTATGTCAGGTGATCAGGGCTTTTCCTTTCTGAGTTGCATTTGGTCATTTGATGTTGGTTAACTGGCCTTTTAGCATTACCTTTTTCTTAACACGCGCCTGGGAAAATGCCTTATGTATGCATTTGCCTGTGTCCCAGGTTTTGGTCAATAGTAGTATCATCATTACTCAGTGCATTTCTAATTTTCCTAATCATCTTGGACTTTGGGGTATTTTAACTCCTGGTTTTCACACATGTGCGGAATCTGTGTCTCACTTGCATCCTGGCTATCTGGTCTCCCTTGGCTGGAGCTTGCCCGGCCCACGGGACTGTGGCTGCCCACTGTGGCCTGTCTGGCGCTGTCAGGCATTTGCTGGTGTGCCTGTGGAGCGGCATCTCGTGTGTGGTGGTGTTGCAGAGAAGCATGTCCGTCTCCCCCCGTAGCCGTGACCGTGTGTCCTTGTTCTTTCTCAGTGTGTTCTTTTGTTTCACCAGTTGATCTATCGATTTATTGATTTTGGTTTCTGTATATACAGAGTCATTTTTTACAGGTCAGAACTGTAGGAATAATGAGGAGGTGACCCTGATACGCAAAGCCGACCTGGAGAACCACAATAAAGACGGAGGCTTCTGGACTGTGATCGACGGGAAAGTGTACGACATAAAGGACTTCCAGACCCAGTCGCTCACCGGGAACAGCATCCTCGGTGAGTGACCTCATTCCACCTTGGTGTGAGCATGTGCAGCAAGTGCTCCTGACACATTGAAGTGATGGTTTCACTTTGCTGCAGTCCCCATGTACTTTGACCTCTCAGTGACTTGGGTCCCCATCAGGACACCCAGGCAAACTCTGATGAATTTCTCATTGCTTGCTCATTTGTCACACCAGCATTTCTTGGAGGTTATTCCATGCAGTACTCAGGGATGACTCCTAGCTCTGTGCTCAGGAATTACTCCTGGTGGGCTCAGGGGACCATGTGGGGTGCCGGGGCTTGAGCCCAGGTCTGATGTGTACAAGGCCGGTGTTCTACCCTCTGTACTAGTGCTCCGGCTCCAGCAGCATGTTCTGAGTTGGTGCAGACAGGGCAGGCCTGGGGGAGAGGAGAGTCATTATACTTTGCTAGCTTTACTGCTCACTTTGGAGCCAACCTGCCCATCCTCGCCATTTCTCCTACGCTGAGCGAATCACGCTGAAGTGACGGTAGCTTTTATTCTTTTGATTGTAGCTCAGTTTGCAGGGGAAGATCCTGTGGTAGCTTTAGAAGCTGCTTTGCAGTTTGAAGACACACGGGACTCCATGCATGCCTTCTGTGTTGGCCAGTATCTGGAGGTGAGGCTGCGTGCTGGAGGTGAGGCTGGGTGCTGGAAGTGAGGCTGGGTGATTGAAAGTGAGGCTGGGTGATTGGAGGTGTGGCTGGGTGACTGGAGGTGCGGCTGGGTGACTGGAGGTGTGGCTGGGTGACTGGAGGTGTGGTTGGGTGACTGGTGGTGCAACTGGGTGCTGGAGGTGTGATTGGGTGCTGGAGGTGCGATTGGGTGCTGGAGGTCAGACTGAGTGCTGGAGGTGCGGCTGGGTGCTGGAGGTGCGGCTGGGTGACTGGAGGTGCGGCTGAGTGCTGGAGGTGCGGCTGGGTGCTGGAGGTGCGGCTGGGTGCTGGAGGTGTGGCTGGGTGCTGGAGGTGAGACTGGGTGTCTGGAGGTGAGACTGGGTATCTGGAGTAGGGGCTGGGTGACTGGTGGTGGACTTGACCGGTTACTGAGATAGCTAGGCCTTCTGACAGGTTTGTGTGTGAGAGCCATTAAATGACAAAATCCTATAGGGATTTTTTTTTTTTGGTAAATGTGTTTCTGTTTATGATATGTTTCTGTGTCTGTGTGTGTGTGTATGTGCTTGTGTGTCCCATCACCTTCATGTGTTTGTGACAGTCCTTCCTGTCACTCTTTGTGTGTATGTGCAATGATGTGTGCTGTCACTCTGGATTTGTATAATGGTGCTTCATGTCACTCTCGGTATGTGCGTGTGTGTGTGTATGCGTTGCATGCGTGCATGCACAATGGTATTTCCTCTCTACAGGGGAGGTGTGTGCAATGGTGCTTCCTATCACTGGGTATATCCGAAGGTGCATCGTTTTACACTGGATGTGTGTAAGATGCTTAATGTAACTTAGGGTGTGTGTGTGCAATGGTGCCTCCTGTCAGTCTGGAAGTGTGCATTGTGCCTCCTATGACTCAGGGTGTGTTATGTTGCTTCTTGTCACTCTGTGTGAAATGGTGCCTTCTGTCACTGTGTCTGCATGTTGGTGCTTCCTGTCACACTGGGTGTGAGTGATTTTGCTACCTACAGAGGTAGGTGTCTGTGTGCAGTGGTGGTTCCTCTCTGTACGTGTATAACGGTGCTTCATGTCATTCTGGGTGTGTGTGAAGATGCATTGTGTCACCTTGGATTTTTGTATGGAGTATTATGTCACTCAGGCTGTGTGTGTGCAACAGTGCGTGCTGTCACTCTGGATGTGAACATTGCTTCCTGTCACTTTGGATGTGAATGTTGCTTCCTATCACTCTGGATGTGTGAAAGTTGCTTCTTGTCATTCAGGATATGTGAAAGTTGCTTCCTGTAACTCTGGATGTGTGAATGGTGCTTCTTGTAACTCTGGTGTGTGTGACAATGCTTCCAGTCACTGTTTTTTTTTTTGCTCTGGTTGTATGATCTTACTTTCTGTCACTGGATGAGTGTGACTGGGCTTTCTGTCAATGTGGCTGTTGTGAAGGTGCACCCTTCCTTGTGTTAGTGCGTGGTGTTTCCTTTTTTGCTGGAATGGTGTGTGCAGCGGAGCTTCTTGTCTCTCCGGTCATGTGTGAAGGTGCATCTAGTCACTCTGTAGGTTAGTACTGTCCTTTATTATTATTTTTTTTTGGTGTCACACCCATTGATGCACAGAGGTTACGCCTGGCTCATGCACTCAGGAATTACTCCTGGTGGTGCTCGGGGACCATATGGGATGCTGGAGATCGAATCCGGGTCTGTCACGTGCAAGGCAAATGCCCTACCTGCTGTACTATCACTGCAGCCCCAGTACTGTCCTCCTTATAACTCAGGGTGTATGTGTGCAGTGGTGATTCCTGTGACTTTGGATGTGAACAATGTTTCCTGTCACTTTGGAAGTGTGTATGGTGCTTCCTGTGACGCAGGGTGTGTTATGTTGCTTGTCATTCTGGCTGTGTGGAACATTCCTTCCTTCACTGTGCCTGTGTGTTGGTGCTTCTTGTCACTCTGGGTGTCTCTTAGTAGTGCTTCCTGTCACTTTTTGTGTGAACTAGCTTCCTGTCAATCAGTTGTGTGTAACAGTGCTTCTTGTCACTCTGACTGTGTGTGATAGTGGTTCCTGTCACTGTGTGACAGTGCTTTCTGACTCTGGATGTGTGCAGTGGTGCGTGCTATCACTCTGGATGGCATGATGGTTCTTTATGTCACTCTCCATGTATGTACAGTGGCGGTTCCTTTCTACAGGGGAGGTATGTGCAATGATGTTCCTGTCACTCTGGGTGTGTGTGAAGGTTTATTGTGTAACCCTGGATGTATGTACAGTGCTTAAATAACTCAGGGTTTGTATGTGCAACGGTGCCTCCTGTCACTCTCTAATTGTGAGTGTTGCTTTCTTTCACTCTGGATGTATTTATGGTGTTTCCTGTGACTCAGGATGTGTGTTATGATGCTTCCTGTCACTCTGGCTGTGTGTGACATTGCCTCCTGTCACTCTGTGTTAGTGTTTCCTGTCGCTCTGGGTGTTTTGTGCTATTGTGCTTTCTGTCAGTCTTGTTGTGTGACCTTTCTTCCTGTCTTTTTTGGCTATGTGTGACAGTGGTTCCTTTCAATCTGGCTGTGTTTGACAGTTGGTCCTGTCACTATGGGTGTTAGTGTGTTCAGTGGTGGTTCCTTTCTACCTGGTTATGTGTGTGCAGTGGTGCTTACTTTTATTCTGGTTGTGTGAAGGTTCATCAGTCACCCTGGATATGTGTGTATGGTGCTTAATGTAACTTTGGGGTTGTGTGTGCAGTGGTACTTTCTGTCACTCTGGATGTGAACGGTGCTTCCTGTCACTCTGGATATGAACGTGCTGCCTGTCACTCTGGATGTGTGTATTGTGCCTCCTTTGACTCAGGGTGTTTTGTTGTTTCTTGTCACTCTGACTGTGTGGAACGGTGCCTCCTATCACTGTGTCTGTGCATGTTGGTGCTTCCTGTCACTCTAGGTGTGAGTGATTTTGTTTCCTGTCACTCTGTGCAGTGGTGGTTCCTTTTTCTCTGTGAGATGTGTGTAATGGAGCTTTCTTTCACTCTGGGTTTTTGTGTGAAGTTGCATGCTGCCAACCTGGATATATGTACGGTGCTCAATGTAACTCAGGCTGTATGCGTGCAAAGGTGCGTGCTGTCACTGTTTCCTGTCACTCTGGGTGACTTTTACTGTTGTGTGACTTGTTCCTGTCTTTCTCGTCATGTGACCTTTCTTCCTGTCTTTTTGGCTATGTGTGACAGTGGTTCCTTTCAATCTGGCTGTGTTTGACAGTTGGTTCTGTCACTATGGGTGTTTCTGTGTGTTCAACGGTGGTTCCTTTCTACCTGGGTGTGTGTGTGCACACTGGTGCTTCCAGTCACTCTGGATGTAAACGGTGCTTCCTGTCACTCTGGATATGAATGGTGCTTTCTGTGACTCCAGGTGTGTTGCTTCTTGTCACTCTTGCTGTGTGGAATGGTGCCTCCTGTCATGTCTGTGCACATTAGTGCTTCCTGTCACTCTGTGAGTGATTTTTTTCCTGTCACTCTGAGTGTATGTGTGTGTGTGCAGTGGTTATTCCTTTCCTCTGAAGCTATGTGTACTTTGCTTCCTGTCACTCTGGATGTGTGTGAAGGTGCATGCTGTCAACTTAGAAATGTGTACAGTGCTTATTGCCACTCAGGCTGTGTGTGCAATGGCGCTTTCTGTCACTCTGGATGTGTGTATGGTGCTTGTTGTAACTCTGTATGTGTGATGATGCTTCCTGTCACTCTACGTATCTTGTGCTCTGGTTGTGTGATCTTGCTGTCTCCCTGACTGAGTGTAGCTGGGCTTTCTGTCAATGTGGTATTTGTGACGGTGCTTCCTGTCACTCTGGATGTGAACAGCACTTCCTATTACTGTGAATGTGAACAGTGCTTCTTGTCACTCGGATGTGTGTAAGATGCTTGAGTAATTCGGGGTGAACGTTACGATGCTTCCTGTCACTCTGGCTGCTTATGATGGTGCCTCCTGTCAGGCTGTTTGTGTGATTCGGTGCTTCCTGTCACTCTGGGTGTCTCTTAGTAGTGTACTTCCTGTTATTCTGGCTGTGTGTGACAGTGCTTCCTGTCACTCGCGTGTGTGCAGCAGTGGTTCCTTTGTCTCTGGCCATGTGTATGCAGTGACTATCTGGCTGTATGTGAAGGAGCTTCCTGTTACTTGGATTGTGTATGGTGTTTACTGTGACTCTGGTTGTATGTGTTCAATGGTCTACTCTGTCACTCTGGATGTGTGAATAGTACTTGTTGTCACTCTGGAGTTTTGTATGGTGCTTCCTGTAACTCCAGGTTTGTGTTGGTACTGGTGCATCCTGTATCTTTGGCTGTGTGTGAATGTGCTTCATGTTACTTTGGTGTGTGTGCACAACCATGGTTTCTCTTTGTGGGTGTGTGTGCAGTGGTGCTTCCTGTTAACTCTGGGTGTGTGTGAAGTTTATCCTGTCACTCTGGGTATTTGTACGGTGCTTCTTATAACTCCGTGTGTGTGTGTGTGTGTGTGTGTGTGTGTGCAATGTTGTTTCCTGTCAGCCTGGGTTGAACAGTGCTTCCTGTCACTCAGGATGTGTGAACGGTGTTTTCTGTCACTCGGGATGTGTGTACTGCGCTTCCTCTTACTCTCGCTGTGTCCGATTATGTTTACTGCCACTCTGGCTCTGTGTTTGAATGGTGCTTTTGGTTACTCTAGCAGTTTGTAACTGTGCTTGCTGCCACTCTGCATGTTATGGTGTTTCTTATCACTCTGTGTGTGACAGTGTATCCCGTCACACTGTGTGTGCAACATTGCTTCCAGTCTCTGTTCGTATGATGATGCTTCCTGTCACACTAGCTGTGTGCAATGGTGCTTACTCTCACTCTGGGTGTGTATTTGCAATAGTGCTTTCTGTTTCTCTGGCTTTGTGACCGTACTTTCTTTCACTCTGGCTGTTTTTGATGGTGCTTCCTATCACTCTGTGTGTGTGTGTGTGTGTGTGTGTGTGTGTGTGTGTGTGTGTGTGAGATAGAGAGAGAGAGAGAGAGAGAGAGAGAGAGAGAGAGAGAGAGAGAGAGTGAGAGAGAGGATTCTCCCTGTCACTTTGGATTGTGTGATGCTGTGTCCTATCTGCATTTGTGTGTGCAGTAGTGTATCCTGTCACTGGGGCAGCCTGGACTCACCACTGTGGGACATCTGTGCGAGCCCTGAGTGCCATCTCCCCTCGCCCCCTCTTTGTTACGGGATCTGCTGCTCTTCTGGTTTTGAGGTCTGGGCACCTGTGTTCTCAGACTGATGATGAATTTTTCTTCCCCAGCCTGACCAAGAAGTCGTCACCATCCCAGATCTGGGGAGTTTGTCTTCGCCACTGATTGACACCGAGCGGAACCTGGGCCTGCTGCTGGGCTTACACGCCTCCTACTTAGCTATGAGCACCCCTCTGTCTCCCGTCGAGGTGGAATGTGCCAGTAAGGAAGGTTTCTGGTTCTGCTAACACGCCAGCAGGTTTTAGGGTGGATCCTCACTGAGGGAGAGTCAGTGGGGGACAGAGAACAAGTCAGGATCAGTGTGTGGGAAATGGCCGTGGGCACCTTGCATTGGCCTCGCTGGGCTGAGGTGGGCCTGCTCTCTATGCAGGCTACTTTGACCAAACTCAGGTCGGTTGTGTCCTGGAATGGGCACCTCTGTGTTTCCTGTGCTCTTCTGCTGGTCCAGACTTTTCTCCTGGGTTCTGTCTGCACCAGCTGTTGGGCCAGTTCTGTGGAGTTGAGGGCAGGTGGCCCTGTGGGCCATGCTTGGGAGGTGGAACCAGGCCAGGCTGGATTCTACTCTTGGCCAGTGGTGGCCAGGGAGGAACCGGGCCCTTCGTAAGACGGTGTGGAGGGAAGGACGTCTGCAGAGACGCCAGCAGCCTCATGTCACCTTCACAGCTTGCCAGGCTGGGGGCTGTTCTGAGAGCAGCCGGGTGGGGGTGTCTGCTGGCATGTGTACTGGGTGCAGGTGGACAAGGACAGTCCTACATTACCTGCCACCCTCTGGGAGAGTTTCCACATGCGGGAAGGCAGCTTTGTCTGATGCAGGGAGGCAGAGGGGCAGATACTGCGGGCCTGGGCTGTCTGTCCTGGAGAAGGGGAGGGGAGCGGTGGACGGAGAGAGCTGGAAAGGGAGAGGGTCAGCTGGTGTCGCACGGGGCTCAGCCAGCATGGTGGAGAACGCTCATGGTTGCACCGCACCTCAAGAGAATAGTGCCCTGAGCTGATTGCTTGGGTGCAGAAGGGTGTTCCGATAATTCAGGTTCCTGCAAACAGCCCGTGTTAAGGTGACGCATGGCTGCTCTAGCACCAGACACGGCACCTTGCAGCATGTCCCATGACTGATGCTGCCATTCGCCTCTGAGAGCTTCCCGGCCTCCCGCCTGCTTCCCACGGGTGTGCCGACGCTGCTGTGCTCCACAGAGTGGCTCCAGTCGTCCGTCTTCTCTGGGGGCCTGCAGACCAGCCAGATCCACTACAGCTACAATGAGGAGAAGGACGAGGACCACTGCAGCTCTCCCGGGGGCTCCCCAGCCAGCAAGCCTCGCCTCTGCGCACACGGCTTGGTGCTGGGGGGCCACTCGCAGGCCTTCCTGCAGGCCATCGCCGACAACGACACGCAGGATCACAGTGTGAAGGTGTGCGGGTTGCCCGGGATCCCACGGGCTCGGGCTTCCTGGGGTGGGCTCTGGACTGGGATGCGGGATGTGTTTTGAGGGCCCATGAGGTTCCCCGGGCCTGTGCCTGGGATGGATGTGCAAGGCCGCCCCGGGCACCCGGGCCGTCTCTGTTGCAGGACTTCCTGTGTCAGATGGAGAGGTACTGCCGGCAGTGCCACCTGACGGCGCCCATCACGTTCCCTCCGGAGCACCCCGTGGAGGAGGTCGGCCGCTTGCTGCTGTGCTGCCTGCTGAAGCACGAGGACCTTGGTAGGGAGCTGCTGCCGAGCTGCCCGCAGGGACTCCGCGTATAGGCCGGGCTGCTCCATGCTTCCGTCTCCTTTCCTCCCAGGTCACGTGGCGCTGTCCCTGGTACACGCGGGCACCCTGGGCATTGAGCAGGTGAAGCACCGGACACTCCCGAAGTCCGTGGTGGATGTGTGCCGGGTTGTCTACCAAGCCAAGTGTTCGCTCATCAAGGTACCGAGGGCTCCGTGCACGATCTCCCGTGCTGTGGCTGCTGGGCCCTGGGTGTCCCTGAGCCGTGCCTGCGTCTCTTGCCTTGCAGACACACCAGGAGCAGGGCCGCTCCTATAAGGAGGTCTGCGCTCCCGTCATCGAGCGCCTGAGATTCCTCTTCAACGAGCTGAGACCGGCGGTGTGCAGCGACCTCTCCATCCTGTCCAAGTTTAAACTGCTCAGTTCCTTGCCCCGCTGGAGGAGGGTCGCTCAGAAAATAATTCGAGAACGAAGGAAAAAGAGAGGTAAGGAGAGGGCAGTGCTGTGAAGCCAGCGCTGTCACTCAGTGGGGTCGAGTTTGTGAGATTCTGCGGGGAAGCTGTTGCTCCTCAGCACTCTGAGGACTTGGCGTTGCCCCAGCGCCTGTAATTTCATGATGCACAAGTGTTATGGAACTCTCCTGAGACATCAGAGGCACCAAGTAAATCAGAGGTGCAACTTGGGATCTTCTGGTAATGAGGTGGAAAGAGCCTTTAACCTTTGAACTAATCTTGCCATCCATTTTTTGATTTTTTTTTTTGGCGGGGGGAGGGTGGGTGGGTCTGCACCCAGTGATGTTCAGGGCTTACCTCACCACATGGCCTCGAGGATAGTTGCTAACCCCTGACTCCGGCTCCTCAGAATTTCTCTCAGAATGGCCCCTCCTTCCTGTGTTACAGAGGCTGGGCAGGACCCTCATGTTGGCTCTTGCAGGTCAAGCGTTTCAGTTGACTGTGATGTCCATTGTACACTTTTACGTAGAATGAAGCAGCCACATCTCATGTGAATTAAGTATCTGCAGAATTGCGTGTGGGACATTGACTTTTGTGATGAATGCTGTTTCTGTGCAGTTCCTAAGAAGCCGGAGTGTACAGATGACGAAGAGAAGATTGGGAATGAGGAAAGTGACCTAGAGGAAGCTTGTATTTTGCCTCACAGCCCTATCAGTGTGGACAAGCGACCTCTTACGATGAAATCGCCCAAGGTGAGGTATTTCTTGTGACAGAGACTGGGTGGCTCAGACGCAGCTCAGAGCATTGTCCACAGGGACCAGCACTGTGTGGGGATGGAGTATTCACTGCGGTATGTGTGGGTGGAGTGTCCAACACTGTGTGTGAGGGTGAGCTGTCCACAGCTGTGTAAGAGGGTGGACTGTCCGCCACTGTGTGTGGGCGGAGCGTCCACAGGGATGGCTCTGTGTCTGTGGTGCTGAGGCACTGCTGTTTAGGGTCTGCATGTCTGTGCATTTGTTACACTGAATTTGAGGTGTTCCACGAGTTTAAGCCTTCTGACGTTCGTTTCTGTCTTATTTGAGTATTGTTTCTGTAGAGGACGCTAATGGCGAACGTGGTTTTCTTTGGTCAGGACAAATGGCAGCCATTGTTGAACACAGTCACAGGCGTCCACAAGTACAAGTGGTTGAAGCAGAATGTCCAGGGCCTGCACCCTCAGTCGGCCCTCCTCAGCACGATCGCCGAGTTTGCCTTGAAGGAAGAGCCGGTGGATGTGGAGAAGATGCGAAAGTGTCTGCTCAAGCAGGTGAGGTTGGCCAAGCCCCTCCCATGGGCAGGCGCTGGGCGCTGGTGCCGTCCACTCAGTGCCCGACTGCCTGGCTGTCTGTGTTGCAGTTGGAGCGAGCGGAGGTTCGCCTGGAAGGGATAGATTCCATCTTGAAACTGGCCTCCAAGAGCTTCCTGCTTCCGTCTGTGCAGCACGCTATGTTCTGTGGTTGGCAGAGACTCATTCCTGAAGGCATCGATATTGGGTAAGACTCGGGCATTTGTTCTCCACCTTGGGAGGTGTGACTGCAGAGCCTTGTTCCGCCGTCGGCAGAATGCTCGGTGATGTTCTTCCTTTGGTGACAGGGAGCCTCTTACGGATTGCATGAAGGACATAGATCTGATCCCCCCCTTTAACCGGATGCTCCTGGAAGTAACGTTCGGCAAGCTGTATGCCTGGGCTGTTCAGAACATCCGTAATGTCTTGATGGATGCAAATGCCAGATTTAAGGAGCTTGGTGAGTCTTAACAAACAAATCTGGTGGTCCCCAAGGCTGAGTTAAGATTGCTTTGGGAGCTCTGCCAGCTTTTCCTCATTTGGTGCTTAATCAGGTTCTGAAAATGTGCAAATCCCATCCTTGGCTTTGAAGACTTTAATGACTTTCTGGTAGAATGAATAGATAACCTGCTCTTAGTTTGCTCAGATTCTGGGCAAGAAGCTCAGAGCTGCGCTGTAAGACACGGTTCCAAAGTGCCCTTTGGCATTACATCATGTTCAGCCTCTCCCTGTACCCAAGAAGCTCAAGTGTCATTTCATACTGAAATACTAGGGGCCCAAGAGATAAAACTGTGAGCACGCGGCCAACCTGGCTTCTGTCCCCAGCTCCCAGTATGGTCTTTGAGCCCACCAGGAGTGATCCCTGAGTGCGGAGATCCAGTAAGACTCGAGCCCTGCTGGGTGTGGACTTTCCCCGCCCCCGAGATAAAGTTCTTGGTTGGTTTGAGCACATGCAGAGCAATGCTGAGATGGCTTTGGGGCAGAGAGAGCTGCCAGTCCCAGGTTCGGCCTCCCTGAGTGGGAGCAACTAGAACGGTTGGACTGTCGGTGTCTGCCGAGTAGAGAGGGAACAGGGTCATTCTTCAAAAGCCAGAGTGCTCCGTAGCATGTTGGCGAAACACAGGAAACTGAGGCGGGCCGATGCTCCCTAGGTATCCAGCCTGTCCCTCTGCAAACCGTCACCAACGAGAACCCTTCGGGCCCGAGCCTGGGGACGACCCCGCAGGCGCGCTTCCTCCTGGTGATGCTCAGCGTGCTCACGCTGCAGCACGGTGCTCACAGCCTGGACCTGCTGCTCAACTCGGGCACCCTGGCCCTCACGCAGACCGCGCTGCGGCTCATCGGTAGGACGGCAACTTCCGCCTCCCTCTGTCTGTCTCCACGGCGTGCGTGCGCACACCTACGCCTGACTATTTGTAACTGACAAGGTGTGCCTGTGTCGTGTCCCACGGGCTGTGTCTGAGCAGGCGCCGTGTCTGAGCAGGGTGCCATGTCCCGGGTGGGCTGTTGGACCCTCAGCCAGGTCAGGCCGCTGTGGGACTGGCTCACGCCAGGCTCTTGCTGCCCCATAGGCCCCAGCTGTGACAACATTGATGATGAGATGAACGCGGCGGCCCGCGGGGCTTCGGCGACGGTGCTGGAAGAGACCAGGAAGGAAAGTACCCCCGTGCAGCTCCCTGTCTCCGGGCCGGAGCTGGCTGCCATGATGAAGATCGGAACCCGGGTCATGCGAGGCGTGGACTGGAAATGGGGCGACCAGGTACTCGGCCCCGCCCCCTCCCGCCTGACCCGCTGTCCCTGGGGGTTTGGGCAGTGGCCTGTTAGCGGGTAGCTCTGCTCCCTGTGCTGTGGGACACCCCTCGGGGTGCCCGAGAACAGGTGAGCACAGAGATGCACAGGAGGTCCGAGGGCCGGGGCCTGGCTGAGATGGTCCCAGGGGTTGGGTCCCCCTCGGAGAAGGCCTGGCCCTCCGGTGACACTGAGGCTGGAAGCTGTGTGGGTCCTGCCTGCGGAGTGACCCAGCTACCTTACAGTGGGGTGGGTGGTGTGCAGCTAGCAGGCCCCCCATCACTGTCTGTTTGGCTCCCCTAGGACGGCCCCCCTCCTGGCCTTGGCCGTGTGATTGGGGAGCTGGGCGAGGACGGGTGGACCCGGGTGCAGTGGGACACGGGCAGCACCAACTCGTACCGGATGGGGAAGGAGGGCAAGTACGACCTCAAGCTGGCCGAGCTGCCCGCCTCCACACAGCCCTCGGCGGAAGACTCAGACACCGAGGACGACTCTGGTGGGTGCCCGTGAGGGGGCGTCTGGCCTGGGGCAACTGCTTGATCCAGGTGCCTGCGGCTGGGAGCGAGCATCCCCCCCGGTGCCCCTCAGTCTGGGCCTGTTCGTGGCGGCCCTGGGAACACCCCAGAGGTGGTGTGGGCCAAGGTGGCAGTGACCAGTGACTGTGACCGTGTCTTCCTGAGCAGGCCTAAACAGCCTGGCAGGGCCTCAACATGGCCCGAGTGCTCCTCTCGCCTCCCCTGGGCCCCTTCACGCAGATTCTGGCTTACCTGCTGCTGCTGAGTGGGGGGCGGGAGTGAGCCTGGGGAGTCTGGGTTAGCTGAGAGTCCAGAAAGCAAGGGACTCGGCACTGCCTGTGTGACAGTGCTCTGGGCATCCATTGAGGACCCCTGAGCAGCTGGGCTCCATGTGTGGCCCTGTAGGACTGGGCCCGGGCTGTTGCCAGCGGTGCCTGTTCTGTTGGGAAAAAACGCACAGTCGGTTTGGTCTTAGCAGCACACAGTGTCTAGTCAGGGTGATTTGGGACAGCTCAGTGGCCCAGTTGGACATGAGGCTGGACCCACTGACCTCCCTCTCTCCTCAGGGAGGGGCTGCGTCCTCAGCCCCAGGGGGTGGGGTGGGGCGTCTTGGTGCTTCCACTCAGATGGAGCGTTGGCCGAGTGAAACCCAACTGTTATCTGTCTCCCCTGAGAATCGCGGGCCCAGAGCTGAGGGAATCTCTGACGGACTTCTGTCCTGAGGAGCTGCAGACAGGAGGTGGTGTCCAGGCCCGAAATCGACGGCGGGGCAGTTCCTGCTCTCTGGGAGCCGGCTGCTTATTCCACCCCTTGTTCCAGAAGCCGAACAGACAGAGCGCAACATCCACCCAACTGCGATGATGCTCACCAGCACTGTTAACCTGCTGCAGACGCTGTGTCTCTCGGCCGGCGTCCATGCCGAGGGCATGCAGAGCGAGGCCACCAGGACTCTGTGTGGGCTGCTGCGGATGTTAGTGGAGAGTGGCACGGCCGACAAGACAGGTGTGTGTGAGCAGTTGTGGGCGTTGGGCCTGAGGGCCATCGCGCCAGAGTACTGGCCACCAGGGACTTGGACAGCCCCTTTGCTTCCTGCTGTCCTGGGTGCTGGAGTCTGAAGAGGAGCTACTCCTGCCAGGGCTGTGGGAATCAGCTGCTGGCCATTTGGGCTTTGCTCACCAGCTTTGCCTGTAGAACTCTGCCTTGGGCTTCACATGAGGTGTGTGTGTGTGTGTGTGTGTGTGTGTGTGTGTGTTGGGGGAAGAGATTGCGGGGGGAGAGAGAGATTCTGTCTGAGGAGTGTGTGCGTGCGTATATATATGGAGGGTGTGATCTGGTTGCGAGGTGCGTATACAAGTGTGTGTGTGAGGAGTGTGTGTATGTGCGTGTTTGTGTGAGTGATACTATGTGAGGAATGTGTGTGTATGGGTGTGTGTGTGAGTGATCCTATGTGAGGAGCGTGTATGTATGTATGAGTCTGTATGTGAGTGATCCTGTGAGAATTGAGTGCGCGCGTGTGAGTGTGTGGGTGAGTGATCCAGCATGAGATGAGTGTGTATGTGCCTGTGTATGTGTGTACGTGATCCCATGTGAGGAGAGAGGGTATGTGCATGCATGGGTGAGTGACCCTGTGTGAGGTGTGTGTGCGTGTATGTGTGTGTCCATATTTGTGCATGTGTGTGATCCCGTTTGAGTTGTGTGTGTGCGTGCATGTACGTGTGCATGTATGTGAGTGATCCCATATGAAAGTGTGCATGCATGCATGCATGTGTGTCTGCGTCCGTGATGTGCATGAGTGAGTGATCCTGTGTGAGGAGAGAGCATGTGTGCGCGAATGGGCCTGTGTGAGATGAGTGTGTGTGGGAGTGTGGTCCCATGAGCTGAGCGTACCTACCTGGAAGGTGTCCCAGAAGGCCTGAGGTGATGGAGCCAGCCAAGGCAGCTGGCCGGAGCCGTCTGAGCAGCTGCATGGCCAGGTGTTGGCCTTCCCGCAGGGGAGCTGACCGGTCACGGCGGCGTCTGGGTCCAGTCCCTCTGAACCCTCTGAAAGGCCCGTCTGCAGACTTCGGAGACTGGGATGGGATGTCGCTGCAGCTGCCATCCACGCTGGCCAGTAGGGCCCCCGCCCGTGCTTGCCATCAAGCCGCATTTTGTGATTTGAGCCTAGGCAGAGGTGGCCGATGAGATCCCTTCCCTCGTCCGCCCTGCTGGTGTCCCGCAAAGCTGCCCCTCGGGAGGTGTCTGGTGGAAGGTCCCATGCAGCGCTCTTCGACTCTCACTTGGGGCTAGCGGAGCGGGCTGTCGCTTCTTGTTGGACCTAGGGTGCGTGCTGTCTGCCTGCCGGCCACGGTCCAAGCCGCTCTGTGTGCCCGCAGCCTCCCCCAGCCGGCTGGTGTGCCGGGAGCAGCACCGGAGCTGGTGCACGCTGGGCTTCGTCCGCAGCATCGCGCTCACGCCGCACATGTGCGCTGCCCTCAGCTCCCCGCAGTGGATCTCCCTGCTCATGAAAGTCATGGAGGGCCACGCACCGTTCACGGCCGCCTCGCTGCAGCGCCAGGTGAGTGGCACCAAAGGCCGGGGCACCTTCAGTGGTCGGGGGAGGTGGCCATGCTTTCCGCTGCTCCGCTCCTCTCCCTCTCCCGTGGGACTGGGCCTTCGTGGCTTGTTGGCAGTTAAAGGAGCGCAGTGTGTCGTGCAGCATCGCACAGAGGTTGTCACGGGAACGCCATGCATGGGTTCTGCCCTGGACTGTTGCACCGTGCCCTCTAGCTCTGCCTTTTCTGTGGTTGCTTGGTCAGATCCTGGCTGTCCATCTGCTGCAAGCGGTGCTGCCGTCCTGGGACAAGGTGGAGCGGGCGCGGGACATGCAGTGGCTGGTGGAGAAGCTCTTCGGCTTCCTGGGCAGCTTGCTGACCACCTGCTCCTCGGACATCCCCTTCCTCAGAGGTGAGCCCTATCCCCGCCCTGCCCTGGGTCTCAGCGGAGGGGCGGGAGGGCCCCGGGCAGCTCCTTCTGGTGTCCCGTGTCCTTCCAGAGTCCACCCTGAGGAGGCGCCGGGCGCGCCCGCAGGCCTCGCTGACGGCCACGCACAGCAGCACCCTGGCCGAGGAGGTGGTGGCGCTCCTGCGCACGCTGCACTCGCTGGCCCAGTGGAACGGGCTCGTCAACAAGTACATCAACTCGCAGCTGCAGTCAGTCACGCGCGGCTGCGCCGGGAAGCCAGCAGAGGGGGTGAGTGCCGTCGGCCCTGCTGGGTGTCAGCCTGTGTGGCGGCTGGGCGGGGCTGAGCGCCTGCCTGCACGCTTTGCTCCGGGGTGGGTTCCTGCACGCACACACACACACACACACATCACAACCACATCCCTCATTCAGACACCACACCCACACACACCACACCAGACACACACACTACACCCCACATGCCCACACCCCATACCCCCACTCACATACCACACACATACACATAGCGTACCACACACACACCCCACACCCCTCATCCAGACACCACACACACCCACACACACCACATCCCACCCCACATACCCACACCCCATATCCCCACACATATCACACACCACAGCACACACACCACCTCACACACACCACACACTACCCCACCCCCAGCCCCCCACATACCACACCCACCCACTCACACACCACACACAGTACGCCATACACACCAGACATGCCACACAACACCACACTGCTCACATACACACCACACAAACACACGCACACAAATACCCACCCCTACACCTTGAGGCCCGTGTATTTCCAGATGTTTTTCATTGCACACGTTTACTGAGGACAGTGACAAACACAGAGCAGCTAGATCAGGGCTCGGGAAGTGCCTTCGATGGCGGAGCTCGTGCCTGGCATGTGGGAGGCCCGGACTCTCAACCCCCGACTGCAGACCCCCTCCACCCGCATTTCTGGGTGTGGCCCCAGTGGTCCTGGAGGGAGTGTCCGGCTCCGGCGTGGCTTCCCTGAGCATGTTTGGGTGGGAAGCCCACGTGCAGCCCCTGCCTGGCTTCAGCTGCCCATCTGTCCGTCCGCCTGCTGCAGGTGCTGCTGGAGGACCACTTCCCCGACTCCGAGGGCCCGGAGGTGGGCGGCCTCATGGCGGTGCTGGCCGTCATCGGTGGCATCGATGGGCGCCTGCGACTGGGAGGCCAGGTCCTGCACGATGAGTTTGGAGAAGGCACAGTGACACGCATCACCCCGAAGGGCAGGATCACCGTGCAGTTCTCCGACATGCGCGTCACACACGTGTGTCCGCTGGCCCAGCTGCGGCCCGTAGGTGCCCAGGTGTTGCGGGGACAGGGCAGGGCCGGGCCCTGTGGGGTCGGTGTGTGTCTCAGAAGCGCCCGTGTCTCCTCAGCTTCCCGCCGTGCCGTTCAGCGTCACCAACCTGCCCTTCACGGAGCCCATGCTGTCTGTGTGGGCTCAGCTGGTGAGCCTGGCCGGGAGCCGGCTGGACAAGCACAAGATCAAGAAGCCCCTGAAGCAGGGCTTCACAGGTCAGTCCAGGGGCCGGGGAGCACAGCCGGGCAGGCCCCGGTCCCGCGCCATAGCCACGGCAGGCGGGCTGAGTCCCCCGCATGTGCCCCTGCCTCCCTCTGCCCATGCCCACACTGTGTCCCGCCCATCAGCCCTTGACCCTCTGGATGTCCCTGCCAGACCAGAGGGGCCTTGGGGCTTGGACCCGGCTGGCCGCGTCCCTGCTGATGGCGAGCGGAGGCCTGCTCGGATGCTGCCCCTGAAGTCCCTGCACTGCCCATGCGGTCCTGGGAGCTTTCACCCCCCCGCCCCAGCCCCAATCTCTCCCAGCTTGGGGCCGCACACCTGCTGCCAGTGCACCCGCACATTTGGTTCCGCCTGTGGGATGAAACCCTGGTCTCAGGGTGGTCCTTGACCATGTCACATCTGTGCCTTCCACCTGCCCCCGAGTACTGAACTGGACCCTCCCACCGGGCACTGCTGCCCCTTCCTCTCCCTGCCGAGTGTCCTGCCCACACCCCACTGCTGCCCCCCCACCCCTCCTGAATGTCCTGACCACACCCTTCCACTGACCACTGCTGTCCCCTCCGTCCCTCCCGAGTGTCCTGCCCACACTCTCCCACCGGGCACTGCTGCACCCGCCGTTCCTCCGAGCTGCTCGGTCTCTGCTGCAGCAGTCCCTGTGGTGAGCCTTAGCTCCGACTTGGACTCTGGTTCCCGGGGGCAGCAGGACCAAGTGCCCGTCAGCTGCCTTGGGCCTGGGGCGCGGCCAGCGTGTCCCATTGTTGTGTGTGGACCTGGTTCGCAGGCACGTGGCACATGCTCTCCTGTCCCCGCACGGCATACTCTGGGTCCAGTATTCCTGAAACTGCCCTGCCGATGTGCAGAGGCCCCTGTGGGTTGGGCCTTGGAGCTGGCTGAGTAGGGACTGTCGGTGCCGGGCCTTGCAGGAGGCCTCACTGACCGAGGCCTCAGTGTCTGCTGGGAACCACAGCGCCCCGGAACATTTGATTCTGCCCTAAGCATTGGTCATCCCTGCTCATGTGGCTCTGATCATGGTCAGCCATTCCCACATCACCCAGTGGGTGGGAGGGCGTGTGGAAGCAAGGGTGGACACTTAGGCGGAATTGTCTAAGAGGGACCAGGGAGAAACACCTTTTGTACCTGATGGTGCTGGGTGTGACTGGGCAGCGTGTGGCATGGTCAGTGTCCACTGTGGGCAGGGGGCCCTGGGGGAGAGGGACATGTAGGGATATGGTTAGTGTCCATTCTGGGCAGGGCCCTGGGAGAGACGGACATGTAGAGGTTGGTCATTGTCCACTCTGGGCCAGGCCCGGGGAGAGAGAGGCATGTGGGGCCATGGTCAGGACCTCTGTACAGCAGGAGGTGGCTCGGGGCACATGGGTGGTGGGGGGGAGGGAGGCGGGGGGAACTGGGCGCAGGCATGACCCACCCTCAACTGTGGTCAGTGTGGGTTGGCTGGGTGGGTCGTGACCGGCTGAGTCCTCTCCTCCTTAGGACAAGTGGACCTGGAGCTGCTGCGGCGCCAGCAACTGAGGCTGTACATCCTGAAGGCGGCCCGCGCGCTGCTGACCCACCAGGACCAGCTGCGGCAGATCCTGTCCCAGCCCGCTGTCCAGGAGGCGGCCCCTGCAGGTACCGGGTCAAGGCATGCGGAGAGAGAGGGACAGGCGGGTGGAGAGAGGGATGGGTAGTTCAGTGGAAGGTTCTGGAGGCTCCGAGTGGTTCTGATCGTAGAGGTGTGCAGGCTGGCAGGACCTTAAACATGGACTTCTGTGGCCCAAAGGCCACGTGTGTGTCCGCTGTGGCCTGTGTAGAGGTGGCAGCTAAGGGACCAAACCGAGTTTCCCCTGGTCCAGATCTCTCCCTTGGAATAGCAGTTCATATTTGTGCTGATTTTCGGTGTTAGTCGTTTATGTTCATGCTGATTCTTAGTGTTCTGAATTACGAGTTTCTAGATGTGTGTGATTACTTCAGTAATCGTTGATGTCAAGAGAGGGGTTCAGCAGGGTGATACCATTTCACCGAAACTCTTCAGTGCTACCCTCGAGAACATCATGCGACGACTGGAATGGGAAAACATGGGAGTGAAGATAGATGGTCGACAACTACACCACCTCCGCTTTGCTGATGACATTATTTTAATAACACCAAACATCAGCCAAGCGGCACAAATGCTGGCCGACTTTGACCGTGAGTGTGGAAAGGTAGGACTACAGCTGAATCTTACGAAGACAATGTTTATGAGAAACAGCCTCGTTCCTGATGCCCCATTCGCTCTCAACGGAACGACCATCTCCTAATGCAACAGCTATGTGTACCTAGGTCGAGAGGTCAACATGAGAAATGACCTGGCACCCGAGCTGCGCAGGAGGAAGAGAGCGGCTTGGAACGCCTTCAAGAACGTCGAAGAAATAGCTAAGAGGACGAAGAACCTCCGGCTCCGGGCACATCTCTTTGATTCCACTGTTCTTCCTGCATTAACATATGCCTCAGAGACCTGGGCCCTACGCAAACAGGATGAGAACACTATTCAGGTCTCCCAAAGAAGAATAGAAAGAGTTATGCTTGGAATATCACGTTTCACTCAAATGAGAGAAAGAATCCGGAGTTCTGACATCCGTCGACGATCAAGAATCAGGGACGCTGTCTCATTTGCCAAGGTGTCGAAAATCAGATGGGCTGGTCACGTAATGAGATTTAAAGACGATCGCTGGACTAGAGCTGTTACCGACTGGATTCCACGGGATGTCAAAAGACCGCGTGGCTGCCCACCTACCAGATGGTCAGATTTCTTCATCAAGATCGTGAACGATCGATTTGAGGCTCTTCATGTTCCCAGAGCGAACAGATGCCATTGGGCTACACTAGCACGCGACAGGGACAAATGGAGATGTTACTGGCGCCCGCTCAAGCAAATCAACGACTAATGGGAAGTTAAGTGATTAGTTAAGATTAAGATGTGTGTGAAAAGAGAGAAGTATTTCTGGCATAAGAACCGTCAGATTCTGCATCTGCAAATCTCACATCAAAGCTTCACATGCTCTCTATGGCCTGCTGCCTCCTTCCAGGAAAACTGGCCTCGTCCCCCGGGAAATCTCCCTTCTTTAAGGGAACAGACGGAAAGCTCCCCCAGTTGCACCCAAGGCTGCCCCCGCCCTCCACTATCAATCTGCATTGATCAGCAAATTCTCTTGTAGTGTTCTCTCCCAGGACTCACTCCTTGCGGTGCTTGGGGGATTGCGAAGTAGTGGAGATTGAAGCAGGGTCAGCTGCATGCAAGGCCGGTGTCTGAATCCTCTTCTATCTCTGCAGCCCCTTTGGTTATTAGGATTTTCTGCTCATGGGGACAGGGTGGAGGGAGGAAGAAAGCATGGGCGGGGCCTGGGGGGTCTGTGAGGATGGATTACTCCTGCTCTGCGCTCAGAAATTACTCCTGGCAGTGCCCAGAGGACCGTTTGGGATGCCAGGGATCAAACCCGGGTTGGCTGCTTGCAAGGCAAGCGCCCTCCCTGTCATTCTATTCCTCCAGCCCCTCACCACCCCTTTTCACCCAAGAAATTTTTGCCCATTCCCAGGTATATTAAGTAGTATACAGTTAAGGCATCAGCCAACAGTTGAGTCCTAAAGAAGTTTGTTTTAAGACAGACTTTGGAGAAGTTAGAGCTTGGGGCTGGAGAGTACAGTGGGTAGAGTGCTTTGCCATGTAAGCTGGGTTCCATCCCTGGCGCTGCGTGTGGTCCCTTGAGCCCCGGCGGGAGTGATCCCTAAGCACAGGAGCCAGGAGGAGGCCCTGAGCTTGGCCAGCTGTGGCCCCAACACCAAACAGAAAACAAAACTTGTTCGTGTGACACCCAGCGTTCCCTGAACAGACAGTCGGGGCTCAGGCAGACGCTGTCTGGGGCTGTGCCTGCGGGTCTCTAGTGCCCGCGGGTCTCTAGTGCCCACAGCTCAGGCGTGGCTCTTCCAGCAGATGATGGTGCAGCAGCGTCCCCCGACCTTGGGGACATGTCTCCAGAAGGGCCGCAGCCCCCGATGATCCTCTTGCAGCAGCTGTTGGCCGCCGCCACTCAGCCGTCCCCAGTCAAGGCCGTGTTCGACAAGCAGGAGCTTGAGGTGTGTGTCTGCGGCCGCTCTCCACAGCAGAGCTGTGTGGATGGCTCCTCGGGTGGTAGTGATTCCTCACTCCGAGCCCCGTGGCCTCCCTTACCGCCCAGTGTCGTCTTCCTGCAGGCCCTGCGGCCTCCCTCAGTGCCCAGTGTCCACCCCCTGCAGACCCTGCGGCCTCCCTCAGTGCCCAGTATCTACCCTCACCCTGCAGGCCCTGCGGCCTCCCTCAGTGCCCAGTGTCCACCCCCTACTGGTCCTGCGACCTCCCCTTGTGCCCACCTGCGCCCGCCTGCCCCCACAGTCCCCAGCTCTCCTCTCGTTTCCCAGGCGGCCGCGCTGGCCGTGTGCCAGTGTCTGGCAGTGGAGGCTACACATCCGTCCAGCCCCGTGTTTGCCGACTGCAGCTCCAGCGAGGCCACGACACCGGTCCCCGTGCAGCACGTGCGTCCCGTGCGGGCCAGACGGCGCCGACCGTCGCCAGCGCCTGCTCCACCCGTGGTGCTACAGCTCATGGAGATGGGCTTTCCCCGGAGGAGCATTGAGCTGGCCCTCAAGGCCCTAGGCGGCTCACCAGGTACTGGCCCTGGGCTTGGGGGGTGGGGTGGTGTGCTGCCCGTCTGTGGCTCTGCCTGGGGGCCCCACTGCTCTTTCTGGGGGTCTCTTCTCACTGCCCTTCTGGGGTCTCACCGAGGCTGCTCTGTGCTGCCTCTCTCAGGCGTGGAGGCCCTAGTGGGCTGGCTGCTGGATCATGCCGATGTGCAGGTGACCGACCTCTCCGACGTGGACACTGGGTCCGACGAGTGCTCGGATGAAGACCTGGTGGAGGACGTGGACGACTCGGCCTACGCTGTGGTGGGTGCCTCCGCGCTGCCCTATCCTGCCCTACCCTGCCCGACCCTGCCCTGCTCTGCCCGCCCCGTTGCGGCTTCTCGGCGTCAGAGCTGACCCTGCCCAGGCCACTGCAGATGCCGGTCGCCATTAGGCCCTAAGTCAAAAATCTGTTTCTGACTTGCACTGGATTCCGGAGACGGATTTGGAAATGCCTCAGGCATGACACCGAGCTGGGCTGTTCTGAAGCCTCAGGGCTGCAGGCACTGTGCGATGCTCTGAGGACGTCTGGCCCCCTTCATCTGTCCTGGCGACGGGTGCGCCTCACCTGCTCACAGGCGTGTTTGTGTTTTGCAGCCTGCCACTGGCGCGGTTGTGACCGAGAGCCAGACGTACAAGCAGCGAGCCGACTTCCTGAGCAATGACGACTACGCCGTGTACGTGAGGGAGAACATCCAGGTGAGAGGCCCTGTATTTTGGGGGCTCACTCCTGGCTCTGTGCTTGGTGCTGGCTCCTGACTCCGTGCTCGGGACTGACTCCTGGCTCTGTGCTCGAAGACCATATGCAGTGCCAGGACTGCTCTGGCCTCAGCCGCATTGAGGGCCCAGGTCCTCGCTGTGATCCGGACACAAGTCAAACCCACAGCTGCAAATGGCTGAGGTGTCCCCGAAGTGTCCATTTCCCCTCATTCCTTCCTTCCATGCCATTGACTTGTGGGTGGGACTCTGGGCTGGGCCACCTCTGCCTTGCCCCTGGTGGTAGTGAAGATCGGGCAGGAGCAGGAGACATCTGCAGGTCCAAAGCCCTGTGGCAGGACCAGGTCTCCGCCACCTCGCCTCCTGTGAAGACTTTCTCACTTGGTCATTTCTGGGCTTAGCAGCCATGAGTGTCCTTGGCCAGGCCACTCACGTTGGTGCCCAGTAGTGATTCGCAGTCAGCTGCACCTTCTAAACAGCCTGGCTGGACCGCTGCTCTTTGCAGAGAACTTTCTGGCCAGTTCTGGTCACTGTGAAAGTGTGTCGTAAAAGCACAGCCAGTGGTCCTGGCGTGGCCACTTTGTCTCTGTATGGTTTGTTTTGTCGACTCCGACCCCCGTGAAAGCTGCGTCATTTCGAGGTGACCAAGAACCTCCATGGAGCTTTTGTCTCTGTCAGCGTCTTGGTGTGTCCCTGCTGCGAGTCCTCTTGGCCAGGCCGTCCTGCAGGGTGGCCACGTTGGTCTACGCGTGGCTGAGGCCCTTGGGTGCTTTACCGGCAGAGTGTGCCTCTGTTCTCAGACTCTGGAAAATGGGCATGCAGGCACGTGCCCAGCTCCAGAATGGGTCTGGGCTTTTCATTCCAGGTGGGCATGATGGTCCGCTGCTGTCGCGCCTATGAAGAGGTGTGTGAAGGCGACGTGGGCAAAGTGATCAAACTGGACCGGGATGGGCTGCATGACCTCAATGTGCAGTGCGACTGGCAGCAGAAGGGTGGCACCTACTGGGTGCGCTACCTGCACGTCGAGCTCATCGGTGAGCCCAGACCCCGGGGTGGGCTGTGGGGAATGGGCAGCGACGCCCCCTCGCCCCCCCCACCGCAGTGCTAATATGCACCCACTGCTGTGCACCCTCCCAGGTTACCCTCCGCCCAGCTCTCCTTCTCACATCAAGATTGGGGATAAGGTCCGAGTCAAAGCCGCCGTCACCACGCCCAAATATAAGTGGGGCTCTGTGACCCATCAGAGCGTGGGGGTCGTCAAAGGTGAGCTTCAGGGGCAGAGAGCAGCGGGAGAGTGACGGAGGGCACATGCCGGGCACCCAAGGCCGAGAGTCACGTCCAGCTGCAGACCCGCGGGGCAGAGCGTTTCCTGGCAGGGGGTGGGGTACAAGGAAGTGGGGGACGGCAGAGAGTCGATTCCAGAGCTGGGTGAGAGCGGAGACATGGGGGATGGTGCTTTCGTCTGTTACTGGTCAGCCCTCAGCCAGGCGCTGTCAGCCCTGCTACACTCGGGCGGCTTTGAGGCAGGGCCCTGACTGACGGACGTGGACCTTAGTATGTGTCTCTGACGGACAAGTGGTCTGTGGCCAGGATGACGGCAGGGCGCCCATCAGGTTGTGACCCAGACGTTCAGGCGGTATCTGTCCCCCCGCAGCCTTCAGTGCCAACGGCAAGGATGTCATCGTGGACTTCACGCAGCAATCCCACTGGACCGGGCTGCTGTCCGAGATGGAGCTGGTGCCCAGTGTCCATCCCGGCGTGACGTGAGTTGGGCGCTGAGGGCTCAGGGCTCACCTGCCCAGCAGTGGCGCTCTGGGGCTGGGCGTGACGGAGCATCTTTGCCTTACGCAGGTGTGACGGCTGCCACATGTTTCCTGTCAACGGGTCTCGATTCAAATGCAGAAACTGTGACGACTTTGACTTCTGTGAAACTTGCTTCAAGACCAGAAAACACAACGCCAGGCACACATTTGGCCGAATAAATGAGCCAGGTATAGTAGAATGTGCTCTGTCCCTCTGTCCCCTTTCCTTCTCTCTCTACCTCTCTCTGTCTTTCCTGCTCCTCTCTTCTCTCTCTGCCTCTCTCCTTTTCTCTCTCTACTTTCTTTCTCTCTTCTTCCTCTCTACTACTCTCTCCTCCCCTCTCCTGCTACTTCTCCCTCCTCTCTTTCTCACTCCTCCCCTCTCCTCTTTTCTCTCTCTCCTCTTTCTCTCCTCTCCCTCTCTCTCTGTCTCTCTCCTCTTTCTCTGTCTCTCTGTCTGTCTGTCCGTCTGTCTCTCTCTCTCTCTCTGCCCCTCCTGCCCCAGGGGTTGAACCCAGGTGTCACATGTGTGAAGCAAGTTCTCTGCCTGAGCTGCCCCTGGCTCTGTCCCCGCTTTCCACAGGGATATGCATTGTGAGCCCGCATGCATGTTTGCTTTTTGTTACTTCACCCTGACTCTGATCCCCTGCACCGTGAGACAGGGGAGATGGCCCTCTCCCGACCACGTTCTGCCTCCCTCTCTGAGGAGTGCAGGGCCACAGGATCCCCACGGCAGGGCTGCTTGGCGCCTTCTTAAAAACCACGGACAGAATCTCAGACTACCGTGTGTCTCATTGCGTGAGGAGGAGAGTGGGAGGGATGGGGAAGTCAGCCTTTTCCATTCTGGCTGTTTTTAATCGTGTGCAGGTCAGGGATGTTGTTGTGTTAGTGTCTGTCCTATTTTGGAGACTTGTTCACACCTCGAAACAGAAACTCCATACCTCAGTAGCAGAGTTTCTCCATTTCCCCGTGCCCCCAGCCCTACTCTTCAGTGACGTGGCATTTTGTCTGAACGTGCTACACTTCATTGTCGGAGAACAGCATCACATGGAGTGGGCCGTAGTCCCCCCTGAGTGAGCTTAAACCCCTCCAGTAGGTGTTGAAGTCGTTAGGCGCTCGTCAGCTCATCGCTGCATCCTCTGGATTTCCAGCCCCCGGGCTAATGCTGTCCGGTCCATTTTCAGGTCAGTCGGCCATCTTCTGTGGCCGTTCTGGGAAGCAGCAAAAGCGTGGCCACAGCAGCCGCCCGGGAACGTTGCTGGACAGCTGGGCTCGGATGGTGAAGAACCTCAGTGTGTCGTCCTCCGTGAACCAGGCGGCTCGCCTCATCGATGGCAGTGAGCCCTGCTGGCAGTCCTCGGGTTCACAGGGAAAGGTAGGGCCAGCAGTGCCGGGAAGCTTCCGCCACGTGACCTTGCCTTCTGCTACATAATCTTGCCTTCTGCTGCTTGACCTTGCCTTCTGCCGTGTGACCTTGCCTTATGCTGCGTGACCTGTCCTTATGCTGCGTGACCTGGCCTTACGCTGTGTGATCTTGCCTTCCACCACATGGCCTTGCCTTTTGCAGCTCCTCAGTGGACACATTTGCCAAGTTATAGGGGGACGCGCCAGTCATTGCTCTTGTTTTACTTAATGCTGATTAGGTTTTATTTTTGGATTTGGGGCTACACCCAGCGGTCCTCAGGGATCGGTCACTCCTGATGAGGCCCTGGGTCAGTGTGTGAAGGCGAGCATATCACCTGTTGCGTGTCTCTCCGGCTCTGTTCAGCCTCACACTTCAGAGTAACAGCCCATCTGCTCTCTTTTCTGGGGGCAGACGAGGAAGGATGAGGGTAGCACATTTTCTCTAGCAGACATGATGGGGTCCTGGGGGGGTGGCTGTTTGCTTGTTTCCCCGCTAAACAGAATCAGGTCCAGATTCTGGCTACAAGTTTCTCAGCCACCCCCCAGCACCTGCCACCCTGACTGCACTCGTGTGGGGTGGGGTCCGGCCTCTGGAGGCGCAACTGGTCTTCCTTCATCAGTCTGCCCCGGGGCTGTGAGAGACGCCCAGATCAGGAACTTGTTGGTGTAGTTTTGGCTAGGGCACAGAGCACTCTGTGGGAAGCTCTTTGTCCCTATGGGGCATGCTCTCACCCATGCCGCAGGGCATACAGAAAAATCACGTGGATTCTCAAGCTTTGGCAGTCACTCTTAGTAGCTAAGATCTGAATTTTAGTAACTGAGAACACTAATTATTGTTTTTTGGGGGGAGAGCCATACCTAGCATGCTCAGGGATTCCGCCTGGCTCTGCACTCAGGAATTATTCCTGGTGGGCTCAATTATTCCGTATGGGATGTCAGGGATCGAACCTGGGTTGGCCGATTTGTGCAAGGCAAATGCCCTACCCACTGCTATCTCTCTGACCCCAAGAACACTTGATTTTTTTTTTTTTTTAACTTCACAGCACTGGATTCGTTTGGAGATCTTCCCAGATGTTCTTGTCCATAGACTGAAAATGATAGTGGACCCCGCGGACAGCAGCTACATGCCTTCGTTGGTTGTGGTGTCAGGTAAGTGAATCACTTAGAAAAGCATTTTCCGTCGTGAGGAAATGCTGCCTTTGTCTCACCCTCTTACCGTTTGTGCCTCAGGTGGTAATTCCCTCAATAACCTGATTGAGCTGAAGACTGTGAACATCAACCCCGCAGACACCACGGTGTCCCTGCTGAGCGACTGCTCCGAGGTAAGTGGGCACGCAGGTGTGCGATCCTTCAGGGCAGCACAGGGAGGGACCACCAACTGGGGTGCTCTCGCCGTGCAGACAATTCGGGCACTGCGAGAGACCCTCTTGGTGGTGCTGGGTGTTTCTGACCCCTTGAGTGGCACCAAAGGGCTTTTTCGTTGTCTTGCCTCTCGGCATCGGTGCTGCCTGGTTGGGAACTGGTGGCCGATAGATTGCTTTGCTGGTTATTGGGTGCTTTTCGAAACAAATTCACGTTTGGTGTAATTCTTGAGGATCCTGAGACAGTTGGTGGGTTTGGTTTTGTTTTTGTTTGGGGGCTGCACTCTATGTCAGTGCGTGGTGGGACCCCTGGACTGCCAGGGATTGAACCTGGGCAACAGTCGGTGGGTTGTTTCTTTATTTCCTCAATTTCTGATACTTAGCTCTGTGCTCACGGATCACTCCGGGGGTGGGGGGGGCGCTCAGGGAGCACATGTGGTGTTGGGAATCGAACCCGCTCGACTGTACGCAAGGCGGGTGCCTCACCTGCTGTCTCTCTGACCCAGCAACCCAGTGGTTTTTCCCATAGTTCCCAAATGTTCCAAAGCAATGAGACTGTCTCAGATTTTCCCATTAGTGCTTCCCACGTTTTAAGATTCAAGATGTCAACCCTATTTTAAGAAACACAAGCAAGACAGGTTTTTATTTTATGTACTCTGTTGTCTCATGAGGATTAACTTATTTGGTACAATGGCAGTAGCTAAAGATACCAAATGCTTGATGTTTTATTCTAGGTACTAAACATACTTGCCTTTTTTTTTCCTCTCGATGGTGAGCCAGACCTGCCTCTGTGCTCAGGGCTGTGCCTTGTGGTGCTGGGGATTGTGTGTGGTGACGGGTTGATGCAGGGCCATGGCTGAGGCCGCATGCTGGACAAGCACCTTTGCCTTGACTTCTGCCCCACTCCGTCTGGCCCTAAGCAGAGTTTACTTAATGTGTGAACTATGTGCCAGAATAGCTTGTATTTTAATTAGTAATTATAATGTTAATTACCAGTAACCGAGGTTATTGTTTGTAAAAGGTATATTAATTTGGCCTGGAGCAGTAGTGCAGTGGATAGGGCATTTTCCTTGTACTTGGTCAACCTGGGTTCAGTTCCTGGCATCTGTGGTCCCCTGAGCACTGCCAGGAGTGATCCCTCAGCACAGAGCCGGGAGGAAGCCCTGAGCACTGCTGGGTGTGGCCCAGTAACCAAAAAAAAAAAATGTATATTAGCTTGGTCTGGAGTGCTTGATTGTACACTGGGTAGGGAGCTTGCCTTGTGTGTGGCCAACTTGGGTTCAATTCCTGATAGCCAGTAGGGTCCCCTGAGCACCACCAGGTGTGGCCCCAAAACATAACACACACATACATTAACTTGAATCCAAGAAGTTTTTAGTTCAGAATAATTTGTCGCGGTGTTTGTTGAGTGTGAGAAAGGGGGCGGCAGATGGCATTTGTGACTTTCCACAGAGCCTCTCGTCCCCTTCCATCCCTCCCAGTCAGGAACTGAGTGCCCAGCCTCCCTGGCACGGCCAAGAGCACCTTGCAGCCACAGCGGGCACTTACCCAGGACCTGGCACCTAGTGCTTGCACTTCTGAGCACAGGGGCCAGTCACTCACGCTGCATTTGCGTCTCCACTTGCCCCCAGCAGCGACTCCCCCGAGTGTGTGTGGGTCCAGGTCAGAGCCGCTGCCCAAGGGTGTGTGAGACGGGCCTTCCCATGTGTGCTTGCCGACACTCATCTCGAGATGGACCTACTTGGGGTTATCCTGGCCGGGGCCAGGGTTCTGGGCTCTCTGCACGGCTGGGTATCTGGAGGGAAGATGGCTTTGTCCTTGCTTCCTCAGCATCTCGCTGGGTTCCTGACAGCCCGAAGACAGGCCTGCTGCCTGCTGTCAGTGAGCAGCCCCTCCTGTTCTGCAGCGGGACGGCCACTGCGGTCCCCAGGCCCGAGAGCTTGGATTGGCCAGGTGTAGGCTTCTTTGGAAAGCAGCCCTCCCCTGGCTCACACTGTGCTCGCTCACTCTTCCAGACCTAAGGGGAGGAGCCTAAGCTGGCCTCCGCTGCCCAGTCTCCAACTGTCACTCCCCTGTTGGGGCCCGCCCACTGACCCCTGACCATTGCTCCCCTGTTGGGGCCCGCCCACTGACCCCTGACCATTGCTCCTGTGTCTAGGTCAGCTCACTGACCCCTGACCATTGCTCCTGTGTCTGGGTCAGCTCACTGACCCCTGACCATTGCTCATGAGTCTGGATCAGCCCACTCTCTCTGCCTCTCTAGTACCACAGGTATATCGAGATCGCCATCAAGCAGTGCAGAAGCTCGGGCATTGACTGCAAGATCCACGGCCTTCTCCTGCTGGGCCGCATCCGTGCTGAGGAGGAGGACTTGGCTGCCGTGCCTTTCCTGGCTTCCGACAACGAAGAGGAAGAAGATGACAAAGGCGGCACTGGGAGGTGAGGGCTGTGTGTGGGGGTTGCCCGGCTGCACTGAAAATGTTTCACTTGAGCTTATCCCAGAATGAGGGCAGTTTTACTCGTACTTAGGCGGTACATAGAAATGAAAGGAAAAGACCCATGTGCATGCCTGTATGCGTAGGGACCCCTGCTCACACCACTGCCTCTAAGGGCCTTAGCACCACCAGACGTCCGGGAATCCCCGGGACTACCCCACAGGGATGTTTTGAATGTTGAACCTTCCTGCCAGGAATGTCATTGCCTTGTAGTTTTTTTTTTCTTTTCTTTTAATAAGGCTCCAGTCTCTTAAAATAGTCTAGCGTATTTTGGCATCTTCTGTTAGGTATTTTATTATTAAATAATGTTTTTTTCAAAGTGGATGTGATGGGCTGTCTGTCACAGGTAGTCTACCCTGGCCTCTGGCCGGTGCCGAGGCTGAGGCATGTCCATGCTGTGTGCTGAGAGCCGCCCAGTCTCTCTGTACGTGCTGGTGACTGCGGCCTGTCTCGCCGCTCGCCAGGCTCTGAGAGTCTGAGCACGGAGATGCTGTGTGTGGACTGAGCCCCTTTCTTGCACGTGCTGGTGGACACGCTGATAGAACCAGCTCACACCCTGGTGTGGCCTTGGCTGTGGGGTGCGCTGTGTTCTGAGAGTCATCTCCATAGGTGCTTGGCAGAGAGAGCTCCTCTCTCGGGGGGTTGTGACATCCTGGCCCTGAGTCTGTCCCGGGTCTTGTCAACTTGGGAGTCCAAGCGCACAGTCAACGAGTGGGAGCCTTCGTCCTCACTCGCATGCCAGAAGCATTAAAGTGGTCTCCATACCTCAGCTCTTAACACGGGACGGGGCCCGATGCTGGTCCCCTGGCACCCCTGGGCTGCTTCTCCCTGGCGCTGGCCAGTTAATCTCAAGCAGCTCTGTGCTGAGGCTGTTCCCTTCAGCCTGTCGTTTTGAGAAGAGCCACTGATGCTGTAGCATGACACGGCACTTCATTGCCCAGAATAAAGGGTGGGAATTCATATCTGTCGGGTTCCTCTGGAGGTGGCATGCCGGTGCCTGGCCTTCAGAGTCCTCTGAACTCTTGCTTCTGTAGAAAACACAGGGTTCTGGTAACCGGCAAGCTTTGCAAGCTTCCGGCCATTTGCCGTTTTCTTTGAAACATCGTCTTATGTTGCATGAACACCCTCTCTCTCTCTGTGCTTCTCTGGTCAGCCTTATAAGAAAGAAGGCTGCGGGGCTGGAGTCGGCGGCCACCATCAGAACCAAAGTGTTTGTGTGGGGACTGAACGACAAGGACCAGCTGGGTGGACTGAAGGGCTCTAAGGTATGTCCCCTGGGCCTGCTGTCCCCGAGGGCCTCAGGCCAGCACTGTACCGAAGTGGCCCTGCAACAAGACCACATTTGACATTTTTAGATTGTTTCACTTTGTATGCCATGACCGTTAATGTTACCGAAGTTAATCCTTGGAAAACTGTGTTCTGAAGAGCTGCGTTATTGGGCCAGAGTTGATAGGGTAGCAGGTTGACCCAGCAAACACCACCAGGAGTGATTCCTGCCCATTGCTGCTGGGTGTGACCAGAAAAAGCCGCCCCCCCCCCCCAAAAAAAAAATGGAGTTGTATTATTGCCTTTTCGTAAACTAAAAAATGCATCTAGTATTTATTTTCATTTTTGGTTTATTCATACCTAGTAGTGCTCAGGGCTTTCTCCAGGCTCTGCCAGGGATCACTCCTGGTGGGGGTCAAGCGCCATATGTTGTTCTGGAGATCAAACCCAGATCAGCTGTGCATAAGGCAAGCGCTCTAACCCCGTACTATCCCTGTGGCCCTTAGGGACAATGACATTTTTGTAAGTAGCCTGAATCCCATTGTTGGCCACGTTTTGGTTTTTATTTTCAAAGATTCCTGTCCCCATGTTTCAAAACAGTAAATCCCATTGCACTGTTTCATCTTAAAGTGTTTTTGTGTCTCTAAGAGAAAAAAAGAACTTGGGTCAGAATCATCAGATGAATGTGCAGTAATTCCTTGCATCATCGGGCAGGCTTACTGAGCATCTTACAGCATGTATGAATGGTCTTTTCCTCTGTTTTTCCTTAAATAAACCACCTCTCCTAGATCAAGGTCCCTTCGTTCTCCGAGACTCTGTCTGCTCTGAACGTGGTGCAGGTGGCCGGTGGTTCGAAGAGCTTGTTTGCAGGTAGGGGCATCCTGACGGGCAGTGTCCAGTGGCGACTTGGCCCCACGGGGTCTTGCCATGAGGAGTGAGTCTCTGTGCTCTGCTTCCTTGCAGTTACGGTGGAGGGGAAGGTCTACGCCTGTGGGGAAGCCACCAATGGCCGCCTGGGGCTGGGCCTGTCCAGTGGCACGGTGCCCATCCCCCGGCAGATCACAGCGCTCAGCAGCTACGTGGTCAAGAAGGTGGCCGTGCACTCAGGTACTGGCCCAGGAGTGCTACCCTGAGACCACCCGGACCCACCTGGGCCTTAGGATTAACAAGTCTTGCCCTGAGCAGCCTCCAGGTGGGCTGGGAACCAGCCCTTCCTGCCACTGTCGGCATTGGGTGTCCCCTCCCGCCCCCAGCCCCTGCCAACAAGTTCCGCTCTCAAGTAGGCCCCGACTCTCCTGGGGGGAGGCTTCCACCACACTCTCCAAAGTGCCTCTGAACCTCTGATAATGGAAGCGGCATTTTTAAAAATAATTAAAAAGCAGCACGTGCCCGCATGCAGGCCACCTTGTTTCAGTGCTGGGCTGAGACTGAGGGACGGAGCCAACGAGTGTGGATCTCGGGTCCCGCCTGGTTGGGTAGGGTGAGCTGTGGCCTTGATTGCAGGAAAATCTAAACAGATGTGGTGTGAGCAGGAGGAAATCTGTAGGAGAGAGGGTCACAGGTCGGGGACAGGGCAGGGGCGACACTACACCAGCTGCTGCCTGCCCTGCTTTCCACCTCACGCGGCCCTTCACGCCCGTCCGGTGGCCTTGCACACGGCTGCCACATCTCTGCCCGTCCTCTGTGGCCAGGGGCGGCTGGAATGTTGCTCCTGTTGCTAAGAAACGGGGCAGAATGAGGAGAGCAGGCACTCGGGCACCAGAGAGGAAACACCAGTGCGGACTGTCCTCCAGTCCTGGCAGGGGTGGACGGGCTAGCACCGGGAAGCACGTGGGCTGTGGTGTCTGCTATTTGCTGGATCCAGATCTTTTATGTCTTTATCTTTCTGGGAATCCTGTGGGTGGACACGATGTGACCTCTTCTTCCTAAGGTGGAAGCTGTAGTTTAGCTCAGGTTCCCATGTCACCCCAAGGTGTTGGTCCCGTCGCCCCATTTCTCTGACGCGCAGGCCTGGTGCACGTACCACCCGCCCCGACAGCCACTTTTTGTCCCTGTTGCAGGTGGCCGCCATGCCACGGCTCTGACCGTCGACGGCAAAGTGTTTTCCTGGGGCGAAGGTGACGACGGCAAGCTCGGGCACTTCAGCAGAATGTAAGTGCATCCCCATGCTTGGTCGGGAGCGACTGCAGACGGTGTGGAGAGGGCCATGGGCAGGGCGGTGGGAGGGGCCCTCCACAGAACCGGAGCCAGCAGTGAGAGCAAACCCTGGAGCCTGACTCCTGTTCTGCCTCAGCTTGACAGGCAGGCTGCACTGCAGGTGCTGTCTGGCCTGACGTGGTTCTGACAGGGGCGGGTCTGGTAATTCACAGTCTCCTGCGTCAGGTGGGCTGGGTAACAGATGGTCCGATTCCATCCGCCATAGGAACTGTGACAAGCCACGGCTGATCGAGGCCCTGAAGACCAAGCGCATCCGGGACATCGCGTGCGGGAGCTCTCACAGCGCAGCCCTGACGTCCAGCGGCGAGCTCTACACCTGGGGCCTCGGCGAGTACGGCCGCCTGGGGCACGGGGACAACACCACTCAGCTCAAGCCCAAAATGGTGATTACCTGCATTTTGTTGCTCACAGGGAACTCACCCTCCTCTGCCCCATCTGCCTGGCACCTCGAGGGGTCTCCACGCACGCGGGCGTGGTCGGCTCTGGGTCTGGGCGCCTGTGTTTGACTCTCTCCTTACGTCTGTAATCGAGTAGGTGAAAGTCCTCCTTGGTCACAGAGTGGTCCAGGTCGCCTGTGGGAGCAGAGATGCACAGACCCTGGCTCTCACTGACGAAGGTGAGTTCCTGGCCTGGCCTGGGTGGGAGAGAGAGCCCCAGCAACCCCCCCCCCCCCCTTACTGGCTCTCTCCCGCACTCCAGGTTTGGTGTTTTCCTGGGGTGACGGTGACTTCGGAAAGCTGGGTCGGGGCGGAAGCGAAGGTTGCAATGTGCCCCAAAACATCGAGAGACTGAACGGACAGGGCGTGTGCCAGATCGAGTGTGGTGCCCAGTTCTCCTTGGCACTCACCAAGTCAGGTGTGGTGTGGACATGGTACGTGGCCCTGGGGTCCAGCATCGAGCCTCTGTGAGTGTCTGGTCTCGGCTAGGCGTGGTGTGAACGTGGTATGTGACCCTGGCACCCAGCATGTGACTATGTGAGTGGGTCTGGCGGGTGTGACTCAGGCGTAGTATGGATGTGGCAAGTAGCCCGGGGCCCAGCGTATGCTTATGTAGTGGGCTCTGGCCCAGTCCCTGCCCTAGAGGTTCTTTACTTCCTCTGGGCCTCTTGGTCCTCTCCTTCCCTGTGGGATTAGTGCCAGTGTTGTAAGAAATGCCCACCTTGGACCAGGTCCTTGGAAAGGATTCTAGAGGAGTCTGTTCTTGTGCTTGGAGCATCCTGGACTCTGCCTCTCTCCAAGTGCTCCTGCTCAACTGGGTCTCACCATGGGCCTTCTGGAATGTGGAAGCCTGGGAGACAGTCCAGGCCGTCATGCTCTGAGCCTCTGTGTGACCCTCTACCTGGAGTGCACACTCTGTCACAGTGGCTGGCAGCACCCAGGGCCTTGGCTAGGCCACCCCATGGTGACATGCTCTGTTGCCTCTCTCTCGCAGGGGGAAGGGGGACTACTTCCGGCTGGGCCATGGCTCGGACGTGCACGTGCGGAAGCCCCAAGTGGTGGAAGGCCTGCGCGGGAAGAAGATCGTGCACGTGGCAGTGGGGGCCCTGCACTGCCTGGCGGTCACGGACGCAGGACAGGTGAGTGGGGGCCACGGACCCGGGAGGGATGGCACCCTAGAGTCTGCCCAGGGGAAAAGGTCGCTGACCGCTGTGTGTAGGGGGTCGGGTGGGCAATGGACTTGCCCTCCAGACCTCACGGAAAGGATGTTCTGGTGTGAGAAGACGCCTGAGTGTTCGCTTCCCGCAGGTCTATGCGTGGGGCGACAATGACCATGGGCAGCAGGGCAACGGCACCACCACGGTGAACAGGAAGCCCACGCTGGTGCAAGGCCTGGAAGGCCAGAAGATTACCCGGGTGGCCTGTGGCTCTTCCCACAGTGTGGCCTGGACCACTGTTGATGTGGCCACGCCCTCCGTCCACGAGCCTGTCCTCTTCCAGACTGCACGAGACCCCTTGGGTGCTTCCTACTTAGGTAATGCAGATTGGGCTTTTATTAATATTATTACTATTTTTTTTTTTTGTGGGGGAGGCTCACACCCTGACTCCTGGCTCTGCACTCAGGAATAATTCCTGGAGGTGCTTGGGTGCTGGGGTGCAGGGGATGGAACCCAGGTCGTGCAAGGCAAATGCCCTTCCCGTTGTGCTGTCCCCAGCCGAGATCAGTATTTGGTCCAGGGGCCTTTGTGCCCCCAGCAGGTGAGAGGTGCCAATTCCGGAACCTGAGGCAGCCGCAGGTGGCCAGGCCTCTAGTGTGCACCCAGGCAGGGACTGCAGGCCTGTGGCTGACGTGAGGCGCGACACTTGCCCTGCAGAGGCTGCATTCCTGCCCACCACAGCCCCGGCTTTGCTCTGCTGCCACAGACCCGCTTCCATTTTGGCGTGAACCACACACAAAGTACTAGAGAAGAAGCCCGCTTTGCACAATCAGTGTTCTCAGCTTGAGATTTCATCTCTGCTTATTGCCTGTGGCTTTTTGGGTCACACCCGGTGATGCACAGGGGTGACTCCCGGTTCTGCACTCCCGAATTACTCCTGGCGTTGCTCGGGGGACCATATGGGATGCTGGGGAGTGAGCCTGAGTCGGCCACATGCAAGGCAAACGCCCTCCCCGCTGTACTTCGCTCCCTGTTCTTGATTTTGAATGTGTTTGTTACTCTCTTCTGCTGCTGCTGACAGCTCACTGGGCTTGCGTGTGCGGTGGCCGTCTGCCTTCCCCAGGGCCTGCACTGCTGCCCCTCTGGCCTCGTCACCTCTGTTTGCTCGCTTCTGCTGAGCAGGAATCCCACAACACGCCCTGAATCCTGGCCCTGGAGTTTTGAGAGTTCGATTCCGTTTCGCTTTTTGTTCTCAGGCCACCTGGTGATGCTGGGGGCCCTGCTGCTGGCTCTGTGCCGTGGGGCTCCTTGTGCTGCTAGGCGGTGCCTGCACTCAGATGCGTGTGCCGGCCTGGAGCCCCATCCAGCGGCCTTATGTTCTCGCCCTGATCTTTCGTCCTAGGTGGTTGGTGTGGATTTTCTCATGCTGTGCCTCATCTTTTTGTCCTTTTTACAGTTGAATTATAAAGGTATTTTTAGGGGGCTGGAGCAATAGCATAGCAGGTAGGGCATTTGCCTTGCACTTGGCCGACCCAGGTTCGATTCCCAGCATTCCACGTGGTCCCCCGAGCACCGCCATGGGTAATTCTTGAGTGCAGAGCCAGGAGTAAACCCTGTACATTGCCGGGTGTGACCCAAAAAAAAAAAAAAAAAAGGTGCTTTTAATTTTGGTAAAATCCAATTTGTTCCCCTCCCACTCTTTTTAATGGCTCGTATGTTCATATATTGTTCGTACCCCCGGTGGGGGTGCACACTCGCTTGTACTCTTGGCTCTGTGCTCAGGGCTCTCTTCTCCGGATCAGCAAACCCTGTATGGTGCCAGGGATGGCACCAGGCTGGCTGTGTGACATGGACGTCCTCTCCTGTGCACTGTGCCCTTGACCCTTCTCCAGCCTTCCTGCGGCAACCCTGTGGCTGATACTTCTGGGGTCTACAGTCGATCTTTTGAGGGCCAGGGCTCGTCACGCCAGGTTCAGCGCTAGGGGAAGCTGGGGGATAGGGGACCCACACACCCCGTGCACAGCCCTGGGAATTGTCCCTACCCCGCGGTACTTTGTTTCGAATTGAATTTTATCTCTCACATGAGCTGCAGATGGAAATTCTTGGAATTCCCTTTTTTTAAGGTTTGGTATTTGATACCCAGCTGTTTCCTTGGGACTTGTTAAAAATGCGTCTTTATTCCTCTGCCTCTCAGTCTCCGTACCTCTGAGCAGAGCTACCCATGGGCTGGGTCGGGAACCACTGGCTCTTTGAGCCCCTTTGAGCTGTTGCAGGTCAGCGGAGCATAATGTCTGCGTGTGTTCAGTGCTCGGGCTCTGCTCAGTGGACTTGTGTGTTTGGACGTGAATGCCACATTGTCTGACCACTGAGCTGTGTGAAAGGACTGGACTTGGGCCCGCTGTTGCCCAGCTCACCAGCGCCATGTGACTTTGGGCAGTGGCCCGTCTGCTTTCGAGGACGGCTGCGTCACAGGGGCTGCGGGGACGCACGGCAGTTCGGGGATCAGACAGCCTCCCATGGTATCACCTGTTCAGCACGTGGGGGAGTTTCTCTCCCAGTGCTCGGATTTCCAGCATCTCTTGGCAGCATTTCGTAGTCTGATTCGCGGGTCCGGCCATTTTTTGTCAGATAAATTCCTCGGTGACTCATACTTGTACGCTTACAAAGGGCCTTTTGAAATCATCTTTCTTTGCCACGTTCCTTGACCTAGAAGCACTCAGGTTGTTCTTTGCTAGTGTTTAGAAAGAGCTTTTTGGTTTTTATTTCAGATATTTCTCAGTTCTAGTAAAAATACCGTCTGCTTGTAGAGACTGTAGGCCAGAGAGCTGTGTCCTGGGGTCCCGTCAGTGGTGACCACCTCTGGCCTCTGTGCTCTGCTCTGTATCCTCCCAGGGCTGGCCTCGCCGCCTTCCTGACACTTGCCTTCTGCGTTCCCCGTTGGCCCTTCTCCGCGTCACTTTACTTTTCATTCTCTGTATTTTGGGCCACACCCAGCGATACTCCAGGTCGTAGCCCTGTTCTGTTCTTTGCAGACCATTGGTGGTGCTGGGGTCTCCCTGGTGGGATCTGGAATGTGGCTGGGCTCAGCCGCTGCATGGCAATGCCTTCCCCCTGTTGTATCTGTCCGGGCCCTGTTCTTTGGTTTTGAACCTGTTTGTGTCTCTGTACTGGAAGCATCTTCCTTGTATGCCACTCCAGCCGGGTTTTGCTTTCTCAGTCTGCCCCGATGGTCTGGGCCATTGCTCTGGAGTGCCGGAAGCACTCCCACACCGTGTGCCCGTTGGTGCATTTGCTCGGAGTCTCCCTGCCTACATTCTTGCCCACTCTCAGTCCCGGCCCTCCGTTGGGCAGCTCATGCTGGTTTGGGGTCTGCCCTGGGCCGTATCAGGGGGCCTTTCCTGTGGTCCAAGTCCCGAAACCCGGGGCACCAGGAGCAGAATCCACGATCTCAGCTCTCGGGGCACCCCCAGAGAGGGAGTCATTATTTAAAGTGGTTTCCCTTTATTTTCTGTGAGCTCTGCCATGAGGTTTTGAATCTTATTTTAGGGTGTGTTTTGCTCCCGGAGCTTCCATCCCTTCTGCCGCCCTTCAGGGAGAGCCCAGGCCTGGTGGAGCTCATAGCCCCCTGACCCGGCCAGCCTCCGTCCTGTTGGTGTCAAGCATTCTGTGTATGTCACATGCTTTGCTGTGTCTTTAGATCGATTTTCTTGACCTGGGGTGTCCCCCTCTCTGCTCACATCGCAAATCTCCATGCCTCTCATTGCTCGGGGGAGACCGGTGTTTCTGTTCGGTGTCTGGACTTGGTCTCAATGGGCCTGGGCCTGCGGTACTGGGCAGCTGCTCTCTGCTCCACCTGGCTGTGTGGAGCTGAGCACACAGGGCCCACAGGAGAGACCAGTACATGACGGCCTTAACTCTCGAGTCCACGTCTGTGTCCCCCCCTTACAGGTGTGCCTTCAGATTCTGACTCTTCTGCTGCCAGTAATAAAGTCAGTGGTGCAAATAACGCGAAGCCCAATCGCCCTTCCCTTGCCAAGATCCTCCTGTCTCTGGATGGGAACCTGGCCAAACAGCAGGCATTGTCGCACATCCTCACAGCGCTGCAGATCCTGTACGCCAGGTAAGCGCCCGCGTGTCCCGGAATGCTGAGCGCTGAGCCCTGGGCGCACGTGCACGGAGCCTGAGTCTCTAGGGTCGTTGGCTGCCCCCGCCTGCAGATAGTCTCTGAGTGAACGGGAGCATCTCCGTGCTGCTGTTAGCCTGTGTGAAGCGGAAGTCAGAGCCACGACAAAGAATCTTTTCAGGGCTCTCTTCTTTGTTCGGGGGCCACACCCAGCATTGCGCAGGGTCATTCCTGATGGGGCTCAGGGAACCGTATGCCAGAGAGAATGCTGGGGAGCGCTTTTGGTCAGCCGCATGTGAGGCCAGTGCCCTTCTTGCTCTGCTATCTCCCCAGTTCCCTTTCTATGAATGTTCATGGACCTTCGGGGCACAGGAGGAAGAGTTACGTGACACTCATTGACCTCTTGTCATCCTTCCTCAAGCCGAGTTTTGGTCACACCTGCTTTCCCACTATTTCCTGCAATTCTTGTTCCTTCTGAGGGTGTGTGTGTGTGTGTGTGTGTGTGTGTGTGTGTGTGTGTGTGAGAGAGAGAGAGAGAGAGAGAGAGAGAGAGAGAGAGACAGAGAGAGAGAGAGATCATGCATGTGCCAGTGGATGTGCTGGGTAGAAGTGAATTTTTTTTTTTTTTTTTTTTTTTACTTTTTGGGTCACACCCGGCGATGTTCAGGGGTTACTCCTGGCTTTGCACTCAGGAATCACTCCTGGCGGTGCTCAGGGGACCATATGGGATGCTGAGAATTGAACCCGAGTTAGCCATATGCAAGGCAAATGCCCCACCCGCTGTGCTGTTTCTCCAGCCCCCAGAAGTGAATACTTAAAAGCATCACACTTCTGTTATTTTGTGAATCAGGACCCATCCAGTGGTTGCAAAGATCTCAGTGTTGCTTCCTGTTTCGGGTACCCTCAGCTCGGGATTTCCATGACCAGACAGAGGGTCTGGGACAGAGGCTTGTTCTGCTCTGGGTTTTATGGGTTTTTGAAAGGGGCTCTTTGGCTACACTCAGAGGTGCTCAGGAGCTCTTCCTGGCTCTGTGCTCCTGGCAGTGCTTGTGGGACTGTGTGCAGCATGATTCTGATTAAGTCGAAGTTGGCTCATGAAGGCAACTCATGCCCTTACTCACTCTAGCGGTTTGATGGTTTTCTAGCAGTCCTTGCTGTGGCTTTTTAGGTAAATAAGGTCAGGAGTAAGGGCTCTGACTTTGAGCTGGTGAAGACATGGTAATAATGTTCCTGTTTCAAAGCTCTTCTGCCCTCATGACAATGAGGAGGCGCTTCTGTAATCCCCTCGTCTCTCCCAAGGTGACAGGACTTACCTGTGACAATGAGGAGGTGTTTCTGTAACCCCTTCATCTCTCCTGAGGTGACGGGACTTACCTGTGACAATGAGGAGGCGCTTCTGTAACCCCCTCGTTCTTTCCTGAGGTGACTGGACTTTCTGTGACAATGAGGAAGCACTTCTGTAACCCCCTTGTCTCTCCTGAGGTGATGGGACTTTCTTGTGACAGCAAGAAGGCACTTCTGTAATCCTCTTGTCTCTCCTGAGGTGACAGGACTTTCCTATGACAATGAGGAGGTGCTTTGTTAGCACCATCCTCCCTCCTGAGGATGACAGGACTTACCTGTGACAATGAGGAGGCGCTTCTGTAACCCCCTCATCTCCTGTGACAATGAGGAGGCACTTCTGTAACCCCCTTGTCTCTCCTGAGGTGACTGGACTTTCTGTGACAATGAGAAAGCACTTCTGTAACCCCTTCGTCTCTCCTGAGGTGATGGGATAACCTTGACAATGAGGAGGCGCTTCTGTAATGGCCTTGTCTCTCCTGAGGTGACAGGGCTTTCCTGTGACAATGAGGAGGCACTTCTGTAATGCCCTTGTCTCTCCTGAGGTGATGGAACTTTCCTGTGACAACAAGAAGGCACTTCTGTAACCCTCTTGTCTCTCCTGAGGTGACAGAATTTTCCTATGACAATGAGGAGGTGCTTTGTTAGCACCATCGTCCCTCCTGAGGATGACAGGACTTACCTGTGACAATGAGGAGATTGCTGAAGTAGGGTTGTGCCCCATCCAGAGAGCTGTCCTGAAGTGGCTGGCAGCTCCCCCAGGCCTGACTTTCTCCTCTAACAGAGACGCAGTGGTCGGGGCCTTGATGCCAGCTGGCATGATGGCCCCGGTGGAGTGTCCCTCCTTCTCCTCATCGGCACCTGCTTCCGATGCCTCTGCCATGGCCAGCCCCGTAAACGGAGAGGAGTGCATGCTCACCATGGACCTCGATGACAGACTGAGTCCAAATCCACGGCAGGACAAGAGAGGAGAGGTGAGATCATGAAGGCCCAGAAGGACGGCCCGCTTGGTCTCGCCAGTGATTCCTGTACGCTGTTCATGGTGTTTTCGTGCCTGCAGTACAAGTGTAGGCTCTGATTTGAAATAAAAGATGAGAGGGAGTTTCGTTAGCAGGTCCACCGACATGCGTTCGACCTTTGGACGTGGTTCCACTGAAATGTGGTCTTCCTCTTACCTAGTTCTTTGTTCTCAGATTCAACCAACCAGGGATGTTGCTTGGTGTGGAGAACTCTGAGGAACTTGAGTCCCAGAGATTTTGGTCTGGGAACAGGGGGCTGTGAATTCCCAGAGATGGCTGTCCATTCTCCTTAGAAGGAGGTCAAAGTTCTGTGGCTGTGGAATGTGACTTGCCAGGGTTTGATCCCCAGTACCGTATGCCCCCCTGAACGTTGCCAGGCATGGCCACACAGCATCAGCAACTGTTGCACATGGGTTGTGTGTGTCATGGGGTGGGCACCCCTAACCCGGTAGTGTCTAGGGCATCAGCTGTGATTCGAATGTAAACCTGCATTCGGTAGTTTCACAGACTGTATCTGCAGTTCTGACGACCAAGTGTGTGGAGCTTGTTTTGGGGGGCAAACCCAACTTGAAGAGAAAGGAGTCACCAACCTTCTTCGTGTGGCCTTGTGAATTGGGAGGAGTCACCCAGTTCCTTGGCTTTTAGGGCTGCCCCCGGCCCCCTGAGTAAATCCGGGCCTTGGGCCTCTGTGGGACGTGTGCCAGGGCGCTGAGCTCTCCCCTCTTCCTGTGTGTTTCTCAACTAGATGATCTCTTCCGAGGACGCGGTGACCCCCTCAGCAGTGACCCCGTCTGCATCCTCGGCGACATCGCGGCCATTCATTCCAGTGACAGATGACCCAGGCGCTGCCAGCATCATCGCAGAGACCATGACCAAGACCAAAGAGGTCACAGGGCTTCTTATCTTATCTCGAGATGGTTTTACACACACTCATGCGCCGTGCATTGCCGTATGCCAGGTGCTCCCACGGGAGCGGACCCAGGCCATATCCATCCCCTTAGTGTCAGTCTTGGCATCCATGTGACCTAGCTGCCCTCTCACACAGAGACCTTGTCAGCATCTGCTCATTATTCCAGCACCCTGTGCGGCTCTGATGCCCCCCATGGCCTTATAGCTCCAATGACCCATGTCCTATATAGCTCCGATGCTCTGTGTCCTGTATAACTGATGCCCCTGTGCCCCTGGCACCCTCTGCATGGCTGCCCAGCCACTCCCTAGCCAGCTCCAGAAGGCTCCTGTGTGGTGGGCACAGTAGTGCACATGCATCCAGGTGGACGTGCTGGCCAGGTTGTGGTCTGAGCAGGCATGCCCTGGTGAGCCAGCAGGGTCCGTGCTGCTGCAGGGTCAGCGTGGTGTTGGGCGCATGTGAGCTGCATGGACTGGAAGCTCAGGAAGCAGGAGACTGACTTCATACATCCTCCGAGACACTCATGGGCAGCTGTTCCATGCTCGTGAGATGCAGGAGACATGACAGAAGGCAATGCTCATGCTGAGTTGCTGTGACATCCCTGAGTTTATCCCGTGGATGGGATTTTCCCCAGGGCCAGCATTCCTAGCACCAGCCTCACGTAGGTCCCAGACACAAACTGGCCCTCAAACACGTGGTCACTTCTCCATAGATCAGTGCGTTCCTGACCTCTCCCTGACTTGATTGATGGAACTGGGCATGTCATCCGCTCCGGGTGGACAGCATTACACGTGTTCTCTTTCTGTATGCTCCACATTCAGCTCCCAGAAAGTCTGGCCCACCCTCCTCCATACAACTGGGCCCTTTATCTGGTTTGCCCAGGCTTGACCCATTTCTTTCTCACAGCCACTGTCCTGTTCGAATGTCTGAAGCTTTGTTCTGTTCATCTGTCTGTATAGTTGCTCTCACTGTGTTACACAGAGTGACCCTGGGCAGTGTCCCTCTGACTGTTCCCATTAAGCTCAGTGTCTTCTGGGACATCCAGTTGCCAGTGACAGGGTTTCAGCCCGTTTTCACAGCAGCGTGGTGTCCATCTTGTATAGACAGCACAGTTTTCTCACAGGGCATCTTTCCTGACAGATGCCTTTGGTGACTGCTCACACAGTTGCTTGTTCTGAAAAACATCCATCTCCGTGGAGACTCCAGGGCCTGCCCATGACCTATCAGGCATCTTTTAGTTTATGATGCTTATCTCTTCTCATCCTCTTCTGCATCATTGTGCTTTGTAGGATGCCGAAAGCCAGAATAAAGCATCGGGGCCAGAACCTCAGTCCTTGGATGAGTTCACCAGCCTGCTGGTCGCTGATGACACCCGGGTGGTCGTGGACCTACTCAAGCTGTCTGTGTGTGGCCGGGCCGGGGACAAGGGCAGGGACGTGCTCTCAGCTGTGCTCTCGGGCATGGGCACTGCCTACCCGCAGGTGAGCCACGGACAGATGGGAGGGTGTTCCTCTGCAGTGGCTAGCATCCCCTCCCCTCGCACGTGGTCCTGTCTCTCTGCAGCCAGCTGATTCCTCAGTACCTTGTCCCCAGGGTCAGTTAGCCGATCCCTCAGCAACCTGACCCCGCTCAGTCAGTCGATCCCTCAGCCTCTGTCCCCACAGTCAGCTGATCCCCCAACCCTGTCCCTACAGTCAGTCGATCCCTCAGCACCCGGGGCCTTTTCTGATGGGTGCCCTGCCTACCAGCCCCAGCGTGCCTTGTATAGACAGCACACCCGGCAGTGCTCAGGGGTTAATCCTGGCTTTACACTCAGGAATCACTCCTGGCAGTGTTCGGGGGACCATACGGGATGCTGGGACTCAAACCCAGGTCGGCTGTGTGCAAGGCAAATGCCCTGCCTGCTGTACTATCGCTCCAGCCCCTCGGTATTTTATATTCTATAGATATTTCTCATTTTTTATATTCAGATCACCAGTTTTGTGTTCTTTCGTGCTTTTGAGGAAATTCATATTTCTTTGATAGTCTTCAGGATTTCATTTTCTTTTATTTGCATATTTGGACTATCTGCAATTTATATCTTTCTCTTTTGCCTTTTGGGCCATACCCAGCAGTGCTCAGGACCCTGTGGTGCTGGGGATTGAGGTGGGCTTGGCCCTATTTGTCATACCCTTGGTTTGTGTACTCGAGGGCCTTTCATTTATAGGCTCCTTTGTGGTCCATGCATGGGCTATAATGTTGATGCTGTAACATCACAGCAGTGGAAGCTCTTTGTGCTCTAAAGTCACCTTTGTTGTTTGCTAGATGTTTCCCAGCAATAAAGGGACCTTTTGCCATGGTGGAGTGTTCCTCCAGTGTGCTGGAGCATTTTGTGCTGAGCCCTCCAGCATGTTAGAATGTTCCATGCTGAGCCCTCCAGCATGCTGCAATGTTCTGTGCTAAGCCCTCCATTCCATGTTCCTTTCTGAGCCCTCCAGCAAGCTGAAATGTTCCATGCTGAGCTCTCCATTCTGGAATGTTCCTTTCTGAGCCCTCCAGCAAGCTGAAATGTTTCGTGTTGAGTCCTCCAGCATTCTGGAACTCAGGCCCAGTACCTGAGAACCGGAACTCTAAATTGATTTTGCTTTAAGCTGGAATCGTCTCAGGTGGCCAGGGCTGACCTGCAACTCTCAAGTCTCGGTCATGCATGAGCACGGCCCCGCAGCTGGGTTGCTGAGTCCTGAGGTCCTCAGACCCCAGCCCCCTCTGCCCCTCACCTGCTGACCCTGCGCCAATGGGCATCTGTTTTTTGACCCGGGGCAGCTGTAGGGTCAGTGGATGGATAGCCCCTGACCTCCCCCTCCCCACCCCAGGCAGCCCGTGCATAGCCCGTGCGCTGACCCTCCCCTGGGTCCTGCTTCCCCCCTCAGGTGGCCGACATGTTGCTGGAGCTGTGTGTCACCGAGCTGGAGGACGTGGCCACCGACTCGCAGAGTGGCCGCCTGTCGTCGCAGCCCGTGGTGGTGGAGAGCAGCCACCCCTACACGGACGACACGTCGTCCAGTGGCACGGTGAAGATCCCAGGTGCGGCCTGGGCCCGCCCAGCACCCCCCTCCTTTCTGGGGTACAGCATGAGACAGGAAAGGAGGGAAAGGGAAGAGCCGCCCGCTCCATCTGCGGGGCTCTGGCCGCTTGTGGACGTGCTGCCTCTGCTGCTCCCCAGGGCTCTCATTGGGGGTTGTGGGGCTGTCATTGGCTGGGCGGGCAGGATGGGCGCTGCCTTCACGGGTGCTGCCCAGCCCCCAGTCAGGTGTGACGTGCAATTTCCGCCTCCTGCGGCTCCATTTCCTTCTGCCTTCAATGGGCCTCTGTTGAGGTTCCAGAACCGACCCGTGGGCTGCCACCGTCGCTGTCTGCTGATCGCGCGTGCCCACTGCGGTTCAGAGGCCCATTGAGGCCACCCCTCCGGCCCGGCCTCAGGAAGCATGAGTGTTGGGGGGAGAGTGTCTGGGCTTCTCCTGTGACGGCAGCAGCTGCTCCGGCCCCAGGCCCTGGGCTGGCACAATGGAGCTATTCTGGAGCTTCTTCCCTGACCTTCTAAAAAGTTTTATATGTTATTCTAACATATCTGATGGTAGGGGCCTCTCGTGGCAGTTAGGGCCTGCAGGCCGCTACCCCGTCCTGGGCCTGGCGATGCCGGGGACCACCGGGGCCAGCAGACACTTCCTCTCGCTGTGCAGTGCATGCAAAACAAGCACAGTCCCCCGCTAGGCTTCCTTTCGGGTGTGAGGGGGCAGTGAGGGGCTTGGTAACTGTGTAACTGTCCTCCAGCAGCACACTGACCCCTGGTCTGGTCCCCAGGGCACTCGGCTGGGGCCTGTCCTCGATCTTTTGGGAGACATTTCTCCTAGATCAGGGTGTTAGTCAGGAGAGTTTCCTCATGTCCTTAACTATATTATTCTGCCACTTTCTGGCTTTTTTTTTTTTTTGCCTTTTTTTGGGGGGTCATACCTGGCGATCCACAGGGATTACTCCTGGCTCTGCACTCAGGAATTTCTTCTGGCGGTGCTCAGGGGACCATATGGGATGCTGGGAATCGAACCCAGGTCAGCCGTGTACAAGGCAAATGCCCTACCCGCTGTGCTATCTCTCCAGCCCCCACTTCATTGTTTTTTCAGAAATTAGTCATTGTATTTTGTCTCCCAGTGTCTGGGATCTTTTTTTCCTCTTTGCATTTCCGTTTTTTCTCGCTTTTAGCCGAGTCATGTCCATGGGTGTGTATTTCTTTTTCTTGTTCAGGTTGATTTGTAGGTCAGTGTCGCCTTTAAGTAGGGGACTTGGGATCGTATTTGCTTCCTTTTCCCCGGTCTCTCAGGAATATATTCCTATGTTTGCTGTTTCGCCATGTGCTTTCGACTCCCTTCTGTTCCACATCCTTGTGCTTTCGTTCCAGAGAACATTCCCTTCTGGCCTTTGTGACCCTCCAGCCCTGGCAGTTCGTTCTTGCCCTTTCATGACTTACCTTGTTTTGGGATCTCGTGTTACTTGGGTCAGTGTCAGCTTCTCTCTTGTTTTCATGTTCGACCCTGGTTGGTTTTCTTTCTTTGGGTCACACCCAGCACTGCTCAGGGCTGACTTCTGGCCTGCACTCAGGGATCTGTCCTGGAGGGGTCCAGGGGATGCTCTGGGCTGCTGGGGATTGAATCCAGGTTGGGTCCATGCAAGGCAGGCACGTGCTGCCTGCTGGACCTTCAGTCTGGCCCGTTGGCTGGTTTTCTTGGCATGTGGACATGCTTGACAGCTGCTCTGACTTTGTCTGCTAAGTCCAGCCTAGGCTGGGCCCAGCCGAGCTCCTAAGGTCCGTCTTAGATGCCGATGCCGCACTACGTCAGGATTCTGACTCCTGAACATTCTGTAGTTGTTGTTGTGTTTTGTTTTGTTTCTTTTACACAGATGGATACTTGTTATTGCCAGGTTTGTGGCTTCCCAGGGGAAATAATCCGAATGCCTGGGAGAAAGTTGGGAAAAGTTCTCACTGTTGTCTCCAGGCAGGTTTCATTGTGTCTCTTCCCGCTGTCAATCCCCTTATCTCCCTGGGGGACTGGAGACCCTCCTCCTGCCCTTGGGGATTGATTCTGAGGGTCTCCCCACCTCCGCTCCAGTTGTTGCTATTTTTATTTATTTCAGCAACTTCCAGGGGATCCTCAGGCTTGAGGTCTCCCCCACCCAACTGTCTCCTTCCTGCCTGGGGGGGCAAGAGGCTCCTCCCTGTGTGCACGCAGGTGTCCGCCTTCCCGCTTCTCTCTTTGTGCCACGTGTCCACTTTTCCACTTCCCTCTTTGTGCCCACGGGCCTCCAGGTGCAGAGGGCCTCCGGGTGGAGTTTGACCGGCAGTGCTCCACGGAGCGGCGCCACGACCCCCTCACGGTCATGGACGGGGTCAACAGGATCGTCTCGGTGCGCTCAGGTGCGAGGACAGAGGGCGGGTCCGTGCCCAGGAGCCCAGCACACAGTGGGGCCCGGGCCTGTTCTCAGGCCCCTCACACCTGCCCCTGCTGCAGCATGTCCTGTTGCCACCCCCACCCGTCACCCCATCTGTCATCTGTCACTTCCATCTGTCACCCCCGCCCGTTACCCCCGTCTGTCACTCCCGCCCCAAAGACCTTCCTGCTGCCTCGCTCAGGGTGTGGGCCTGGTCGGCACCTTGTTCCCGGGGTCCCCCCTGCAGTTCCTCGGTGCTGAGCAGTGTTCGTGCTCACCCCGAGTGCTCTGGTCGACTGTGCCCTCCTGCAGCCCTGGCGTGAACAGCTGTGTCTTGTGGTCATGCCTTGGGCCTCACCCGGGCCTGCGTCTCTCTGCTAGGCCGGGAGTGGTCCGACTGGTCCAGTGAGCTGCGCATCCCAGGCGACGAGCTGAAGTGGAAGTTCATCAGCGACGGGTCTGTGAACGGCTGGGGCTGGCGCTTCACCGTCTACCCCATCATGCCAGCTGCAGGTGAGGCAGGTGCTTCCCCGTCCGTCCCCCTCAAGGAGGAGGGCTGGGCTTCACCATCGACCCCATAATGCTGGCTGCGGGTAAGGGCTGGGCTTCCCAATCTGTCCTCATCATGCTGGTCGCAGTTGAGGGCAGGTGCTTCCTGGTCTGTCCCCATCATGCCGGCCACGAGTAAGGGCTGGCACAATTCCCCATCTGCACCCAGGGCTGGGGGGCTCTGCTGCAGGGAGGCTTGGCTGTGCCCGGTTCGCAGCCCGCTGCTGTGGGAAGGATCCTGTGAGTCAGCTCAGTGTCCCCAGGGCATCGACCCCCTCTTGGTTGGGTTTTTTGGGCGAGTCCCTTGGGCAGCCCGACCTGGATGCTCACAGAGTCCCTCCCCAGGGCCCAGGGACCTGCTTTCCGACCGCTGCGTCCTGTCATGCCCGTCCATGGACTTGGTGACATGCCTGTTGGACTTCCGGCTCAATCTCGCCTCGCACAGAAGCATCGTCCCCCGCCTGGCCGCCTCGCTGGCAGCCTGTGCTCAGCTGAGCGCCCTTGGTAAGGCCCCCCTTTTACATCCGGCCAGCTCCAGGGCCTGGGGACTCGGCCCCCCGCTCATGCTGCTCTGTGTGCCTCCCAGCTGCCAGCCACAGGATGTGGGCCCTGCAGCGGCTGAGGAGGCTGCTGACCACAGAGTTCGGGCAGTCGGTGAATATCAGCCGGCTGCTGGGCGAGGACGGCGCGGACACCAGGGCTCTGGTATGGAGTGGCAGCCCCACGAGCGCCCCCTTAGGTCACTGGAGTCTCTGAGTCGAGGTCGGGGTCCTTGCAGGAAGCACAGCCTCAGCCCGAAATGCCTGACACACTTCAGAGCTGAGGGCCTTAGCTCTGAGCTGCCCTGACCTCGTGGGGCTGGGGGCCCCTGGATTGGCTGTGTTGGGTGTGATTTTATTGTGGATTCTTCTGGGGGGAGAAGGGGAGTACGTGGGCCATCCCCAACAGTGCTCAGGGCTGACTCCTGGCTCTGCACTCAGGATCACTCCTTTCTGGGCTGGGGGGACCCTGTGGGGTGCCAGGGATTGACTTCTGGTCAACCACATGCAAGACAAGTGCCCTCCCCGCTGTACTATCATGCCACCCCCCCATTGGACCATTTTATATGCACTGTGTCCCCACCCCCACCCCCACTCCTTTATTTTTCCCTAGTTGAGACTGTCCGTTCAGTTGTTTTAGAGAATTTCATACCAGGACATTGTCGATGTTCAGTAACTGATGCAGGAGGAGGCGCGAGACTCCCTGTAACCTGGTCTTTCTCAGAGCTTCACAGGCAGTGCCCTGGCTGCGCTGGTGAAAGGCCTTCCAGAGGCGCTGCAGAGACAGTTTGAGTACGAAGACCCTGTGGTGAGGGGCGGCAAGCAGCTGCTACACAGCCCCTTCTTCAAGGTAACGCACACGAGTGCACAGCAAGCAGGGCCAGCTTGGGGCCCCCACTGTGGGCCGCCTTGAGGGCCGGTGCGGGCATTGGGGATGTTGGGGATGAAAAATCCCCCATGATCCTGGACCCTGTACTTTGAATATTACTGTCCCATGAGACTCCCAGGCACTTGTGGGTCCCGTCCAACATTCGGTGCTGCGGAGGGGCCGCGCACGTTGTGGGCGATGTAAAACTCGGTTGGGACAGCCTCCTTCACAGGCTTCGGCACAGCGGCCACGGGCGTTGTGTCTGGAGAAGGAGCTCTGAGGAGGTGCTGTGGTACCTCGGGTGGCTGCGCTTCTGAGCTTCCCGTGTTTGGTTCTCGTGGCTTCAGGTGCTGGTGGCCCTGGCTTGTGACCTGGAGCTAGACACTCTCCCCTGCTGTGCTGAGACTCACAAATGGGCTTGGTTCCGAAGGTATTGCATGGCTTCCCGAGTGGCTGTGGCCTTGGACAAGAGAACACCGCTGCCCCGGCTGTTTCTCGATGAGGTAATTGCACCTTGCTGGGAGTCGCTTCTGAAGTGCAAAATAAGGTTTTCTTGGTTCATCCACGGAGTAAACGCCAATATTGTGAGACACAGAATCATTTCTCAGGGAATACCATGAAGAGAACACTTTTCTTGAGGGGTTGGGGTTGGGGGTATTAAGTGTTTTATTGACCTAATGGGGCAGGGACCTTCATTCAGATGCTCACTACAGCTCAGCTCCTCCCAGCCCCCCATCAGCCTTTCACACAAATGTTAAAGGACAGTTTCATGTAAGTGTGTTAGGGACAGTCTCTACAGGTGTGTGTGGGACAGTCTCATAGGTATGTGAGGAACAGTTTCTCAAGAGTATGTGAGAGACCGTCTCTACAGGTGTGTGGGGGGCAGTCTCTCACAGGTGTGTGAAAGACAGTCTCATACAGTGTGTGAAGGGCAGTCCCATGCAGTGCCTGAGGGACAGTCCCCTACAGCGTCTGAAGGACAGTCTCGTACAGTGTGTGAAAGGCAGTCTCATGAGAGTGTGTATAAAGAGTCTCACATGAGTGTGTGCAGGACAGTCTCACACAGCTCTGTGAAGAGGACAGTCTCTGGAGGGGGAAGCAGGCCTTCCCTGGGGCCTCGCCATGGGCTCTGGCTCTCAGGTTGCTCTCTGCTCCGTCTTCCCTATGGGTAACGGCCCAACCAGCAGAACAGCCGCCTTCTCCCTCACGGTGGCTTCTCTGTGGCAGTAGACTGGACGAGAATACTGGTGAAAGGGCCCTTGGACACTGATTGTAGTAAACCTGAAGGCCTAGTTGTTCTGCCCAGACCTTTTACTGCCTTAGACCTGTTCCAGTCAGGTGGGCTTTTGTTTATGACTCAGAATGTCCCAGCGTTGGCGCAGTCCCGTATTCACAGGTAGGGTTTCCTCCTCCTGTTTTCTCAGGTAGCAGAGTTGCAACGGGCTCACATCAGTGCTCTTGGGTGACTGTGTTCCTACTGCACCGCCCCCAGCAAATGTCAGAGGCCCTCCACCCTGTCCTTGTCATATCACTTCTAGCCCACATCTTCCTTTTCCTATTTAATATTGTTTCATTCCTGAGCCACGAGTACCTGAAAGTCTCCTGCTGTTCAGGTGGCGAAGAAGATCCGTGAGCTGATGGCCGACAGCGAGAGCATGGACGTCCTTCACGAGAGCCACGATGTCTTCAGGAGAGAGCAGGACGAGCAGCTCGTGCAGTGGATGAACAGGTCGCTACCCAACCTCGAAACGTGCTGGTTCCAGGGCCAGCTCCCGGGGCCCTCGTGCCCACGCCGGCTGTTGGCTTCCTGTGTGCTCTAGGCGCCCCGACGACTGGACGCTCTCGGCCGGCGGCAGTGGGACCATCTACGGTTGGGGCCACAACCACCGGGGACAGCTGGGGGGCATTGAAGGCGCCAAGGTGAAGGTGCCTACTCCCTGCGAAGCTCTGGCGACACTCCGACCGGTGCAGTTGATCGGGGGAGAGCAGACACTTTTTGCGGTGACAGCTGACGGGAAGGTAAGGCCCTGGCGGAGAGGCAGCGTGGCACTGGGCACTGAGGAGCCGGTCCTGAGGCGGGTCTTGGGACGAGAGCTCTGGGAGGAGGGGCTTCCACTCAAGCAGCCTTGCGCTCCTCGTGCCCGCTTCCATTTTATACTCCTCATGGCTAACTCAGGCATTCTGCAATGCTTGGCAGGTTGTGGGGCTGGTAGGTGTGTGCTTTGGCTTTGTCTTTTTTTGTCTTTTTGGGTCAAAACCAGTGATGCTCAGAGCTTACTCCTGTTTCTGCACTCAGAAATTACTCCTGGTGGTGCTTGAAGGACCGTATGGGCTGTCGGGGACTGAACCCAGATCGGCCGTGTGCAAGGCAAACACCCTCCCCACTGTACTTTCACTCCAGCCCCAGCGTGTGCTATTTCTGTTTGCTCACTTTTGAGAAATGCTGCTGCCTTGTAGAAATAGTTGATACTTATTTGTTTATTTTGGGCCACACCGGCAGTGCTCAGGGTTTCCCCCTGGCTCTGCACTCAGGATCACGCCCAGCGGGTTGGGAGGACCCTATGGGATGCTGGAGATTGAACGCCGGTTGGCTGCTGTGCCCTCCCCAGTGTGCTGTCTCTCCAGCTCCTGCACATGGGCTCTTATCTGGTGACCTGATTCTGCGTTTCCTTCAAACTTTGTAAATAGGAAATGCTTCCAGACAGGTGGTTTAAGGTTTTTGTCCTTTCTTTAGTGAGCCAGGATCTAGAAATGAATTTTTGTCCCTTCCTGCACTGAATTTTGAAATCTAATATATTTTGTGGGTTTGGGAGTCACACCCAGCAGGGCTCTGGGCTGACTCCTGGTTCTGTGTTCAGGGATCCCTCCTGGCAGGGGCTCAGGGGACTGTGTGGGACCAGGAACCTGGTCAGATGCTCTCTCCCGGCCTCCTGGACCCCTGCTCACAGCCCGTCCCTCCCGTCCAGCTTTCCTGCTTCGGTGTCTGGGTGTTCTGCTGTTACCCTCTGCGGGCACGCCTGCAGGCTTCTCTCGTGCCGGTGTCCTGAGCTCTTTCCTGCTGTGGGGCATTCTCTCTCTCTCTGTGTCCTGGGAAGTTTTTAAACCATTGGCTAACCACTCCCCTCGGAAGGTTTAAGCCTAGAAGCTCCCGGATGGGCTGGAGAAAGAGGGTAATAACTTTTCTGTGGGGCATCTGTGGATTTTGTCAGGCTTTGGTGTAGAAGGTACTTTGCTTTTCTTACTGTCATTCACGACTGGTATTCTAAAGAAAGAGGGAAATGCTTCCAAGAAGGCCTTGTTTTGGTGGGCGAGGGGCTGGCCACTCCCATCAGTGCTCATGAGCGGTTCTGAGCATGCTGGGGTGGGCGGGGACCGTCTTCGGTGCCGGAACTGGGACCAGCGTCTCCTGCTAGTGAGGCAGACACCCAGGAAGTTAGACTTTCCGATGACCCTGAACTTTGGTTTTGGTAAGACATGAGTCCCACCTGAGGCATTCCTGGGATTGCAGATGTCAGATTCCATCTCTCTGGGGCACGGCTGTTGAGCGCACGGATTGGCGTGCTCTGAGCCGCCCCTCCCTTCCCCCCAGCTCTACGCCACGGGCTATGGTGCCGGCGGCCGCCTGGGCATCGGCGGGACAGAGTCGGTGTCCACCCCGACGCTGCTTGAGTCCATCCAGCACGTGTTCATCAAGAAGGTGGCCGTGAACTCGGGCGGGAAGCACTGCCTGGCGCTGTCCTCGGAGGGCGAAGTCTACTCCTGGGGCGAGGCCGAGGACGGGAAGCTGGGGCACGGCAGCCGCAGGTACCAGGAGGACAGTGCCTGGGGGCGGTGGGGGGGCACATGTGGCTGGGGCACAGCATCTGCAGGTGCCGGGTGGGAGGGAGGAGGCAGCCGTAAGACAGACAAGCACTACGGAGAAGGTACAAGTGGCCCACCTCAAGTGGGGTCAGCTTAGGCTTGGCTCACACCCTGGAGGGCTCACTATTGCCTGTTTGCTTCTCACAATTCAGCCTGCGGGTTCAAGTCTCCCAGTCAGTTTTCATAGTGGCTGTCTGAGGGGTCAGAGAGACAGGACAGTGGATAGAGCATTTGCCTTGCACGGGTTCGATCCCGAGCACCCCATATGCTCCCCCGAGCACCGCTAGGAGTCATTCCTGAGTGCAGAGCCAGGAGTCACACCTGAACATCACCAGGTGTGACCCCAAAATGGAGAAAGTAAATAAAGTGACCGGCTGAGTGGGTCTAGCTGGGCAAGCAATGGGGTCAGGATTCAGGGGTCAGCTTCCTTCTCTGTGACCTGAGTCAGGTCTAGGTTTGGACCTCATGGTCTGCCCTGCTCATGTTTGCTGGTCAAAGTTGCGTCCTTGGAAAGACGCTGTTTGGGCATCGAAAAGAAAAGATAGTGTCGGCCAATCTCAGCTCACTGGTCTCCCCAACATGGGGCATGTTCTCAGTTGAGCCCTCAGTCTCCTGCCGGGCTGGGGGCAGTGTGCGGGGGCGGGGGGGCAGGATTTGGGAACCCTCGGAGTGAGATCCAGTGGGCCTTGGCTGCTGTCAGGCAGTGTGACGGCGGGAGCCTGAGTGCCATACCAGGGCTGGGAGCAGGACCAGCTGGTGTCAGCACTTGGGCCGTGCTGCAGCCGGCCAGTGTCTACTCTCTTTGGTGTATCTGTCTTACAGCCCATGTGACCGCCCTCGGGTCATTGAGTCTCTGCGCGGCATCGAGGTGGTGGACGTGGCAGCCGGCGGGGCCCACAGCGCCTGTGTCACTGCGGCTGGGGACCTGTACACGTGGGGCAAAGGCCGCTATGGCCGCCTGGGCCACAGCGACAGTGAGGACCAGCTGAAGCCCAAGCTGGTGAGCCCAGGGCTGGGGGTGGGAGAAGCAGCGCCGAGAAGTGCCTGAAGGACCTGGTCACTGGCTACGATGGTGTCCTGTGTCAGTGCAGGCTCCTCTCTCTGCCAGGACACATGTCTCGGTGGCCCCGGATCCAGGCTGGGGCCCTGGTGACCCCAGTGCTGTGGCGCCTGAGCACTGAGACTTCAGGCCCATACAGCTAGACCAGGCGTGGCCAGCAGTGGCCCCAGGACCCTCCTGAGCACCATTTGGGAGGTTCCATCCCCCCTACAAAGTCCTGTGGACTGTGTGTGGCATGGGTGGCCGGAACTGTGAATTTGGGTCCATTCTGGAGCTCACAGATGCAGTCATTCACACCCTCGGGTGTCCAGGCCCCTTCCAAGTGCCCCCAGGAAGGCCCGCAGCTCTGATAGACCTTTCTCTGCCACTGGCTAGCTCCTGGTACCCTTCTTTCCGCAGGTGGAGGCCCTGCAGGGCCACCGCGTGGTCGACGTGGCCTGTGGTAGTGGTGATGCCCAGACCCTGTGTCTCACGGATGACGACACCGTCTGGTCCTGGGGAGACGGGGACTACGGCAAGCTGGGCAGAGGGGGCAGTGACGGCTGCAAAGTGCCCATGAAGGTACGGACACGGCTGTAGTCTCTGGGTCCCAGGTCTCTGCAGGCGCGCCTAGATGTCCAGTTGCCTCAGGAGTGGGTGGCCATTCTGATCCACACCATGGCTGTGGCTCCCCCGAGTGGCAGAGCTCTGGCCGTGGCCGGTGAGGGAAGTCTGGGCCCCAGGTCCCTCCGTGAACGTCTGGCACACTGGGTCCTCCTCCCTGCAGATCGACTCTCTGACGGGCCTCGGCGTGGTCAAGGTGGAGTGCGGCTCCCAGTTCTCCGTGGCCCTCACCAAGTCCGGCGCTGTCTATACCTGGTATGTGGCCACGCCCCCACGCCTGCCCCACGCAGCCTGTGTCCCTGCGCCTTGACGTGGGGTTCGTGTCCTCCCGGCAGGGGCAAGGGTGACTACCACCGGCTGGGCCATGGCTCCGATGACCATGTCAGGAGGCCGCGGCAGGTACAGGGGCTGCAGGGGAAGAAGGTGGTTGCCATCGCCACGGGCTCGCTGCACTGCGTGTGCTGCTCCGAGGACGGTGAGGCCCGGCGGCTCTGGCGGGGTGGGGGGGGGGGGAGGGCGCCGGATGCTCAGAGCAGAGTCTGGGCCCTGACAACTGCCCCTCGGCCACGTCTGGAGCGAGGACACTGTCCCTCCGTTCAGCGTGTGCGCCCTTGGGCAGGAGGCCCAGCTGCAGGCTGCACCGTGAACCTGGGGTCTGCACCCGTCCATACAGGGGAAGTGTACACGTGGGGTGACAATGACGAGGGGCAGCTGGGGGACGGCACAACCAATGCCATCCAGAGGCCACGGCTGGTGGCTGCCCTCCAGGGGAAGAAGGTCAACCGCGTGGCCTGCGGCTCCGCCCACACCCTCGCCTGGTCCACCAGCAAGCCTGCCAGTGCCGGGAAGCTCCCCACCCAGGTGGGTCGGTCCTGCTGGGCTGAGGGTGGGGGAGCCTGTTCCCCTTTGGGAAGACCCTACAGATCCTTCAGATTTTGGGTTTTCTCCTGCTGGTCCACGCACGTGTCCACGAGCCCAAGTTTGACCCCCGCCCTGTAGCCTTGGGGACCCTGAGCGCGTCCCCAGCCGGGCCTGGTGACTTCCACGGGGAGATGCCCTGTGGGCGTGGGTCCTGCAGAAGGTGTCCAGCCCCACATCCATGCTCTGAGCCACGTCCCCCATGCTGGGCCCAGGCATGTTGCCCTCAGACGGCCAGCGGAAGAACTGAGCGTTCAGCCCCTGCTGCCTTCCCTGGGGTCGGGCCCGGCGGGTGACCAGAGCCTACCTGACCCCGCGGCCTTGCAGGTGCCCATGGAGTACAACCACCTGCAAGAGATCCCCGTGATGGCGCTGCGAAACCGCCTGCTGCTGCTGCACCACATCTCCGAGCTCTTCTGCCCCTGCATCCCCATGTTTGACCTGGAGGGCGCGCTGGGCGAGGCGGGGCTGGGGCCCTCCGTGGGCCTGGACACACTGCGGGGCCTCCTCATCTCCCAGGGAAAGGTGCCGGCCCCCAGCGGGATTATTTGGGGGCCACACCCGGTGGTGCTCAGGGCTGAGTCCTGGCTCTGTGCTCAGGGATCACGCCTGGCAGGGTTCGGGGGGCCTTACGGGGTGCCGGGGGTCGCACCCGGGTCCGCTGCGTATAAGGCAGGTGCCCTCCCCCCTGAACGATCACTCTGGCCCGTGTTTGCGTCCCTGTGCCCCCCAGTGATGGGTGCAGAGCTCATTCTGTGCGTTGCCTCACCTGTGCCCAGGCGGGAAGGGGAGATGCCCCGTGTGTTGGGTCATCAGTGCCCTGAGCTGTGTCCCCCTGCGTCGCAGCGGGAGGCCCCTCCTGGCGCGGGAAAGAGATCGAATCCCCGTGGGTCACACCTGTCTCTGTCTCAGGAGGCTGCGTTCCGGAAGGTGGTGCAGGCCACCATGGTGCGGGAGCGCCAGCATGGCCCCGTGGTGGAGCTGAACCGCATCCAGGTGAGGCTCCTCCGGCCCGCCCGTTGTCCCACCACTGCTGCCTGTCTGCATGCACGTGTGTGTTTGTGCATGTGTGTGATTGTGTGTGTGCGCGCGCGGGTCTGTGTGTGTGCCTGTGAGTTGGTGTTTATGCCTGTGCTTGTCTGTGTGCACGTGTGTGTGTATGTTTGTATGCCTGTTCATATGATTTTCTGTGCTTATCTGCATGTCTCAGCATGTATGTGCATGTATGCATGTGTGTACATGTGTGGTTTTCTGTGCATGTGTGTGAATGTGTGCGCATGACTGTATGAGTGCGTCTGTCTATATTTTTGTGCTTGTCTGTGTCTGTGTTCCCATGTGTGCTGCCTAAACTGGTCCCCTGTGCGCCACAGGTACCACTGCTCTGCCATGACGGAGCATCCCTGCTGCTCCTCCTACCCCCCATCCCCACACCGCCACTTTTCTCTAAGTCCCTTTCCTCTGCTGGGGCTAGTCAGGCCGCCTTGTGGCCTCGAAAGGGTTACTTCAAAGCACGTTCTCCTGTGCTCAGCTGAGCAGGCAGGAGCCTGGGGGCTGCTCCCAGCCCTTATCTGCAGCTTTCTTTGTACAGCAGGAGTTGCAATGTAGGGAAGGTGGGCGCTGCTGTGTGTGTGGGGGGGGGAGGAGGAGGGGGCGTGGGCGTTGCTGTGAGGGGAGGGAGGTGCTGCCGGGGTCCCGCGACTGGGACTTGCGGACGCCGAGGAAGTTCCCTGGGGCTCTGACTCTGACCTTCACGCAGGGAGAACAGGTCTTTGTTCCCGCCCAGCTGATGCTGGCGGCCTGGCACCCGCTCCCACGTGGGCCGTCCGGGCACAGGGCAGCTTTCATTCCCTGCCCGGGAGTGTGGCTTGGGGTCAGGCCGCGTGGCTAGCTCCTCAGCACAGTGGGTGACCCCGCTTCCTGTGTTTCACGGTTCCTGCACCCTGCACTCTGCATGGTCATCGTCACCGAGCTGTTCTCGGCTGCTGGGTCCTGCTCTGCTGCTCTGTGAGGGGTATAGTCATGGTCCCACCTGGACCCCGAGTGTGCGGGCTCTGTTGCCCCTTGAACAGGACCCAGCCGCGGGCCTTGTCTGAGTGGGCAGGACGCCTGGGACCAGGCCACGGTGGGGTGTGGTTTGTCCAGGTGCCCGAGGAGGCCTCACTCTGCTACATCTGAACCTCGAGGCTGCCCTATGCTCCTCAGCCTGAGGAAATGCTGCCAGTGGGGGTCAGGCAGGCACGCTCAGGCCCTGATGTGCCTCCACCCTCCCTCCCGTCCCCCTGCCACACCAGGTCAAACGCTCCCGGAGCAAAGGCGGCCTGGCGGGCCCTGATGGGACCAAGTCCGTATTTGGGCAGATGTGCGCCAAGATGAGCTCCTTCAGCCCTGACAGCCTCCTCCTGCCACACCGAGTCTGGAAGGTCAAGTTTGTGGGTGAGTGTCGGCCGGTGCAGGCTGGAGAGCTGCAGGTCATCCTCCCGACAGTGGCACTGAGCCTCTGCCCCCCTCCAGGGGAGTCTGTGGACGACTGTGGTGGTGGCTACAGCGAGTCCATCGCTGAGATCTGCGAGGAGCTGCAGAATGGACTCACGCCGCTGCTCATCGTCACGCCCAACGGCAGGGACGAGTCGGGGGCCAACCGCGACTGCTACCTGCTGAGCCCTGCAGCACGTGCACCCGTGCACACGGCCATGTTCCGCTTCCTGGGTGTGTCCTGGGGGCTGCCCCCGAGTTGGACCCCACCCCCACCCCATGTCCCCCTGGGGGCCCCAGCACTGCTATCCCTGGGCCAAGCCTCAGGCTGAGTCCCCTCTGGGGAGCTGGGTGGGGGGTGAGGTGTTCAAAGACCTGAGTGTCCTGCAGGTGTCCTCCTGGGCATCGCCATCCGCACCGGGAGCCCCCTGAGCCTCAGCCTGGCCGAGCCTGTGTGGAAGCAGCTGGCGGGGATGAGCCTCACCATCGCAGACCTCAGCGAGGTCAGTGCTGCCCAGTGCCTAGGACACAGCTGCCCTTCCCGCTGTCCCGGGCTGCTGACTGCCCCGTTCGTCCCACTGTCCCAGATGCTGACCGCCCCGTCCACCCGCTATCCCGGGATGCTGACCTCCCTGTCCGTCTCGCTGTCCTGGGCTGCTGACCTCTCCCTCTGTTCCGCTGTCCCAGGCTGCTGACTGTGGACCACTGCTAGTAGCACAGACATCCTGGCCTTATGGCCACTTGCTTCTGAAACGTGGTTTACTTTGTGCCTTGACCACACACTCAGAATCCCCCTTCTCCTGTGATGGAGGGCCAGGCTGTGTGGACATGGGACCACGGGGTGGCCACCACCTGTGGAACCTGACTTGAGTGTCAGTTCTTTCTCCTGGCTCGTCTCCCGGCATGTGCCCATGGCCTCTGCTCGCCGTGGCTGGGCCTCTGGGTGGGCCCTGGGACGGGAGCAGGGACTCAGCCCGTGACCTCCCCTTACCCCTTGGAAGGTGGACAAAGATTTCATCCCTGGGCTCATGTACATCCGTGACAACGAGGCCACGTCGGAGGAGTTTGAGGCCATGAGCCTGCCCTTCACAGTGCCAAGCGCCAGCGGCCAGGACATCCAGCTCAGCTCTAAGTACACGCACATCACCCTGGACAACCGCGCTGAGTATGTGCGACTGGCCATCAACTACAGGTGCGTGGCCGGGACGGGCCCGGTGTGGGCGCAGAGCCGGGGTGGGTGTGGGGCTGAGTGGGCCAGGGGTCAGCGCCGCATCTGGGGGCCGTGGTGGGTCCCAGCCCTGCCTGAGCGCTGTCCACACTCTTTGCCTCTCTGGTCCCTGCCATGTGCCGTGGGCCACTGCAGAAGCTCTGCCCAGCGTGACCCTTGCTTGCTGGGCCTTGGTAGCCTGGGTGCCCTGCCCCAGGCCATCACACTCCCCCGGCCGCTCCTCGGGGCCCTGCATGGAGCAGCTGCCTCACGCCCTTGCCGTGTGTCCCTTGAGCTCAGCCCCGCCCGGTGCCCAGTGACCACATGGCCTTTCTTCCAGACTCCACGAGTTCGACGAGCAGGTGGCCGCTGTCCGCGAGGGGATGGCCCGCGTGGTGCCTGTGCCCCTCCTCTCACTCTTCACGGGATATGAGCTGGAGACCATGGTACGCCCGCCCCAGGGTCCTGGCTCCCTTCCGTCCCGCGGCCCCACCCATGCAGGGCTGGGCCTGACGCTGTGTCCCGCAGGTGTGCGGCAGCCCCGACATCCCCCTGCACCTGCTCAAGTCCGTGGCCACGTACAAGGGCATCGAGCCGTCGGCGCCCCTGGTGCAGTGGTTCTGGGAGGCCATGGAGTCCTTCTGCAGCACTGAGCGCTCGCTCTTCCTCCGCTTCGTGTGGGGCCGCACGCGACTGCCCAGGACCATCGCCGACTTCCGGGGCCGCGACTTCGTCATCCAGGTGATGGGGGCTTGGCCGTCTTCCGGGGACGGCACTGCGGGGATGACCCTAGTGGCCCCTCCACTGCATGGTCCAGGCATAGCCCGGCCTGGGGTCCCACAACTAACACCCCTGGGGACCCCTGCCCCTCCCCCTGCCTTGTCCCTCAGCCCTGCCCCATCCGTTGTCCTGTCCCTGTCCTGTCCCTGCCCTGCCCCCTGCCCTGTCCCCCACGCACTCCCTGTGATGCTGTTTGTGTCATGTTCATTGAGCTTCTTGCTCTGAGCACTCGCACGCACGTGCTCACACATGTATGCGCTCACATGCACACACATGTGCACACGTTTGAGTTTCCAGGTGGACCATAGGTTGCTGTAGAGGGCACTGGCCATTCAGACTGGGCAGGAGTTTACTCTGAGCTCTGATGTCAGCCCAGGTGTGTCCTTACCAGCAGTGGGCAGTGGGCCCAGTGCCTGCTGCCTGCCCCCCGTCCTGTGCAGAGGACCACTGTCCCTGCGTGTGCTGCCCGGCCCCTGTCACCGGGCCCTGGGGGTATACGTTCTTTTGTTGACTGAGCCCCGGTTCCCCCAGGGCTCCCACCAACGCCCTAGTGGTTCCATCTGTTGGGGGGGTCGCTGGGCGCAGTGAGCGTGGCCATGCTGGCCGGCCGACTCGCATCTCCTCAGCGGCCCTGAGACCCTCTGCCCAGGGCTGAGTCGGAACGTGACCCGAGTGCGGGCGTGGCCGGGAAGGCGGGTCCCCTCAGGCCTGCCGTCCTCGCGTGGCCCCTGACGCTCGGCCCTGGGTCTGCAGGTGCTGGATAAGTACAACCCTCCTGACCACTTCCTCCCCGAATCCTACACCTGCTTCTTCCTGCTGAAGCTGCCCAGATACTCCTGCAAGCAGGTGCTGGAGGAGAAGCTCAAGTACGCCATCCACTTCTGCAAGTCCATCGACACCGACGACTACGCCCGCATAGCCCTCACGGGGGCGCCCGCCGCCGACGACAGCAGCGAGGACTCGGAGAACGAGGACGTGGACTCATTCGCCTCCGACTCCACACAGGACTACCTGACGGGGCACTGAGGGTGCGGGCACAGCATGGATTCTGGAGACTGGGGGCCTCATCTCCCTATCCTGCTGCCTCTGTGCCCCGGCGTGTAAATGTCCCTGTAAATAGACGGCGGCCCCCCACGTTGGACATGAAGCCTTTTTACTCTGGGTGCACTACACAGCCCCTCCTTTTTATTTCGAGTGTTTGCATCGTCTTGACTGTACATTGGACACACCGTGTAACAATTAAATCGTATTATAAATATTTCCATTAATTTTGCTCTGACTTTGTTTATTAAACATTTTTTGGACATGAAATGATCAGTATTAACTCAGATGCATCAGAGGTTATCGAACCAGGCCAACAAGAAGGCGCGGGGCTGCTGCTGGCGATGGGGACGTGTCCCCAGCGGGGCCACCTGTCTGAGCGTCGTCTCTGCTGTCATGGCCCGGGACCTCTGTCTAATGTCCGTGTCGCGTGTATGCCGACATCTGATTCCCTATGAATAAAATGTCTGTCAGAGACTTGTTGGCTGCATTTTCTTAGCCAGCCTTGCTGGCAGTGGAAGTGGGGCCCAGCCCGAGGCCCTGCTGGTGTGAGCTGCCGGGTCCACGAGCGGTTGTGCATGTGTGGGATTGGCTCTCGCACCCCTCGAGGTCCAGGTCGGGGGTGAGCCGGGCTGCATCTGGGGCTGCCTCCATCCCAGACACCCTTCACTTGGAACTACAGTGTGGGAACAGCTCCCGTTTCTCTGGGAACTCGCCCTGGACTCAGAGGAAGCCCACGTGAGCGTCTTTGACCCACCTTCGTTCCCTTAGTCTACGGGTCTATTTAGGGTTTAGTTTGTATGTTTTATTGTTTTTTGGTTTTGGGACCGAACTGGTGTTGCATAGGGCTCACTCCTAGCAAGCTCGGGACCATAATGAGCCTGGGGATGGAACCAAGGTCGAGTGGATGCAGGGCCAGCGTCTTAATCTCTATACTGTCAAACCTGTGGAGGTTTGTTGTAACCAACCCTGTGATAGTGACCCAGAATTGGTGGGCGGAAGCCGCATCCATCTCACCTGCACGTGCCATCAGGAGTGGCTCATCGTGGCTGGGAGTGAGGGGCCCACATGTGTCCCTTCTGACAGGAAGAGCTGGGGAGTGGCAGGCAGTATGCCACAGTGCAGACCTGCTCCTTCCGTGGCCAGAGCCGGCCACATGGTAGCCCCTTATTGAAGTGGCAGCTGCATTCTGCCACCAGTGCGGCAAATGGTTCTGTGTCTTGTTTGAGGCCCCACATGGGTCTGTGTTCCCCTTTGCAGCTTGTGCTCTGCAGGAGATGAGATTCTGTCAGTCTGTTTCCTCCCGGCCAGCAGCATCTGCAGAAACAGGAATGACGGTCCAGTTGTCTCTCGAGAAGAGATTGATAAAAACGTCTCTTTTCATGGAAGGTCTTTAGAAAATGACTTCTGAAAAGCACCTGCCATAGAGGCAGGCAGGGGGTGGGGGTGGGGGGTGATGGGAGGGAGCCTGGGGACACTGGTGCTGGGAAATGTACACTGGTGGAGGGACGGGTGTTGGAACACTGTATGACTGAAATCCGATCAAGAGCAGCTTGTAAGGGTCCATCTCAGTGATTCAATAAAAGTTTTTTAAAAAATGACTTCTGAAAACAAAGCGCCGACCCTTCCTTAAGCAAGAAATATTCAAGTATTTGAAGTGGCATGACTGAATGCTCACCTTTACCCCATGTCCAAACACCTTCCAGGTTGAGACCATCCCTGCGAGCACTCTGCTGAGTCCGCTCGGTTCTGCTCAGTTCCACCCCCTTCCCACGATAGGCTCAAATTATTTATCATTCTTCAAGAACGGTTCAGAATGACATCTACAACTCTCTCCCCGGAACTGACTTCACGTCTCCCACTCAGCACCTCCCAGAGCCAACGTGGAGAAAGCAGAAAGTTCCCATGAAGCAGCTCGCAGGCTGTGAGAGGGAGGGTGCGAGGAGCCTGGAGGGCCACCGCGTGTCTGCTTCCCACACTCCTCAGTCGCCGCAGACTTCTTTCGGCGAAACGTTGGTGCTTTATTTATTTGGTTTCTGGGCCACACATGGCAGTGCTCAGGTGGTGCTCCTGGCTCTGCCTCAGGGGTCACTCCCCGGCAGGGCTCAGGGGACCAAATGGGTTGCTGGGGGTTGTAGCTGGGTTGTTCGCATGCCTTAGGTTCCCCAGTGTCACTCCAGCCCACCTTGGGTGTTTAGCCTGGTGATACTGGAGGATTGCCGGTTTCCTTCCCTCACCTTCTCTAAACCAACTCCATGCTCAAAAAAGGAAGGCAGACTCTGATTTTCATACGAAGTTCATTTTTGCCCAAGATCATCTCTGTGACAGCTCAGGACTACCCTGGTTTTCTTCTTTGCAGAAAGGTGAGAAGTTGGGTCCAAGAGCCCGGTCCTGCATGGCACAGCTCTCTCGGGGTCCAAGACGGGGCACCTGCTTACACTTCTCATTTCTTGGGTCCCTTTTCTGCCGACAAACCTCACTTGGTGTGTGTGGGTGTCTGGGATTGAGCTTGGGTCCCGTGCCAAGGAGGTGGGCTCTTGACCCCCCAGTCCCGACTTTGCTCTTGTTCAATCATGCCAAACTTAAGCTCTAGTAGGGGGTGGCACAGGGGGTGACGTGTGCAGAACCAGCGGTGCAGAAGGTCCACCCTGCTGCACATCCCTGCACTAAAATCTTTGCTCATGTGTTCAGTTGGGATGAGCTCCTCCTAGGGGGGAGCCTCACAGCTGTGCCAGTTAGTGTGGGGGAGCAGGTGTGCGTATCTGATGTGTGCAGGACGGGTGGGGTGTTCGTGTCTGCTGTGTACGGAGTGGGTAGTGTGTGTGGCATTGGTGTGCAGTGGTGATGTGGAGCGGGTGTGCATGCGTGATGCGTGTGGAGCAGGTGTGCATGCGTGATGCGTGTGGAGCGGGTGTGCATGCGTGATGCGTGTGGAGCGGTTGTGCATGCGTGAGGTGTTGGAGAGGGTGCCAGGCAGAAGCCCCTCACACTTGCAGCTCCCCGCCCCCCTGCTCGCAGCCCTTGTCTTGCTGCGCAGGTTTTTGTTTTATAGGTTGATTTGGTGCTCTGGGGATCGGATGCTGGGGTGGAGTAGTGGGGGGGGGGGGGCGGGATTTGTGTGCACAGCCAGCATCGGCCCGTGTCTCTCAGCCCCGGAACTGGGGACAAGTGCAGAGCTGGGATCCATCCTGCCCACCAGCCCGGGGAAGGGCAGACCAGAAGCAGGCTGCAAACCAAGACCATAAGGTGCAGCCTGGGAAGCTGCTTCCGAGTGACGAGTGCACGTGGAGAGGAGAGTCCAGTCAGCATGAACACCGCCTGCCTGCAACTATGCGGCCACTGGCTTCTGGGGTTGCTAACTGGGAAACATGGGGTTAACTAGAAATCTGGGAACACAGAGCGTCCTAAGCCTGTGCACGTGCAAACCCACAGACTGGCCAGCTGGGAGCAGTGGATGAGAAGGCAGGACTCTGAGGCCACGGCTTTTGGAAATGTCAAAAGCATCGCATGAAATCCCCCTTGAGTAGCTCTGAACTAAGGCAGCGGTGCGGAGAGACAGCCTTAGCTCTGCTCCTAGGGCCACTGGCATTTGCTCTGACCGACTCAGGCTTGACCCTCACGAGCTCATTTTGATTTGGGGGGCCTTAGGGGACCGCTGGATGAAAGTGACTGGATGGATATGACCGAGGTCATTGGGATGGTGGGGGTGGGGGGATGTGAGTTCTGGAAGCACTGCCCAACATGCCTGCATTCAGGGACTCAAGGATGTCATTCTGGGGCCAGAGCAACAGGATGGCTGGGTAGGGTCCTCTCTGGTGCCACGTGCGGTTCCCTGAGCCCCTCTAGGAGAGATCCCTGAGCACAGAACCAGGAGTGAGCCCAGAGCACAATGGCCAGGAGTGAGCCTCAAGCACAGAGTCAGGAGTGAGTCCCGAGCACAGTGCTGGGAGTGGCCCTGAGCACAGATCCGGGAGTGAGCCCTGAGTCCCATCATTGTCACATGGATGACCTCAGGCTGTTCACTGGTGCCGGCACTGGTCCAGGTGTGAGTGTGTGTGGGCCATGGGCAGCTCTGAGGCCAGGAGTCTCACAGTGCTCCACTTCAGGGACTGGTTTTAGGGAACCGGCTCCTGGGATGGCAGAAGGGTTTCCAGCGTGCCCTGGATTCCCCTCCTGGGCAGTGTTGGGAGGCCACAGAGGCCACCGCAGGCCTGAGCATGCACACGCGTGCATGTGCGTGCATGCATGTGCATGTATGAACACATGAGTATCTGAGCATGCATGCATGTGCAACCGTTGTATATGCACATGTGTGCATGCATGTGAGCATGTCTAAGCATGTGAATATGTGTATGAGCATGCATATCTAAGTGTAGATATGAGAGCATGTGACTGCTCAGGTGAAGTTATGTGCATGTCAGTGTGTCGTTAACATGTGTGCGTGTCTTTGAAGGTACATGCAAGAATGTGGTTGTACATGTGAATGTGTGAATGCATGTGAGTATGAGCGTATGTGTACATGTCTAGGAGTGTTATGCATGTATGTGAATGTGCATGTGCATGTATGATTCTGTGTGCCTGTTTAAATTTGTGTTTTATATGTGCATTGCTGTGTGAGTGGGTCTATGACTCTGTAAATTTGTATGTGTGAGTGTGTCTGTGTGCGTCTATGTGTGTGTGGGGGGGCATGTCTGTGTGAGATTGTCTGCGAGTCTGGGGGTGTCTGTGTGTCAAGTGGTGTGTGAATGTGGGGGTATCTGTGAATCTGTGAATGCGGGGGTGTCTGAGTGTGAGTCTGTGTTGAGGTGTCTATGAGCCTGTGGGTATGGGGGTGCCTGTGAGTGTGTGGAGTGTGTGGGGTTGTCTGTGAGTGTGGGGGTGTCATGTGCGTGTGTGGGTGTCTCTGAGTCTGTGAGTGTGGGGTGCTGTGAGCATGGGGCTGTCTGAATGTGGGGGCGTCTGAGTGTGAGGGTATCTGCAAGTGTGGGGGCGTCTGAGAGTGGGGGTGTCTGTGAGTGTGAGACGTGAGTGTGGGAGTGTCTGTGAGTGTGGGGTGTGGGGGTGCCTGTGAGTCTGAGGTGGGTGGGGTTGTCTGTGAGTCTGGGGATGTCTGTGAGTCTGTGTGTGTTGTGTCCGTGAGTCTGTCCGGGTGTGACTGGGCTGCCTCTGTCAGGCCGCAGGTGTTCCTGGGACAGCTCCCGGGAGGAAGGGACAGGAGCGCCCAGCTGGCTCTCAGGAGATGGACCCCCAGGCAGGGTTCGCCAGTCCCTGCAGCTCTGGGCCCTCTGCCAGGAGGGCTGGGCCAGGCGGGGACTGGCCGGCCGAGGGGTCCGGCTGCTGGGTGCGGAGCCGGTGCGGGATGGGCAGGGGCAGGGCCGGGGCGGGGCGTCGGAGGGCGTGACCAGCCCGGCCCTGCAGGGCCCCGCCTCCCTCGGGCGCCAGTTCCCACCCCGGTCCACTGGGTCCAGCAGGTGAGTTGTGGTGCCAGGTCGTGGAGGTCCCGGGGGGCGGGGGTCCCGGGGGGGTAGAGAGAGCCCACCTGTGCGGGCTGTACCCCCGAGGCTGGGGGGTCGCAGAGCCGCGGGGTGGGCCGGGGCCTGAGGGAAGCAGGCTAGGGGGGTCGTGGGGGGCGGGGAGCAGACTAGGGGGGTTCTGGAGGGGGTGGCTGGGGGCGGGGGGAGCCGGCTAGGGAGTTGTTGGGGGCAGGAAGCGGGCTGGGGGTCGTTGCGGGCGGGGAACAAGGCTGGGGGTCGCTAGGGGCGGGGAGAGGGGCCGAGGGAGGGGAGAGGGGCTGGGGGCGGGGAGTGGGCCGGGGCGGGGCTGGGGGGGTCGCTGTGGGCAGGATAGCAGGCTGGGGGTCGCTGGGGGCAGGGAGAGGGGCTGGAGGCGGGGAGTGGCCGGGTGTCTCTGGGAGCAGGAGAGCTGTCTGGGGGGGGGGTCGCTGGGGCGGGGCTCGGGGGTCGTTGGGGGCGTTGAGAGGGGATGGAGGGTCGCTGGGGGCGGGGGAGCGAGCGGGGCGGAGATCTGGGGGGTCCATGGGGGCGGGGGAGCGGGGCGGGGGTCGCTGGGGGGCGGGGCTGGGGATTGCTGGCGAGGGGGAGCGACGATTTTGGCGCACTGCCCAAGGAATGCGGGGATGAGGACATTGGGCGTGGGGGGTTGCGGGAGGGGTGCGGAGGCTGGGGGGCTGGGGGTGCTGGGTGCTCGGCAGAGGATGGGGCCGAGGAGGGTCGTAGGCTCTCTTCCGGGTCGGGGTGCCCTTGGGTTCACAGGCGGGGGCCGAGGTAGGGGAGCCCCCAGGGGAGTGACTTCAGGGGACCTGGCAGCCCCCAGGGCGGTGACCAGGTTGGACTCCCCAGACCGCGGGCATCAGCCCTGGCGGTACTCGGGGGACCCTCTGGGCTGCGGAGGTCAAGCCTGGAGGTCAAGGCTGGCGGTGCGGCCGGCCGGCTGTACTGTCTCTTGTCCCGGTCAGTTGACCCTTTCATCATTAAATATTATTTCTCTGGAAGTTTTCTTTGCTCTGTATCTTTCGTTCATCATTTATTGCAGCCTTTTAATAACAAACAACACCAATGCCAACCACTCGGAGCTCTGCGCCCTTTCTACCACTTTTTATCCTCACACAGCCTTAGCTTTGCTGTCCATTTCTGCCGATTTATTGATCACATCTTGCCTGCTCATCCCTCTTCTACTCCATGTTGTACACACGGTGAGATCGTCCAGTATGTGGCCCTGTCCTTCTGACTTTAGACTTGCACCATCCGCTTCAGTCTCTCCCATTTCACTGCAGATGGCCACGTTTCATGTTTTTTTTTAGTTGCTGACTAATATTCCGTGCTACAGTCTCTGTGCTTGGGACTGCTGTCACGGTGCAAAACTGTGCCCCTCCTTCCCATCATGCCAGGCTGCCTCTCCGTCCCCCCATCCCACACCATCTTGACCCTTCTCATAGCTGGGTTGCCATAGCTGGGGCACTGTGAACAGTGATGCAGTGAGCACGAGGCTGCGAGCCCCTTTTTGAGTGAGTATTTTCCTATTATTTGGAATAGGGAACCCCAACGTGGATTTGCTGCATCATTTGGTAGCAATGTTTGGGATTTTTTGGAGGCCCCTTCTCATTGCTGTTACAAGCAGCTGCACGGACTTAGAGCTGCACCACCATCAGTGTCCAGATGTTTCCTCTGTACCCTCTGGTCCCCCTAAACATCACTTCTTGGTGCCAGCACAGCCCAGGAACAGTGTAGAGACTCTGGGAAATACCCCAGCACATCAGGGCCGTTTCCATACCCTTGACACTTCCTAATGCCGACAAGCAAAGAGCAGTGCTTCATGGCCTTTTCTGCTCTGCACATACCAGGGTTTCCCTTATGAGCGCTCTGCGGATGTGTTGTAGGTAGAAGCCAGTGTCCCCCTCTGGGACGCGCCATCTCCTGTGTGTCATCAGGGCATCCGGACCCGGGAAGGGTTGTCTTTGAGTCCTCGGCATTGGGAATCCCCGTGTGCCAACAGTCCCCTGGCTTGTGTCTCGTGACAGTGGCTTCCTCCTGGGCCCCTGGAGTGTGAAGCGAGCACAGATGCACGTGGAGAGCAGAGATGGTGGGCCTGCCCCCTCCAGGCTGGCCATGGACCTGCTCCAGACTGCTGCCCCTCACGCGGGACCCCGGTTGCAGCTCTCTGGGGGCAGTGTGGACAGGCCGAGCAGCTGGGGCACTGTGGCCCAGGACCTGGACTTGCTTCTCACAGAGCAAAGGTGAGTTCATGCCGGCTTCCCTGGGCCACATTGCTATAAACACAAGGTTCAGGTCTTTTTGTTTGTTTGTTTGGGGCTACATCTGGCAGTGTTCAGGGCTGACTCCTAGCTCTGTGCTCCAGGTTCACTCCTGGCAGTGTTCTAAGGATCATATGTAGTTCCAGGGAAAGAACCTGGCTGGGCTGTGTGCCAGGCATGTCCCTTACCTGCTGCACTGTCTCGTCAGCCCATTTGTGTTTTCTTTCTTTCTTTCTTTCTTTCTTTCTTTCTTTCTTTCTTTCTCTCTTACTTTCTCTTTCTTTCCTTTTTTTTTTTTTTGCTTTTTGGGTCACACCCAGAGATGCATAGGGATTACTCCTGGCTCATACACTCAGGAATCAATCCTGGCGGTGCTCGGGAGACCATATGGGATACAGGGAATCGAACCCGGGTCGGCCATGTGCAAGGCAAACGTTCTACCCGCTGTGCTATCACTCCAGCCCCCCTCCCCCCCGTTTGTGTTTTCTTGAGCTCATCTGTGGGCATTGTTTCTCTATCCTCTGGGTACTTACGTGCAGATACAGCCATCTGCCACCTGCCAGCCAAGAGCTGAAGAGCCTAAGTGCCCGCCCGCCCCTGGGAAGCAGACAGCTGTGGCCTGCAGTGCGGGACTTTTTAACTCTTTTCTGCCCCCAAACCCCTTTGTGCAGGAGAATTTCAATTTTTTGACGGAGGCGCTGTGATCGACAGCGTTCTTCACAGTAGTGTCAGGCATATAGTGTTCCAACATCATTCCCGAACACCAATGTCCACTTCCCTCCCGGGGTGTCCCCAGGTTCCCTCCACCAGACCCTGCCCAGCCTGACAGTCTTGTCTAAGTTTGGTCGTTGTCATAGTTCCACTCTCTTTTACCTATGATAACACCCTGTCAGACCTTTCAAATAAAATCAACTGAGATGAAGAGAAGGAAAACAGTAGTTTAAAGGTGCCTGGGGCCCGGACTGCTGAGCGCATGCTGATCTAGCTGTTACCTGGTAGGAGGAATTCATAGTTCACACCTTTGGAAGGACAGGAAATGAAAACAATTGTTGATTACAGTTAGATTTTGGGGTCCCAGGGTTGTGACTCAGGGGAGCTCCCTGCCTTGCAAATGTGAGGTTGCAGGTTTAATCCAGACCTGCCCCACAGGTGCGTGTGGAGTGGGAAATCTCTGTGAACAGGTGTGTGTGTGTGTGTGTGTGTGTGTGTCTGGGATGTGGGGTCTCTGAGCTCCGTGAATAGGTGTAGTGGGGGCAGGAATGTGGGGTCTCTGGGCTCCATGAACAGGTGTGTGGGGGGCTGGGATGTGGGCATGTTTGGGCTCCATGAACAGGTGTATACAATTCTCGAGTGATGCAGCAGCAACTACAAAGGGAGAAAAAAATGAAAACAAACATGAATTCCTTTGTGACTAATATGCTAATTTGTGGGGAGTGGGGGTTGCACCCAGCAGTGCTCAGGAGCTATTCCCCAGTGCTCAGGAGCAACCCCTGATGATGCTCAGGGAACCTTTTGTGTTCAGACTGGAGTCAGCATCACACCAGGCAAGTGTCCCAGCCCCGCAGGTGCCTTCTCTGGGTCATTGAGAGATGGGAATTAAAAACCACGCCAACAGTGGCTTACGCCCCTTTGCTTCCGGGACGCGGCAGACTCTGGAGCAGAGTTCGGCCGCCCTCTCCACACTAGGCCGGGTGCCTTGGTCTCTGCCACTTCCTCTGGCTGCTCACGCTGTGGAGGACAGGTCTTCAGTCACCCAGGAGCCAGCCAGTAATGGGTCGAGGTGCCAGCACGTTGTTCTCGTCTACCTTTCTCCTGAACTCTGTGGGATATGGCGGGAGTAGTTTGACCTAGCCTCAACTCTCATGTTATGGGTGCATGCTTGAATGAAAAGGAGAGAGCAGGGATGAGGGGGCGCGGATTTTTTTTCCTTCAAAATTCCTCTTTTTGGCTCTCTTTAGTAGTTGAATCGCTGTTATTTTCCCAGGCATTTCACGATAGCCGCGACGGTTATCTGTGTGCCCTGGGTGTTCTCGGAAAGGAGTATCTAAAGCGATGGGTTTCCCAACAGACTGAAAGCGAAACGCTTTCCTCGGCTTTCCCTGGAAATCAGTGGCCTTGAGTGGTCACGTGTCCTTTGATGTGCGTGAGCGTGTGTGCGAGCACCAGGCTCTGCAGTGCCGTGTGAGGATTCGCTTCTCAGATGGTCGGATGTGGTTAAACTCAGGGCAATAACTCCAGTGGACAGGCCAGCACAGTGCAACCATTTCTTTCTGGGCCCTGGGGCTAGGGGGCGCGTTTCCTGACCTGGTTTCACTCGATCCCATTAGTGCTGGCTTCTGTTTGGTCTCCGCAGGAAGTGGGTCGCTTGCTGGCTGCAGCTGCTGGTCTCCAAAGCCCTTTGGGGGGTTGTTGACGGTGCCCTGCAACCATGTGATGCTGGGAAGGACTGAGGGTGCAACTGCGTCTCTGGCCCCCGTTAGGATGACTTGAATGCCTGGCATTTCAACATGTCATCTCAGGAAATGGAATTTTCTGAGTAGAAAAGGACCCATCAGATTCTAAACTGGTTTCTTGTTTTATTTTTTATTTTTCAGTTTTTGGGCCATACCTGACTGTGCTCAGGACTTACTCCTGGCTCTGCACTCAGGGATCACTCCTGACGGGGCTTGGGCAACCATATGGGGTGCCGGGAATTGAACCTGGGTTTGCTATGTGCAAGGCAAATGCCTCTAAGGGTGTTTCTTTCCTTTTTTTTAAAATGAAAATTATTTTTATTTAGCACCCTATAGCTATTTCCCTCATCACAGTATTTGCAGAATATTGTAAATTAATAGATCAAATGGTTTCCATTTATTTAGTATTTCCCTAATAAGTTAGATATTTAGAATATTTCCTACATTCTATAAACAGGTTTCTGATGAAAATGTGGTCTGGAGTGAAGGGGCAACTGGAACTGATTCATTCTGTAGCATTTGATTTTATTTTGCCTTTTGTTTTTTGGGCCACACACAGCAGTGCTCAGAGCTTACTCCTGGCTCTGTGCTCTGTACTCAGGGATCACTCCCGGCGGGTCTCAGGGGACCTTATATAGTGCCTGGGATCTAACCCAGGACGGCATCAGGCAAGGCAAGTACCCTACTTGCTGTATTATCACTCCAGCCAGTCTGATTTTCTTCGGGAGTTTCTGCTTTGCATTTCCAATCTGGTCTGTGCTGGAGGGAAGAGACATTTCTAATGACTTCTTTCTCTCTCTCTCTCTCTTTCTCTCTCTCTCTTTTTTTTTTTTTGAGGCCATACCCAGCGTTGCTCATGGTTATTCCTGACTCTCTATTCAGGAATTACTCCTGGCAGTGCTCAGGGGGCCATATGGGGTGCTGGGGATCGAACCTGGGTCGGCTGTGTACAAGGCAAACTTCTTCCCTGCTGTGTTATGGCTCCAGCCCCATAATCTCTCTTAAAACTCCTGTTTGTACCAATTCAGTTAGAAACTTAGTCAAATTCCCATTTTACCCCTGACTCTTGGGTTGGTCTTAGCGCTTCTAGGCACAGGCTGACATGTGCATCCTTCTCTGACCTGTAACCCTCTTCCTCCATATACTTTTCAGGGGTCACTCTCCTTTCCCCCAGTTCTTCGTCTCGGCACCGACAGACCCCTGCCTCACAGAAAACATCCCTTTGCTGAGGGATTCCCTGCAAGAGAAAAGGTGAGTCCCCCCCCACCCCCAACTTCTTATACGTTAGAGAAATTTCTTTTTTCTTTCTTGGTGTTTGGGCCACATCCAGCGGTGCTCAGGGATCACTCCTGGCAGGGCTGGGGCACCCTGGGCTTTGGGGTTGAACAGGGTCAGCCACATATACGGCAAGCGTCCTACCCATTGTATTATCTCTCCAGTGCCTCGAGGAATTTCTGAGCATTGCCTTTGGAATTTAAAATTCCTTCCACGGGGTCAGAGTGTGGTTTGGCAGTAGGCCTTTCGTGTATGTGGCCATGAGCTCTGAACAAATGGGCTTTCATGTAGAATTTCTTCCTTGCTGTGGATTTTTACCCAAGATGTGTGGTGCCTGCCAGATATGTATCAGTTCAAGAAAATGTTCGTGATTCTAGAGATGGTTTTCTGTGGCGTCAGTGTCCAGTTCAGCTGGGAGCAGCCCCGTGGTGATTGGCCAGCATGTGGACAGCACACAGCTTCCCCTACTGGGCTGTCCCATCAGGGCCCAGGGCGGCACTATCTGTGGGCTTGTTTCTGTTGCCGCATGTCTGGGTGGGGTGCTGGTAGCCCTGTTTACAGGGTAGGGGCCAGTCGAAATGCTAGATGATCTGTGATAACACAGGACAGGCCCACAACAAAGGATGGTCTGGTTCAGACATTTGGAAACGTGTGTGTGTTCCCTCCCTCCCTCCCTCCCTCCCTCCCTCCCTCCCTCCCTCCCTCCCTCTCCCTCTCTCTCTACCCCCTCTCCCTCTTGTCTTTCCCTCTCTCTTTCTTTCTCTTTTTCTCTCCACCCCCCCCTCCCCACCTCTCTTTCTCCCTTCTTTCTGGCTTGATTTATCACAGGGTTGCAATACTGTAGAATTCTAGGGCTAACCTATAACACCTCTATATGAGAACAACACTCTCTGGACCCACCTCCAAAGCACCAGGGCCATCTCACCACCAAAAAGACTCCTCTTGGAGTTTCTTTTCTTCTCCTCATGGGTTTCTTTTCGTCTGTTTTTGGGCCACACCTGGCGGTGCTCAGGCCTTTCTCCTGGCTCTGCGCTCAGGGATCCCTCCTGGCAGAAGCCGGGAGACTCTCTGGGGTGCCTCACAGAAAACACCCTTTGGTGTTGGGGATTGAACTCAGATCAGCCATGTACAAGGCAACTATCCTACCGCTGTGTGATCACTCTGGCCCTAGTATTTTCACTGAAGCTAGGAGTTAGGCAAAACCGGAGGGTTTAAACAAACACTGCACTGCAAGTGTGAAGGTCCTTTTGGGGTATAGCCGGGTGGTCCTGAAGGCCCGAGTGGGGGCAACTTGCGGACGTCCCCTCTTCCCCTCTTAGGAGCCCGAGGGCCTTCTGCCCACTGTTGCTGGGAGCTGGTCAGCAGGCAGGCTGCCCCTCCCCTGCACTAGAATCCCCCAGAAGTGGGGTGGGTGCTTATATGCCGTGGGGGTCCTCATCTCACCTCCAGACTCAGGTTCCAGGCACTGGATAAGGAGTCAGGATGCCAATTAGGAAGGGCCCGACTTCCTCCAGAACATTCTGATGACCAGCGGTGTCTTTGCAAACGGGCCCTCCCCCCTCTCTGGCTCTCTAGGAAAGGGGCGTTTGCTCCGGGTGGCTCCTGCCAGGGCTGCTTCGCTCCCTCTGCTCCAACAGGGCTCCGGCTCCTGCTTCCTCCTTCCATAGGCTGCATCTTCTGTTTCTTCCCACCAGTATGGAGAAGGCAAAGGCTCGCTGTGCCTTTGTGCTCGTCTTTGAAGTACCTGGTAGCATGCTCACTGGGAAACAGATGCGTTAGTGTTGGTCTTCAACATGTGGGTTGTAGGGGCGGGTCTGAGAGCCTGAGTTGAATCTTGTATCGGAAAGGGAGTGGCAGGGGGTGGAAGTGATAGTATAGCAGGTCGGAGCTGCCATGCACAGCTGACCTGGGTTTAATCCCCGGCATCCTGTATGGTGCCCCGAGCCCTTCCAGGAGTGATTCTCGAGCCTCTCAGCACAGAGCCAGGAGTAAGCACCGAGTTCTGCCAGGTGTTGACCAAAAAAAAGGGGTCTAGTTTGTTTACAAAATTTTCCCCTTTCCCTTCCGAACCCAACTGAGGTAAGAGTGGCTCAAAGGTCCCTGGATGCTTTTGTTTTTTGCCAACTCATTTTTTTTCTTTTTGGTGATGCACAGGGGCTACTCCTGGCTTATGCACTCAGGAATTACTCCAGGTGGTGCTCGGGGGACCATATGGGATGCTGGGAATTGAACCCGGGTCAGCCGTGTGCAAGGCAAACACCCTACCCGCTGTGCTATCGCTCCAGCCCCACCAACTCTTTTTTTTTTTTGTTGTGGTTTTAGATGGCATAGTAGGATAACACTTATTCAGTATTTCTCAGAGGGTGACAGGGTGCTGGGGTGGGAAGATGCAGCTAATGACACATGACCTGCCTTTGCCAGCGTGGTGATCAGGGTCCCCGTGGAATTCAGGTAAGTTTCTGGTCACATCAAGTGGCCACTGAATGCCTATGGCTCCCTTATTGGCAGGGCAGAGAACACTCCTGCTGTGATCAGAAGCCAGTTTTCTCTGAAGCACCACTATTAGCTCTGCTCTTTCTGTTTATAAGAGAAGCTTCTTTAGTTCCAATTGTAGCTACATTCTGCCTGTTACATTCCGTCTGTTACATTCTGTCTGTGCAGCAGTTGAGGTGGTTACCATCTTACTCCTTACACATCTGAGCATTTCCCAGTCACCAACTTTTTTTTTAAGAAAAGATGATTTTGTAGAAGTTTTGTGCATGGTCAGCATCTTCGCCCTCTTGTCACATACTGATTTATTTCAGAGAGCCTGACCTGCTCTTTGGGGTTCTTCTTATGAAGAAAATGACGTTTCCACTCTGGGGACCCAGTTCTCAGACGATGCGGAAATTGTTCGAGACCATTCCAGTGCCTTGAGAGAGATGGCCTGGCTCACTCTCCAGGCCTGCGCTGCTGACCCCACAGTGCTGTGCTGACCGCAAGATTCTGTGCAGTGCGTGAGAACAACGGGCTCTGGTGTAACCTACTGGGATCATGTGCATTTATAGGGCAGGGATTGCCCGAGGTCCGAGGATTCAACACAGAGTCAAAGAATATGGCAATATTAAAGTTTCTGGAGTCCAGTTCCTGGACTCGTTCACACACACTGGTGCAGATGCTGTGGGGGAAGCAACAGCTCTGTCATGACGGCTCATGTCACCCACTCGTTTTCCAGGACAGGCATAACAAAGTAGGGTGCGAGAACTGCAGCATCACGAGGAGGTGACCCCTGAAGGAAGCTGGAGCTGGTGTGTGTGCAGGAGGGCCCTGCGGGGTCGGGACAGTCCTGCCCAACAGGCTTTGCACGCTGCTGAGTCATGCTGTTCATGATTATTATTTGGGTTGGGGTCACGCCTGGTGCCGCTCAGGGCTTCCTCCTGCCTCTGTGCTCGGAGATTGCTTCTGGCCGGGCTCTGGGGCCATATGCGGTTCTGAATCTGGGTCCTGCATGGGCAAGGCAAGATTGCATGGACTCAGACGCCTTTGCACCCTGCCCTCTCGCCCATAACTGGAGTCTTTAAACACCCAGATTGCTTCCTCCCTCCCAGCTCAGAATAAATCTTTGTCCAGCAGGTCCCAGAGCCTCCCCCTCTGCCACCCGGAGCTCGTAGCCGCTGCTGGTGACTCCTGGGAAACCTGTTCTGGGAAGGGCGAGCTTTTGCAGGGCGCGCACAGTGGATCACGGCGCTCCAAGCTGAGGTAGGAAGACTAATTATTTTTTAAAAATAGAATCACCCATGAAATACACAATTACAGTGTTGTTCTTGATTGGGTTTCAGACACACAATATTCCAGCCCTTCTCTTTACCAGTGTACATTTCTGGCCACCAAAGTCCCCAGTTTCCATCCCGACCCCCCACCCCCAAACCAGCCTGCCTCTATGGCAGATACCTCTCTCTCTCTCTTTCTCTCTCTCTCTCTCTTCCTCCCTCTCTCTCCCTAGCTCCTCTCTCTTTCCCTCCCTCTCTCTCCCTCTCTTCCTATCTCCTTCTCTCTCTTTCCCCCCTCTCTCCCTTTCTTCCTCCCTCTCTCCCTATCTCCTTCTCTCTCTTTCCCTCCCTCTCTCTCCCTCTCTTCCTCCCTCTCTTTTACTATCTCTCTCTCTCTTTCTCTCCCTCCCTCTCTCCCTCCCTCCCTCTCTCTCTCTTTCCCTCTCTTCCTCCCTCCCTTCCCCCTTTCCCCAACCCCCTTTTGGACATTGTGGTTTGCAAAACAGGTACTTAAAGGATGAGGTGGGCAACCTAACCCCATAACAACCTTCCTCGCGGATCTGCAGGGCCAGTACTGCCACCTGCCCGACACATCCTGCATGCACTGCGCATGAGTGAGGCTGGGCGCAGCCCCAGCTCGCCTGCGTCAGCCTGCTCCCACATATGTGCGTGGGCTACCTGGCCCTGTGGCTTCTGCTGGGCCTTTGGTTCTCTGCAAGGAAAGGACCAACTGGGAGCAACTGTGCCTGCCTGGCACCTCCAAGGAACGCAGGTGCAGGGAGGCTTGAACTTACAGGTCCCTGCTTTGGATTTGGCCCTTGGTTGTGGCCACATGACTGTCTTGGTGTGGCACATGGGCCCTTGTCAGTGGCCTTCTGGACAGTTGCACAGTACAAGGGTCTCCACCTGTTCCCTTTTCTCTGCAGGTCGAGGCCAGCGCCTCCTCCTCCTCCTCCTCCTCCTCTTCCTCCTCCTCCTCCTTCTGCTTCTTCCCTCTTCCTTTTTTCATTTTTGGCTCACATCCAGCGGTGCTCAGGACTTACTCTTGGCTATGAGCTGAGGAATCATATATGGTGGACTTGAGGGACCATATAGGGTGCTGTGGATTGAACTCCCAGTTGGCCATTTTCAAGGCAAGTGCCCTCCCTGCTGTCCCACTGCTCTGGCCCGGAGGGTGTATTCAGTGACCTGAGGGGCAGCCCTCATTGTCCTGGTCATCATCCCAGCAGGCCGTGGCGACCCTCCAGGGCTGCTTTGGCCATGGAGCTGCCCCAGCTGGTTGCGGAACATGCTTGGCTATAAAAGCATTTGTGTTCTGCGTGTGCACATGTGCAAGTGTGTATGTGTGTGTGTGCATGCACATATGCGAGTGTATGTGTGTGTGCATATGTGAGTGTGTGCATATGTGTGTGCAAGTGTGTGAGTGTGTATGTGTGCATATGTGAGTGTGCATGTGTGTGCTTGTGTGTGTGCGCATATGTGTGTTTTGTGTGCTTATGTGTGTGCTTGTGTGTGAGTGGTGTGTGAGAGTGTGTATGTGTATGAGTGTGTGCATGTGATGTGTGTGCTTCTGTGCGTGCTCGTGTGTGTGCTTGTGTGTGCATATGTGTGTGTTTGTGTATGCTTGTGTGTGGTGGTGTGAGAGTGTGTATGTGTATGAGTGTGTGCATATGTTTGTGTGCTTGAGTGTGTGTGAATGTGCATATGTGGTGTGTGCATATGTGTGAGTGCATGTGTGCAAGTGTATGTGTATATGTGATGTGTGAGTGTGTGTGCTTTTGTGTGTGCGTATGTGATGTGTGTGTACAAGTGGGAGTGTGCGTATGTGATGTGTGAATGTATGCGAGTGTGTGTGTGTGCGTGTGCAGGAATCTTGCATCCTGGCCACAAGAGTGACAAGCTGATCTTGTGGATGACCTTCCCAGGGTTGCCTGACAGCCACAGAGGCGGCTTCTGGTCGGCTCCACACCAGGCCAAGGCTCCAGGGCCTTGGGCAGTTCACATTCCAGGGCCTTCTCTTTCCTGCTGCAGGGCTGAATTTGTTTCCAAGCTCCATTCTTCCCATACTGGCGAGACAGGCCCCTGCCTGAGCCTTGTGAATGTGCTTTGGACGTCAGTCCTGGTATTTATGTCACTGGATTTGTATTGAGAACAGTTCGGCTAATGCCTTGTGCTCTAAAAGGAGTGTCATTTTGATTTCCACTTAAATGGGAGCCTGTTGAATTACAGTTTGGAAATGTGACATGATTATTCATAGCTTCACTCAATGTAAGACAATGCAAAATAAGGTTTCAGTGTTTTCAAAGGATTAAAAAGTTGTGTGTGGGTTTTCTAAATTGTGAGGAGCCGGGCGGAGCTGTGTTCAAGCTATGTTCTGCCGCTGAGTCACAGCCAAAGCACCCAGAGAGGTTTTGAGATCCTGACAGAGATTTCCCGTTTCCTTCCGATGCAGGTGAGGCAGAAGCAGTGGCGGGGGGGGGGGGGGGGGGGGCGAGGGGGGGGGGCTCTGGGTTCATTCACGATTTGCACATTCTTCAATATTTTCATTCTTGAAAATATTGAATAATAAAGACGCTCAGACTCCGAGTTCCAAAGGAGAAAAGTTTATTAGAATGTAGAAGAGAAAAGAAAAGGTGCTCCCCAAGGGGGAGGAACTTAGGAGAGGACTAAGTTAACTGTGGCTCTTTTTGTGAAATTTTTATAGGAAAATTGGGTGTTTGTGTGAGGAGGATGCCGGGAATCTACAGGGTGGTCTGGCCGGTTTATATTTCCGGGCATCTGCCTCGGGTATTGTCATTATCTTAGTCTTGTGATGCCTAGTTCTGGGACAGAAGAATATGAAATTGGGGAACCTCAAGAATGTTCAAGGTAGGGCCTTGGGGACTAGGTGTGGTCTGTCCATGGGGAGAAATGGAACTGTGGGCTCCCCTGTTGTTGGCAAGAGGAAATTAAGGCTTCCTCCTTCATTTCTATACACAAGCGTCCAGTGCGGAATGATCAGCACTGCTCCGAGCGGTGTGAGTACAGAGCCGGAACTTGCTGCTGAGTGACCCCGATGTGAGGGTCCTGCACAGAACTGGTGGGACCAGGGACCCAGAGGCCCAGAGGGGGCTGAGTCACGGCCTGCCTCAGCGTCAGGAGGACCCACTGGGGATTCTCTGACACAGCCAGTCACAGAGTGGCAGTTTTTCCCCCGAAGGACTTGGGTACACTGTGGCCAGTCTTTTGCATTTGCAGAGACATTCATCCTTCCAGAAAACTCAGGAGGAGAATGGAGAAACAACAGAGTCACAATCAGCCGTATTTCCCAGAAGCTGGAGCCCGGGGCTGTGCTCTCGACCTCACCTCGAGCAAACGTTTCTCACCCCTCTGCCTTCCTGTGGTGTTTCCTGAGGCCTCGGGAAAGAAGCTGGGAGCACTGGGGGAGGGAAGCAGACACTGGTGGTGGAATCGGTGATGAAATATTATATGCTTAAAACTCAGCTACTGGGGTGATAGCACAGTGGGGAGGGCGTTTACCCGGCTTTGATCCACAGCATCCCATATGGTCCCTCAAGCACCGCCAGGAGTAATTCCTGAGTGCAGAGCCAGGAGTAACCCTTGAGCATTGCTGGGTGTGACCGAAAAAGCAAATAAATAAATAAAGAAAGAACCCCAACTATATATAAAACAAATCCTCAACTACCAATAACTTTGTAAATCACGGCTCTTTAACAAATTGTAAAAAGAGAAAGAACCTGGGCACGGCGGCTGCTGCTGCAGGGGGAGCTGCCCCAGCCTCCTCCCGCCTGAGGCCACTGAGACACAAGTCCTCTCTCGCAGGTGCTGTGTGCAGCGGCTCCGGGTGGTCAGCTTATTTGTCTTCGTGGCTGCGTGCTCTGTAAGTATCTCTGGCCATGTTTCTGCCTAAGCGCAGTGCCTCAGGCTGGTTCAGGGGGTTGGAAGGATGTAGGGCTCATTCTCTGGAGGGCATGTGAGGGGCTGTGGAGTGGAAGACCGGCCTTGGGGTGCTCTTCTGTGCTCCTCCAAGGCCCTTTGACAGAAACCCTGGTGCCCTGTTGCTGCTCTGTCAGCCACTTGCTTGTCCCCTGGGTCACACTTTCCAATTTCAAGGGACTCAGCAAATTTTAGGTTAGAGATGGATCTGTGGTGGGCCTTGTACAGCCACCACAGTGGCCCCAGGGACAGCTGTGGTTCTCTGAGATGGGGGACCTGCACCCCACTGGGTCACTGTGATGGGTAGGGGTGAAGCTGGGTGTCTGTTCTTCTCTGTGGGCTGCTTGGGCCTGACAGCCATGCACACCAGAAAGGCTGCTAGGTCAGGACTCTGGGGCGATGCCAGGGTGCCCGCTGACACGCAGCAGACACTTGCTGCCTACTTCCAAACGAGCAGATGCATGCTATGGGTGATGCCTTTTGTCCAACACACCCGGGCATCAGGTTGCAAGTGGGTGTGTGCATGTGTGTGTGCGTGTGTTTACATGTGTGCCTGTTCATGTATATGTATGTGCATGTGTATGTGTATGTGTACATGTATATATACACATATATGTATATATATGTATATATATATGTGTATGTGTGCATGAACACCAAACACTGCTTGGTAGTCCTCCACACTGGAGAACAGGGGCACAAAACTGGTGTGTGAGACGCACAGAGATGGTAACTCTGGAGTCCCAGTTGCCTCTCAACTCCCTGCCCAGTCAGCGTCATTCTGAAACTGGCTGCTTCTCAGGGCCTGCTGGCTGTTCTGTGATGTACCCAGAACTTGGGTTGGTCAGTGTCCCCAGATCCCCAGAGAGCTGCGTCTCGCCTTCAGTCTCCTAGGACCCAGGTTTGGTCCTTACAGATGAGTCCAGGATGACAGCGGAGTTTGCTTTCACCATCTAGAAGCTGTCATGTCCTCACTGCTGGGTGTTCCCTGACATTTCGCAAACCTATACTATAGCCATGGAGTTGGCTCTTCCTTTCTCTCTTGACAAGGGGAAGCCATGTGCACCCACTGGGAAGGATTTTTTTTTTTGAGGCTCGGTAGTCAGTCCTTGACATTGGCAAACCACAGTGAGGCCTGTTTGATGTGCTTGTCTAGTGAATGGAAATCAAGTCAGCATCGAGTAGGGCTGCTTAGGTGGACGTGAGGTACAGTGACAACCCTGCATTCGGTCCTTGTGTCCAGCGGTCCAGCTGCATCAGAATTGAAAGTGTATTCACTGCTCACACCTGACAGGAAATGTGTCTGGTTGTTACAGGTATTATTCAGCCTGTATCCAGATCAAGAGAAGTTCTGGGAGCTGGTGGCTGTGTCTCCAGTGGGGAGCTACTGTATCCAACACTGGGCACCGACCCGGAGCCGCTGCACACAGCACCTGCGAGAGAGGATGGGTGGTTTGGTGGCCTCAGGTGGGAGAAGGTTGGGGCAGCTCCTGCGCAGCCTTGCCCAGATTCTTTCTCTTTTTAAAATTTGGTTAAAAACCATTATTTACTAGCACCCCATCGCAGGCCCTCCTCGGTTATTCACGACCCAGAGAAATGGAACAGCTATCAGCCACTAGCACTGCACCTTCATCACATCACGTGTTACCTCTAGCACCTCACCGCCTTCACCCCCATCAGCTCACCTCTATCACCTCATCTGTCAACTCACCTGTCACAACTAGCACCTCATCTTCATCACCTCACCCTTATAACCTCACCTCTGTTACCTCACTGCTGTCTCCTCACCATTGGCTCACTTGACGAGCACCGGTAGGACTGTGGTGGGTGGCAATGGGGAGTTGGAGATGGCATGTGGGATGAGGACAGGCTTTCCTGGGGCTCCTGGGCTCTAGTCAGTGCAGCTTCCAGCTTCTGCTTTGGCCCGGTGGCCCGGGCACTTCGCTGGTGGTTCCCACCTAGCCCACCTTCCCACTTGCTTGCCTTCCATCTTCACAGCGCCAAGAGCACGAGCTCTGTTGTCCCCTTTTAAAATTGAACCTGGTTGGTTCAGCATTGGCTGCTGCGACTGCCTAACCAGGTGGATGCTTCCTGCCTCAGCGTGTCTGAGCCTCACCTCATCTTCATCACCTCATCTGTTACTTCATCACTGTCACCTCACCACTGTTGCTATATCGCCTCAATTGTCCATTCACCACTAGCACCTCACCTTCATCACCTTCCCTGTTACCACTAGCACCTCTTCTCCTTCACCTCACCCTTATCAGTTCACCTCTATCACCTCATCTGTCACCTCACCACTAGTACCTCATCTTCATCCCTCACCTGTCACAACTAGCCCCTCATATCCATCACTTCACCCCTGTCACCTCACTGCTGTCTCCTCACCACTGGCTCCTCACCTTCATCACTTCACCTCTGTCACTTCACCTCTGTCACCTCACCACTAGCATTTCACCTTCATCAACTCACCTGTCACCACTAGCACCTCATCTTCATCACTTCACCCCATCACTTCACCTCTGTTACCTCCCTGCTGTCTCCTCACTGTCCAGTGGGGACTTTGTGTCAGAGATGTTTCTCCACGCGAGGGGCTGAAGAGCCTATAACTTCCATCCTCATTCTCTTGACTTTGGAGTAGAAAAGCACCAAGTTCCTTCTACTTCTCATCCTGACTCTGCTCCCGGCTGCCACCGGGTGTGGCCTGGGAACTGTGGGGTTCACTGGGGAGCCCTAACCACCTTGTCTAGAGAGAGCTTCACGAGACCCAGATAGGGCCAGGGTGTGCCCGGACGGGAGTCGCTGTGAGTAGCCAACCAGTTGTTCTGGGTCCATCCCTCCAAGAATTTTCCGTTGGCAGTGCCCCAAGTAAGCAGAAGAGTGGGGGTGTCAGGAGCAGGGGGGCTCCTGCAGGTCGTTTGTGGGGGGTGGATAGCGCGCTGAAAGGAATGCTGCATAGCGGTGTGTGGGGGGGTATGAAAGCCACGGGGAGGCTGGTAGGATGAGTTGTTGGTGCCAGTCAGTGGGCTCAGGAGGGCACAACAGTGAGGTGCAGCACAGAGCAGAGTAGGACATGGGTGGGAAGTCACCGTGAAGCAACCTCAGGACTGACCCCCATCCTGCTTCCGGGCTGGGCAGTGTGTGTGGGGGTGTGTGTGGGGGAAACTTGAGGACACTTGGAGAACGACAGGCTCTGGGTAGGGCTTGCCAGAGCTTACTGCAGCAGGAAGCCCAGCCCGGTGCTGCGAGCCCCTCAGCGCCCCTTCCTCAGGGAATGCACAGATTCCCAAGGGGTTCCTGCCTATTTCCGGAAGCTCCAGGGAGCCCGTGCAGGGCTGGGGCTTCAGGCAGGTGGCAGGACATCAGCAGCAGGCCTGAGACAGGAAGGCAGAGGTGCCCTCAGCAGTGTCTGCGCCCCCCACTGTTCAGGTGTGCTCTTGGGAGCCGCGCCTTCAGCCCTGCCAGGAACATTCCACCAGGAAAAGCCGCTGCTCTTCCCAGGTCAGCCTCCAGGTGGTGCTGTTTTACCTCCTAGGTTCTGCAGTTCTGCGCCCGAGCTTAAATTGTCTCTGACTCACACATATGACAGGCGTGCTTGTGGGTCCCTGCAGTGCTGGGCCTCTCCGAGGGGGTCGGGACAGGGAGTGGCCATGCAGTTCGCCCGCAGTGCCTGGCGCGGCAGCCAGAGAGACGTGCTGCACGTGATAAGGAGCAGATCAGGGAAATGCATTTGCCGCATTTGTGAGCTGTGCTCCAGTTCAGGTGCTGGGCTCTGCAAAGCTGTTCATATCCATGTGCCCAGCACACCCCCCAGAGAGCCGGCCTCTCTGTCCACCTGTATCTGGGGCCCCTTCCCCCCACTTAGCAAACTCAGCTCTTAGAAGGACGCCTGGGGCCGCCTTTGGCTGTAGTTTATTCCGTTTCTGAGTCTCTTGATTCACCACATAGGCCAGATCATCCACGGTCAGGATGTGTCTAAAATGTAAAACCTCCCTCCCTTCCCCTCCCCTCTGCTGCTTTTCCCTCCCCTCTGTTGTTGGGCGATTCCCGGGGGTCCCTCATCCTCAGCACAGAGCCCCTGGGGGGTGGCAGCAGTGGCAGAGCCCTCGGCATGGACCACACAGCCTCCTGCCTCGAGCGGGTGGAACCATCCTGGACCCCTGCATGCACCTGTCATGGTCCCGTCCCGGGGGAGTGCTAGTGGGGGCAGGTGTCAGAAAACATGCCCTCCCGCCCGCCCTCCGGCTCTGTCTTTCTCCTTGACTTGCTCCCAGCTGTCAACCTCAGCGGCCACAGAGACACAGCACTGCTGCAGGTGGCCCTGGATGGAGCCCTGGTGGCCGGGGGGTCCTCGAGGGATGAGCACGTGGTGGTGGAGGTGACTTGGAGCGACGCTCCTGGCTCCCGGCGGCGACAGCCCCAGCAGGTGAGACTTGGAAATTCTTTGAAGGGACCAGTCAAATCTTGTTTCATCTCACGGAAATCAAGTCCCTGCCTGAAAGGCTGGGCGGATGTGGAGTCAGCCTCCACTTCCACCCTCTGCTTTGTCTCTGAAACCTCTTCCCTTTCTCCCTGTCCGCGAGCCAGTGGCTGTCTCAGTAGGATCAGGCTGGTGAGCCTTTGCATTTACTTTGTTGATTCTGGGAGCCATGCGTAGGAGTCAGTGCCTCGGGACTCCCTCCCCCCCCCACTTTTCTTCTGCACCTCAGAGGGTGCGCATACGTCTCTCCCTGCATGCTTGATGGATTCTCGTTCTCAGGCTCTTCCCAGGGGCAGAGGGGGCTCTGAGCTTTACCACCCTCGTCCCCTCTTCTTTTGGGGGCGGGGGTTTGAGCCATACCTGACAGTGCCTGGGGACTATTCCTGCCTCTGTCCTTGGGACCCCCTTTAGGTGGAACCTAGGGCGGCCTCATGCAAGGCCAGCACCCTCCCTGCTCCGGCCCTGCTCTCTGCTCTCCTTTCTTAGCCAAACAGATTAGCCAGGAGAGAGAAACCCACATTCCACACGGTGTTTCAGGCTTGGCGCTCACCCCAAGTTTGTCCTTTGCACCTCTCAGGCCTCCCGCAACTGGACGGTGTTCGTGAACCCGAGGGGAAGTGAGCGTGCTGTGCTGAGCAGGAACTTCGACGTGCTGAGCCGGTGCGTGCTTGGGGCCCTGAGCAGTGGGATTCAGAGGCGGGGCGTGAAGCATCCTGGCGGTGGGCTTCGTTTTCAGTGTAGAGGAGAAGGCGGCCCAGGAAGAGTCGTGACATCAGAGCTGTCCGTGGATGCAGGCGGTGCTGACTCGTCTCCCTGTCGCGTGTGACTAGGGGAGCAGACGCGTACACAGCTCTAGCTGGGAACAGAAATGACACAGCTGAGAGAAGTGTCCGGGCGGGCAGGCGGCCAGGGAGGATGCGTGGCATGAGGGCCTGGTAGGGGACAGGCACCCTAGGAGGGAGAACTGGACATGTGGCCTTGAAGAGTGGGGGGAAAGGGCTTTCGGGGTTCAGGTGTGCACATATTGAAAGCAGGCCTGGAGGGCCCAAGGCGGGGGGTCAGTTGGGAGGCGGCTCCCACCTGTCAGGCCCCTGAGAGCTCCTGGGTTTGAAGAAACATGACTGGGCAAAGCTCTTCCGACTTTGGGGGGCTTCCAAGCATGCTCAGGACTCCTGGGGGCCGTTCCTAGCGGTCCTCGTGAGGTCCCGAGGATACGGCAGTGTCCCCCAAGCCCTCATTGTTGACTCTTTGGTTGCCTAAGAAGCATGTCACTGAGGCCGGTCCTATAGGAAGCTGGCTGTGCTCCCAGTGTCGTCCCGGAGCTGTGGATGGGGACGAGGGAATGTGTGGATGGCTCTTCCCCTGCGTCTATAAGAACAGTGCTCAGGAGTCCGTCTGCGCTGATGTTTGAGTTTGTTTGGGCTGCTGGTAGGAAGCAGGACAGAAGAAAGCAGGTGTGGGCCTGGATCCTTCCCGGGAGGCCCCGCACCTCCCCCTCAGCCGTGAGCCTGGGCCTCCTCCCGCTGACAGGGCTGGTCAGGTGGTATCTGGGACCTCATTCGAGCCTGCTGACCTCTCAAGATGCCTTATTTCCCATTGCATCTACTTCCAACCAGTGGGTTTCAAAACTGAAAGACAATTTATTGGGGCAGGAGAGATAGTGCCGTGGGGACGGTGCTTGCCTGCACACAGCTGACCCAGGCTTCATTTCTAGGACCCCACAGACTCCCCTGAGCACTGCCAAGAGTGATCCCTGAGTGCAGAACCAGGAGTCAGCCCTGAGTACCGCTGGGTGTGATCCAAAACCCAAAAATAAAGTTACATAAAATGATTTTAAAATGATTGTATCATAGTTTAGGTAACATGGGCATACTTGTTAATATTTGTGGAATATTAACAAGTAAATATTAACACTATTAAATATCCTGTACCTTTACCACCGCGGAAGTGCCCCCATCACCTCTGTTCCCCTTCTGCCCAGTCACGAGCCTCTACTGTGGAGTGACCAAGTCCAGCCAAGGCAACAGTTTGTCGCACTTCTGAGCTGTGGGCTGTGCTCTTCTGCACCCCCAGACCACTCTTCGTTTGCAGACAAATCAGGCTCCTCACATTCTCGGTCACCAGCTGAGAGTCCTGCCATCCAGCTCCGTCTCTCCCCACTGTGAGCTGGTTTCAGTGCCAAGGATGCCCGGGACAGAGCCAGCTGGATCCTGGCTTCTGACCCATGGGTGAAACGGGGGTTCCCGGCCTCCTTCTTCTGGGTCAGCTGCCAGCACCCGACACTCGCCCACTCACCAGATGATGCTTGCATACACACAGGGTGGGGAAAAGGTGCTGCCAGATAACAAAGATCCCAATGGGTTACTGGGAGCTCTCATTGGCTTTATTAAATGGTTCCTGGTCTCCCCTGTGGAAGTGGAAGACGTAGGGGTGTGGGAGATAGTCCAGTGGGTTGGGCATTTGCCCTGTACATGGCCAACCCAGATTCAATCCCCAGCATCACATATGATGCCCAGAGCTTGCCAGGAGTAATTCCTGAGTGCCGAGTGAGGAATAAGCCCTGAGTATTTCAGGGTGTGGCCCCAAAACAAACGAAGCGGAGGGTGCTGTGGAAAGCCAGCCATGCATCTCAGTGCAGAGGAGCTCCTCATGCCAGTGGAGACCCTGAAACAGTACCTTTTGTTAGGTTCTGTTGGTGACCGGGGCTTTGAAACTTTGAGTCCCACCACCCTAGAACCATTCATGTGAATCGTGTGACTTTCAGTTTCACCCAGCCTGGACATCTGGGTTGGGGACGGTGGTGGGATCAGTCATCAGTCATCAGATCAGAATGATCCAATCATGGTTTTGTCATGAAGCTTCCATCAAAGGCCCGAGAGCTCGGGTTGGGGAGGCTGTCACCTCCTCCAGCTCTCCTCCCTCTTTCAGGGACACTGTTGCCATCAGCGTCCGAGCCTCCACCCAGCAGACCTCGGTGATTCCCCTGCTCATGGCCCACCAGTTCCTCCGCGCGAGCATCGAAGCCCAGGTGACCACGGCTGCTATCATCCTCGCTGGGGTTTATGTGCTGATCATATTTGAGGTAACTGTAATGTTTGTTCCACTTGATTCCTCTGGGCCCACAGTGAACGCTTACTCACTTCCTGGGTGCCTGGATGCGCCCAATCCTGTGGCTCCGTACATTGCTATAGTGTCAACCTGGGGTCAGAGAGACAGACCTGGGTGAAGGCACTTTCCTTGCGTGCAGCTGACCCTGGTTCCATCCCTGGCACCACCTATGGTTCCCCAGGGATGGCCTCTGAGGACAGAGCTAGAGGTAAGCCTGGAGCACAGCTGGATGTAAACCCTTCCCCCCGGCCCCCCAAATAACAACAACCAGGTGTCCCCTTGCCCACTGGGTAGAAAATGATTTGTACTAGAATATTTGCCAAGTCATGTTGGGAAGAGGAGCCTGGGGTCTGAGTGTCCGAGACAGGCCGAGATTGCTCAGTGGGATCAGTGGTGACCCCAGGACCTTTGCTGCAAATGGTATAAGATCTGCTACAAGGGCTTTGCCTGCCCTGTTACTCAAGTTGTGTTGTCAGTGAACTTTGTTTGGGGGTCACAGCTGGTATGTGACTGAACTTTGGGGTTACCCCTGGCTCGGTGCTGGAAGTGGCTCCTGGTGGTGCTCAGGGACCATGCCGTGCCAAGGACTGATCAGGGTGCCAGCATGCCAGCCTGCACTCGGCCCGTCCTGCTGTCTCCCAGCCTTTCTCCCCCGAGCCCCACCACCTCGTATTTATGAATGAGTCCTTCTGTGCAGGTGCACTTTCCCCGCCCAATGTCATTCATGAGACAGGGTTCCCGCCAAGAATGCAATTGAAAGTGATGAATTTAATAAATTCAAATGGGCTTTAATCAATTTGATCAGTCATTTCATCGTAATTAAGAAAACACAGGCCAGTGTCAGTTCATTCGCTATGATTTTATTCATTTTATTGTGGCGGTCCCTCGGGGCACTGCTCAGGCTGGATGAGCACTAACCCACACCCAGGGCTGAGAAGCCCTGTGAGACCCACCCGGGGCCTGGAGCATGCAGGCCCAGAGCTCTGCCACTCGAACCACGTTCCTGATCCGCCGATTTGTTTTTCAAAAGAATCCTTAGTCATTCAGGCATGTGTTCATTTTCTGTTTAACTCTGTATGATTGCACGTCCTTTGAAAATGACACGATTTGTGAAGGCTTATAATTAATACATTATTAATTAATGGCTGTTATTAATAGCCATTAAGGAAAAAAAGGCCTCACTCCCTCCCAGGAGCCACCCCGAGGCTAGGTAAGTCTTGTAAAGAGGCCACTTCCGCCCGGCAGCTATCATGTCCCTGGGCGATGAGATGCACTGGGCACCCCCAAAGCCTTGTGAGTAAGTCAGGTGACATGCTGTCCCCCTACCCCACTGACCCCTACTTTATGGTGCTTTAGCTGTTAAAGCTACGCCTTTGCTTGCAATGATAACAGATTTGTAGCAGCGGCAAAGACTCATGCAGAGACGCCCATTAGCCTTCCTGGCCCCTGAAGCTGACACATCACACAGCTCTGCTCAGGAAAGCGACATTGCCACAGTCCACAGAGCTGACTGAACCTTCAAAGGTCATAACGCACATGTGTATGTGTGTGTGTGTGTGTGTGTGTGTGCGTGCATGTGTGTCTGCTGGGGGGGACGGTGCAGCTTTAGCATGGTTATTTTGGGAGTGTTTTCTAAGCAGTGCTCAGGAGGCCTGGGAAGGGACTCCCAGCAGTGGCAGCACACCGGCTCAGGTGCCCAGGGCCCTGGGAACTGACCCCTCTAGGACTGCACCTGGCAGGATGGTGAGACCATCACCATAGTAACGACAGTGGCCCTGCAGCCTCGTGAGACCACCACCATATTTAAGACCTGGGCTGTGTGGTCACCACAGGCTTCCCTGACCCCTTCCTCACTGCCCCTTTTCCTCCTCCATCCTCATCGGTGCCGGCAGCTGCCCACCCTCTCTCCCCCTGGCCCTCACCCATGTTGTTGCACCAGTGTTTGCAGTAGAGGAGGAGGATGTTCCATTTCGAGCCTAACCTTTTTCACTCAGCTTCATCTTCTCGTGGCTCTCCCAGGTGGCTGCCCGTACCAGGGGAATTCATGCCCTTTTCATTGCTGACACTTGGTAGGGATGTGATTGCTTAAGCATCCTTCCTGTGAAGGATTATTTGGGGCTCTTAAAAATGAACACCAGTGCCCGTTCTCCACAACCAATGTTCCCAGTCTTCCTCCCATCACACACTGGTGGAGGGTACTCAATCATTGTATGACTGAAACGTAAGCACAGGAGTTTGTAAGTCTGTAACTGTACCTCATGGTGAGTCATTTAAAAATAAATAAATAAATAAAGTAAAAAAATTAACATTCTGAATAAAAAAATAAAAATGAATACCGCCACAGGCAAACTACTTACTTATTCATTTGTTTGTGGGTCACACCAAATGGTGCCTATGGGTCACTGGTCAGCTGGGCATGCTTTGGTGACCTTTCAGTACTGGGATTGAACTAGAGTGCAGGCAAGTGTCTTAACCCCTGCACTGTCTCTCTGACCCTAGCACAAGTGTTTTATTTTATTTGGTCTTGGGCCACACCTGGTGGTGCTCATCAAGGATCACTCCTCATGGTGCTCAGGGTACAATAAGGGATGCCAGAGATGGTCAACCACAAGCAAGGCAAATTACCTACCCATCATGCTATCGCTCCAGGCCTGCCACAAATATTTTAAAGGGTTTTTTTTTTTTTTACTTTTTGGGTCACACCTGGCGATGCACAGGGATTACTCCTGGCTCTGCACTCAGGAATTACTCCTGGCGGTGCACAGGGGACCATATGGGATGCTGGGAATTGAACTCAGGTCGGCCGTGTGCAAGGCAAACGCCCTACCCACTGTGCTATCTCTCCAGCCCCTTAAACGGTTTTAAGAAACATTTAGACTTTTTCTTTTAATGCTGATTTTGTTTTTAAAAATATATTCTACATATGTGGATTGCAATATTTTCTTTCAGTCAAGTTTATATATTTTCCTTTAACAAATGTATTTTGGGGTCAAGCAGAACTCTTTGTCTAAACCTATATTCAAAGTTCTTCCCATGTTCTTTCCTAAAAATTTGTGTTTAACTTTTCACATTTGAGTCCATGAACCATTGAATTAGTTTCTGTTTAAAGTGTGAGACGTAGGGGGACTTTCATGATTGACCTGTGGGTGTCTCTCTGCTCTGTGATATTTATCAACGCACAGACCCTGAAGAGACTTCTGTGTTCTCTGATCTGTTTAATTTATTCCTGTCCTCTCCTCCACCTGTGCTACATCATTGTCAAACTCACTTTCCTATTCTGTGGTCCTCTTCCTGTGATGCTTCAGAATCTGTGATGTGATACTTTAAATTGCCTTTCAACTTGTTAATATGAGTGTTTGTTTATTTTCCCTTTGATTTACTTGTACTTTACCATCATACAGATCATGTACAGAGTTTGTTAAATTTAGCCAAAGTATTTACTTTCCTTTGAAACAATCATAAGTGGTATTATGTCTTTAGTTTGGTTCCAGTTTTTCATTGTTTCCATGTATAAAGGCAATTCTGATTCTTGTTATGCTGATCTTGTATCATTGGTTGAACTTACTCATGTTTGGAGTTCTTTATTTTTTCTTGTAGATTCCTTGGGACTCTCTCTCTCTCTCTCTCTCTCTCTCTCTCTCTCTCTCGTTTCTTGGCGGCACCCAGCGGTGCTCAGGACTTACTTCTGGCTCTGCACTCAGGAATTACCCTGACTGTCTTTTTTGTTTTGTTTTGTTTTTTGGGTAACACCCAGCGTTGCACAAGGGTTACTCCTGGCTCATGCACTCAGGAATTACTCCTGGAGGTGCTCGGGGGACCATATGGGATGCTGGGAATCGAACCCAGGTTGGCTGCGTGCAAGGCAAATGCAATACCTGCTGTGCTATCTCTCCAGCCCTACCCTGACCCTCTTGAAGGGCCATATGGGGTGCCAGGGATAGAACCTTGGTCGGCTGTGTGTAGGCCAAGTGCTGAACCAGCTGTGCTGTCACTCCAACCCCACAGTTGGGGTTTTCTATATAGACAGTCATGTGACAGCAACAGTTGTACTTCTTTCTTAGTAATTTTCATGTCTTTAGTTTTCTTGCTTTATTGAAGTGGGTAAGACAAGAGAGGTAAAGGCCAGCCTTACCTGTCTCTGATCTTAAGGGGAAAGGCATCTGCTTTCACTGCAAGTGTGATGCACTTTATGAGACAAACATTACAGTTTTTTCCTTAGAATAGGGAGTTGTTTTTTTTTTAACCACAATTCAATGTGGACTTTTGGCGTAATTGTCAGTGACATAATTTTGTCAGTGACTTTTTGGGGTCTCATTTGTTTTTCTCAGTTACCTGTTTGATATGTGGTTTAAATTGCTGTGTATTGGCTATTCATGCATAACTCAAAATAAAGAACTGAGGGCTGGAGTGATAGTACAGTGGGTAGGGCATTTGCTTTGCACGTGGCCGACCCGGGTTTGATTCCCAGTATCCCATGTGGTCCCCCGAGCACCGCCAGGAGTAATTCCTGAGTGCAGAGCCAGGAGTAACCCCTGAGCATCGCTGGGTGTGACCCAAAAAGAAAAAAAAAAAGAAAAAAGAAAGAAATTTCTCTTTACTTCTTCTCATCCTCCTTTCTTTTTCTTCTTTCTGGCTTTCAGGCCTCAGCCAGCTGTGCTCTGAGATCACTCTGGCTCTGTGTTCAGGGCGCACTTTGAGCAGTGCTCAAGGAACCTCTGTGTGCTAGGATTAAGCAGGGTTGGCTGTGTGCGAGGTGAGCGCTGCGCTCCCCGTACTATCCGTCTTCCCCAATTCTCTGCCTTCTGCTGTCATTCTAAAGCAGGCAGCTTTCCTCCCAGGGGCTCTGTGGCTTTGCCATGTCGTGCTCTTGGTTTTGTTCTGTGTTTTCTAGAGATCCACTTGGACTCGGGGAGCATTTTTGTGCCTTAAAGAATTCCCGGGGGCTAGTGATTTTCTTGTCTTCGTGTTTGCTACTGAGTTATCGATCCTGAGTCAATATGACTTCTGAATTTTTTGTATTTGTTGAAAAAATATTTTCAGCATCCAGGTCTAATGCCCTGTCTTGATGAATGGGTTTAAAGTAGTGATTTTCCCCCAGGGTTTTGTTGTTGTGCTGCTGAAGTGCGTCACTTGCCCTTCGAGCATGTTCCCCACCTCTGTTCCTTCGGCCGCCTAGTTCCACTCGAGAGAAGCCTATGCTCTCTCGAACAGGTTCTTCTCCCCCTCTCTCCCCTCACAGCTTTGTAAAAAAGCTTCAGTAAAAATGATCTTGCTTTCAACCAAGCACTAAAGCGTGGTGAAAATCTCTACAGACTGCGGAATCATACCAGGAATTCACGTGGGAATGCTGACTGGACCCAGAAGACAGGCACTGCAGGTGTTTGAACCATGGTTTATTTGACTGTGTATTTCTGTCTTTAGTTTTCTTCAGTTTTCTCCCTGAGCACAGATCCAGGAGTGAGCTCAGAACACACTGGCTGAGGCCTAAAAACCAGAGAGAAGAAAAAGAAAGAGGAGGATGGGGAGGAGAAGGAGAGAGAGATTTCTTTTCTTTATTTTGATTATGCAAGAATAGCTAATATATAGCTTGACTCTTGAGCTTCTAGAACTTCCGCAGGGACTCCCCTCCCCTTGGGCCCCTGGGCTTTTTGGGGTAGCCACGAAGCATTCTTAGCTCCTCCCTAGGGGTGCAGTTGGCTTTGGAAAAGATCCCAGGGTTCTCTCAAGCTTGGGTCCGGTCGGAGCTGCTTCTCTGGTCCTGGTCTCCGCGTTCTCAACTGTGGCTCCATCCCTACCCAGGAGACTTAGGGACTCGGAGCCTGGGGGACCTTGCTTTCCCCTGCAACTCCCAGCAGCCAAACCCGCAAACAGTGAGGTTCCCCGGCCCCCCCCCCCCGGTGGGCACAGCACTTACATTTTGCAGTGGGTTTCTCCTGCGCTCACCGGCCTGAAGCTGGGTCCGGGCCCGGAGGACGTCCCTTGAGTGTCAGTGCCGGCCTCTCCGCCCAGTTTGAGTCTGAGCTTGCTTGTGTAGGCTGCTTGCTGAGGCATTTGAGCTGCTCCAGCCTGATGGCAAAATCAGTTAAGTTTCCCTTGTCTTTGTGGGGGGCCAAGGCAGGGTGGGATCATGTTTGCCTGTTCTCAGGGGGCTCCTCCCAGATCTGTGCTCAGGGCTACTCCCATCAGGCGGTGGGGGGAGGTGGGGCAGCACGTGGTCCATTTCGTGGTGCATTTAAAACTTTTTTTTTAATTTTCAAGGAGTTGTTTACAGCAATTGATTACATTCAATATTTCAGCACCAATCCCATCACCATTACACCTTCCCACTACCATTATTTCGAGTTTTCCCACCACCACCCAAGCCTACCCCAAAGGCAGATGCTAAATAATTTATTTTGTATTGCTTGTTATGAATAATTGACTAAAACTGATCAAAAAGGTTGCCTTAGAGGAAAGTGTAGGAAAACTGTTGTATCTCATCTTGGAGCCATTAAGCCCCTGTATGAGATATCACTAACATGTTGTTAGAGTTGGAGTCTTGTGTGCATATATATATATATATATATGTAGGTATTTATGTATCTATATGTACATATATAGGTATTTTATCAAGATTGGTTGTCTTCAACCTTACATCCCATCAAATGTGATGTGCTACCCTTGGTATATCAGTGGCATAATCAAATACTAAACTTTTTTCATAGGGTGCTAGACTTGGAGTTAAATTTTTTTCTTTTTAAACTAGATGGTGATCTTGGGATCCGGAGGCCTCTCTGCAGTGTGTTGCTCTCTTTCGAGATTCTTTTGTGTGCCTGGATCATGGCTGTTAATGTGTTTAAAAATGAAATTGTCAACTTTTGTAGGAGGATTTCTGGGAACAGAATCCCAGACATTTGCTTAGTGACTTCGAAGGAAACCTCAGTGTTTTCCTTGGTGACTGTGCCTTCCTGCCTCTGCCGGTGATGTCACTCGTCCCCACAGACTTTGCCTTTCTCCCTGGCCTATATGAGCCACGAGGGCTGGTGATACTCTGGTTATTCAGGGAGAACGGTGAGTCCACTCTGGACTGCTCAGCACTGTCCCCTTGATCTAATAATAGTCTCAGTATTTGGGCAGAATTGATTTCTCTTTGGGCGCCTACGGCCCGATGGCCTGGGGACTATATGGTAAATGACTAATGACTTAACTCCCATTTCTCAAGGACTCACTTGAGCCAGACTCCTCATTCTGTGGTGTGTGCTCCCTGTCCCAGGACACAGAGCAGTTGTCCTTAGAAGGTGTCTGGTATGGCTCGTGGGCCCCTGTGGTGTCTGTGCCTGAGACAGCAGAAGACTTGTCACTGTCAGTGGGTCCCTCACAGATGGCCGTTGCTGATTGGCCAGAGGGTCTTTCACAGATGGCTGCTGCTGACTGGGCCGGCTGGTCCCTCACAGATGACCACTGGTGACAGGGCCAGAGGGTTCCCCCAGGCCCGGGACACATCTCTCCTCTCTTCCCTTCCAGATTGTCCACAGAACGCTGGCGGCCATCTTGGGGTCCCTGGCGGCATTAGCGGCGCTGGCGGTGGTTGGTGATGTAAGTTGTTACATTTTAGACCCTATGAAAAGTCACTCTGAAAAGTCACACTCCAAGGTGGGCTGGGAACTGGGCATGGGCAGGTGTTTGCTACCCTTTTGAACATACTGCTGCCATATTCCTACATGAGCTGTGTTTGAGATGGAACTCACAGACTGGATGGTATTGAAGAGTATTTTCCACCTGTCACACATGTGCACACAGATATGTACACACATGTGCATGCAGACTCACACAGATACATGTGTGCAAACACACAGATACACACAGATACACATGTGTACACACAGAGACACATGCACACAGACAAAGCTACATGTGCAGCACACAAATACACGTATACAAACATACGTGAAATATACAGATACATGTGTACAGACACACTTGGAAATGCGTAGATACACACGTGCAAAACAGGCACACATAGACTGAGTGTACAGATAGACCGACAGACACACACACACACACACATACACACATATCTCTATTGTTCCCATGCTGGCCCAGTCTGGGCAGCCCCTGGAACGAGGGGGCCATGTCCTGGCCAGGTGAAGATGGAGGGGGCTGTGGGGCGGTTTCCTCCACCTTTAGGAGACTCCCAATCAAGGGCTTTGGGAGCAGTTCCCTTTGGGATGTGAGATGGTCCAGTGGCCCTTATGCAGGGATGCTGGTGGAGGGAGGCCCAGAACAGACACTGCAAGATACTACGGCTTATTCTGAAAACTGCTCTGCACAGCCGCTCCAAGATTGAGAACTGGACCCAGAAATGAAGTGGGGCCCATCTATCCTTAGTGGTTATTAACTAATTTGTTTTTGAATTAAGTCGGAATAAGCCTATGGCAATCCTTGAAGACTCGTGCTGAGACTTGCCACTGTTTGACTGATCAGGAGGGCACCATGGCTGTGCTTGTTTTGTGCCGATGTTGCCTCCTGGGACCCTTTCTCTCTTCCCACAGGATGCTCTCCAGCCCTGCCCACTCCCTGGGCTTGTTCCACGGGGTAAGCTGGTCCCTACCCCACGGAAGGCCCATCAGACCTACAGGGAGTTCAGGACCGGCTTTAAGAAGCCATTCCCATGTCGCACATTGGCTTGGCATTTGCCACCTCAAGGACATGGAACATTTTTTTGGTGGGGACAGAATGTTCTTGTTTGGGAACTAAGTGGCAGGGGTGGCTTTGTGCTGGCCCACGAGTGAGTTTGTGGTGAAGGATGCCCACTTTCCAGACTCTGCACCAGGCGATGGAGCCCAAGATGAACTGGTAAATCTGTGTTTTGATTGCAGAGACCCAGCCTGACCCAAGTGGTGCAGTGGATTGATTTCGAGACTCTGGCGCTGCTGTTTGGCATGGTAAAGAGAGGGGGCTGTGGGCACCTGCCATGGGGTCTGCATTCCGTGAACATAAGCTAGGGCTTGGCTGAGAAAGGCTCGTTCAGGTCTGGCTCATTTCTCTCAAGGAGAAGGAGTGTGGCAGGTGGGCTGGCCCTGTTAGCTGGGGCGTCTCAGCAAAGCTTCTATTTTGACCTTGAAATAATCATGCCCGATTCTTTTGAGTCGCCACCTTCCCCTTCCCAGGGAAAGTGGAATGTGCCGAACAAAGGAGTGCCGCCAAGCGCCACACAAGCCAGTGATTGGCAAAGGGGTTCCGGGGATCCAGAGGGAGCAGCTGGGCTCGGGCCTGTGATCTCCAGACACGGTCAGGGGGCTCCTGGGCTGTGCATGTGCGGCAGTCTGGTGGAGGGGAGGTCAGGTGTGCCAGTGCACAGGTGTGGGGCCGGGAGAGCTGGCCTGACTGCACTAGAACAAGTGGAGCTTGGTGATGGCCTGGATGGCCGGATGGCTCCGCAGAGCCTGCAGCAGCTGAGGGCCAGCAGCAGGGTTTCCTTCATGGTCTAGAACACTCCAGCCTCCAGCCACAGCAGGCAGCCCAGACCCAGGACTCTTCTCTCTTCCTTAGTTTTGTTTTGGGGCAACACCTAGTGATGCTCAGGGTTGACTCCTGGCTCTGTGCTCCAGGGCTAACTTCTGGCTCAGTGCTTGGGGATCACCCCTGGCTCTGTGCTCAGGTATCACTCCTGGCTCTGTGCTCAGCTCCTTTAAGCATGAGCAGGTGTGGTCCCCAAAGGCAAAACCAAACCAAAAGATAAACCCCCCAACATTCCCACATGTGAACCTGGCCCATCTGAGGGCTTGGCTATAGCCACCCAAGCTTGTCGTTCTAGATGAGACAGCTTGCAGGAGTCTGCAGTGGCCTTTAGAGGGTTATCTATAAGACTTTGTTTCCCAAACTCTTTGATTTTCATTATTGAATATTCTGAACCACCTCCTGAGGAGCAGAACATTATGGGGTGAGGGCAAGACAACTGAAGTAGACGTTTCAATAATGTTTTGCGTTTTGCAAGGTTAAATTGCTCCTAAGAGACAATTCAGAAACCAGGATTTTCTGCCTCCAAGTTCAGTGCAGGGACCATTTTCACCATTTCACTGGGCGCTGAGCATAGGAAGTACAGGCTGGTCATGAGCCTGGCGGGCTAATTTGGAGTCGGGGGCTTCCTGCCAGCTCCAGCCCGATGCAGCTCATCAGGGGAGACACCATGAGGCAGACTGTGCTAGTTCAGGACACTACTGTCTGCTCAAACTGGTGATGACCGTCCACTGGGCGATGTTAGGAGGCAAAGCTGGGTCAGTGTGAAAGCCTGGAACATTTCATTGTTGCTGGTGGGATGGTGCTGCTGGAAGCTTGGGGCTTCTTCCACCTTGGTGTCTGGCCCCGAGGCTCTTCCCTTCCCAGCCCCATTTCTGACTAGATCACGGAGCACCATGAGCCCTTTGCTTGGGGGAGGATCAGAGGGATTGATTGGGTGCCCAGTATGACCCTGGACTCTGGGCACAGACCCCTGGATTCTGGGTTTAGACCCCTGGACTCTGGGCACAGACCCCCAGACTGAAGCACACTGCCAGCCTTTGGGCAGCAGCTTTTGGGGTGTGAGCGGGAGAACGCCCCAGGGAGGAAGCAGGGGGCTTGGGACCACCTCCCCAGATCAGCTGACTGCTTCTCGGCTCCTTTTCTCTTTACCCTTAGATGATCTTGGTGGCTGTGTTTTCTGAAACTGGATTTTTCGATTATTGTGCTGTCAAGGTAAGTTTGATGTAGATTTTATTATGTGCTAATGATGAGTCTATATTCTTAAACATACACTTAGTAAATCAAGTCAATGCTAGCAGGATTATTTGGTTACTGGGCTGTAGAACAATCCTTGTTTGCCGTGGGTTTTCCCCTTGTTTATTCAGACACGTGATGAATGTAGTGAGGGGTTTCAGGCACACAGTGTTTCCCCCTCCAGGCTCAGCTCCCCTGACCCTGGGCCCCAGTCACTCCCAGACTCCCTCATCCTGATCTTCCTCCATTCCTCGCTTTCTTGGCATTTTTGTTTCTCTAATATAGAGCCAGTGTTCTGCCCCCTTTGCTAACTGCCATTCCCTGGGTATCCTGACAGGGAATATCATATCACAGACGACTGAGCACATCCTTTGACCTTGTCCTCTGACTTACAGAAGGTCCTCCAGTTCCATCCATGTTGCAGCAAACTACATGATTTCATCATCCTTGTGACCGAGCAGTGTCCCACTGTGTCTATATGCCACAGCATCAGTGTCACTCTGGTGGGCACCTGGGGTGCTTCCCTAGCCTGGCTGAGTGCCACAGTGACTATCAGCGTGCACACATAGTTATGTGCTAATTATTCTGTGTACGGAGGGAATGAAAGAAATAGGAACAGGGATCCCACGATTTCAAGCAAATATTTTAGGCCCCGGGGTGAAAACTCAGGGGCGGCATGGGAGGTATGTGGCTCCCCCATCATCCAGCGCTGCTGGGTTATGGAGCCAGTGGCCACCAGGACCAGCTTCCCACTGGAAGGGGCCTGTGAGTACTTTCTAGCTGTGGCCCATATACAAAACCATGGCAAAGAGTAAAATCGTAACCAGATTCAAAGCTTTAAACTGATGGGTTGTGTGCTTTACCTCAAACTCCGTCTTGCATTTCCGAGTATGTGAATATTTTAGCTCATCAGCTTACGTTACTTTGCAGTCAATGTGATGATCCCAGTGACTTTTCTCTAGTAAACATCTCATCTGACTGGGACACGGGGGACCCTCCTAACTCTGATCCCCACACGCTGCTCAGGCCTGTGTCTCACGCATGGGTGCAGGATGTTCCATTGTTCATCCCCTATTGTAGGAGCCCCCACACAGGGCTCAGGGCCGGGGCCCACTCCCTGTGCCACTCAGCCGGATGTGAGTGATGCTAAGCCCAGTAGTGAGAGGGCCCCGGGCACCTGGGGCAGCTGTGAGGTGCACTGCTGGGCATCCCTGCCCCGCCGGTCTCCTGAGTCTCTTGTTCATGTTTCAGAAAGTGAAAGTTCTTTATAGGGAAATACTTCATCCCCCAAGCCCTTTGTACACTTGGAGAGAGATGCACACCGTGATTCTCTTCTCTAAGCACCACTGCCCCACGTTCAGGGACCACCTGGCCTCTCCTTCCTGGCACCCAAATCCACCCCCTTCACCTTCAGCCCCCTGACATCATCAGGCTCTAGAGACACTGAGCCCCAGCATGGTGGCTGAGGTGACCAAGAGGAAAGGAGATGGCAGCAGGTCAGGGGACATGAGGGTACGCCAGGGCACTGATACGGGGAAGAGGCAGAGGAGACCATGGCCCTGGATTCAGGATGACAGGCACTGCCAGCATCCCTGGGCATGCCTGATCAACCAAGCCCTAGTCTCAGAGTCCTGAGGAAAAGGTGCCTCTTCCTCCTCCCACTGACCCTGGGCTGTGTGTGTCCCAGGCCTACCGACTATCCCGGGGCAGGGTGTGGGCCATGGTCATCATGCTGTGCCTCTTCGCGGCCATCCTTTCTGCCTTCCTGGACAACGTCACCACATCGCTCCTCTTCACTCCTGTGACTATAAGGTATGCAGAGTGGCCGCGTGGGCGCCTGGCCACCAGGCCTCTGCTGTGCTCCTGTCTGCTGGTGTGCCCGGGCTGCAGACTGCCCCACCGTGGCTTTGACTATGACTGTAGCCATGACTGACTGTGGGTGTGGTGATCGCCATGGTGGTGATTGTGGCCATGACTGTAGCTGTGCCTATGACTGGTCTTGGTTGTGGCTGTGACTATGGTTATGGCTGGGACTGGTTGTAGCTATGAGTGTGGTTGTCATAGCTATGATGGTTATGGTATGGTTGTGTGATTATCACTATGGTTGTGGCTGTGACTGTGGCTGTGGTTGTCTTTGTAGCTGTAACTGATTACAGCTGTGTGTTTAGTTGTCTATGACTGGTCATGGTCATGGCTGTACCTGTGGCTGTGTCCATGGCTGTGCTTGTGCCCATGGATGGCTGTTTCTGTGGTTGTGGCTGTCCTGTGGCTGTGACTGTGCCTGTGGTCATGGCTGTGTTCATGGCTGTGCCTGTGGTTGTTTTTGTGGACGTGCCTATGTTTTTGTCTGTGGTTGTTCCTGTGGTCATTTCCGTGGCTGTGCCTGTGGTTGTGGCTATGGCTGTGGTTGTGGCCATGGCCGTGGCTGTGCCTGTGGCCATGGCTGTGCCTATGGTCATGTCTGAGGCTGTGCCTGTAGTTGTGGCTGTGCCTGTGGTCTTAGCCGTGGCTGTTGTCTTGGTTGTGCCTGTGGTCATGGTCATGGCTGTGACTATACTATGGTCATATTTTACCCTCTGCTCTTGGCCCAACCCTGACTTGAAGGCAGCCAGGGTCTTCCCTCCACTGGGAACTGCACACAGTGATTGGGCTCCCTCGTGGCAGGGCTCTGGGGGCAGAATGGGGAAATTTTTATGCCAGTGGGCAGAGGCAGTGGGTTTACTCTCAGAGGAGTGAGTGTGTTGGCAGTAGCTGGTAGTTGGTTACATTTCATCTCTGTGCATGCCCCCACCTGCCTTTCCCACACATGTGTGTGTGCAGATGTGTGCATGTATAACCACATGTGTGTACCTCTCTCATAAAAGGGGTCCCAGGTGTTCATGGTGGGGAGCATAGTTCCTCTTCCTTTATTTGTGGCAGGTTATGTGAGGTCCTCAACCTGGACCCCAGACACGTCCTGGTTGCCGAGGTGATCTTCACCAACATCGGGGGTGCTGCCACTGCCATCGGGGACCCACCAAACATCATCATCATTTCCAACCAGGAGCTGAGGAAGATGGTAGGTGCTGGCCCCCCTGGGCTTCAGTCCCTCAGGTGAAGGACAGTAGGTGACTATAGAGTCCCAATCACAGGCCAGGGGCAGGAAGGGATTTCAGTCTACCCCACTGTCCCTCTGAGAAACATGGAGAAAATGATTGAATAGGATCATTGTTTCTACCCTGGCATATTATATTAATAAGGACAATGTTTTCTTCCAACTAATATCAAGAATAGGGATGGGGATATGACTCAAGAACAGAGCAGTGTGTGTTTCTTTGTTTGACTCTTTATGCCATAATCTCCCCCCACCCCCAGTGTGACTCTGGTGGCCTCAGAGAACTCTGGCATGTCTATGAAGGTCCCCAAGCACTGGCAGGCTCAGACAGGACTGGAATGCCAGCCTGAGCACTGAGATATCAGACCTGGGTGCTGGGCAGAGAGTGTCACCAGGGGGTGCTCTGGTCCTCCCAGCACTTACATGAGAGAAAGGAAATGGGAGTCAGAGAGATAGTACAGCAAATAAGGTGCTTGTCCTGCTTGTGGCTGACCCTAGTTTGATCCCTGACATACTGTATAGAAAGAAGCACAGAGCCAGGAATAAGTTCTGAGAACCCTGCCCCCAAAGGGAAGTGAAAAGTTTCAGAAAAATATAAAAGAACAAAACAGTCTGTCCCTTCTCCCCTTTCCAAAACTGTGGTGATGAAGAACTTAGATTTTTTTTAAAGGGTCTCTGGAAACTTGTTGAAATATCTTACAATGTTTGGTAGTTATTATCAGACATGCAAAGCGGGTTTTATATCAACAAACCCGCTTTAAAGGTAACTTTGATTTAATGCAATGATGAAAAAGAAACAAAAGGGGAAAAATAAATGAGATAAACATAAAACAAACTGTGAAATGTAAACCTAACCATGTGAATGATCATATAAAATATGAGAGAATAAACATCTCAGTTTAAAGCAGGGTTTGAGGTGAGAGCGATGTCGGCTTTGCAGGCAGTTAATTCTGCAGCACCACGTACTGGAACCCTGTTCACCATCAGGAGTGACTCCTGAGTACAGAGCAGGGAGTAAGTCCTGAAATAAGCTGGGTGTGGCTCCAACTCCCCCACCCCCAATGAAGGGGTTGTTAGCCAAGCGTAGTTCAACTATATTCCACTGACAAGTGTTTCTAAAGGTGCACACAGGCTGAAGGTAGAGGCATGTTCAGTGATGGAGGCAGGAGGGTAACACCAGTGCCAGAAAAAGGAGACCGTGGAACAGGGAACCTCTGGGGAATTAGAGGAAGGCATTTCGTAATGGTCAAGGCGGTCTCATAAAGAGGCCACAGCAACACAGTTATTCGTGCAACTAATTTGAGAGCTCCAGAATATAATAGGTTGAAACTGATAGGACCAAAAGCTTCTTTTCCAGTTAAGCTGGGTTTTCCAGCAGACATTTTGAAATAGCAGATAAAACCAAAAGGATGTCTAAAAATTCATTAGTTTTCACTACTTCATTTAACTGACAGAGAAAAATCCCACCCAACCGCTAATGTGTATTCTTTCAAAGCACACATCAAACATGAAGCAAATTAGACCATATTCTGGGCCGTAAAACAAATTGTGATATAATTAAAGCACTCTAAGTAATGCAATCTATGTTCTTTGTTGAATTGCCACTGTTGAATTAAGTGAGAAAGATACTTGGGAAATGCCCAACTAAATATCTGGAAACTGCACACTTTTAAATGATTGAAACTGAAAATGTAAAGGATTTTAAATCGGATTATAATGAAAAGAGAGCACAAAAATGTGTGTAATTCCTTTAGAGTAAGAATGAGCAGACTTTTTCTGAAAAGGCCCTGGAAGCACTATTATGGACTTGTGAGCCATTTGGTCTCTGTTGCAGCCAATCAACTCTGCCCCCGGAGTGGGAAGGCAGCCTGGGACTGCCACTAGGGCCCAGCGTGTTGTATTCCAGCCTGCAAGTGTGATTTGCTGGTCTCTGCTGGAAAGCAGCATTTAGAGGGAGATTTATGCCACTAAATACCACGACTGTAAAAGACGAACTGTCTCAAATCAGTGATCTCAGATTCTGTCTAAGAAACTACAAAGAAGAGAGCAAATTCAATTAAAAGTATGCCAGAGAAAACAGGCAAGCAAAGACAACAGAATAGCCACAGAGAAAATCAATGAAAGCAGAAGCTATTTCTTGGAAAGGGCCAATAACCCTGAGAAATTTCTGACCAGACTGATGAGGGAGAGGACAGAGAAAACAGGAAGGAACTGTTTGGCGGAAGAGGCTGCGGCACCACAGACACTGAAGTGTGCTTAGAGGGTGGTGTGGGAGACTGGGATGGTGAATTTGAGGACTTGGGAAAAATTACAATGAACCTCGAAGATACACTGTATTGACCTCACGGAAGATCTGGACCTGTGTGATCCTATACTTGTTAAAATTTAATTTGGAATTAAGAATATTCCCACAAAGAAAAGTGCACACATACACACCAATACCCATCTTAGAAGGAAGAGTGCCATGTTCTTCCCCAAAACATTACAACCTATTGAAGAGGAGAGAAGCATTTCCTGCTTAAACTATGGGACCTGGACACCAGGTAAAAATTTAACTGTCAACATGCATCTGTTTTAAACATATCTGGAAATAGAAAACGGTTCAGAAATCCAGCTTAGCAACCTTTAAAGTGGATAATATAACCAAATGGAATTTATTCTGGCAAGGGAACACTGGTAGATAATTTGGGGAAAAAATTCAGTTAATGAAAAAACTAAATGGGGGAATCCATGTGATCATCTCAAGAGATGCTGAAAAATTATGCACCATCAGGTACTGATACATGTCTCCATAACTGAAAAGCAGAGAAACTTGCTAGCTGAGAGGGGGCATCTAGGGAAAGGCTAGTACCATGCTGGCCACTGTTCTCATCACCTCTATGTCGCCTTTGACTGGAGGCTCTTGTTGGTAAAGCAAGAGAAGAAATGCACGGCATATAAACTGGAATATAAACATCAAAGGAGGCCACAAGACAGTCTTTACCTGCAAAGGACATGATTGCCCATGTAGAGAAATTTAAAGAAGTCTCAAAACACTTCTAGGAATAGTAAGTAAAGTTGGCACTTGTGCAATACAGGATGAATATTCAAAGTTAGTTGTGTCCTATATTCTAGCAAAGAACAGCAAAATACTGAAAGTGATATTTTGTTGTTGTTTGGGCCACACCTGGAGATGCTCAGACTTACTCCTGGCTCTGTGCTCAGGGGTCACTCCTGGTGAGGCTCAGGGGATGACTATACATGCAGGTAGCGTCAGGGATGTAATCCAGGCCTGCTGTGTGCAAGACAACCGCCCTACTCACTGGACTACCTCTGTGCCTCTCCGAAAGTGCTGTTTGCATAGTGTCATGGGTGGAGTGAATGGAGAAAGCCCCCTGGTCGATAGGCAGCTTAGGCACAGTTGCATCCATCCCGTGGCGTGCACATTTCTGCCGTGTTACTTGTGCACTCATCAACACACAGACCTGGAAGGGAAACAGGTTCTAAGACAAAAATGGGCCGTGACGTGTAAAAGAACATTCACGAAGAAAGTTGAGTGGTTGGCATGTCACCACCCATAGGTTCTTCCTCTGCTCACTGGGTCTCTTGGGAAGGTTCTAGGGTGTTGGGGCAGAGAGACGGCCAGGGCCAGCCTGTGGCCATATTCCAGCCCTTGCAGTCTGCAGCACAGCTGGCACCCTTGCCCCCCACTTGCCAATAGGCTGAGGGGCGTCTCAGGCTCCTGGAGAGTATGCCAGCTCCTTCCTGCCCATTCTAGGGGACTCCCACCCCCAGGTGAACACAGCTATTCAGCCAGCAGAAACATCTGGAACGCTTCTGGAGGGCACCACCCTCTGCTTCTGAATGATATCTCACAGGTGAGAGGGGGCATTCCCCCTTACAGATCAGCGTGGCAAGCACTAGAAGGTTCTTCCCACCATACCCCTTACTGGGCTGTGCATGCTGGAGCATTTCCCAGGGCTTTCCCACCACACCCAGTCACTGTGCATGCTGGGATATTTCTCATGGCTTTCCCACTATATCCACAGTTGCTGTGCATGCCGTGATTTTTCTCATGACTTTCCCACCATAGCCCTAGTTGCTGTGCATTCTGGGGCACTTATCTCATTTTCCACCACACCCACAGACACTCTACATGTTGGGACGTTTCTCACGGCTTTCCCACCAGGCCCCATGTGTTGTGTGCTCTGGGGTCTGTATCTCTTCCTCCAGACTTTTCCCTCTGTTTGCTTAGCTGCCAACTTGGGTACTGCAAGATTCTGCTGGTTTGTTCTGCCTCTCTGTCCACTTCCTCTTCATCTTTGCTGTCACAACCTCCTATACCTGTAGGTCTTGGAGTTCTGTTTTTTTTTCTTTCTCTCTTTTATTACCCTTTCCCCCACTTTAGTCTGTCGTCTTTAGCACAGTAGATGGTTTTGCATGGTGTACTCTGGATTCACACATCTCCATGGCTCTGTCAGGACCATTTTATGCCCCTGAGACCCACGTGTGCCTCAATCTCTCCTCCGCATGCTGGACAGACCCTTCGGAGGTCAAATCTCTCTTGCAGTTATCACCCTGAACCAGGATCAAATGTTTGAAAGTTTCAAGAATGCCTGTAAGAGAGTGATTATGGATGCATGCCTTGGGAGTGATTCTGAGGAGGCTGTCCACATCTGTAGGACTAAGGAGATGCCTGAGTGTCCTCAGGGTCCCTATTTGCACCCGATGGGGGAAGGAAAGCTTCCCCCCTTCCACACACGGGTTCTAACCTTGCAGCACAGAATTGACTGGCCTTGTTAGACTTAGTGATGAAGTCTACCTCCTCCATAAGTGCCCCAAGTTACAACAATACCAGAATTGGCAATAAAAACGTCATTGTGCTTCCCACATATGGGAGCCTGTCCAGGAGATAAGGACCACTGCTCTCAGGCACACGTGTCACTCGCTGTGGAGGGGCTTGGAATAACCCTCTCTGGATGGAC